GTGTGATTTTTTCTTTCGTCGAATTCAAAACTTTTTTCTATTTTTAAGAACCAATTTATTGTATAAAAAATTATATTTTTTTTAATGATAAAAAGAGGAAATAGAAAAAAAGAATTAAATTTTTAAATGTAGAACGTGTGAAAATGTGATTTAGGTTCCAGAATGTCTGAAAGAAATGGGAATAATTGTTTGCCAATTTAAATCGGCAAAAGTGATTTTATTATGTGAAAATATAATAATAATAATAATAATAATAATAATAATAATAATAATAATAACAAAAAAGTAATAATGTGCTAGTGAAATATGCCACAATACGACGATACATTTTTAGACTCGCCACTTTTTCGGCGACGTGCTCGCAGTTATTGTGTGCAAAAACAAGTTGTCCCAAAATCAAAATCTTTTTCATTGTCCGCCACTCCATTATTATTGTCCGTGACCAATCGATCGAGAAGCATTGCCGTATCTTCATCAACATGCAATTTGCAAGGTAATTCGATCATGAGCCTCTTGTTGTTCCGCCTCCTAATCCTGCTCGCAAACACTAATCCGATAATGCACTTCGCTTAAAATTCATTTATTTTTAATATAATTCTTGTGTAATTAGAAATAACATCTTTTTTTATTATAATTATATATAGCATCGTTGAATAACAATAGTTTTCTTTTGATTCAGTTTCAGGAATTAGAATTGAATTTCTGATTTTTATTCTGAAATCCTAATCGAAATTAAACACTTCTGATTCTAATTTTGATTCTGATTCTGAAACAATATAATTTTAAAGCATACGTAATTTTTATTTTAATTCTGTTCCAATAGATTTGATTCTGATTTAGGGAACAATAACTTTTAAAGAATGGATTATGTATGGTGCAAACTTTTGTTGTGTTTTTTTCTCGAATATTTATAAAGGAATAAATATTGTGCAATGTACGTAATAATATCAGGTTGATAATTACAGAGTATTGCCGTCAAGCATATTAACTAACACGTGCGTGCAATGCGAGTATGTTTATATATACGAAGCATGAACAATTATCACCTCCCTCTTGCTATACATCAAGACACTGTATCAGATATTTCCCCGTAGGATAGCAATGTAATACAAATTGTTATAGGTCGCTCGCAATACACCTGCATGTGATGGTTTCATATAGGCAACCCCTCACTACATACTAATCATTTCTTGTTTGCCCCTGGACCAAAAGTGTCACTCACATCTATATATATATATATATATATATATATCTTTCGAACAATTTATAATCAAAATATGATACTAAAAATTTACAAACACTAATATTTATCCAAATCGTTTTTGTCTCCATTAAACCCTTTCGAGGGGGCGCATGAATTATTTTTCTTTCTTTTCCAAAAAGAAATTTTTGGTTGAAGATAAAAATGTTTCCAAAGATTAGTTTTAAAAATAAAAAAATTTATATAGAAAAAATTCGTAAAACTGTAAAAAGATTTTAATTTTGAATTGTGCGATTTTTTGTTTTGGAGATAAATAATAACTATTATTGAATAAACTTCCGGAATTGAAACCCGTTTTCTTAGTGAGAGAAAAAGTAAAAATAACTTGTTGTATATATGCGGTCATATTGTGGTTTCTATATATATATATATATATATATATATATATATATATATATATATATATATATATATATATATATATATATATATATATATATATTGTAGTTTGACCTACAATCCGTTTTAATAAACGAGATACTATTTCATTATTTACATAAAAAAAAGTTTCCCGTTATATAAAAATAGTCAAATATATATGTAATCGTGTTTATATTGGAAGTACTATTATATGATACAATTATTATTTATCATACACTAAAAAAAAATTTATTTGATTCAAATAATTGGTTACGTTATTATCAAATAAATATTTTAAAATAATTATTATTTGAAATAGTATTGATTTCAAAAATTATATTTGCCTCAAGTAAATATTTTTTTGATAATAGTCAAGTAACCGATTATTTGAATCAAGTAAATTTTTTTTCAGTGTAAATTTTGAGTATTCATATAATTAGGTTTAAATATTGTTTTGAGGGATTTTTTTAAAATAATATTTTAGTAGAAAATTATTTTTGCAAATTTTGTTCTTTTTAAGTTCATTTTTTTCCCATTAAAATCAAAGTTATGTAAAAGCACGTGCACAGGTTTCCACCCTTGATTTCAAATGGTTTAGTGTGTAAACAAGGGTCTTTGAAGACAAGTTCGAATGTGAAGCTCTGGTTTTACAGGATTTTGCGAGGGTGAATATCAGCCTGAGGGTGTAAACCACCATTTAATCAAGACGTAATACGAGACTATTCCCAGAAACCCCATGTTCCAAAATATAGTTATATGTTCGGTGTTTTGTCACCCTTAAGGGCTTATTCTACTTCTCTCTCCTCTATATATGAATGAATTTGATTTTACATAAAATTTTGATAAACGAAAATTTGTGTTTAATGAAAATATGCTCAGTTAGATGAGAATTTTCTGCTAAATAAATTTTTTTTTTTAATTTAAAGAAATTGTGGTAAAATAAAAATTTATCATCTCGCTGTGGCAAATTGTTTAATATTTGATTTTATAAGAGAGTTTTTAGCGAGATTTAGTTTCAAAAAATTTGTGTCCTGGGTAGTCGATGAAGTGTGACAGATTAATTTCTCGCTTGTCTGACCAATCGAATGAATGGCTGACCATAACCAACCGTTACTACTTGTGATAACTGTTGTATATGCATTTCAATTTGATACTCCCGTGAGCATATGATTTTATAATTTTGTCTTTTCTATATAATTATTTTTTAGAAAACTTTTTAATAGAATTTTAATTTTTTCGTTTTATACATTGGAAAAATTATAATCTATATTTAAGAATTTATTCCTATTTTTCAATAATAAATTTTCCTCTTTGCAATATATATCTTTTATATCCTTATATATAGGTACTAAATTGAATCATAATTTTCTTCACGAAGATTTGTTATATCCCTTCGTAATTAATTAGGACTTTTTTTTAAAAAAAAAAGAAGTTGAAAGTAGAATTTTTTTCCTGAATCCAATTATATTTTTTCTCAATGCAAAAAAAAAGAAGAGCAATTTTCATTTATACCGTCGTTTTCCTTCAAAGATAAATTTCCGCGTGGAAAAAGCTCTTCGTCGATATATATGTATAAAGTGCATTCGTGTCCACTTGCTTCAGGGAAGAATGCGAATGAGAGTAGAGAGAGAGAGAGAGAGAGAGAGAGAGAGAGAGAGAGAGAGAGAGAGAGAGGGGGGGGGGGGGGAGCGCGAGAGTAGAGGAAAAGAGATAAGGAAAAAGACGTGTGTGTGTGTGTGTTTCGTTTGGGGATGAGAAAGAGCGTAGGAGGAAATAAAGAGAATAAAAAGAAGAAGATGGTTTCTTCTCGCGTGAAGAGTTAGAAATGTGGAATTCCACGGCGACGACGACGCCAATGGAATATAAGGAGAGTTCTCTCCTACATGCTTGGAATATAAGGGTTACGAAGGGGGGTGGGGGAGTTGCGAAAATAAATGGAAAGAGCCTCAAACCAATTTTGGTTTCTCTTTTCATGTCAATCTTCTACTCGTCTTGGTTTTCTCTCTCTCTCTCTCTCATTCGATGTATTTCGAACTCTGCCTAGGTTTCATTTGCTATATCATCCTCCCTTTTTACTGGGCAATTTTCTCTGACTCATCTTATATTTTTTTAGTCGTATTTTACCCCCTTCATCTCTAAAACCCCCCACACAAACCCTATTTGAACCTTCTCTATTTTAGTAAAGTGAATTTTTTTTCAATATACGTTCAAAAACTTTTAACCTGATCGCATTTGCCTGGTGATTTGTTTATTCTTTGAAAAATGGAGTTAAAATTTACTCCTCAGAGAAAGAACAAAGATTTACCAGAAAATATTTTACTAGAAATGGGAAAATTTTTGTTTAAGTTAAAATTTTGATTATTTAAGTGCAATAAATTTTTGCAGATATATGAATATAGTTTTTTTTTTTTAATTTTTATACTAAAAAAAAAATTGTATACACATTTATTAGAAAATTAATGATAAACTTTTTCTTTTGTTTCAGGTAAATTCAAAATTATGGCGAGAGAATCTAACGGTTTTAAAGTGGTAAGAAGTTGAATTTTTTTTTTAAACTTATTTAGAATTTCAAAAATTCTAGAATATATTAAAAACTGTATTTTTATTGACTGAAAAAAAATTTATTGGTCGGAGTCGTTAAGATGTAGGATTAGACTGAGCGTCACGTCTTGTGTTCGATTCTTCCTAGCGTTAAAAATTTTTTTCTCCTATTAGCATTTTTTAAAAATATTAAACAAACTAAAAAAAAAAGATATTTATTTAATATAACAGTCGATTATTTGAATATTTTCACTGGTTAAATTGAGAATTTTTTTTTTTTTTGCAATAATGAAAGTTTACAAGTAGAGTTTTAAAGTACAATTGAAATACGCGCCCCAGTCATTTTTCATAAGAGGTATTATAGAATCTCTATTCAAGCATAATAATATGTGAAGCTTGGCTAAATGTCAAGTAGCGGCATAAATGGATTGGTGTTGTAGTTGAAGTACAAAATTTTGCTGGAAATTTCTTTCTCTCTCGTTTACGCACGTGACTCATAATTTCGTTTTGTAAATATATATATAGCTATGTGTGTATATAACTACATTTCTGAACAAATTGATTGCTTTCCCAGCATCCACATGAAGTGCTGATTAGCGACAGTAATCGGTACTTTTATTCCCTCCCCCCCACACCCTCGGACCAAAAATCAATATACCACGACCTCTGACTTTTATGCGCTTTTGGAGGCAACCTTATAGAACACATGTTTTCTTTTTTTTTTACATTCATTACATTCGCATGAAGGTCTTCTTTTATTTATTTTTTTTTGAACTTTCAACCTTCTTAGACTTAATGTTTAAAAATATGTTTTCAATGTTTTAGGGGTTTTAGTAAATTATTTTTTCATTATTTAAAAGTAATATTTCATTCGTTATTAGTTACAAAATTTTTTTTTTTTTGTCGAGATTTTATCTTTCACAAGTTTTGTTATTTTTAAATTCTTTACGAAGCCGTGAATTTCTTAGTGTATGTCCAGATATTGATTTTTCATAAGCTGATGATCGTTTCATTAATGATGATGATGATGAGTTATCTGCTTTTTCAGTGCTTGAGTTTTCAGTTTTATTATTATTTCCCTTAAGTTGAAAACAACTTGATCCTTCAGCAGCGTATTCTAAATTCTCAATTTCTGATTCCTGATCTTTATTATCTATCTCTGGCAATGTTCCAATATTAAAATTTTGTTTCGATGATTCGCTCTTAATACAAATGCAATTTGACTTAAAACTTTTTCTATATAGGAGAAAAAAAAAATTCTGTTTAATTGCAAATTGAAATGGAAATTTGTTGAAAATAAAAAATAGTATTACCTGCGTTGTTCTGCAAATTCCAAATTTTTTTCTAAACCATCAAGATCCCTTTCATATTCGCGACAAAGTTTTTCACTTTTTCTCAAATTCTGACTCATGTTACTTTGTTCCTGTTCCAAAATTGTTAATTTATCTTTAAGAATTTTCACCTCATCCTGGCTTGCCTCCTTCTTTGAATGTAATTTGACTCGTTTAATTTCTAAATCCTTTTCGTTAATTAAATTCTTTAGTCGGGTGATTTGTTGCCAAAGAACTTTGTTTTCATTTTGAAAGCGTTTCGCGATGTTCAAAGCACGTGCCAATTTCAATACACTTTCATCTGTTATTAACAAATTTGGTCCAGATGAGGCACTTTCAACATCCTCAGATTTCTCAGTATTGTTATTGATGTTGTTATTTTGTTCCTCTAAAACATTCATCTCTCTTGATAATTCCATGTCCGATTGTAAATTTGTGTTTATTATTTTTTGTTCACTGCCATTTGGTTTTATTTCATCAAATTGAAATGCGTTAGACAAGGACAATGAACTTGCATTTGATGTTGATTCAACTGATCTTGATGGTGAGTCATCTGATGATATTTTAGAATTTCTATTTGATTCAATTGATATTTTTTGATTTATCGATGATGTTGGTGATAAAAAATTGGAACTATTTTGAAATGGATTATTCTCATCTTCTAAGGGGGATAGTGGTGATAGTGGAAACTGAAAATTTTTTTTTTTAATTAATATTTTGTTATTAAATTCTTGTAAATTAAATAATTATTGATTGAATATTGATTAGTAAGTTTTTTAATATTAGCTACATTCGTATTTTTATTATTTTGTTTTAAATACCATATTGAAAGTAAATTATTGTTTAAAAATAAAATGAAATTTTGATAAATTTTGAAAAAATGATTAAATTTTGACTTGATTTTTTTCTTCTTTTTTTTTGGTTAATAAACAGAAAAGACAAAAGACTGTCATTAAAAAGAAAACAAACAAAAAATGAGATATTTTATGGAACTTTTTTAAAATTAGTTTTTGCTTTTTTAAATTTATTAAGGAACAAAAATAGTTTGATAAAGTTTTCAATATGTAGTCATAACTTGTTGGGTTTTCTACCCAGGGACAAATCTCGTTAATTCAATATAAAATCTCGATCCGCCTATAAAACATCTAATAAAAAAAAATTCTACAATATTTTTTTATGACATTATATATTCATGATAAACTTTGATAAATTTATATTATCAAACTTGTTTTATATCAGTATTCAAACTTTAATTTAAAAAAATTTAATAAAAATAAAAATAACAAAAAGCAAAAATTGAATTTGTTCTCTAACAAATATAGGTAAAATATAATTTAATAATTCATATTTCCGGATATTTAAAATAGGAAAGATTTATCTCTTTTTTTTCAAATCAAATACAAAAAAAAAATTTCTCTCATTTGTTTCCAATTAAAAATGAAACAGAATATTTTTCGTATTTACTTTCCAAATTAAATGCAATTTTTTTCTTTCATTATTATATTATACATTTGACGTGCACGCGAAGGAAAAAGAATACAAAAAATTCGATATTTACTTTTTCTATCTTCTTGTTGGCACAATCGAAAAATGTTTCACTTCTGTTAACTGTTGTTAAATTAAAGGGAGTTTCAATTTTTTTTAAGTTTTCGTCAGATACTGTCATGGAGGATAATAATTGGTTTGATTTTTTAAAAAATTTATCCGACGATTGATTAATTTGACATTCAGATATAGTCGATGATGGACTGAAACTAAATCGACTCCAATAACGTCTTCGCTTTCGATAAAATCCCCTATTTAATCCCTCTTGAATTTCTTTGAAAAATTCCTCGAAATATTCCTGAAATAATTAACATGTTTGGTTATTATTTTTGTCTGAAAATTTTTATTTAACAGAATTTTTAATTGCATTTTATTAAAAATTTATAAATTTCAGAATATTGAAGAAAATTTTGTATAAAAATTTTAATTTTTTTTTTTGTTTTGAATTAATGAAATTTTGTCTTTTTGAAATGCCATTCACCTCATCTTGAATGTGTCGTTCACCTTTCGCGGATGTCTCATTTTGATCAACATCCTTATCTGTAACGTTTATTCTCTTATGTTTCGCCTTTATTTGACAAACAACTGCCAAAGGTGTTGTTGTTTTCTTTGGTTCTTCCTGTTCTTGATTACTTACAAAATTCTCAAAAATGTCATTTTTTAAATTACCAATTAGTATTTCTGTATATTGTTCCTCATAGGTTATAAAATTCGATGTGTTTAATATCGATTGTAATTGTAATTGAATTTCTTGAAGTAATGCTAAAATTGCCTCTGCTGTTGTTGAACTGTTAAAATTATCGTTAATTCTTCGTTTTTTCAAATGTTCTTTAATTATTTTGTGAAGATTATTTTTATCAATTACACGATTATTTTTCAAATCTTCTAATAGTATGTTTCTTATTTTTTCACAGTCATCATTATCATTGGTGGATGATGATGATGGTGGATCGGATTTATTTTCAATTTTTGAATTCAATAAATCTTCCGTTTTTATTACATTTTGTTGCTGTAAATTATTTTCGTCTGAAAATAATGACAATGATTGACCAATATTGTAGAAAAATTTTCTCATTTTATTATTTGCAAAATTTTGATAGGATAGGATTTTTTTTTTAAATTTTGCAGAAAAATTAAAAAAAAAAAGTATACCGAGATTTTAGTTTAAAAATTAAATCACATTTTGAATTTAGATTTTATTGTCGAAAACTTTTCGACAGCCATGATATGGGGTTTACATGACACATATGGACTGAAGTAAACTTCGTGTTCATTTTTTCTGTATTTTGGAAACTGTTTTTTTTTCTTTTTTCAAAATTTTTGTTGAATTTTTTCTAAACTGTAAAACTAATTTCTCACTTTCTGGAGTTTCGTGTATATATATATAATATTGCAGTTAGAACGTGGGAGGCATTGCGGAAACGCGTGTAGTGTAATTTAACCAATTCGACGGGAGAACATAACTCGATTTAGGGTCCAATTAATCAGATATGCAGATTACGTGAAGCTCGATTATTGAACTTTCAAAGAGAGAGGTCGTAACTCTCATAAAGTATAAATCACAGTGCGCTGTTAATATTCTGTCTATATATATATATCACACATATACATTTTAATACACATGTGTTTATATATAGTTCCATAAATTTATACATGTATATAGATCTACTGAATATAACTTAAAGTAAACGATTTGATACTGGAAACTTTTTTTCCATTTTCGCAAAGTTTTTTTTTTTTTTATTAAGAATTCCTTCTTGTCTGAAGTTGATCGACTATATAAAAGTGATGACTGTTTACAAAATGTCTGTGTATTAGTGTGTAAAACCCCTGTACAAAGACCACCCGCCATACAAGACCTTTCAATCAAACAAACTTCATCTTAAACTTTCCAAAAAGTTCAAAGTGATTTCCCTTCTACTTCGATTGACTTTCAACTCCCGCGGCAGTGCTTTTATATATATTGTATGTACAAAAGTCAAAAGACCGTCACAATTTTCATATCAATTGGTTGAACAATTTAAAAAAATTACCTTACAACTGAAAATTAACATTTTTTATTAACAATAATTTTTATTTATAAATTTTGAAAAAGCTATTTTTATACATTACACTTTAGTTATTTAATTATAAAATTAGAATTGCAAGGTTATATTAACTGCGGTGAACGATTTAATGAATATTTACTTATATATATTATATTTTTTTTTCACAAAAGAAGGCAATTAATTATCCGCTCGATGACTCCATCCTGCTTTATGAATTAAGCAAATGAGCTTATCCAGACACGAGCCAAATGAGAGAGATTGTGTTCAAACCCTGGAGCGTAATAATTGATATTAAAATTTCAAATTAGTATACCTCACGTTGTATAAATATATATAGATATTAAGCAAATTTACTAAATATTAGGTATGTTAAACAATATAATTATGAGATGAGGTTCTTTTAGGGAAAATGAGTTTACAAAAAAACTTACTCTCCATTTAATTTTCAATTTCCGTGAATGGTCGCGTATTCTTGATGATATGGCATTGCTTTTAAGCTTTTCATATACTAGACACATTCACGCGCAGGCGTAATGGAATTGGGGAAAATTAAGCTGCGCCGAGATTTTACCTCGGGGTGTAACTCAATTTTCCAAAATTTTACATTCAAAGGATCATCTCTCTCTCTCTCTCCGCTTAATCGGATTCTGTATATAGGAACGGAAATATTTTTTGACGCTTTTGAGATGAAATGATACAATGCTTCATGAGTAGGATAATTCATTATATTGGTTCATTCTTTTAAATACCCATTTAGAGAAGGAAATATAAATGTTTGCTCTTCGGTAAATTTTATTGGATATGATTTCGAAACTCTGTAATAAATAATAGGTCGTCCATAAAAAATTGAAGGTGTGTAGAGTCGAAATTTTTTATTGTTACCCTTTTTCTATTTGCTGCAACGTATATTTTATTATTTCAGTATTCATATATATACACTTCCCATAAACTGTGGAGAGATTGAAAAAAATGTTTCAATATAGAAAAGAGAAGCATTGTATTTTTTTTTCTTTCTTTATCGAAATCTATCCAAGTGCGCTTATATACGAAAAGGACTTTAGAAAACGATAAAAGTTTTATATATTTTATGGGAAACATATATCCAGAGGAGAGAAATTGCTCCAATGTCTCCACTCACGCAATTAACAGTAAAATGTGTGAAGCACGTTTTGCTCTTGAACTCGTATATATATATATATATATATATATATATATATATATAGGTATATACAGTTCAATAACTGCACAAACGAGTCACAAAGCCTTTCAATAAAACATTATAAATCCACTCCAAATCTCGCGGTGAAAGGAATTTGACACGATGAGTGTTTCTAAATTTAAAACAAAAAGATAAAGGGATACTTATTCATCGGGAAGTAACAGTCATAGCAAATTTTTCAGAATCTTAAGAGAATATAGCTTTTAAAATGATTATGAAATATTATTTCGGGAAAATTTATCATAAAAGTACTAGAAGATTTTATAAATAATAAAAGTAAAGATGTATAAAACCGCATTGTTTTGTAACTTTTTCGATTAAAACTTTTGTGTTTTTTTTACTATAATACAACTATACTTGAGTTCTCGAAACGTGTGTGCTGATTCGCGCTCGAATGGAGTTGAAAATGTTTTTAGATTAGGAAAAAGGAAGATAAATTGCACTATATATATGTGGGTTTCGTGCAGTCTTATATATACGAAGAGTGCACTTTCGATCCATTTTTTATCATTTTTAAATGTCGTATAAGAATTTAAAGAATTAGATATTAACCACACTGAGACAACAGTGTGTTTAAAATTTAAGAGAGTGAGAGAATTTGCAAACTTTGTTACTTATGAATTGAGATATTGTTAAGCGTAGATTAATAACTACCTAATCTTTATCTCTTTTTGAAACAGTATTTCTGCTAAGACAAACGACAATTTTGATGTTACAACTGATAATGGATGATTGTTTGGTATTTATTTTTAATTTCTTTTGGTTTAGAGTGAATTTTTGATATTAGAATACTCGAAAATTTACGTATCATATATGCAAACTAGATGCCGGGAGGAAAAACATAAAATTCGTCTCGTCAATGTCCAAGAATAGCTGCAAAAATTTCTGTATTCGAATGAAGAAGAAGTAGAAGAAGCAAGCTGGATAATCTTTTGTATACGAAAGAAACTTGATTTTTAGAGACGTTTTTTTTTTTAAATAAACTAACATATTATATATGAGGGAGATGGAAGGAATATTGAATGCGTGGGTTGAATGATAGTGTGACAGAGAGAAAAGAGAGACAAAAAGAGAATGAGCGAGAGAAAGAGACGAAAGTGAAGTCTCCGCGTGAAGTTAGTTAGCAGTCGATGCGCACACACCACGCGTACCGGACGTCCATTTTCAAGTTCCTTGTTACTTTCTTATATTCAATAATAATAATTATTATTCAGTGTCATTGTCATTAAGACACACTTTCTATATGAATCCATTTTAATATATTGGAAATTAGCAATTTTTTCGAGAAATCAGGATTTTATGTGGTAGTTTGAAAAATATAAACACTTGTCACGTGTATGAGACATCTCATCATGCGCTTAGAATTTGCTGATGCATTGTTTAAAATAGATTGACAATATTTTTTCATATTCATATTTTGCATTATATATATCTTAAATAAGAGTGAAATCAAAAATTGATAATTTTGGTGACGCAATTATTCTTCAACGGAAACGTCTAATTCTTTTAGGTAAATTTTCATTCTGTATCTTATCATTTTAAGTGACATTCATTTATAATTTATAAGGTAGAGAAATACTTTTGACATTAGTTTTCTGTATGAGCTCATATCTTAAAAAGGAATTTTGCAAATGGGAAAATTTTTATTTATAATCTATTACTCTGTAGTTTTTTTTTTCAATTTTTTTGTAGTATTCTTTATTCATTAAATTTTTTTCACATCTGGAAAACAGTAACCATAATTCTCTTTGATTAATTGTAAAAATAACTTTTGAATTTTTAGTTATTTTCTCAGCTGTTTTTATTCCCCTCATAATCTTAATTTTTGTGATTTTTCTCTGAAATAAAATTGCAGTGAGATCATGCCTATTTTTCGAGTTTCTGAGAAAAAAAATTACTGCCATATAAAGAGAGAGAGAGAGAGAGAGACATATATTTAAACACAATTTTTTGATAAGAGAATTTATTGGGAGTCTATTGACAACTGTATATGGGAAAATTTATCATTTATCTGATACGGTATAAAATTGGTGATTGCAGTAAATAAATGGTGAGATGAGATCATGGCAAGTGGATAAACGGTGGGCGGCCGAGTAATTCAGGGTGGCAGGGAAGGTCATTTGTTAAGTCATCCCACATATATATTTTTTTATATACGTATATACATTTTGTGTATGTACATTTATCAATCAAATGTTATCTTATTTTTAAAAAGGTCACATGTAGAGAAACTAGAAAGGGTATTTTGTATATAATTTTACCAATTTTCGCAAGCATAATAATACTAATTCAGAGGACCATTAGTATTCTCTAATTCCTCTATAGAAAATCTTAAATTTTTAATATTTTAAACACATGTCATATCTTTATAATTAATTAATGTGGGCCAAAATAAGAATTTGACGTTATGATGTACGTGTCAAGGGAGATAAATCAAGTCTGTGTGTGTTTTCTGCTGTTGCTAGACGTCACACAATATGCATGTGGCTTTTAGTATTCGTAATGCATATATATGAAAATCAATAAACGTCACAGAGGATTTGATGAAATTGAATCGCCGAACTAGTCCAAATTCCTTTCTCGATATCGCCTCACAAGAATTTCAATGGCATACACATGTCAAGAGAGATTTGAGGTAACTTGATGTAATTCCTGATCGTGGTAAATGTTATAATAGATGATGCACAACTGTCTATTAATAATAATATTGAAGTTATTTCAACCTTGTATGCGATTTGAAATTCCAAAGTCAAGTGATAACTGTACATTTATATAATAGACATGCCATTTAACAGACGAAAACATTTCTTATTGTTTTATATATGTAATATTTCACAAGAGATGAGAAGTGTAATTATTATTATTTTACTTGTGACATAATAGCTAAAAATGCACTTTTGCCGAAATATTTTTAGAATTTACAGAACATTAAGAAAGTTTTCAAAATACTACTTTTTCAAAGGGCAAATAAAATTTCTTCTTTTCTTTTCTCTTTTTAAGAGATATATCATTTATAATCTTTTGAAGAAACTGACGAGTAGATAATGACTTTTAAGATGATACATTTTCCTTTGTGAGGCTGAAGAAAATTACATTGTATGATAAAATCTCTTTTTTGTAATATCTGCTACTGTAATCGAAAGTATATTCTACAAATCCATTTTCTGCTGATCATCTAGATTAATTTAATTGCTATATATAATCGGATTTATTGTAATTTATATTTTATTTCTATGGATATTTATTTTTAAAATCAATTTCAAAATCATTAAAATATTTATAGTAATTTGAAACTTTCTTTTCTTTTTGAAAATAATAAGTGTGTGAGGCTTGAATTTATCCTTGTCATATTGATCTTTCTCTGCTATACAAAAAAAAGGCGCACATAACGAGGGTGCAGTTCTTCACCCCGTATGTATAGGTATCGTTATATCTCCAACGTGACTAGAACATAATTAAAACAGAAAAATAATTCTCGTTAGTGAACCGCTCAAGGCACTTGAGATTGAATTTCAAAATTTATTTCCTTATCTCCCACTGTCTCAAGTAAAGAACCTTCTTCTTTCTCTTTAAGTATATATATCTTTAGTGTATTTAAATTAGAGCCACACAAATAATTCTCTCGCTTCCGAGTCATTTGTGTATTATATCCATTCATTTTTCTTCTTTTTCAGGAAGAAAAAAAACATAGTCATTTGGAAAAAAAGGTTTTTCCGTTAATCAACTCTCTCTCTCTCACACACACACGCAGACAGCTTTTACTTTAAGAAGATTTGAATGGACGCATTATTTAAAATTACGTAATTCCATTTTCTCACTTCCTTCGCCCCTAATGGAACTTTTTATTTACGGTAACAACTAAACTTGGCTTTTCTATTCTCAAAATAAAAGAAAATAGAAATTCTAATTTATTTCTGAATTGTTATATACGTAACTATATCGATCCAGACACCTAATTCAGTAAACGATACAATTCTACCTTTGGGGAGAATTTTATTTCACTACTAAATATATTATCCAACGAACCATGAAATTCCAAAATCTGAAAACGAGTCCCGACATCGTTCCCTGGACATTAAAGTAGAGGTAATTGCAATCCGAATGGTTCGCTCTTGGCACCGATTCTGTATTTCTGCCTAAATTTTGCAAGCATCGTTTATTACATTTTTTAAGTTTTATATTCTCTCTTCTCGAGACTTATTCCAATTTATTCATATAAAATTATAAGCAAAAATTATTTTTGCTGACAGAAATCGAACCCTTAATTTTATATTGCCAATCTAGTATAGCCTAATCGCTGTACTATTATATCAAATGTGAAATATTTTTATCTTGTTTTTCACTATAAACGATATTTTTAAGTAATTGTATACCTTGTTTTCTCACTTCTCTTGAGAAAGTGATAATAAAGTTTCGAAAAAAAGAAAGTTTTATAGATACACAAAAATTTTTGTGAAGTTATAAATAAATACCCAATTTTTATAGAGTCTATTTCTTTTAATCTATATAGTGAAACTAAAGTATGTCATCATAGCTATATAATATGTTTCTAAATAGAATCTTAGGAAAACTCTTGGTTCACATTATATGGCTGGTGCATTAACCTCCTGGTTATTTTCGTAAAGATCTCGTGTCACGGAATGCAGACAGAGCCCTATATAAATGCAAACTCATCCTTAACACGGAGACTTATGTCGCATCAAAACAATTTTTTTTTTTTTTTTTTTTTTTAATTAAATATTTTTAATTTCATTCTACAAAAATATTTAATTTCCAAATTATGAATTTGAAGAAACGGACAATTTGAAATAGAATAGTTATAATAATGATAATAAAATGCGTCTATACGCATATAGTGAAATTAACTGAACGATAAATAAAATTTTTCCACATGCAGCGTGTGCACATTTTTTTCGAGTACATTTTTAAAATTGAAAAAAGTGGGCCATAATCCATGTCAAAAACCCTCTTCTACGATTCATTTTTATATCCTGTTTTTACTGCCTTTAACTGGGAGTATAAAATCGTTGGCAAAAGCTCATTTCGCTTTTTTTGTTCTCTTAATAGCTTTATCGAAATTTAAATTTACCTCTCGTTTGTTGTTTCGATAATGTAGAGATTTTGTATAGAGATAGAAAATAGCATACATTGTTCATGAGGACATTTAGAGACAGTTACGCGTATATAAGATAGCTATGGTGTGGTAAAATATATATATAGGTTCATAATTCAAAATCCATTAGCCGATGTCTATGTGGCCCCTAACGAACCCGCGGGTAATCAATTTCAGCAAAAGAGGGAGATATATATATAATTATTGGCTTTGGAGTCTAAAGTCACCTGATGGGAAACACCAAGAAGGAGTGAAAATCAGATTATTGACTTTCTCCATTGCCTTCACACCCATTCTATACCTTATTAATTAGTTGGTAAATCGGTTTCGAAATTGAGGCTTTTCTCAACTTTTCCTATAATGTGTCGCGCCTTTGTCAAAGAATATGAAATTAAAATAATTTTCCAGACTTTGGAAATCTTCCAAATTACATTTTTATACATGGGTTATATATAAAAAAAAAATCTATTTTAATAATTATATTTAAATTAGTATTTTAAACTTTATAAGTTTTCAATCCTATAAACTTTAATAATTCTAATAATTAAAAAGTGTTTTCTGAATTTTGAAAAGATTTTAGAAAGTTAAAAAGCGCGTCACATATGGTATATTATAGTCATTATATTGGGATATCAGAATTTAAAAAAAATGTTTCTAACACATTTTTTACAAAGTGTGCAAACAAATATTCTAAAACAAAAATTCGTGTGGTTTTTGATCGTTGTTAACTCTATTATCTCTTCTGTATATTTGTAATGTAAATATAGTGTTTATTGACAGATGCGACTGTATTTTTTCTCATTCAAAGCAGATAGTGAATTTAACCACGAATGCCCCTGAATCATAGCAATTTGCATAAAGGTTGTCTGCATACGTCTCCCATCATTCCCTTTGGACCTCTCTCTCACTCTCTTTCTATCTCTCTCTCTCTCTCTATCTAGTACTGTACATAGTCTATATTCTCTACTCTATATAGGTATACGAATTCTATGTAGATTGTGGAGATATACCTGACAGTGTCAGTCTATTATCAGGCTATGGGCATTCTGAGCCTTTAGTGAAATCACGTCTGTCTGATTCGGATTTCAAACCAAATTCGTGAATAGAACTTGATTTCCGTTCCAATCTCTTGCTGTATTCGTACAATCTCCATTTCCCATAAATATATATATATATACACACACACACAATTGGCGGCGAGTCTCTATAATTCATTATCATTTTCTTTTTTGTGAAATTTTTTATTATTAGTTTCAAACAGATGTCTTCATTTTCAAACAATATTTTTAAGCTCTTGTTATAAAATTTTAGCCCTTTTTTTTTTTTTTTGTTTTTATTTTAGGAAATTTTAGAAATTTTATACGTAATTTGTAAGGAAAAACTTTTTTAGTATAATTGTTTTTAAAAGGAAGAATTTTGTTATTATTTTATTTTCTTATAAGTAAATAGAAATTCCAACAAGTGTGTAGGGAGGTAACATATATGCAGAGAGAATATTTGTGTTGAACTCTATATGGACAAAAGGTGCCGAGAGCAATATTGCCTTTCATAGCGATTTATTGTCTCGTTGGCTGTCCATCCGAGTAAATAATGAATGAACAACAGTGAAAAGGGAATCGGCATCGAATGCACAATTCAATACAGTTTTCATAAAGAGAGAAAGAAATTTCTCGCACGTATATATATATATATATATATATATATATAATATGTGTTTTGTACCTTGCGGTTATCGAGTGGATTAATTATTAAATATTCCACGTTATTCACAAACTTTTATTGGATACGTAATTAATTACAATTTCCATATATATCAATCATTTTTATTCCTGATAGAATATTTATTTATTTTTGAATTTAATTTTAACTTTAATTAACTTTTGTAATTGTTATCAAAATATTTTTTAATTTTAGAAAAAATGTTATTAAAATACATTTTTTAAACATATTTAATTGAATAAAATGGAAGTTTTTTAAAAATATTTTATAAATTAATTATTATTTCTCTAATTCAAATTAGTTACATAGTCACGTGACGCGAAGACAGCGCTCCTAGTGTTCACTATAGGTAATATTAAACGACGCGTATAAGAAATTATACAATTATAAATTGAACAAGTCAATTTTAGGTTAAGGGATTTAATCAAGAAATTGTAGATTATGTTTATGATAAGATAAAACTATCATAAACATAACCTATAATTTTTTAAGTCCGCCTTTTCTTCAGAACGTGTAACATATTTTTTAATTAAAACAATGATTTAATAGTTAAATTTTTTTTTAATTAATTAAAAGTTTTTAATTTTTTTTAAATAAAATTTGATATGTATTTGAATTTTTAAAGAAATTTTTTTTTTTTTTGCAGAAGTTGAGGAAAGATCGGGAGGAAAAGCGCGTGGCGGTAAGCTTGCGCGTCGGGCTCGTTCCTTCAAAGAGGACTTCCTGGAGAAATTGTCACAGATGCGTTCTCCAGGTGGTAGTACTGGAGGCGGTGGTAGTGCAGCCGGTACAAGGGCAGCCTCACCCTCATCACCTCGCACACCTCGTGACAAGACTGTAGCCACTGAGAATCAGGACAAAAATCCTCTTCGTGATCTTCATATACATGTTCGTCAGGTACAGTTGGCCCTTTTGCACTTTCGCGATGTCGTGTCGAAAAACAAGCTCGAGATGCTTCCGGGAAACGGTACCATCGTCCTGGATACTGTCACGACAATACACACTGTACTCAAGTCTTACCTCCTCTCCGAGAACAGGTATTTTTTATTTTCTCTTAATATAATATAATTTTTTTTTCTCTTTAAAAGAATTTTTTTTTTATTAATTATTGTAATGTTTTATTGATTTTTATTTGTATAATTTTTTATTTTCAATTTTTTTGGAATTATTTTTAGCTCGACATTGGGCTCGGCCACGAATCAAGTGTATCAAGCACTGGCACAATTGCTAAAACTTTGCGATGATGTGTTACTACATGGAGATCAATCTTCAGCGCTCGACACGGAGAATGTCAACCATGTTATTGGTTTAGTGGAGGATGCTGTTAAAAATCTCGTTACATTGGCACAAGAGAAAATTTCCAGTCGACAGAAACCTCCACCAGTTGCTGGGAACAATAATAGGTAAATTACGTTAAAAAAAAAAACAAGAAAATCAAATTTTACTTTTTGAATTTTGTACAATGCTGAAGTTACGATTTTTAAAGATATTTATTGATAAAAAAAAAATTATAAATAACATTTTTTTTTAGATAAAAAATTCTATGTGGTATTTTTAACTTTTTTTTTATATATATGAGTTAAATAATTATTTTGAATTTCTTTCTCATCAGAACGTCGGGATACAGTTCGGAATTGACAGCGCAACGGAATTCTTTACCTGACATTCCACTGACACCAAGGGAACGACAAATTTTGGAACAGGCAGCAACAACCAGCAGCTTAGTTCGTAGTTCACACAGTTCTGAATCAATCCTTAGAGATTCGAGTCCACCCCCGAAACCACCTCTTCCTGATAGGTAAAAATTCACTTTTTTTAAAAATATTAAACTAATAAAATTGAATTGTTTTTTTTTTTTTTAATATTTATTAATTAATTTTTTGTAGAACAATATGCGTGTCGGATGAAAACAGTTCTTCGGGAACACCGCCACCTTTGCCACCGAAAAGAAGAACACGAACTGAACAATTAATTGATGAAACTGATGGTCTATTGACAACTAGTCTCGATAGGGTTTCATTACGCAGTAGATCACCAGAGGATTCGTCGTCACTTCTCAGTGCATCGGCTGGAAGTTTAGATTCGGCATTAAATCATTCGCGTGATGAGGATGAAATCCGTGCAATTATGGGACCAAACGATGAGTCTCTTAATGATAGTATGGATCTTAGTTTAATGGCGACAATTCAAGGTAAGTGTATATTTAATTCTTCAATTTTTCTTTATTACTCTCAATATTTTATATAATCGAATACATTTTTCCATTAAAATCCATAATTAAAATATTTAATAATATCCATTTAATATCGTTACAAAAAGTGATTCAATTAATTTTAATTTATGAAAGTTAAGTTACCACTTTTCAAATTATTTATTATTTTTTCTATCGAACCTTTCTTGGAAATATTTTTCGGTTTTATTTATCCCAAAATCCATATTTATTAATATCTTATAATTTTTCTCATTTTCGGTTTCCTTATTTCCTCAAATTCATGTTCTCTTTTTGATATAAACGAAATAACAATTATTTAGTTTTATTCTTTTTATTTTTCTTTTAAAAAAAATATAAATTTTTTATGAGCACTAATTTTTATTTATTTTTTTTTTTTACTGTTGTTTCACACACAAAATTTTAATTTAATCATGAAAACTTGCTTCATTTTCGCGTGGGTTTCATTGTGCAATGTCGTCACTTTAAATTTTAATACGGGGAAATAATTTCTGGCGACATTATTTTGCTTGTTGTCCGACGATCGTATACAAAAAAAAACCTTGCCATATGCGTGAACGAAGGATATATACAACTAAAAAGGATTAGTCAGCGCGACAGTCTGACCCTCGTCTCTTGTTGCTCAAGTAGCCAGTTGAATCTTAAACGTTCTATGATCGAGACTAAACTCCTGATAGAACTATTCACTCTCTTTCTCTAAAAATAAAATAAAAAAAAAAAAATTTTTCAAAATTTTTAATATTCATTGAATAACAAAGTGATTAAATAGGATCTAAAACCAAAAAATGAATTCTCATAATACAATTTTTCCAAGAAAAAACATCCTTTTCAACTTGGGAAATGGTAAATTTATATTTACGTTTTCTTTTTTTTTTTGAGTTAAAAAATTAATTAATTGAAATTTAAACTAAAAACATATTAAATTATTAAATTTAATGAATTGAATTATTATTCAATTATTTATTAAATTAATAAACAATAAACATTAAAAATTGTATTAGTAAAAACGTGAAAATTTCTTGAATTTATTTTTTATAATTATTTTTAGAATTAATTATTAAAAATTATTAAAACCGGTTTTTTTTTTGAGAAAATTATAATTTTATAAGTACTTTTGTTTAATAATTGTGGTTTAAGTTTAATGGATTTGTTTTTGAGTTGTCGGGTAGTCCCTCAAATTGAGCTTGAATTGTTTAGGGATGCAAGTTAATGGAACGTCACATTGCGGTTGTTGGGAAGGTTCGGAAACAAGTTTATCAAACACTATGTTGCTAGGTCAGCAAACTTCACAAGATATTCTCGGTCCCTTTGCCGGTATGTAATTTATTTTATGCATGATGATGAATTTTTTAATTACCTCCCATCCATTCCTCTATTATTATTTTTTCGTTTGCTTCTTTTTTTCTTAACACTTTTTGAAAAAGTAACTAATATAAATCGAAATTAAATAATATTAAACTAATGAAATTTAAATTATAGTATTTTAATTCATAATTATGTATATAAATAAACTGAGGAAAGTTGTTTTTTATTTTAATTTTTAGCGACAGAAATTTTAAACATGATTGCGTTTTTCTTTTTTTTTTACTTTTGTTGCACGAATTGAAGCAAAAATGGAACGACTATCGACACAAACACAAGAATCTGGTTTTGTATCGTTACATTCACAAAGAAGTTCTTCTCAAATTTACACCACTTCGAGTATGGCTTCGAAAAGATCTTCGCAGCAAAGTAGTATCAGTTACAATTCACAGTCATTTAGCTCGCAGCAACAACAGCAGCAGCAGTCGTCGTTTTCACAGCAAAAGCTTACTACCACCGATAATAACGGCACAGTTTACTCGCAGAAAACGATAACCAGCTCGAAAAGTTCAGTCAGCACGACAAACATAACAAGCACCGGAGATCCGGCTCTATTGGAAAAACTGGTAAATGTGGGTGTTGAGTGTGCATTTTTTTCCTTTTACCTTTTCTTCTTTTTTTTCACTATCATTTATTGTTGAAATTTATTTTATTTAAAAATTGTCTCTTTATTTACTTTTTTTAAAAATATTTTATAAAAATTTTTATTTCTGTTTTATTAATATTATTTTCATTAATCCTATTAATGATGTTTTTTTAAAAGAATGTATTGCATGAATATTTGTGATTTTTTCTGTATCTATAAATTATTATTGAATATTAATAATATATATTTAATAATAATTTAATATAATTAATTTAAAATTGAATACATAATATTTATTGAATTTTGTAGGAAATTGAGGATTGTTTAGCGGCGGACGCAAATGGTGTTCCACCGGCGCTTCCGGAAAAACGTTCGAAACGCAGAAAAGAGAGACATCCCTCGCAATATGACAATGTACCCGAAAATGAACACTTGTCAACTTGCAGTTTATACAGCAATGGCGATAACTATGATTCCAGTAAACCACCACCATTACCAATTAAAAAACGACACAGTAAGTTTGCTTTTAATATTATTAATATTATTATTAACAAAAATAATAATAATCGCTTAAATAATCGCTGCTTTTATTCTGGAACCAAGTTTTCTGTAAATAAAAAATTAAGTTTGAAACTTTTTCTACAGATAATTTTGTGAAAAATTAAAAATTAAAAGAAAATTAAATTCACAAATTTATTTATCTCTTATTCAAATTTCTACTTCACAAGAAATTTTATTTTACAACAAATTAAATATTTGATAAATAATAAGTAAAATATTAAATAAAAATAAAAAGTAAATCTATAGTGTAATAAATTTTTAAAACAATAAAAAGTTTCAAACTGCATTAAAATAATAATAAAAAAAAAAAAATCGAGCTCGAAATCTGTGAGTTGAAAAAAAAATTTCCAAGTGACGAAATTTGTCACTCGATTTCTTTTTCTTGATGTATTTTATATTAGAAACGACAAAACTAGAACGATGAAAAGTAGGTCATTTGTTGAAACTGACAAAAAAATGTTTTGTATCCCCCAGTGTTCCAATCTGTGGCTTATTCTGGTAAGTGGGATAATCCCACTAAAGTCAATTTTGCTCAGCACTCATATTCTCTCATGCTAAGCTTTTTGCGGCATGTTTACTCATTTTCTTTTCTTTTTGATTTTTTTTATTTCTCTTACATTTCTTTTTTAGCACTGCAAGAACGACTTCGCTACAATTATTATTATTTTTATTGTTATTATTCGTACACGTTATTTCATTAATACGCTCAGCTTTTTTGCTTATTCGCTGAATCATCAACTGATACTTTTAAACAGATTATGTTTTGTAGTTTGTCATAATTTTTTTTAAACTGAATTTTATTTATTTTTTACGTATCTTATTCAATTACATTTGAGATTTCACTATTTCTTCGTAAATTAATGTTTGAATTTTTTTTTTTTAATTTATATTTCTTACATAATTGAATGTTTAATTATTTGTTTGACTTTTGGAAATTTTTTTATCTTTATAAAAAAAAATTTAACTTTTTAAAAATAAATGAAGGATAAAAATAAAAAATTTATTTTAAAATTTTTATTGAAAAAATGTTTTTATCTTTTCTTCTTCTTTAATCTGTTTTAAAAAATGAAGATATGAAATCAGTTATCGGCTACGTGTTCTCTTAGTCATTTCAATTAGATTTCATTGTCATTAAAAGTGTTAAACATTAAAGAAAAAAAAAAAAGAAATTAAATCTGTCTTTGCTCGTTTTTTTCTTTCTTTAATTCTCTCTGCAATAAATGTGTCTATATATTTTTTATTTACATCACCAGCATAACAATTGTTTTTAAATTAAATTACAAACAATTCGAAATAATAAAGAATTAATTTTTTGCAAATATTTATAATTGTGAATCCTTTCAGTTATGGCGTACATGGAAATGTTTGGAAACATTTCAAGTAACAACGATTTTATTTCGGATTTGGAAACGAGACACTCGATGGCAGCTTACAATTCAATGCAAGCTGAATGGCAGCAGCAAGAAATGTCTCTTACAACGACGCAATCTTGTTCTTTTATGACCCATACGTTGACAAGTTTGCACGACAGTTCGAGGTGAGAGTCTTTATTTTACATTTTAATAATAATAATAAATGTTGATTATTTTATTCGTGAAGAGGAATTTTTTAAAAGTAAATAAACAATTAATTGTCTCTTTTTTTTCTCTTGAACAGCATTTCAATCAACACGACACCATCGATAAAGGAAGTCGTGACCAATTCTAGTCTGCCTCCAGCATTACCGCCAAAGAGATCTCGTTCTATGAAATCAAACGTTACCCCACCTCCAATTTCACCGAAACCAACTGTCAGCATGCAAAGTATACACAAACCGGAGACAATTTCGACATCGAGTCCACTTAAGATTGAAGATTCCAAATGTATCGCGGAATCTAAATCTGTTACACCTTTAACTCCTGTTTCGTTGGTGAGTTTTTTAAACCAAATTTGCATTTGATGAAATTTTCATTTAACTGAACTTAAATTTGGCCAAATTTTTATTTAACGGAATTTTGTTTTAAAAGAATTTTGTATTCAACCAAATTTACATTTAACAGAATATTATGTTTTTTTTATCAGTTTTTAATATAATTTGATAATTCTGTTAATTTTTAGTCTGGAAATAATGAAATTTTGAAATATAAAATTTGTAGAAATCATGAAAAATATTGTTTTTGAAATAGTTTAAATTTTAGAAAGTAATTTCGTTTTCACTATTTTATATTCTTGACTTTTAATACTTTTTTTTTCTCTATTTAGAACAACAATTTACATGCAGACAATCCATCGAGACCAGTAAGCGATGCACTCTCGAATATATCTGTCGATGAAAATACACTTGAATTACACGACGTGGACCAGGATGATAGTATTTTAGATGAGTTGGAGATAAATAATTGTCTTGTATTCAAAAAGCCAGAAGAAGATGGTCCAGATATTCGTGGTGGACTTCCGGATGCTTTGCTAATTCACGCCACCAAAGCAAACAAACACGGTAATTTTTTTTTTAATTTCTATTTTCTCAATGTTACCCAAATATTTAAATTATTATTCAATCAAATTTCATTGACAAATTTTAATAATGTACTTTTGTAATTTTTGTACATCAGACGAGAAGGAATCAGGTTGGTTTATTAAACGGAAAATTTATCCGAAAAATTCGTTAATAATTTAGATTTGAGAATTTTTTATTTTGAGTTAAAGAATAAAAAAAAATTTTAATTACAAGTTGTGATTGAGGAAAAGATATTTTCATTGAAAAGGATGAATTTTTGCAGATTTCTTGTACCAAGAAGCATTTTTAACGACGTATAGGACTTTTATGTTGCCTCTGGATCTAATTAAAAAGTTACATAGGCGACATCAACGTTTTTCCTGTTCTCCGGATGTTGCAAAGCAACGAGCTGCGAGGGAGGCTTTCTCTCTCCTAGTTAGAGTCGTTAGCGATTTAACGTGAGTTTTTTAAAAAATCATTTTCTCCTTAACAGCTCTACAATATTTATGAATTAAAATTTTTTTCATTTTAATTTTTTTCTTATTAAATAATCAATTAAAAAATTAAAAATAAATTTTTCAGAATCTATGATCTCGATGATAAACTTTTACAAACCCTAATGGAATTTGTCCAACAATTGGTATGCAGAGGTGATTTAACAATGGCAAAAGCATTGCGTGTGAAAATATTGGAAAAACACACGGCAAAGAAAATGCAAACTACACAACCAATTCTCTCATCGTTAAGTGTCACGACAAAGCAAGCATCATTATTGGATTTTAAAAGTGAACAAATTGCCGAGCAAATGACACTTCTTGATGCTGATCTTTTTATGAAAATTGAAATTCCCGAAGTATTAATATGGGCACAAGATCAAAATGAAGAGAGAAGTCCAAATCTCACACGTTTCACAGAACATTTCAATAAAATGTCCTACTGGGCAAGATCGAGAATATTGGAACATCGTCTTGAAAATGAAGCTAAAGATCGTGAAAAATATGTTGTGAAATTTATCAAAATAATGAAACATTTAAGGAAGATTAATAATTTTAATAGTTATCTTGCATTACTATCGGCATTGGATAGTGCACCAATTAGACGACTCGAATGGCAAAAACACATTACCGAAGGATTAAAAGAATATTGCGCATTAATCGATAGTTCCAGTAGTTTTCGTGCGTATAGAAATGCATTGTCGGAAACACAACCTCCCTGCATTCCTTACATGTAAGAATTTTTTTTCTTCTTTTAATTAATAACCAATTCTTTTTTTTTTTTGAGAAAAATTCAATTAATTACAATTCGAATATTATTAATTAAATTGTCCGCTTTTTAGTGGTCTTGTCCTTCAGGACTTGACATTCGTTCACATTGGGAACAACGATTTGTTGCCTGATGGCTCTATTAATTTTTCCAAACGATGGCAACAATTCAATCTTGTTGAAAATATGAAGAGGTTTAAAAAGTGGTAAATTTTTTTTTATTATCCATAATTTATTTTTCTATCTTGTTTTTTAAAAAAATCGCTTTTTTAAAATATTTTTCTTCGTAATTTATTTAAAAAATAAAAGATTAATGAATTTTTCTTCTACATAGCACGTATCACTTTAAAAAGAATGAGCGCATCATTGCGTTTTTCAACAACTTCAGTGATTTCCTCTGCGAGGATGCAATGTGGCAAATATCTGAGAGCATCAAACCCCGAGGCGGAAAGAAATCATAATTTTCGAAAGAAAAACAAACAACAAATTCTCTTCTTTAAAGCAAAAGAAACCATGAAAGCGGACAAAGAATGTTCTTTAAAGGTATTATTTTTTTTTCTTTATTATTTTTATTATATTATTTAAAAAGCAAACAAAATCGATTTGTTTATCGATCGACAAATACAAAAAGTCGGAATCTTAGTTCCGAATTCGATTATTTAACCGACCTCTATGAGGTTGAATTTTAACTTCAGGTTTTTCGTAAAAAAAATATATATATATATATACATATATAAAATACGTGGAGAGAAACCTGAAAAGCATATTAGAAAAACGCCAAATACGATCTCGCGCTCTTCGTTAGCCTTTGATCTATGCTTTAGCATAGTAAAATATTAATGTTTTGCTTTAAAAAAAAAGTAATAATCTCGAACGCTAAAAGACGTATCGAGCAAAAATGCTTTAAAGAATAATTGTAATTATAAATGAGTAGATGACTAACACAAAACCCCAAAACTTTAAAAATTCTACTCTACGAGTAAACTATCTATTATTTATTTATTCAATTATTATTATTATTAATATTATTAGTAATATTATTATTACTATTATTATCATCACTATTATTATTATTTTCGCAACTAACGTGTAAGATACAAAAAAGTAGGCATTTTTACTTTTGATTATATATATAGATTAAAATTCGTTGTCTAGGTTTACGTAGATAGAAAAGCGTTTAAATGGTCAACAATTCACTTGTTGATTATACAAGGAAGAACACCAATTACGTTGATTAAAATGTAGAGCCATTGTTGTTCCGCATTGTCGTTCTTATAAGAATACGTGATTCGGAACGCGTGGTATGACTGAGAGCAAAAAAATAAAAATTAAAAAAAAAAAAGAAAAAAAAACTACTGTTGCATATACTATTGTATATGATTATATAGAAAACATTTTGTTGCAAAACTTGTTAATAGTTATTCAAGCTTTTAGCTTTAAATCAAGCCGCTATTTAGGTAATTAGAAAACTAACGTGAAAACAAAATTATTCTTAAGATTTCCAATTATTTATAGAGATTCTCTTTTTTTTTTAAATAAAGTTGACTGACAAAAGTTTACGCTGATAATTTTTTAAAATTAAACATTTATCTAAATTCACATTTTCTTTAGTTATTTAAATAAATTCTCCTGTTGTAAGTTTTTGATCTAGAAAAAATGGAAAATTTTAAAAGAAGTAACCGAAAAATACATTTTTTTTGTTAAGTGCCAAGAAAGAGTGCTAGAAATTAAAATTAAATTTTATATATAATTCGTGTGATATTGAAGAAAAGTAATTAAAAAAATTTGAGAGAAATAAAAATTAAGGGAGATAAAGTTTTCAGCGTTAACTTTTAGCAGAAACTTAAGCAAAAAAAAAAAGAACCCCGTTTATGGTGTCTCGAAAAATTAGATTTTTTTTTTTCTCTATATAGTTTTCAATTTCAATTCCCACAAATAAATATAAATTTTTCCTTCATTACATTTTTCTACACTTACAAATAGGATCTTCCGAAAACAAAAAAAAGAGAGAAAAAAAATGAATTCAACGCGGTAATTCATTAGTCAATTAATCGAGAGTATAGTTGAAAAAAATGTGTAGGATCTTGTTTAGAAATTTTCACAAGCTTAAAAGAGAAAAAATGAAATTTAAAACATACATAGAATAAAATGCCTAAATGAAATGATCACACAGTCCATTGAAATTTTTAGTAATGATTGATTTTTTATATTTATAATCAATTCCTAATTTTTTCATTTCGCTTTGTAAATAACGGTTTTGTATTTAATTATACTATCTGGTAATTTTTTATTTGTAGATAAGTCATTACTTAAACAATGAAAAGAAATTAATTTTTTTTTGACAATTTTGATTAAATTAAATATTAAAAAAAAGACATTTATATAAAGTTAAATCACTAGAAAATTGGTAAAATATTTATTGGTATAAAGTTGAAGAGAAAAATAATTTAAGTTTTGTAAAATAAAAAATTAATCGAAAATTGAATTAAAAAGTCAACAGGAACAATTTATATCTTGTTCATTATTAAATAATTGTGACAAAATATAATTTTTATAAATATTTTTCTATATAGCAAATTAAATTTCAGAAAATTATCAATTATTTTTTTCTTAAAAATTCGCAAAAAAAAAAAAAAAAAAATTATAATAAATTAATAATAAATTTGCTAATAATTGTTAAACGTAATTTTTTTCTAATAATATTTTTTTATTAAACACACTTTTCGATAAAAATCAAATTGAGGGAGAAATTTTAATTTCTATAAACAATAAATAATTAATAAAAAAAAACTTAATAAGAATTACCAATAATTGATTATAGTTAATTTTTGATAAATAATTAATAAATTTGTCAAATTTGACAAAAACTATGTTTTGTAAAAATAAAAATTTGTATAGAATTAATTTATATAGATTTTTGAATTAAATGAATTGATTTTTCAAAAAAATCATGATTTAAGCTGAATTTTTATAGAATTTACGAATTTATTTTTTCGATTATTAAAGTAAATTATTTGATTGAATAACTTTTTTTTGAGAATGGACGAGTTGAACGAATGAGTTTTTTTCGATTCGGTAGTCAGTTAATTGTATAAATAATTCTAATATTTAATTTTGAGTCGTCGAAAGAATACTGTATTTAAAAACTACTTGTAAATAACGAATCGATACGAACTTGTTTCATGTGCTGCGCTAACAGCGTCTATATTATATAATAATGATAGGTATATAATATATATATATACATATTACACTTGTTCTTTCATCGTTACATCCATGACATATATAAAAAAAAAGAAAATTGTAATTTCTATATTAAGCGGACATTCTCTTTGTGATGCCATTATTTTCTATAATATTAGTCACGCGCTCTCATTATTTAAATATTTATTTTACGATTAAAATCAAAGAACTCGGGAAATTTTTTAATTATTTTACATTTTGGTTCTTTTTATTTTCGTCTTTTGACCTTAAATGCATTTTTTTATTTTTAAAGATGTTGATATTTTTTACTTTTAACGTAATTTATACTTTTTTATATATTTAATTTTAAAGGATAGTTTTTTTTTTATTTAACATAATTTTCAGTTTTGATTTAAATTTTTTTTAAAAATTATTTATACTTTTTTAACGAATGTAATCCATTGTGGATTTTTTTCGAAATTTAATATATATTCGATCCGTTGACAAAATCTCAATCTGAAAAATCCTTTGGAAGATTTTTAAAAAAGTTTTCATTTTTAATAATTTGAAAGATTTTTAAACCAAATATTTAAAAATTAAATTGAATTAAAAAACTGTTTATTTTACAAAAAATTAGTATTTTAGTTGTTACTGATTTTAACAAATAATGTTGAGATTAGGTCAATGGTTTCGAATTTTTTTTTATTTACTTTGAATGTTACTGATAATTTTTTGACCATTTGAATGAAAAAAAAACTATTTTATACTTTTAATTAATAACAAATTCCAATGTAGAGTTAAAGAGAAAAAAAAGATAGTCCTATGTAATCTCGAACTTGGAAACTCTTTCCAATTTGGAGAGCCGAGCGAGACGAAAACAACCAGTGAATGTGCAACGAAAAACTTAGACTTGATTTTACCGATTAGCTAGGAAATCATTATTAAGATATTAAGAAAGTAAAGACATTGTGATTGATAAACACGTATATCATATAATAATATACTTTTGATTATTGAGTATTTTCATGAAGGTTCAAACTGTAACTCAATGTTTTTCTATAATCTACCACTCGATATGAATGCTTAAAAAAAAAATTAACATTATCGATATTATATAGACACTGCGTTTGTATTTTGCTGTAGACTTTGGCCAATTAACACATATGCACATTAATTATTAATAATATTATATAATAGCTTTCCACTCGTGCTGCACAATCTGTCTCCAAAGCGAGAGATATTTGTAGCTTTATAGATTCAAAATAGTTGAATTTGCTTTAAGAGTCTCTTTAAATCAGAAACAACAAACACTCTTTTAAAAAGTACCAATTTCGATTTTTTATTCGAATTGCAATTCTATAATTTTTTACAGAACAGTCTATTCGTCCAAAGATTCGCTTTTTGTCAATATATAAAAATTTTCAAATTAATTCAATTTTCAAATTTATTTGAAAATTAAAGATATTAACAATTTCTCTAATTTATAAATTGATATTATTATTTTTTTTTTTAATTTAATTTGTAGAAAAAATATATTAGATAATTATACGATATATAAATTATTTAATATTTATAATTTTCGAATTATATATAATGAAAATTGAAAAAGTTGAAAAAAATTTGTTTTTTAATATTCATTTGTATTGAAGGAAAAAGCGTTTCTCGATGGATTCTAATTTTTCATTTTTAGAAAGCACCAAGATTTTGCTCAATCGTCTCAATAACTATACAGATTAGTATTTTACACTTGAAAAAACAATTGTAGAAAAATAACATATCGTATCCTAGACTCTTTAAATGAATCGAATATTGATTTTAACGACTGTTTCTCTCATGTGAGTGTTATAAAAAAAATTCTTTCTGAGGATTATTTATGTCAGTTTTTTTTAAAAATAATTATATTTTTTATATATTAAAATTTTCTTTTAGAAGTGTTTCTTAAATATTTTAAAAGTAGATTTAATGTATTTTTAAAATACTTTGGAAATATTTTATTATAATATAATGTTATAAAAAAAAAATCTATCCTCAGTAAAGAAAGACTCGTTTTTTGTTTCTATAAATACGCAGCACTTTCGTGATAAACTTTTTTATTCCCCCCCCCCCCGCCTCCCCCCGTTCAAAATTCGTCAGTCTTCACTCGTGCACCTGTAATGAAAAAATATTTATTAACAAAAAAAAAGAAATAATAATAATAATCGGTTCTCTAAACGAGCGAGCTCACTAGGCTGTGAATGATGATGGCATAGTCAAGACCAAGCATTTATCAGTGGCTGGTCATCCGGTTTTTCGGACGTGAAACATTTGTGTAAGCTTTTTCAAAAAAAAAAAATTCTCGAGCCATAATCCATCATATAGATTAAAGAATCAAATAACTCTCGCTGAAATCAGTGTAACTGTTAATAGTGGACGAAATAATAATAATAAAAAAAAGTATTGCTGTAATTTCTAAGGGAAAACCAATTTACCATCAGCCTGTAATGAATACGATAAATGTTTTATGATAAAAAAAAAATCTTTCCTTGGATATATAACAAATATGTGTCTAAGCTTAAGGTAAATCAATAGCAGTAGAATATTAATTAGAAGATGTCCGTGCACACTTCATCTTAACAATTAATGCTGAAACGGGTGCTACAGTAGAGCTATATAAGATTAAAAAAAAAAAAAAAAAAATTTTCAAAACAAACTAAGCAATTTATAATTACTACTAATCTTTGAGCAGAGATATACATATCCATTTACACAATTTTTTCGTAATTCATTCCTGGGAGAAGGTCGAGAATTTTATTGTCTAAAGAATTATTATTTCGTTAACAAATTAATTTTCATTTTGTTAATAAATTACTGACAGTAATTACTGACAGACTAACGTTTAGAATTTAAATTATTCTCTTCAAATCTTTTTTTTTTCTATTAACATTTTTTATTTTAGAAAAATGTTCATTTCGTAAAAATCTTATTGAGTTCAGGTATATATATAATTGTTGATAATTGATGTGAATTTACTTTTACTTTTGGATAATATTAGAAATTTTCTTTTATTAATTTTTATTAATGAATATTTATTTTTATAATATAATAATGAAAATGAATTTTTTTTTAAAATTATAAATTCATCTCTAATTTTAAAGGGGAAAAAAATCAATTCATAAAATCACTTTCGGGACCAAACTATACTATTTTGTCATTATTATCTTAAAATCTTCAATTAAAAATCATTAAATGATTTTACTCTATTAAAAACAGTAAATTTATGTTTTGAAAAGAAATATAATATTAATTATAAATATTTCTGGTATTTTCCAAACAAAACAAATTACATCAATTTTCTTCAAATTTTACACGTACATTATAAAAAGAGTCTTAAAAAATTTATTTCTCAAAAAAAATTTGTTTATTTTTTTTTTTTTTTTGTAATTTTAATTAAATTTTCATTAATCATTAGTTGAATTTTACAAAATAATACAAATAAAATCAGATTAGCTCAGTAATGATTATAATTAATAAAAAAGAAATATAAATACACCAGAGAAATAACATACAATTCATTAAAAGCATATCAGTGGTATAAGTGAAGTAAAAACTAATATATTTAGACGTCCGAATATTTTCTTTTTACACGATAATTAAAAAAAAAAGCAATAAAGATCCAAAAAAAAATAAGGGAGTAAACCCCCGGATTAAATAGTTTCTTAGCAATTAAATTAATTAATAGATGACATCGATAATATGATACATAATATGGATTGGAATACAAACGTTGCGTTGGCATGAGTTGGTTGTGAATTTTCATGATTTGCTGTCAAGCTTTCGATACTAATTAATTTATGCACATATGCGTACATATAAATATTATAATTATTAATATATATGTATAAAAATACAATTTGACACAAGTATTTTAAAAAAAATATATATATATTATATATATAAAATTGCGACCCGATGGATGCGATTTTTGTGTTGTCGCGATGTTACAAAAAATAATAATGTACAATTTCTTGCAAATAATTATATTTTTTTGTTCATATATCTTGTGGGGAAATTCGAGGTATGTATTTATAATACATACGATGTTTGAATGAGACGTTATTTCTTTCATTTTGTAACGAATATACGAGGGAAATAAATATTGTGTGAATTTAAATGACTTATAATTTAATACTAAGTTGTTTAAAAAAATTATTTTGTGTTATATTCTTTTGAAAATGAACCCTGGATTTATATAATTATTTATTCTGTATTTCATATTTCTATTGTTAAACTATTTTTACATTAATATTCATGTTTCAAACTAATTTAAAAAATTTTTATTAAAAATAATATTCAAAATTCAAATATTTAAAAATGAATGCGCTCATTGGTTATTTTCAAATTTGCGTGGAAATTAACGGCCAATGAGCGTGACTGTTGAAAATGCACTTTTAACTTTTGTGGCGCCATCTATATGGATTTGTGGACAAATTTATAGAATTTTGTGTGTTTCAATACTTTGAAGATAGCTGCAATTGTTACTAACAATTTTTTTTTTTAACTTTAATTTTCAAGAGAATATAATATAAAATTTATGTGAAAATTGTTTATAATAATTAACTGTTATCTATTAGGATAAAATGTTTATTATTTTTCCCGCTTTATTGAATTTATTTTCTTAAGATTGGTACTCCTGATGTTTGACAGCAATCGCCATGCCTGAAATTGTAAATAAAATTGTTTATTTGGTTACGAGAATCACAAAATTAAAGGGATGTACGTGTCTTTAATAATTCAAGAATTAGAATATTTCTAAACGCGTGTGGTGAAGTGACAAAAAAATTGTGATGATAATGAAAAACTCGTGAAATATTTTTTTCATTTATTTTCATTATCGAAATAAGTTTCTTTCCCACGTATCTGTGAATTGTTTTCTGTTTTGAAAATAAAGATGACGACGTTAAAAGGCATTTTTCCTGATCCTAGTAAGTATTCGACACAATTTATTCATATTTATCTTTCAATAAATAAACATTTATAGTACAGTTTATGATAGAATTTTTTTTAATTGTTAAGGTTATGTTATTCACAACAATTATTGTTTTTATTATTTGAGTAGCGAAAAAAAATTTTGAATTAAGAAAATTATTTTTCTTTTTGCAGAACCAACGAGGAGAAAAAATTTTATACACGAAAATGTAAAGAGTCTACGTAAAATGGAACAGTATTTTCATAATAAAAATATAGAAGATTTAAAAAATTTTCATATTCATAAACAACAGAAAGTTCTGAATAAACATCAAAATGTCACTTCAAAAATAAATGGTGGCTCTTTTAAATTGGGCGATGTGACAGTAAATAAATCGTGTTCAAATTTACAAGAAGGAATAAGTAAAACAGAAAAATTTTCAAATTCCTGTAAAAAATTAAATGATACTAATGTTTATTGCAAGGAGGGTTTGTATACAAAAAAAACTAAAGTACCCGAAAGGTATAATTCGTTGCCAAAAGAAATTGGTAGATATCGTCCAATTCCAAAAGTTGCTGTTAGACAAAATAAAATTAAACCCATTGCAAATATTGTACAAACACAATTTGAAGATAGTGAATTGAAAAAAACTGATGTAAAACTCAAAAATCAGGGTGTTCAAACAATGAATGATGATCAATTGGATAATTTGTATATTGAAGGAACAATAAGGTATTTAATTTTTAAAAAATACAGATATAATTGCGTTAATATAATTTTACAGAATATTAAATTTTTGTTTTTGAAAAATTTTGAAGGTACGCAACAAAGAGAGATTCAAAAATAAATGAAGAAAAACAAACGATTACTACCTCTGATAGTGGAGATTATAAATCACCTATAAAAAATGAAAACACTAAAATAGATTTTATTAAATTAAATAAAGAACGAACAGCTGCTGGCAATAAAGTGAATACAGCGATCAATAATGTTGTTCCGCCTTCGAGTTATCGTAAAGGAGTTGTTCCCAAGTAAAAATTAATTTTGATTTTTAATTAGAAAGAATTTTCTTAGATTTCTAAAAAAAAAATCACACATACATTTTTCTAGGTATATTCAAGAAAGAAAAGAAGCTTTGAAAAAAGAAGAACAGGCAAAAATTGAAGCAGCAATTCCATCAGATTGTCCACCAGGACATATTCCAATTCCCGATGATGAACGAAAGGAATCATTACATATGTTAAAAAAAAGTAATTATAAATTAATTTTTATTAGTTAAGTTTCTAATAATTTCCATAATTTATTTTTATTTTTTTCCAGGATATGAAAAGTATGTGACTGAATTAAATAAATTGCCAATAAGAAATGATACTTTACGAGCTCAAAGGAAAAAAATAGAAATTGAAAGGGAATTAATGAAACTTGAAGAGGGTATTAAAGTATTTTCAAGACCAAAAGTTTTTATACAAGTTGATGCGTAAATAAATTTCAACATTTAAGGGACCAATGTCAACATCAAATATGTCAATTGCACAGAAAAGGAATCTAAAAATAAGTAGTGAAAAATCTACTATCAAATTGTTCATTAATACCTGTATTTACATACATCACTATTTTGTAAATATTTGTTTGTTCACGAAAAAAAAAAAATTATCTAGTCTAATCTGTACAGCATTAACGTGTGACAATCTCATTGTGGTACAATGGAAAAATATAGAATGTTATTTTTCTATGTGGAATCTTATTTATTCTATCACTTAAAAAAAATGTTTTTTAAAAATACATTTCTATCCCTTTTTGATACTTCTTTTATACTTTTTCCTGATGGAAACAAGCATTTGTTTAAAAATTATTTACAATAAACTTTTAATTTATAATAAATATTAAAATAGAACCTATGGCACAAGTGGGTTATTTAATTACTTTTGTTATCACAAACTTTTATTAATTGTGTGAACAAATGTTGTAGGATCAAGGTCGAGTTTACCAAAAATGTAATGATCCTCTTCAGTTTCGTACCATTTTTGAATATCAAAATCTTTGAAGAAAATTGCAATTTCCCTTTCAGCTGAATCTTTAGAATCTGCGATTAAAATGGTATAAGTTTTTTTATTTACAATAAAAATAAATTATGTTTCTTTTTTTTCTTTACAGATTTTTGATATTAGAATTTTGGAAAATACCTGATCCATGCGCAGCATTTCTAGTGTCTGAGAGACCAAATGTTCCTCTTATTGAATCAGGATCGGAAAATTGAGCTTTATAAACTTTCGTTGGTCCTAATAATTTTCTCCAACGTGCTATTGCATCGTGTCCTGCCAAAATATGTACATCCGATGGTCCACTCGTCATAAAAGTGAGTAAACGATTGTAAAAAAATTTTCCTTTATGATCAGCATAAAAAAGTGACGCTTCATTTTCACTAATTACAATTCTTTGCGATTTTATTACTTTAAAATCATTTTTAATTATTACATCTCGTATACTCTAAAAAATTTATAATATTAATATCAAATTTTTAAATTCGTTAAACTATTTTTATTTAATTAAACATTTTTATTAAAATTTATTGCAAAGTTTTTTTTTTTTAAATAAAATGTTTGACTGTCAAAATAAAAGTACCTGCAGAGCGAATGGAGATTTTATAACGTGAGGTTTTAGAATAGCAAGCGTTAATTCTAACGCTCGTTTCGACTTCATGGCAACATTTTTCTAATTAAGTGTTAATTAGATAAAATTTCATTAAACATTTTTATTAATTTTTTTTTATATACCAACTTTACCGTGCCATGTGTGCTATTAAACATAACCTTTCACTGATAATTTTAAATAAAATTAATAATCCTCCTTCGACACATAGATAAATACCTAATTTCGTATTTATTATTATTTTTTCAAATAAAATTTACCTTTTGTTTTAAATACAATTTATTATTTTGTTTTATAAAAATTAAAGGCGCTTATAAACAAACTAGTTTTCTCATGTTGGTAGAAGTGAAAAATTTAACTTTTTGTTATCTTAGGTTGGCATTGGGGCTCATTTCATATATCAGTATGTAGCCATCTTCACGGACTACTTCTTGTCAGTTACAAGTTTATATCTTTGTTTACTAAAGAAAAAAGCATATTATTAACTGTGTAATAATTTTTTTTAACAAAAAAGAAATATGTCAATAAATGTGACTGTCAACGGTAATCCGGTGAATATACGAAAAGGACGAATGTTTCTGTCAGATTTGGATCAAATCAAGAAAAATGAACGCGATCGTCGAAGGAGGTTACGTGTCGAACAGGTGGAGATTACATTCTTTTTATTTTAAATTATTTACAATTAAACTCAAAACAAATCTTTTTTTAAATAACCTTTAATTAAAAACATTCTTAATTTCAAATTTTTATTAAAAATAATATATAATTATTTTTAACATATATATATTTTATTATAGGTTCGACAGCAATCAAAAGAAATATCAAATAGACTCTTGGAACGTGCAAAAAATGCAACACAAAAAGAATTGAGTCGTCTTGAAAAGGATGGCAAATCAGAGCTTAAGCAGATACACGATAGAAAAATAATGGATATGCAACAAAAATATCATGAAGATATGGAGGATATAGGTCAAGCTCATTTAGCAGCAACACTTCAACCTGATGTTAATGCAATTATTGAAGCGGAAGCAAGAAGAAATAGAGCTATTGCACTTCAAAGAGGAAAAGAAGCAGCACAAAAATTAAAGGACGCTGAAATGGTAAAAAAAAATTAATAAATGTAATATAGAAGACCTATTTAATTAAATAAAAAATTTAATTTTCAGAGAGAAGATGCTCGTTTATTACAACAGGAGAGAATAAAAAAAATACGTGAGAAGGAAAATTCACGTGCTGCAGCTGTTGTTGAAAAATCAAAGCAAAATAATGATGAAAAATTAATTTCTGAGACATGTCACAGTGACGATGCAATAATTGAAATTGTAGACGATAAAAATTTGAAAAAAACAAAAATCATTAAATCTCCATCTAAAAAATCACCTATCAAAGTTGTGACAAAATCAAATGTCAAGGTTTGTATTTGAATTAATTTTCTTAAAATAAAATTTATTAATATTTCATTTCTTTTTTTTTTTTTTAAGGTGATTGCAAATCATTCAAAATTAAAAAGTCACACTGGCTCTACCGAAACGCGGCGAAAAAATAAGGAAAAAGAAGAGAGAAGACATTTTGAAAAATTAAGAACTCGGGATGCAAATTCTTCTAATGTTTCACAAATAGCGACAAATCCCGATTCTGATATTGAAGAAATCGAAGAAAATTCCTCTAATAAAAATATTCCATCGACAAAATCTAGTAAATTTTCAAGGTATTTTTTATATTCTCATTTTTAAGAAAATTTAATTTTTGAAAAGAATTTAGTATTATTTTCTTATTTTTAGATATAATCCAGAGGATTATATTCATAAATCAATCGATTCCAGTAGCACTAGTAGCTCAAGTTCGATAAGTGAAGATTCTTCTTATTTTTCTGATGCTGCGGATCCTGTTATAAAAAGAAATCCAAAATTTAAAACCCCCGAGAAAAGCAAAGTTCAACTCTATGATCACAATACTAGGCAGAAAAATGCTTACGATAGACCTGCGGGAATTGTTCAACGAATTGACTTTACAAATGAGGTTTTTTTTCAAATAGAATTATTTACAACTAGTATTATCGAAGTTTACTGAAAATCCTTTTTTTTACAGCCAAACGCAGAAGACTTGGCTCGAGAAGTTGTCGAATCAGAAATTGCAAATGCCGAATTATTAAAAAAGCAAAAAACAAATGCCGATCGTCGTGGACAAGATGCATTGCTTCGAGAGAAAATTCGTCGCGATTATCAAAATATGATGCAAAATTTAGAGCATTTATCGCGCGAGGAACGTAAATTGAAAGCCAGTCAAATTCACGAACCACCTGTAATTATTCTCATAAATTTCCTCTTTTTTTTTTCTTTTTCGAATTCTTTGATCTTTGAAAAAAATTTTTTTTCAGAATCTACATATGTCACCAAATCGACGAAAAGAAATGCAAAATAAACGTCAGAGAAAAATGAATCGTGCATTGGAGGGAATTTTACGAACCACTGACGATCCACCTTATACATTAACGGAAAAAATTGTTACCCTAAAACCACAAGACGATAATGATGATATACAATTTCAGCCAAATGCTTCTTGGCAAGATTCACCATTTAAAAATCCCACACCACCTCGATCACCCGAATTAAAAGATAGTTTCGATGAATTATCACGCGAGGAACAAATTCTCGAACTATTGCAAAAAGTCGAAAGACAAAAGAGAATTTTACTTCGTGAATTTGGTGCTAATCTACCACAGGATGTATTCACTCAACAAAAACCGCCATCGATTGAAAAAAATCATTCACCTGAAATTCAAGTAATAAATATGTCAACACAACAGGAAATACCAAAAATCATCGAGAAATTGAAAACTAAATCCGAAATTGCTGTACAAACATCAACAATTGAAGAAACTGCCGAGGATAAAGGTGTACAAGTTGAATTAATTCAAGAAATTGAAAATATTGAAAATCAACCAAAAATCCATCCACTCGAACCAATTGTCAAAATTGTTACACCTGAAATTGATGACACCAGCAGTGGATCGTCAATAATCACCGATCTTGTAATAAATTTCGATAAAAAACAAGTCCAAGTAACGCCAAAGAGAAAAAAGAAAGGGACATTAAAAATTTCACGTAAATCATCACCGCTAACATCATCTAAATCACGTTCCGTTAATAAATCAACGCCGATAAAAAAACAATTTTCAAAATCACCATCAAAATTACCAAAAAAATCGCCAATAAAAAATCAAGAAACAAAACAACAACAATTTGAAATCGATACTATTGATTCAAGTACAGAGAGTTCGCAAATTTATTCAACGCCTAAAATTGATGATTCAGGTAAAATTTATCGTATTCATTCGCGATCAATGAAAAAAACAATAAGAATTCGTGACGCCTCCGATACAACATCAACATCATATGCGAGTCCACCAAATGCACAAGCAGCTGCTCTTTTAAATCAAAACAATTTCACTGATATGACACCAATTTTAGAATTATTAGATTCACATGCAATTGATGCGTTACATGTTCGTAAATCACAAATAAGTCCCGTATCAACGCCCGAAACACCATCGCCAAGAACAATTAAATTACCATCAAATATTCCTAATCCAGAAAAAATAAGTAAAATGTTAAAATTTATCGATATTGATAATAAAAAATCGCAAAGAGAAGAAAATAATTTTACAAAAAATTCACAAAAATCAATGCAAACATGTCAATGCAAAAATCCAAATTGTAAAATGCATTATAATGAAACTGATAATTTGAAAAATTGTCCCGAAATACAAAAATTATACGAAGAATTGGAAAATGTTTGCGCTGAGAGAATTGCTTCGTTGACGGATCTTATTAAAAAATTGCGAAACGAACCTAAAAGTGAGTATTATTTTTGTTTTAATTTTATTTTGAAATTTTTGTAAATTTAGTAAGTATTTCAATATTTTTTTTTAGTTCTTCCAGCGGGAGCTGATTTTACTCTACTATCACCGCAGGATAAAATAAATCTTCAATTATCAACGAGTAGTATTCCACGTGATTTAAAAGATGTTCGTAATTTAGTGGAAAATGTCGAGGCAATTAATAATCAATTGGCAAGAACATTACAAGAATCACGAAGAATTATTGCCGGCGAAGGAATTGATTTACCAAAACCACCATTGTCTTATTCACAAATACAAAAATCACCCGATATCAGTGATTCAAAATCAAAAGAAGAATCCACATCATCAAGTAATGAAGAAGATGATAATGATAGAATTGAAAAATTAAAACCAAAAATTGTTAGCGAAGAAACGGTAAAATTAAATTTGGATAAATTTCGTATTTTTCAAAATCCAAAATTAGAAAACAAAATTAATGATCCCGATAAACAATCGGGACACGATGATATTGTTGAAAAAATTTCCAACGAAATTTTACAACAAAGTAAAAGTGTCGATAAATCATCAGGTTTTGTGACACTCGATTCATTTAAAGAAACTGACAGTTATTTAGCAATGAAGGAGGAATTTGATTTTCGTGATTTTGATTCCTCTGAGGAGCAAAATAACGTTTCTGAACAAAAGACATCTTCAAGTCCCAAGGTAAATTTACAATCTCTAATCTATAGAATTTGACAATTTTTTAAAATTAAAACTAAAAATAACTTAAATTTAGGTACGAAAAAAGTAAAAAGGATTGTAAAAATGATCGTTAATTGTAATAATTCAAGAGCTATCAACCGCCTAAAGGTGTTTCTTTTCAATTTCTTTCAATTTTAATCAACTAATTTGGAAATTAAAAATTTTTTCTTTTTACAGAAAAAAGATGATTTTATTCCAATATTGGCAGGAATTCCTAAAACTCCACGAGCATTGCCAAATTTAAATAACAGGGGACGTCCACCTGTTACATTAACCAGCGGTCATTACAGGTAAAATTAAATTTAAAAAAAATATATTAAAAAAAAAAAGAAAATTTTAATAAAAATTGAAATTTTTAGATCACCCGCTCATGAGCTTTCGACAATCGTTGAATTTGACACACCGGATACGGCAGACAGAAGTCAAATTAGCGGGAAAATATCACCGTCAAAGGCAAAAAGAAATCTCACAAATGACATAACATCAGTGAGTCCTTCTAAAAAATCTACCTTAAAAAAACCCTTAGATCTATTTAATATTCCAAAAAATAACATTAAACCTTCCGTTCATGTTGCTCCATTACCAAGTCATCGAACACCCGAACAAACACCTAAACGTTCACAAATTCAAAAATCATCAATTCAATTATTTCCCGGCAAAGAAAAACCATTCGATGCCTTTGCATTGCCAAATGAAAATGAAAGTCATTCATCGTATTCATCCGAAATTAAAAAAATTGCAATTTCAAAATATGACGAAAATAATTCATCAATATTAAATATTTTATCAAACACACAAAATGAGCAATTTTTTAAAAAAATCAGTTCAACAAGTTCAAATAGTTTTTCACCATTATCGGGAATTTCGGAAATAATTAGTACACCATCGTCGGATTTTTTAAAATGTCCATCATCACCTGAGGAAATGGAGAGAACTTTAAAAAAATTTGGTCTTGGTTGGGCATTAACAACATTGAAAAAAACACGTGAAGCATCAGCATTAAGTTCATCGTCAAATTCAGATGTGACACCAATAATGACAGCGAGAAAAATTATATCACCAATTAAGAGGCAAGCGGAGAATCTTTATTTATATGGTTTACCTGATTTTAGTGATGTATCATCGATATCAGTTAAAGAAGCAAGTAAAAGTACCGAACGTGCTGTACTATTAAAAGGACGTACATCAACACCAAATATGATACATTCAAATTCTGATGATAAATCAAGTACAACGACAATAAATTCATCTTGTATTAGTCTACGTGATCCTAACGATAGTTTAATTGCTCCAAATTTATTTCTTTCCCATGGAAAGAAAAAGAATAATAATAGAGGAAAATTAACGAAACATCTATGATGTTGATTTTTTTAAAATAAATTCTTAGAAAAAACGGTAAAATATGAATTTTACCGTTTTTAATTTTGATAATCTTCACAAAAAAGTGAGAAACTTTTTAAATAGGAAGAAATGTGTTCATTATTGACGTAAATTTTTAATTAAATATTATATATATATATATACTGTTTTGAGCTCGCGAAAATTTATTTAAGGTTCAAATTTATATAAATATATATCAGTTTGTAGATCAAATTGATCTAAATTTTGTGCCTTTTAAGAATTTTCGATTTATTATAATTATGCCATTCGACCTTGTTAATAATCTGTACACTATATTAAATAAAATATTTTTAATACAAAAAAATTTATAATTATTATTAAGATTAGAAAATGCAATATTGAATTTATTACAAAAATTAATACAATACTTAATTATTTTAAGTTTAATTAAATTATTTTTTTTTTTTTATAAAAAAGGAGAAAGTTTAATAAACAGAACAAAAATTAAATAACTTTTGTATTAATTATACCCTAAATCTGCTTTGACACTTTAACTTTTTTGATATATAATTTTTAATAAAATTACATATTTGTATGGAAATAAAATATTTTTTAATTTAAAATAAAAAATTACTCTTATATTTTTTACTGATAATAATTTATTTTTATTAATTATTTTATGTTTAATTAAATTATTATTTTTTTTTATTCAAAAGAAGAAAATTTAATAAACAGAACGAAAATTAAATAACTTTTGTATCAATTATACCCTAAATCTTCTTTGACAGTTTAACTTTTTTTGATATATAATTATAATATATAATAGTTATTAAATATTTTTTAATTTAAATTAAAGAATTACTTTTATATTTTTTACTGATAATAATTTATTTTTATACGATAGTTAATTATTTTGTTTAATTAAATTATTTTATTTTGACACTTGCTATTTTTGAGGTTAAATAATAAAAGTTTACATTTATTTGTAAAAGAATAATGATATATTTATTAAATTTTTTGTTAACCTCACTATTTTAGACATTTTTAGTTAATTTAACACTTATTTAATTAATCATAATTATTTGATAATTAGTATACAATAATTATTATTTTGACATATAAAGAATAAACCAATATTCCAAAAGATATAGTTAACCTCACTATTTTAGATATTTTTAATTAATTTTCCTATTAATCCATATTTATAATTAATGAATTAATATTTATTTATATAATTAATAATAATTATTACAATAATTATTATTTTGACAGATGATATTAACCTATAAATATATAGGAAATTGTATTTACTTTTCGTGCCACTTCTTATTTTGTTTATACATACGCGCCTAATACGTTATAGGAATTACCGACGCATTTTCATTCAAAATTTGAAATATTCGCACCAGGAGCACATGATGTGCGAGGAAGTGGCACAGCGGTAGCCAATCAGAATGCTGCTTAAATATACTATCCAATACATAAGAATGTGCCACCTCTGTTTGCGGCTGCTGCTCCTAATACTTTCAATTAGCATTTGAAAAATCACAAAGGAGCGTTCTGATTGGCTGACGTCGTGCCACTTCTTCGCACATCGTGTGCTCCTAATACGAATCTTTCAAATTTCGAATGAAAATGTGCCTGTAATTCCTATATTATATTAGGAGCGTATATATAACCAAAATAAGAAGTGGCACGAAATTGAATAGAGGTTAGAAATAACTGTCAAAGTGTTAATTAATAATTAATCAATTAATTGTTAATAATTAAATGAAGTAATTATTGTTTATCGGTAAATTTAAATAAAAATAATATAAAATTATTAAATAATATAATAAAATACAGGTTAAAGAGTATAAATAATAAAAATACAGTTTAAAATTTTTAAAAAATACTAATTGTGAAAATAAAAAATTTAATTATTCCTATGAAATAATAACTATTAATTAATGAAAAATTTATTTTAAAAGATTACAAAAGAACATTATTTTAATTTACAGTAATTTTTTTGTGTAAATAAGTAAATTACTATTATAAATAATAAAAAGTCAAGAAGATCTGATTCTAATTGTTTACAATTTTTTGTTTAAAATTATTTTTATTAATTGTTGTTTAACTTTTAAATTTTCAGCAGTATCATTGAATGTCATCTATGAACATATAAATTAAAGACGATGATTTAGAAACGTTGTTTACCGTTCGTGAGTAATATCGACCGTTTAAAAAAAGGTGAAAAATCATGGCGCTTGAGTGTGCTCCGCAATTAATAAAAAAATTGTGAATTACAAATATAAGAAGTTTATCAAAAAGTTTTGCAATTTTGTTGATTTATCAATATATTAAAAATGTCTCAATGTTTTAGAACAATATCTTATAAATTTCCACCATTTATTGGCACGAAAAAACAAGTCTCACAAATGAGCCGACAGCTGCCAAAACACATAAAATGTTCAACATTTTTGGAAGAGGTAAAGTTAATTTTTATTTATTATTAGAAATTTTTTATTCGACTTAACAATTTACATCAATAAGTATCTATCATTTTAAATTTATCAATAATCTTGACGTTCTATCAATGTTATTTTAATTAATCATTCAGAACCACGTTGCATATAACCTCAAAAGCCTTACATAATATCAATAATACGTCCTATTTATCAGTTTGCAAATTAATCTTAATTAATTTAATTGTTAATTAGAATATATTTTAATTTTCCAATAACCTATACTGTAATTAAGTTACTTAAATAATGTTTTATTCACATTTTTTTTTTTTAATTAATTTTATAAACAAAAATATAATTGTAAATAAATTTATTTTTCAGTTTTTTGGAACACGAAACATTTTAAATTCACAAACGTTACGAGATGTATCGAATGAAATTATTCTACCTTATCTTGCATTTAAAAATAAAATTGTCTCGTCACTGGATATTCCTCCTCGAGAGAATCTCATTTCTTTGAGAGATAATGTCAGAAAAGATGTGAGACAAGTAAAATATAAAGACCTTCGTAGACATCATCTTTCAAATGTGAAATCCATTGATTTTTTACTCGAGGAAAATTGGAGGATTAGACAAAAATTTTCGAAAATTACACGAAAACACAATAAAGATGGAAATGTGATTCTTTATGACAAATTTTCCATCATTAATAATGATTTGCATATTAATAAAATTATTTCACCAGATAAAAATAATTCCGAAATTGTTTTTATGAGTGGAGGAAATAATCTACAGACAGAAAATGAAAAAAATGTCTCTAATGTTAATGAAACACCGAGTCAAGAGAAACTTGAAATTATTTTTAATAAATTGAAAAAAGAAGTAAATTTTTTAATTAAAAATTTAAAAAAAAACATACAATTTTATTATAATTATTAATAATCAAAAATTCGTAATAATTTTTTTTTTTTCAGCTACCACTTCTATTTATCAGAACATTAGATTATAGAATATACCATAAAGATTTTGTATTTGAAAACAATATTCGAGGAACAAGAACGACGTAAGTTTTGTCATGAAAATATATTACATATTATAAATTAATAAAAAAATTAATTAATTTTATATTTATAGAGGAATTTTTCCTTACGTGAGACAAATTGCTTTATTAAGAACTCTTGGACATATAAAATTTGCATACGTTAAATTTGATATATTAAAAATGACTATGCACCCAGAGGATAACAGCATAAAAATTCGTTGGCGCATTAATGGATTGCCAGGATATAAAATTTTACTAATGTTTTGGAAATTCAATGTTTTCAAAATTCAGGAATCTAAAAAGCTCCAAGAATCGTAAGTTTTCATTGAAAAATCAACTTTTTTTAACCGTTTGTTTTTTCAATAATTATTTCTTCTTAGTATACCTTAAAAGATTTAGAATAATAAATTATGTTGAAATTTTAAAAAAATATTAAAAATTTTACAGATGGTACGATGGATTTTCGACATTTTATGTTGGAGCTGATGGATTAATTGTGAAACACATAGCCGATAAAATGATGCCAGATCAAGAGAAGACGCCGGTGAAGAAGGAAGAATCAGTTCCAGTTGCAGCCAAATTAACATTATTTTCAAATGTAAAAAATATTAAACAACTATTGCCAGATGTGGCAATTCTATTTTCTAACATTGGCAAAGTATTATCATACAATGGACGAAAATGGACATTTTTTGAGAAAATTGCATTTAAAATGAAATGAGGTACACACAATGAATATTTATATAATAGAGAAAATTAAATACGCAGATCTTTTTTATTATTCACATGAAAAAACAAAATTTCAATTTGCAAGATAAGCTTAAGTAGTACAAAAAAAAATGAAACTAGTAAATAATCGAGTCCACTTTTGCATTTTCAATATACATTTTTAAATATGACTTATATCGAGTTTCAAGTTCATGTTTTATATATCATTTATTTTGTCAATATTTTAAATTTAAAAAAGATTGATTTTTTTTTTTTTGTAAAAAAAACTTTATGCACTTGATTTTTTTAAAATTAAGAACTGATAATATAAATAAAAGAAGATATTGATATGTACATTTAATTAATATTTCAAAGAAAGCGATCGATAAAATAATCGAAATCACTCATACATAAGCACACGCTTTACATTTAAAAAAAAATTTTTGTTTCTTTTCAATTATTTTAGAAAATACATGTTAAATGATTGTTGTATTAATTACCACATTAAAGATTTAGTTGTACATAAACCTAAAGTATTTTTTAAAATAAAGTTATTATTAATAAAAAAATATATATATATAAATAGTATAAAATTTCACTCTTCAGTCAATGGAATTAATTGTCGAGTAAATTATTTTTCTTCATTAATTGCAAGTTAAACCTGTAAAACAGAATTATTTCAATATTAATAAAAGAAATTATAATAATAATTATTAGAAAAAATGAAGAAACTTGAGTTTTTAAAATTAAAATTAATGAATTACCTAAGTAGTCGTCCATGAGCGTTCCAATGGCAAACTGAAAGAAAAATAACCGTATTAATTCACACAAAATTTAAATTAAATAATAAGCATTTTTTTTTTTGTTGTTGTGAAATAATTACAATTCCATTGGCATCAACTCTCGTTCCAACTATTTTTATTCGAATTTCATCGTCAGCTTGTATAACGACGTCTTCTTCTTTCGATTTGTAACATGGTGGATTGATATTTGGACAAAATTGCATTTCCGATGGAATTGACTGAAAATATTTTCAATTATTTTAAAAAATTCAGGTAATTTTTGAAAATTTAATTATTTTCTTTTAACATACGTGATGTGAAATAAAACACGTCAAGGGTCCAATTTCAGCAAACAATCCAACCTGAAAAATATATTATACTGATTATCTTCTAAAAAACAAATAATATTATTTCCTTTTTTTTAAAAACTGCAATTACCTTATTAACTTGAACCACAATTCCATCGAGAACTTGACCTTTAAATGGTCGAAAAACAATAGCTTTGTATTTTACAGGATAAAGTACAAAACCTTGACCTGGCTGAATGATACCAGCACCTATATTATCGATTGATGTCACAGCAATCACAAAACCATATCTGAAATTATTTTATTCCATTCAGTAAATTAAATAAATAAAATTAGTTAAAATATATTTTAAAAGAAAAATTGCTTAGTTAGTATTAAATAATAACAAAACACAGTCTTTATAATTAACATTCTCAATAATTCAATATAAACAAAAGAATATCGGGCTTTAAAATTAAAAAATTATGCAAATTTTTACTTACTTTCCATTACAAGTTCCTTCAACTTCTGTATAAAGTTTTTGTTTCACTGTATCCAATAAATGTGGTCCAAAATAACGAGGATGCAACAAAATATCATGATCCATCGGTATCTGTTTGAGGTTAGGAATTTTCAGTTACATATACTTTAATCGAAAAGGATAATCAAGATACGAATTTTATAATTAAAAATTCAACTTACGTGATAAAACATCTTGTCAATTATATTTTAATTCACAAATTTAAATGAAATCAATGAATTAAATACAATTAATTTAATTTTATTTCGGAGTAATATTATGGAAAATTTATATGGTGAAAAAGGACAACAAGCGATACTAGCGCCTCTATGATGAAAATAATCAACGCCATATCCCCGGGTGAACCAATCAGCTGCTCGGTAAACCATCATTCGCGAGACCTCGAATCTGTCCGCAAACGAATGACAACAAAAGAGACAGAGACAGTGTGTGTATATTTGAGAGTGAGTTTTTTCGTCAAAGTTTATACTTTTTTCCATTGTGTTGCCGCCGCGAATAACGTTGCATCAGAGTGGTGAAAGTGTCGAAGAATATGAAGAGAAGAAATGCCGAGTGCGGCAAGCTCCGGAGGCCCTTGAAACGCAACAAGATCACCGAAGGAATTTACGGAAGGCAAGTTTTGGTCGCCATATGCGTTTGCATCACAATGGCCGATCTTTAAAAATAACCAAAAACTCGATACGTTTGCCGCTAAACAATCATTACATTAACATGATCCTTTGGAGACGATTTTCATGTCTTCATTCACATTTTCTCATTATCCATAAACATAGCCTATATCCTCCAAATGGTCAATGGATCATTTCCGGATTATTATCGATATTACGATACCTCGCGCGTTTTCTTAGCCTTTTTTTTTAAGATTCACCACAATTTATTTGCACCTGCTCCTTTAAAATTTCTTATAACAGATTCTCAATCCTCGTGTATGTAATTTTCTGTCATAATTTCAATAATTGCAGGTTAGAATAATATCTTTGACAATGTCACTAAATATGTATATGGTGACAGGGATTCTACCCCCTGCGTTGATTTTATAGTCTATTTTTTTTTTTTTTTTGAGAAATTTCTCGATTAACAATTCCATAGAAAAAAAAGTTAAAATCTTCTATTATCATTCATTTTTTTCCCATTTAACAAAATTCTTCTTTTAATTATTCGATAATAAACCTTTTTGTTGCAATTTTAAATTATTTTCTCTCTTAGCAACAGTTCAGTCCATCATAAAAATATGAAAATTAGTTTATGTTATTATGCCATGACAATTCATTTTCTGGAATGATATTAATTTTATAATTTTTCAATAAATTGGCTGATTTTCAAGTTCTGGAGTTTTTGTTTTCTGTTATAAACTCTTCGTTTTTTAATATATTTACAAAAATTGTAATGTAATGATAATATTAATTATTATTAATAGATAGAATTTTTATGTTTTATATTGTTGAAATGGAATAATATATTACTTTTTGTTTTGTCAACAAACATTTTTTCAAATTTATTATTTGTGTTTTTAAAGTTCTCTACAATAATGTGGAAAAAAAATAAAATTTTGATCCGGTTCTGTATTTGTTTATTATTATTATAATTATTTTTATTGATATTTCAACTTTGTATTTTAATTTTTTTTTTTTTTTAACGAATCAGACAAAATAATTTAATTCGTTCGAGTAGATAAGAGAGAAAGTAAAAACGTGTTTATTGGAAAAATCTATATTTGTATAAAGCTCATAATCAATTAGTTGAAAACCCTAAATTGATGCCCTATTTGATAATATTACATTGTATTTACTTATATATCGTTAGACAATAATTCGTTCTGAATACTTATTTTAAAGGGGTGGGGGGGGAATATAATTCACGTAAATAATTACATTTGCATTTTAAAAATAATGAAAAATAAAAATTATTTTAAAACACATTATCACGCTCCCTTGTTTATATAAAAATAGCCACAATTGTTTCACATGGAAGAATTGATTTTTTCATTTGTTTGTTAAAAATTCCCTTTTCATTAATCAATTGTTTAAAATAGCCAGGATAATTGAAGATAATTTAATTTTTTATTTTACTTTAAATTTAAATTGTTTATTTAATTCAAGGTCAATTTAATTTCGAATTCTAATTTATTTTTTTTTATGAAATTTCTGTTACAGCACTTTACTTTACTTAAAGTTTCTTCTACTATGGGCTATGGTGATATTAGCAGACTTCATTTTAGAATTTCGTTTTGAATTTTTGTGGCCATTTTGGCTGCTTCTTCGAAGTGTTTACGATTCTTTTAAATATCAAGGCTTGGTAAGTTGTTTTTCATTTTTTTATTTAATCTCTTTTTTTTAATTAAAAAAAAAAAAAAATTTGTTTATATTTTAAAATTAAATTATTTATTGTGTGGAGGAAAATTTAAATGATAGTTATAAAATTAATAATTTATTAGATACGATAACAATTATTTGTAATTGAAATAATTTTCTTTTCTATTTTTCAGGCCTTCTCTGTATTTTTTATTTGTATTGCACTCACATCAGACATGATTTGCTTCTTTTTCATCCCAGTACACTGGCTTTTCTTTGCCGCCAGTACATACGTTTGGGTGCAGTATGTTTGGCACACAGGTATATGAAATAATAATTATTATTATTGAGAGCAAAAGAATTAATTATTTTTCATAATATAAGAAACATACGTGTTTATGAAATTGATGTTAATTTATTTTAAATGTTTATTACAGACAAAGGTGTTTGCCTGCCAACTGTGATGCTGTGGCTACTGTTTCTTTATATAGAGGCAGCAGTTCGATTAAGAGACCTACGACATATGCCATTTCATTTAGATCTTTGTAGGCCATTTGCTGCTCATTGGTATGTTTTTCCTTTCTTCTTTTTTTTGTTGCCTCTCTTCTTTTCAAGTTCTATTTATTTCAATTTTATTAGCCGCGTGAAAATTTAAATTGTAAATTTTTTATTTATCGAATTTGAAAACAAAATGGTAAATTATTTCCTGAATATTGAAAATAGAAAAATTGATTCAATTAATTGGGAAATATTCTTTTTTTCAGTATTGGTTATCCAGTAGTTACATTAGGCTTCGGTTTTAAAAGTTATGTAGGCTACAGAATGAGACAGGTCTGTAATTAATTTTTTTAGACTATTTTCAAAATAATTGTATTAATATCGAGAGAAATGTGAAATTATGATTTTTTTTTTTTAGAGAAAGCAAAAAGATGTTGCAAAAGAAAATGATTTCTACGTGCAACTGTTACAACAGGCATTGCCTGTTGAACAACAAGCAGCAAATATTCAACAAATTCAACCCCAAGTACAGTTACAAGCACAGCTTGTAGCGACGCCTTTAGATCATTCAAAATCACAATCTCATAGGACAAATTCGCAGTACAATCACAGTCCCGAAAAAAGTAGAGGTAGCATGTATTTATACCTTGTTTTTTTTCTCTTCATTATAAAATATATTTCATTTTATTTTTTGACAAAATAAACAAAACATTATTTTTTTTAAATATAGAATAAAAAAAATATATTAAGTTTTCTTTTTTTCTTTTTGCAGGAGCCGGTGGCTCGACAACGGAAACGAGCTTACAAAACGGCGGCATTCACAATGGAACACAGACTATGTCACAAGCACAAAATTCAGCCACAAAAAATATACACAGAAAATCGCTTGATAAGGGAGAAAAGTCTGAGGATCAACACAATAAACACAATAGTAATGTCTCACAGTCTGAAAAAAATGACAAGAGATTTATGCACATAAATGGTTCAACAGTACCTTCAAACGACTTGCAATTTATCGAGAGAATTGGGTGAGATTTCTTGTTATTTTTTATTTGCATTAATTTTCAATTATAATTTCTATTTTATATAGGAAAATTTTTGAAAATATTTACAAAAGAAATTATAATTTTAAATAATTTGAATAAAATTTTGTAAATTGATTACAGATCGGTTAATGATTTTGACATAAACGAAGTGGAGAAAGATAAATCGTTAAAGGGTGGTAATAGTCATAATTCAGTGAAAACACAATCAAATGGTTCGGCAAATGGAAAATGGAATAATGTCAAAGAAAATCGTGACTCATCGACGACGAATAATCAACGTGAACGTAAAGGTCGTCAATCGAAAGTCACAAGTGACATTATTTCAGAAAACCAAAAGCAACAAGACGAATATTGCCAGAGGTAATATTCATTTTTTGTTTTATTGAATTTTTAAATTCATTTTTTTTTTTTACAAATTGATTTTAAATTGCAGGTTACTAGTTTGTCGTAAGCTTGAAGCTGACGTGAAACGTTTAAAATCAGACTTACAAGCAAGTAGACAAACCGAACAAGAGCTTCGTTCACAAATTAACACATTGTTGAGTGGAGAAAGACAAACGAAAGGCGATTTACAACAGTTACAACATGATAATGATCAGTTGCAAAGCAAGTAAGTTAATATTGTTAAAGAATTATTAAATTTAAATTAATTAAATTTTTTTGAAAGGTTACACGGATTAGTAACTGCTCGTCAAATGGATAGACAGACAATGTCCACTTTAGAAAAAAGAATTGCCGAGGAACGAAGGCAGCGTAGTGCATGCGAAGTGTCATTAGCTTCGGAAAGAAGGGCTCGAAGAGCCGCCGAAGAAGCTAGATCCGCAGTACCACCACCTCCACCTCCATTGATTCGTCAGGAATGCACCGATGTTTGTAAATCTCGTAGAACACAACTCGAGCAAGATGTGAAAAGCTTGCGAAGAGACATTAAGTCGAAAGACGATAGGTATCTAAAAAAATATCAATTCCCGTTTTTTTTTGTTTTGTAGTTCTAACAGTAATTTTAATTTAACACAACTTATTAAGATATTATTTACTATTTTTATTTATATTTGTTATAATTAATATTTTCTTTCCTTTTTCAAATAATGAAAAAAAGAAATTGTCCAACGAGTTTTATAAATTTCAAGGTACAGTTCTTTGGAAAAGGAAGTATCGCGGTGTAAGGAAAATCATGGAGAGACAGAAATCTTGCTGGGTGCGCTAAGCGCTTTGCAAGAAAAAAATACTCATCTGGAGAACAGCTTGAGTGCTGAGACTCGTATTAAACTTGATCTTTTTTCCGCTCTTGGTGAAGCTAAACGTCAACTCGAAATCAAAGAGAGTAAGTTAAAAATATTTTTTTAAAATAATAATTATCATTATTGTTTAATTATATAATTTTAACCAAATAATTAAAAATTTCTTATTGCGTTAATATATTTTTTAATTTTTATTTTAGGTATGATTAGAAATCAAGAGAAAGAAGTTGAGTTACTAAAGGCGAAAATTGCCCAAGACTTGGCTGTTATGCCACAGGACACATTTGGATCGGCATCAAGCTGCACGACGTCGAAACTCCGTCTTGGTAATGATGTTCGAGTTGGTACGAAACTACGTGCAAGTGATAGTTCCTGTCCGGGATGCACAGTTTCAAATCTCGATCCCAATGCAACAGCGTACACACCTAAAGGCTCGTTAATAGCATCTACGGAAGCTTAAAAAAGAAAAGAAAAGAGAAAATCACTCACAATGAAAGAAAACTAGAAAAACAGCTTCCTAAAATTCCTTGTGTGGAATTTTGCGCACTTTTAAGAAAAAACAAATTCAAATTTTGTCCCTTTTGGGTCAATCTCCCCTTCGCCCCTCGCCCACCCCCTTTTACTTTGTACCTAAAATTATACTCGAATCTCGAGATATATTTGTTTCATCTTAATTCGTGTGAAACTCGAGATAACACACAATTCTTGAGGTTTTCATTCTAATTTATTATGAAAACAAAAAAAGAAATGCTCTCAAAAAGTGCGCTTTGCCTCTCGAGATATAAAAAAAAAATCTACCAAAATGGCTAAGAGAAAAAGGATCTTCAATAGATTCCTAAATTTCCGGTGAATTTTTTTTCCCACTTATAAGTGGCTTCAAAAAAAAAAGAAAATTCATATGCTGTGAGTTATTCTTGTAAGATTCGTCTCTTCTTTTTATTTCCATGGAAAACATGTTTTTCCAGACATTTATTCTTCTTTCTTGTTCAGTGTTTGGGAAATCACTTAAAAATAAAATCCCCACATTGTCAAAAAAAAAAAATACTCACAAAATGAGAGATTAATGGAATTATTTTTTTGCTGGTTCAAAATGAAATTCTTTTTCTTTAGAAAATTGAGAATTATTTTTCAAATGGAATTTAATCTTCATTAAAAATGAAGAGAAATCTTAATTATTGAATAGACATAAAATGTCATCTAATTTCAATTTGAAAAATTAATGAGAGGTTCTTTTTTTTAATTATTGTCTACAATTCTAATTTAGGATTTCTTTTTAAATTTAATTTTGTATACATTTTAATATGTAACAAAATTCTCCTTGTAAATTTGAATGAACGATTTCAAATCGTCGTCAACTGATTCTTGACAATTTACTCACAGCATATGTTCATTTGCATATTTTGCGACTTGTTTTTAAAAAAAGAAAATTAATTCAAGTCGCACTTCGAAGCTAGTCCATCGTATAAAATAATATTAAAAAAAAAAAAAAACAATCAATGGCGGGTCAAGCCATTTCAGTTCATTTTAACATCATTAAAAGCCATCTCTACACATATGAAAAAAAGGAGGAGTTCATCGTTCGCAAAGAAACAGGATTTAGGCTTCTTGTTCTCATTGTTATCGTTCCACTCACAACGTCTCAATTCAGTCGTAACTGTCTCGCTCGCTTTTCTTTTAACCCACTTTTGTTACGAATTTTCATTATTCACTGGCGTATTGAATTTTTTTTTCATCTTCATGACTGTAAAAAAAAAATATTGAATTTTTAAAACGTTTTGAAAATAATCTTATGGAAAAGATTTAAAAAGAAAAAATTTTTTTCTAATTTTTTTTTTTTTTTTTGAAAACTGACGAAAAACGTTTTATCGCAAAAGAAAATTAGATGAAAATATGTTTAAAACAGAAAAATTTGAATTTCATTATAAGAAATTCAGTGATAAATAAAACGAAATAAAGGGGAAAAAAAATTCAAGAACCAGTAATAGAAAAAATCATCGACTAGACATCATTTCATAAATGTAAATACACGGCATTGTCATGACAATTAACTTATTACGTGTTGTAATGGCAGTAACAGCCGACTAGTCAGAAGAATGAGGTTCTGTGAGCACAAATATAATTAGATGTTTAGTAAATGTATCTCCTTTTTCCAAAAAAAAAATTCTTTTTCTGAGTCGATATCTTCGCTACAAAACTTTTTCTTTTTGTTAAAAACAAAATTGAAAAGATTATTAGGATTAATTTTGTTCAAAATAAATAATTAAGGATTTCGATTTTGAAAAAAAATATGTGATTTGTGCTCACAATTGCGCACTTTTTTTTACTTGTATGGTCGATTAAATAAGACTTATAATTTAAACAAAATGAAAAAAAAAATTATCTTCTAAGCTGAAAGGCAAAAAGAGAGAGAAAGAAAGAGAGTGATTTGCGTGTCAAAGTCGTTCATTATACAAGGTTGTTATTTTTAATCTATTTATTGACTAAGAAATCGTTCTTAATTAGTTTCGCCAAATGCTAAGACCTTTGATTTTGAAGCTATCGTTTCTTTTTTTTCTTTTTATTTACCATTATGAAACGTAAGAAAAATTCATCTAAAACTGTAAAGCATTCAAGTAATTTATGTACCTGAATTTTTTTTCTTAAATTGCTTACAGTAACTTTTTTTTTTCTTCGGATCGATTTAAAAAACGAGCTTTCAGTTTTGACAAAAAACAAAAACTTAGGAAATAAATGTAATCCTATATTTATTAAGAAAATTTAACGAAACAAAAAGATTTAGTTTCGAGCAGTGATAAAATAAAGCTTTTTTTTTCTTTAAGAAAAAAATTCAGGTCGGTTTACGAAACTGACAATTAATTTAATTAATTAAAATAAAAAACCGACATTATTGTTTGACAATTAAGTTTCTAAAATTTTATCGTTTCAAGGATATAAAATTTATCCCAGTATCGTTAAAACTCAATTTTATCTTTTCAATTTGAAAAATTTGAAGATAAAAACAGTTTTTGAAAATATTATGGTACAATTAGAATTTTAATGTTTAAAAAAAAAATTTTTTTTATCGGTAAAATTTGAATTTATTTTGAAAAATTAAAAAAATTTTATATGAAAGCCAAATAAATTTTGAAAAAAAGTATTATTTATTTGAATCTCTTAATAATAAGTGTATACTCTTAGTATAATTATTCTTGATTTGAATTTTTCTTAATTAGACTTATTAATTTATTTTCGATTCGAAATTTTTTTCAATTCAAATTATTCATAATTTTCGAATGTTTTATTAAAATAATAATTTTAATTTTTACTCAAATTCAAATAATTGAAATTGAATAATTTTTTGGAAATTGAAAAGTATATGTAGGGAATTTAATATACATAATTTGATTAAAAAAAGCTCATGTTTAAATCGAGATTATTTTTTTTTCCTCTAATTTTTAGCTTCAAGAAAAAAAAGTCTTAGCGAAGCTATTTAATCGTACTTAGTCGATTAAAACGTTCGTTTGTGATATTTTTTTATCTACGATATATAAATATATAATTACATTAATCCTGCCTTTTGTAATTTTGCAAAAAGAAAAAAAAATGTGGGACGTTTTATTTTTAATTTATAATTAATTATTATTATTTTTTTTTTTTTGATAAATTCTTTTCGATAAGTTCAATTTTTCTTTATATCTATTCCAGTACTTTTTTTTTGCTATTCAAGCGACGTTCTTTTTATACATTTTATTGTTGTATAAAAAAAGCGATTTTTTCGCGAGGAGGGTACTTAATATTTTTTTCTTTTTTTACTCTACAAACAATCTCTATATACTTGTTGTCTTTTTATTAATATGTTAATTAATATAATTCATCTCTAGATAGTTCAAAGGTTAGCACAAATTTGTTGGTAAAACGGTTTTTATCCGATACCTGCTTCCCATTCTCGAAAGACTACAAATATTACGACAAGTATATCTATATTATTATAGGAATTAGTTATTTATCTCATGAATCAAATATTTATAAATAATTGTCAAATACTTTTTTTAGTTCATCATTGATGACAATAAAAGTTTAATTAAATGATTGTTGTACTTGCGAGAACAGATTAAGAAATTCTGGACTTTGGGGTAACATAATAGTGAATACAAGGAATTTTTTCTCAAAAAAGTATTTTTTCATTTCTTTTCAAAATTATATAAGTTCTTCAATTTAAATATTTTATAATATTTTATTTAATATTTATTTTTTATAATTAATAATTATAAAAAAATTCAGTACTTTAGGGAACTATAAATTGTTTTAATTTGTATTTTTTAGAAATGTTTTTTCAAAAATTGAAAGAAAAGAAAAATATATATTTTTTTTTTGAGAAAATTCGTTGAATTCATTTTTTAAGCGCAAAAATATGTACCGAATTGTAAAGCGCTTCCAACAATTTACGATGTACTTATTTGTATATTTTTTAATTAGACTTAAGTTAAATGGCAAAAAGGACTGGCTTTTTATAAATTTGCCAAGTCATTGATCTCACAAGTTAACGACAAGACACGTAAATGATCTCTCGAAGTGATTATTATAAATATATTTTCAAATAAGCTGAACAGTGGTAGATTCGACTCAGTTTCAGTTGAATTTTTTTTTTTTTTTTTTTTGCCTCCTTAGTTTTTGTATTTTCAATAGAAAATAGAATTTGCCACGATTCAATTTGTAAAAGAAAATCGTTAACTTAAATCTTCCAAAAAAAGGAATTTAAATCTTAATAATTTCTTTTCTTTGCGAAAAAAATGGGAAGATTAAAAAAATGTAAATTTACTTTTAATGATCCAAAGTTTAATTTGTGATTATAATTATAAAATACTTTGAAGAAAAAGAAATTTTGAAATTTATATTTTTCCCTATTTTACAAGAGAAAAATTAAATGTATTTCCCCCTTTTTTTCGACTGATCATAATCGATCCGTTATTATAATATTATATTTAATATCGCTTAGATTAAGAAAGCACGATTTAATTTTGAATTAAACTCGAAAGTACAAAGTACATGAATCAAATAAAAAAAAAAACTTCAGAAGACTAGACCTTTCAAAATGCGATTTTATGCATTGTCGAATCGTAAAATAATTTTTTTTGTTTTGGTTTCTTGAGTTAACTTAAAAAACTCTAATTTTTCTTTTTTTTCCTTTTATGCAAATGTAAATAATGTATGAACTTCGAAAGATGGACATCAGCTCCTTTCCTAAAATAGCGTACTTTTCATGAAAAGAAAAAAAAAATTGGAAATTTTGGCATATTTTTGCCAGAGTGCGATCTTATTTGTTTTTTTTTAAAGTTTTGTGTTTCTCTTTAATTTTGTATCGTCGAATCGATGAGCGAACGCGAAATTAAGAGACACACAAGTTACAGTGAATTCAACACGAGAATTTGAATATCGATGACATGTGAAATAGATTCTTTATCGTTTTTATTTATTTTTTTTTTCATATACCGATCTTGATCTTTCACAGTGTATTATGTATCATCTATTACGATATAAATATTTATTAAAATAAAGATTCCAAACCAAAATGTAATTTTTTTTTGTCTTGAAAAATTGATGAATTTTTTTTGATTATAAGTAAAAAGTTTCGGATTCTTTTTTTTTTTGGAAAATAATTTTAAAATTAAAAATTTGAAGAGTGGAAATAATTTTAACAAAAATTTGTTTGTAAATGTATATACTTAAGTTTATTTCTTACGAATAAGAAGAGAGAACAGTTTATCTGTTTGATTTTGCGACACGTTCAAGTTCGTCCTTCTTCTTAATTGCATAAGAATTTGATGAACCTTTTGCCGCATTAATGAGCTCATCAGCCAAACATTCAGCAATTGTTTTTATATTGCGGAAAGCAGCCTCCCTGGCTCCAGTGCAAAGTAACCATATCGCTTGATTGACTCGTCGCAATGGTGAAACATCAACTGCTTGACGACGCACAGTACCAGCACGTCCAATTCTCGTCGAATCTTCCCTAGGTCCTGAATTTATAATCGCCGTTACAAGTACCTGGGGAAAAAAAAATATTTATTATTTTCCTATATGACAAAAATAACAAATAAAAATTTAAATAAAAGAAATTTGCGTTAAATAATGTAGAAACGAAAAAAAAAAGAAGAATTTTACCTGAAGAGGATTTTCGCCTGTCAGCAAATAAATGATTTCAAATGAATGTTTCACGATACGCACGGCCATGAGCTTTTTACCATTATTTCGTCCATGCATCATAAGTGAATTAGTGAGACGCTCAACAATGGGACATTGAGCTTTACGGAAACGTTTAGCCGCATATCTGCCTGCAGAGTGAGGCAAATATTTTGCATTTTTCTCCTTAACGGCGATGTAATCTTGCAAAGACATATCACTGACTTGTACATCTTCACAATTCCATCGTCCAAAAAGTTTAATTTCAGGCAATTCTGCAGACCAACCTGCTTGCATCGTTTCGGTAGCACCACCACCGAAATCATCAAATGTTTCCATATTATCTCCCATCTAAAAAAAACAAAAAGAGATTAGAATTTTAATTCTTAATTAAAACTTTAAAAATTGTCAATTAAAAAACAATATATTTTTTATATAAATTTAATATTTTGATTGTTATATTAAAAACTAATTTTTAAAATTTTTATGTCAAAAACCTGTCATACAATCAAATTTTGAGGTTAGAAAATCTGAAAAAAACACATGTAAATAAATAACAGAAAATCAAATTCAAAAATTTAATTAACAAATCCTATTTATAAAATAACAAAAAAAATGTAAATAATCAAATATAAAAAACAGTTTAACGAACATAAATAAACATAAATATGTAATGAGTTGAATTCGTGGGACTCGTGAAATTCATTCACCTGTTAAAATTAATCTATACACTAAATTGATTTGTTTGAAATTTAATTTTGTACAGAAATAATTAAAAATTGTTTATTAAATGTAAACAAACAGGTTTTTTTATATTTTCTTACCTTTAATTTGTCAAATAATGTCTCTGTGTCTCAACCACGTGTAAAATAAAGGAGGCGTGCACAGGAAAAGAACAAGACATCTGACGGGCGGAAATAACTACAAAAGTCAGATTCAAATTAGAAATTTTAACACATTTTTTTTTGTTTTATATAGGTAAATAAACAATTACATAAAAACATATATTTCTAAATTTAATTAAAGAATATTCTCTTGTATTTTTTAATTATTAAAAATTTTTAACATTTAAAAAAATTTATAATAATATTAATAGAAAAATACAATAATATAATATAAATAAAATATTAATATAATAATAATATAATAATATTTAAAACATTTAAATTAAAAATATTTCTATAGGAATAATTAAATTGTTTACTCTGACAATTTATATTTCAACGAAATTTAAAGCTGTATTTTTATTAGTTATACTCTTTAATCTATATATTTTATTATATTATTTAATAATTTTATATTATTTTTATTTAAATTTACTGATAAACAATCATTACTTCGTTTAATTATTAACAATTAATTGATTAATTATTAATTAATACTTTGACAGTTATTTCTAACCTCTATTCAATTTCGTGCCACTTCTTATTTTGGTTATATATACGCTCCTAATATAATATAGGAATTACAGGCACATTTTCATTCAAAATTTGAAAGATTCGTATTAGGAGCACATGATGTGCGAAGAAGTGGCACGACGTCAGCCAATCAGAACGCTCCTTTGTGATTTTTCAAATGCTAATTGAAAGTATTAGGAGCAGCAGCCGCAAACAGAGGTGGCACATTCTTATGTATTGGATAGTATATTTAAGCAGCGTTCTGATTGGCTGCCGCTGTGCCACTTTCTCGCACATCATGTGTTCCTGGTGCGAATATTTCAAATTTTGAATGAAAATGCGTCGGTAATTCCTATAACGTATTAGGCGCGTATGTATAAACAAAATAAGAAGTGGCACGAAAAGTAAATACAATTTCCTATATATTTATAGGTTAATATCATCTGTCAAAATAATAATTATTGTAATAATTATTATTAATTATATAAATAAATATTAATTCATTAATTATAAATATGGATTAATAGGAAAATTAATTAAAAATATCTAAAATAGTGAGGTTAACTATATCTTTTGGAATATTGGTTTATTCTTTATATGTCAAAATAATAATTATTGTATACTAATTATCAAATAATTATGATTAATTAAATAAGTGTTAAATTAACTAAAAATGTCTAAAATAGTGAGGTTAACAAAAAATTTAATAAATATATCATTATTCTTTTACAAATAAATGTAAACTTTTATTATTTAACCTCAAAAATAGCAAGTGTCAAAATAAAATAATTTAATTAAACAAAATAATTAACTATCGTATAAAAATAAATTATTATCAGTAAAAAATATAAAAGTAATTCTTTAATTTAAATTAAAACTTATTATATAATTATTATATATTATAATATATATCAAAAAAGTTAAACTGTCAATGTAGATTTAGGGGATCATTAATACAAAAGTTATTTAATTTTTCTTCTGATTATTAAACTTTCCCTTTTTTTCTATAAACAATTTAATAATTGTTTAATTATAATAAATTGTTTAATAATTGATATTAAAAATAACACTCGGTATGTATATAAACATAGAAGGAAGTGGCACAGTGTCAGCCAATCAAAACGCTGCTTAAGGATTCTTTAAAAGCTAACCGAAAGTATCAGGAGCTGCAGCCGCAAACAGAGGTGGCACATTCTTATGTATTGTATTTGTATAATATATTAAAGCAGCGTTCTGATTGGCTGCCGCTGTGCCACTTCCTCGCACATGATCCTGTCAATAACAAAGAAAATCTTATAATATTTATATAAATTATGAATATATTTAAATAATTGAGTTCAGTTTTATCTACAAATTTAAGATTTTAGCTAATATTTGTTGGTAAGTATCAGAATTTCTTATATTTTGTAATGATGTTTTAAATTTTAACCTAAAAAATTACATTTCATCAGGTATTTGTCCGCTACTCTGCTATATTTTTGAGCCAAAATTTAAAAACAAAATTTAATTAATTAAAATTTGTATCCTTTAGTTATTTAACTTCTTTTTTTATTTATTTACAGGGTTAAAAAATGGTATGAAATAACCTCAGTAAAAAAAGCAAAAATATGTTTTTCCTTTCGGCGTGATCAATTCTTCTCAAGTAAGGTGAATATTTGTTTATAAAAATTAATATTGTACATAATTTTTAAATATTAAAATAAAACTCTTCATTACAATTTTATTTAAAAAATTTTAACATTCTTATTAATTTTCTTCTTCTTTCTTGACTATTGAATTTGTATTTTTATTATAAATTCTTAAATGCAATGAGTGTAAAAAGAATTTTCAATCCAGTAATTGAATTTTATATAAAATTAGATAAAAAGTAAAATATGTTTAAAAACAATGAATAATTTTATGAAAAAAGAATTTAGATTCATAATACCTTCAAGTATTTTTATTTTAATATCATTAGCGTGGAATGAAATTACAGGGTGTACAATGTCATTTCCATTTATGGAAAATATTCCTAATCTAATCATGTCTAGTGTTCACAAAATGCGTTATTTTTAATATTTACATATGAGAATTAATCCCTTTTCATATAAATCTCTGCCAGACTATTTCGTTTACATGTTAAAGTGATCGTAAATATTGCCCTCGAAAATACATTATTTTTATCAAAATTTATTGTATTACAACAAAAAATCTTTTAAAAATAATCTCAAAATCAGTTAATTTAATTAAAATATTAATTTAAAAATTTGTGTTAAATTTTGAAATAATTTATTAATATTTAAACAAAATTAAATTTAATTGTTTTAATATTTATAAATTTGTTTTTAAAAAATTATTAAAAACTAAAAACTATTAAAATTATACTATTTATATTTGAATTTGATGTTAAATTTTAATATAACTCTCGTAAAATTATTCTCTAGTTTTTTTTTTCAATTCATTAACTGCTTTCATCATATTATAAAAGCGTTTAATAAATTTTACAAACAAAGAACAATATTATATAATCCTATTTACGAATTTTTGGCAAACAGTTTTGAAAAATTAAAGTAATGAGTCTTGTATTATTAACAATGTCGATGATAATAAATAAACAAAATTTTCTAGTATAACAATATTGAAAAATATTTTGAGATTTTTATAAACGAAAGTTTTAAAACGACAATATTTTTGGATTCTTGGTTTTTTTTATTTTTTTTTACGTGATGTTTAAACTAGTGATATTGTGTATTCAAATTTGCAATTAGTGGTAATTTGTAACTACCTTTGTGTATTTCTGATTTTAACGTGCTACTAGTTCGTTTTCACGAATAACCACTGCAAAAAATATAATAATTATGTTGACTATGTAAACATTTGATTTCGTCGAAGTAATAAAATGTGATCAACTTAATATAATTTATTTTAATGCAGGTTAAAATTTTTTATCGAATACGTATTTCTTATAAAGTATACATTTACTAAAAATAAATCACAAAAATATTTCATTTACAAACAATATTAATTGGTAGATTTTTTAATTATTATTTAAAATAGACAAATTCTAATTACTTAAAATTACATATTTTTGAAATATTGTAAAATTTTGACTACATATTGTAAATATTATCATCTGACTATTGAAATTATTTTTTAAATTAAATACGAACACTTTATGATAATTCTTTAAATTAAATTTATTTTTTTTATTAACTTATTATTGTAAAGTTCTTTTTATTATTTAAAAAAGTTTTTTTTTTAATTTTTCAAATTCAGTAGCAAAACCTGCATAAAACGATGATACAATAAAAAAAACATTGACTATAAGTTTCACAGAAATTGAATTTCAATGATAAAAATTATTCACTCATGTCTGGCAATTGTTGCGTAACTAAAAACTTAAAAATATAAAAAAAAATTCGAAACATCAGTCGAAAATCTTGAAGTTTAGATATATATTTATATATATTATTGGAAAAGAAAATATTGAATTGCTCATAGTACAGAGAGCCTCGAAAACGATTTGCACGACGAAGCATCTAATTAGACAAAAAAAAAAGAAAAAAAAATAAAACGTAGAATCACAGTTGATTAGGTACAATGACTCAAAAAATAAATAAACATTCTCGTCGTACTATATTGGAATGTACTATCAGTACAAAGAGAAAAATTTGTCTTGATCGTTTAATTTGCAACTCGATACGATTTTTAACGGACTCGTGATCGGGAATAATGTGTTAACATATATATTTTTTCGATAGGACGCAATATACTTTTTTTCTAGCTTGTATGTACGTTTCTTTTCATAAAGAAAAGACTCAATTATAATCTTAAACTAGTTTTTTTATACAAAAACAGAGCCAGGAATTTTAATATTATTGAACATTTCTATTATTATTATTATTTTTTTTTTTTGAAGAGGAATTTTTTCGAAATTAATATATAAGGCCATCAGTTCACTAAGTCACTGAAAAAAATATTTCTCTTTAATAAAACATTTTGTCGATATTTTCACAATTACATTGGTTTAACCAAATTCGATTTGATAAAAAAAATTCATTCACATTTTATTTTTTAAAAAAAGTGTATCAAAGAAATGTTTAATTAAAAGAAAATATTATTTTCAGGGAGCGTAATTAAAGAAACGAAATTTGACGAAAATACACACTTTCCTTATGAGGAATTTTTTTCTTTTATAAAAAGGGACGTATTTGTAAAACGTAACAAAGGATCCTAACAATAGAGACTTTTAAAACAGTATTTCTATAAGAACGATCAAAGTCTGAGAGGTTTATATCTTGACTTTTAAAGAGGCACCTAGTTTTTTTTTTGTGTTTGTTCTTCTAAGGAAATATAAATCCTCAAATTTCGAGTGTTCTAAAAATGTTGACAGAATCCCCCCATTCTCAGATCGTAAGGTTTTTTTTAAGAAAAAAAAAACGAAAAAACTGCACGATTAAACGATGCGTTGTGAGGCTGTGTCGAAGCAAACACCAACTTGAATCGACGTAACAATTAGGTACAAACGTCAACTTTTATACATATAATTATTTTAATATGTACTTTGTAGACGAATACCTGACTGTGCGTGGCACAGAATTTTTTCTTTCACGAATCATTTCTTAATCTGAAAACAAAAATATGAAAATTTTATTAGATTTTTACTGTATTTGAAATCATTTAAAAAAAAAACATTAATTAACCTTTTTAATTATTATTTTATTTAATTCTCAAATAAAATTACCATCACACAACTTCTTTGAGATTGTCACGACTCTGTGAATGAATAGTGTGTCTCATCTCGCCTCCTGGTGCACTGTCACGCCTCAAAACTCCTTGTCCAATTACTTCTCGTTTATTTGCCGCTTCTTTAATGCTTGACAATGTTTTACTAAGCCATGGCCAACTATTTCTCGCTGCCGTTAATTCGGCCGCAGTTGCATGCAATTGATGTGTTAAGTCCTTTTTTTTTTAACAAATCATAATATTTTTTTAAATAGTGAGCCAATTAATTCATTTTTGAAAATTAAAAGAAGTCTTTTTTTTATCAATTAAATAGTACATTTCTTTTTACATTCTTACCTGATTTCTACATTCCGCCTCCACGTGAGCTAATTTTGTCTGAGCAAGTTCCAATTCTAGTTCACGTACCCTTTCCTGAGCTCTATTAAGAATTGGATCTATTCGATTTTCTAAAGGATGGGCAATATCCGCTAGAATATTTGCCGATTCCTTCAAGTAATTTCTACATTTATCGCACTTTGATATCTTCGTCTGTTGAAATTCAGTTAGCAATCAATTAATATTAATTTACATTTACTAAATTAATTTATAAATATTTAAAATTAACTGAAAATTTATTATGAGGAAAAAAGAATTGAATTTTCTTTTTTTCTTTTTTAACGAGGAAAATTAAAAAGAGAAACTTACGCGTAAATCACTCAAGGCCGTTTTTGCAGCATTGTAATCATCCTCCAAACGCTGGCAAATCTGTAAAAAAAAAAATTCTTTTATAATTCCAAAAAAAAATTCCTTTAATTTTTTCGGATATATTTTTAGTCGAGATTTTTTCTTTAGATTTTTTCTAAAGCAGTTGATGACAATGAAAAATATTAAAAATTTTCACCTGTTTGTATTCGGCAATGATAACATTGTTTCTTCTCGTTTCGGAATCAGCTCGAGAAACTTCACGTTGTAATATTTCTTTAACTTGAAGAAGTTCAGCTTCCAATCTTTGTTTCTCTTCTTCATTTCTAGCAACTGCACAACGAAGTTGTTCAACTTCGTTACTGTATTCGTCCGCATTTTCCTGTGCCTCTGAAAAAAGAGTATTTTTCCAAATTCAAATAATAAATTAAAAATATTTTTTTATTTATATTTAAATCGCATTTTAATTAGGAGATATATAAATAAATTTAAGCCGTGTTTATTTGTCGAAAAACATATAAAATCTTTAAAAATATTAAATTTGTAATATTAATATAATAAAAAACTTTATAAATGATAAATTTTGAAAATTAAAATTGAATTTAAAAAATTAAATATAAAAATTAAATTAAATTATCAAAAAAATTAAAAATAAATTATACTGTTAAGTTAAATAAATATAATAACGGAAATAAAAAAAAACTTTATTAAACAATTAAGTAAAACAGGACAAACAAATAGATGAGGCGTGATAATTCGAAATGTTAATTTTTAAAAGTGCGAATTTTCTTACTTTTTATTAAACTCTTTGCAGTGTGGCTCATGTTAATAATATGTGGGCGTCAATCGGTTCAAATATCGTTAATAACATTGTCACTCACTCAGAATGGCATTCGTACCTATATCTTATTGCGACATTCGGCCCCTTTTTAACTGCTGCTATTGCTGTTTATATATATAGATATCTTTCCCATTTACAACACAAAGCACATCACGCATAAAATACATTGATCTTTTTTATCTTTCACACTTTAAAGATAAATATGTCAATAAAAAAAAAAAAAAATACATAAAATATTCATTTACATGCAAATTATTGTCATAATAAAAAAAATAGACGTCATTTTCTAATCCTTTTTTTGTAACATCTGCAAAGTGTTTAATAAAACGTTTTATTAAAATTACATATCTTTAACTGATTATAAAATTAATTTTTTATCATTAATTTTTAACGTCATTACATTCCTGGAATAAATAAAATTCCAGTTCAAAATAAATGACATATTGTTTTCTAAATTCAAATAAGCACATTTTTCCAATCTTATTTATAAAAAAAGAAAATAAAACGTTTGTTTTATTCTATATTTAATCCGAAAGCCTTTGGTTTCAATTTATGTTAGTAATTTTAGAAATCGTTGAAAAGTTAATATGGTGAATATTTTCCCCGTGTGCATCATGCATTACTGTCGAAAAAAAATATCCTTAAAAAAAAATTGGAAAAGCTTTACGTTGACAAAAGGATGATAAAAAAAGGGAAAAGGAATAATTGATAAAACTGAAAGTGTTCTAAAAAGGAGTTTATTATCACCAAAACGCGATAACAAAGAGTGTGACATAAATTTTGCACAGAGATGAATGAAAACAACAAAAAAATATTTTATACGCATTATCTGCGATCGATGATAAGCTAAACAAATTAGCAATATTAATCTAAGCCTTTAAATTTATATTAAAAAAATTTATTTTCTTCATTTCTTTCTTTTTAACACCAGTAATTATTAATAATTAATATTTCATATCGGATCGCAGAAAAATATCGAAGCTTATTTAATCTCACAAAAACCGTAGTAATAAATAATAATTAAAATACAAGAAAAGTATTTTTTTATTCAAAGAAAAATCATAAATTTTCAATAATTGAGATTCATCTCATATTTCTTAATTTATAAAAAAAATTATTTTTATTTGTTAATATTATTATTTTTTATTTACGTAACTTATATATTATTTATTAAATTGCTACAACTATAAATATTTTGTCTATATTTTAGACACATTTATGTGAACTAATTATTTAAATAGATTAATTCAATAATTTGTTTGTAGAAGACTAGAATCGTAGTGTAGGTAACATAATATGCAAACGTTAGATCTTGGCAACATGCATATTTACTGTTAAATTAACTTAAACTATTAAATTATTTTGATTAATATTGTTTTAATTAAGAAACAATACTTTCTAAGCAGATAATTAATTGTCAAAACAGTAAATAAAAAAAATTAACTTCCTAATTAAGATAAAAAAAACTTTCTAATATTATAGAAAAAAATATAATCTATAAATAAATATTCAAAACAGCTTTCTGGTAATATGTAAAACTGAATTAGTTGAAAGAAAAAAAAAGAAATGAAAACTTTTTTTTGTTCTAATTATTTTCTAGTTCGTGTAAAAAAAATTCATTTTTTTTCAAAAAAAAAAAAAAATAATAAAAAACATTGCTAATTTGTTTAGTTTGATAAATTTTCGTGTTAAACATTTTTGCTACTCACAAAACATAAATGGATAGTGAAGCAAAACTACGGCTTTAGACAGAATGACAATCACCAGAGAACTACGTGCAAAAGACAAGTGCAATAAGGTACATACGTTGCAATAAAATTGACACGATGATTCATTAAATAACGAGCAGGTATCAACGTGTGAGGTATTTATGACTGCGAAATTTTTTTGTTCCTAACTTTTTTTTTTTTTTTTAACTCAAACGTAGAAGATGAAATTACCTTTGAGTGTCATGAACTCGGCCTCGTATTTCTTTAGTTTTTTCAGCGTTATCGAACATGCAAGCTTCATCACGTAACGCGATACTTCTTCATTACGACAACGCTTTGGCAGATGAACTCGGAAGTATTTCAAAATGCTCTCAAAGTCGAGCTGGAGTAGTTCTTTTTTACATAACTGAAAGAATAAAAAAAAATAATAATAAAAAAGTGATATTTATTTTTAAACGCTTTGAATTTCGTTTTGTGTTCTACGATAAAGTTCTTTTTGTAAAAAAATGTGTAAATTTATTCCAAAAAAAAAAAAAATAATGTTTTTAAAGGAAAAATGACATTTTACAAGAGAAAACAATAATTTTGGAAAATAAAATTTATAGAGAAAGCAAAATATTTTTTAGAATAAAAAATATCTGTCGAGAGGAAACAAAAAAAATGTTTTTAGGCGAGAAACAACATTAAAAAAAAAAATCAAACTCACCATAAGCAAAGCCAATGCTACTTGAAAAAGAGTGTCGAGTCCCTGAAGGAGAAACACGTCTAGAATATGGAAAACTAGATACAGGGGAAATCTGGCGGTAAAAAGAGTAAGAAACCATTGTGCGGCAAACATGTGCGTTTCTACGCCGCGATCACAGAAATGTTTGTAAAGTTCTGGCAATTGATCCTGAAAAATTGAAGAAAAAAACGTGAGTTGAAAAAAAAAATTTTATTAACCTGTAAAAAAACAATTAAAATTTGATTAAAAAAAAAAAATAAGAACCTCTATTAGGCGCTGAAGTTGATAAAATCTCATGTGAAGATTATCGAATCTATCTTTATACAAGTCGCGTAATCCATAATCGTACATCAATTTTACCAATACGCAAAACGCTTGTTCTTCTGGCATCTGTTGGCAAAATTAAATAAAAATTCAAATCAATTTAAAATAATTAAAATTCTTTTTCTAATAAATCTTACGTGTAATAATAAACTGGCAACTAAGAAACTAAGGCCCTGACAATATCCAACTTCCTCATCATAAACGGCATATGCTTTGCTTATCCTGTACAATGAATCTTGACCCAATCCTCCTGTTTCTTTGAAAAAATCATGCGCAGGAAAAGTTCGATTTATATCCCTCAAAATTACACTTTCACAGCTGCTTTCCTGGTAAAAGAAAAAATTCTCTTTTTCTCTTATAATTCTTTAAATTAAAATAATAATTTTCGAAGCAAAAATTAAAAAAAAATTTTTTTTTCACGCACTTTTGTAATTAACATTCGATATTTGTCCATCATTTCTTGAGAATTATCGCAATTACTTAATCTCTGCCATACTTCGCCTCTTAAAGCTTCAGGTATTCCTTGTTTTGTTAATTTAATTAAAAGTTTTGGACGTTGCTCATTAAATTGCCAACTGTCTAAAACTTCCGCCCAACTTGCTAGTTCATCAGCTGAACAATCTTTTGAAACTTCACCAGTACCACTTAACATTGGCTCGTCTCCATCTAGTTAGAATTTTTAATTTATTTTCTCTAAACAATTAAAAAAATTAAAGGAATTTTTTATTCGAATTACAAAAATTTAATACCTGAATCGATTTCTTCCTTTGGTGTGAGTGTATCGATACTCGTGAGCGATGGTGATCTTATTAATGACGCTAAATTGAGAGCAAGATTTAATCGATTTCTATCGAGTTCACCAGATGTTTCGATATTTTGTACCTCGTAATGAATATCCGATCCATCACCCGATATTATCTAAAAAAAAAAAGAAAGAAAAAGGATTAATTGATAATTAATTATTGTTACCATTTTTTTAATTTACCTCTTTTGAGTTGAGATAAAATTGTTGGACTAGGTTCCTTTTATTTAAATACCAAAATCTTTCATTTTGAGGGAATATTTTAACGGCCGTTTCTATTGCAAATCTAACTGGTTCTCTTATTCCTCTTATAACCAAATCAACAGCGACTGTCATAAAAATTTTTCCCTCACGTGGTGTTTCCATATTGAGTGCTTCTAAAGAAGGATCCGCTGGATCCCATCGACCGCAAATATTGTAACATTGTTTGTCTTGCACTAACGGACCGGCTGTGACTTGCTGGAAATAATTTTTTTTTTTAATACAAAATTGAAGGATGAAAAGAAAATGCTATTTTCGTACCATTTCTAATAATCTCATATCACTGTGCTTGACATTTCTCCCAGGACTAACAAGTACTCCAAAACATCTTTCAACTTCTAAAGTAATTCCCCCTTCGCCTCGTGACACTTGCTGAATACTCAAACACACCTGTTTAGCAACATTGCTACGTAATTTAAAACAATTTCTATCTTTGGGAACCGTAGCATAAGCACCTTTACCATCCTCCTCTTTTATTTCCATCGTCACTTCAAAAATGAACATTCGAGAATTAATTTTCTCATTTCCTGGATTATATCCATTGAAGTCACTTCCGGTTAAAGAATTCGTCATTGATCGTGGAATTCTTTGAAATGCTTTGGCGAAACAGGCCGATACTTGTCCAACCTTTTTTTTTTCAATAATTATAATAATTAAAACTTAATTTTTTTTTACATTAACTTAAATTCATCGTTTTAAATATTAAATTAATGCAATTTTAGAAGAAAAAAAAAATGAAACTTACGGCCTCTGGAATATCACACCGAAAAACATGACACTGAAAAATGGCAGACTCCAATGTATCACCGTGAGACCATGTGAATGCAAAACACGCAGCACATGGACCACTACATTCTCCTCTCGCGTAAAAAAGAATTCTATGCACCTCGTATTGAGCTATTGGTTGTTGAGACTCAGCATCGTAGAGACTGAAAATTCATTAAGAAAAAAATTCATTAATATTGCCTTTCTTTTAAAAAGCAAATTAAAATTCTATTAATTTTTTTTATTAAATATCTTTTAATTATAAAATTAAATAAGTTCAACTTACACGACACAACCTTGCGAACTGCTAGGTACAGAAACTGAAACCTTATTCAATGATTGTTCAGCATTTAAAATTTTCATATTTCTCTGAATTTCACATTCAGATTTTGGTGCATTAATTGCCGTTGAACCGTGATAAGTGACCCCATTGAAAATTGTACACTCTTGTTGAACATCGGACAATGCATTTAATTCTAAAATTCCATTTTTGAATTAATTCATTGTAAATTCTGTTTGTTATATCAGAAAGAAAATTTTTATATGTAAAATTGAAATATTGTCTTACCAATAATATCATCATTATAATCATCAGGTTTCATAATATCTTGTTTCTCGGGCGTGACAGTTGAAGAGGCAACATCATAAAATTTACTTTGACCAACTGATTTTGTTTTATGACTAATTTGCGTGTTGCCACTATTTAATACTTTCTGATGATCACTTCCTCCATTTCCCTCCATTTTTGAATCTTCCGTTAATACCTGCAATTTAAAATGTTTAATAATTAATTTCTTCATTTTTGTTATAAAAAATTCAAGAGAAATGTAAAAATAATGTGTGATCAATTTTTGTGAATTATCAAACGCATACTGTGAGACTCTACAATTTGTAAAGGTGTGCAAACAAAGATGTTCATACAAGGAAATTGTGCTTTTTTTTTCGCAATTCGATTTCAGAGCATGAGTATTTTTACATTTTCAATCAGCAAAGCATGGAAATTTGTGTTAATTTATTTTTTTTACGCACACATTGGCAAATATAAAAAATATCTACTTCAAAAACAAGAGAAAGAATGATAGCTTTAAAAGAAATTAAGATGATTAAAAAGAAAATTTAAAAAAAAGTTAAAAACTTTGGAAAACAACAACTAAAAATTTAAATGATTTAAAAATATTTTTTTTCAAATACTTTGTCCTTAAAATAATTCAATTGTAAAAATTTAAAAAGTTTTAAATCAACTTCTTGATATAATCGAATTTAAAAAAAAAAAAATTCCCCGATATGGATGAGGAAGCTATTAAATTGCAATATGCAGATGACTAATTGCCATGTTTTGAAACTGTACATAGTTTCCTTAAATCTTATCACGTTCTCGTTAACAAATCAACTGATATACACACTCTATGCCCTGAATTCGAATTGCAATGAAATTTAGCAATTACCTCGCGAAGGTTGTTTTGCAGATCCTCTAAATTGCCATTATTGGCAATTTTAAGCATTGGCGGTTCAAGTAGCGATTGTTGTTTCGTGATACCTTTGTCACTTACAAATTCATATTCATCGCTTGTCGCCACAGATTCCATTGACTTAACACTCATACTATCCTCCATAACGAAGTCTACAAAATTTATATAAGAAAAAAAAAAACCAAAGATAGAACATTGAATTACTGCGATAAATGTATATAAAATTAAGGAACATAAGCTAGAAATTAGAAAATTATTTATATGAAAAATAACCTCACAAGAACAAAATATAAAAATTCATATATTTATAACCTTGATTCTTAGATATGAAAAATTTTTGAATGTCGCTATTATCATAAACGTTGTTTACAAACATTGAACTTACGTAATGACACAAGAGAACCAGATTAGAGCTGTCATTATTGACTATTTGCATGCAAAAGAGGTCTTGACTATATTAAAAAAACAATAAGGTTAATTCCCGCGAATGCCCCTAAACCCAAACTTCCCTTATTAAAGGAATTTTTTTTTTTTTTTTACAAAAATTGTCAGATAAAGAAATATTGTTTTGTGCATGAAATGACGTGATAAAAAAATATGCACGCCCATATCCACCACTAGAAAAAATAATCACTCTAAAAATAAAAAGAAAAAACCATTTTACTGAACAATTAACACAAGTAAGTGAAAACTTACCAGGAAGGTTGCGAGATGAATTATTCAGATCATTTTAAAAAAATTTTTTGAGGACGATGAAACGTCGTAAAGACCCAATTTTTGCGATTTCGAAGGCCGATCTTGATACCCCCTGCGAATCTGAGAATTGTATGGATATTGCAAAGATAGAGAATCACTGCACAACTGTCATAATCCAATTGTTTTTCAGTTTTTAAACACATTTAACAAAATTTCTTCTTAGGGATATTGTGTGCCCATTGCACCTCACGAATATTGTATATACTTACATCGTTTTTAATCATAAAATCTCGCGATTGACAAAAAGAATTGAAAAGTTGACTGTCGCGCAATGTCAGCCATAGTTAGCCATTCGGTTTTTCAGGCTGCCAGTTCCGGAAACATTCGAAAATTGCCGGAACGGAAGTCTATAATGTCGACTGCCAACTGTTGTTAAGATTCGCGCGAACTCGTCTGCAAACAAAGATTTTTAATTGTGAATTGCGATTAATTTAATAATCGGGAGTTCATAGTGCAAGACGGGTTCAATACACTTGTACAATTGTGTGAGTTTTATCTCTTTTTATCTTTTAATACACTTGTTTACAATGTTCATTGTTTACTTTTGTTGTTTAGTTGTATGTTCACATTTTTACGTATGGCAATGTGACTAAATATTTTTCAAAATTAACTAAACTAGATTATTCATTTAGATCTTTATTAGATATCGATATTTGCAAAAATTTGGTAAATTTTAATGCAAATCAACAACTTTTGAGGTTAGGTTTCTTTTCAATTCGAAATTTTTTGGAGGGAAATTTGAAATAAAAATTAATTGATTTAAAAAAAAATTTGTTTATAAAATATATATTTTTTATTACATAAACATGATATTATTTATAAAGTCTTTATTAAAATATTTATTAGATTAGATATGTTATTATTTATTATTTTAATATTTAAATTTCTTTATCGATTGGTGCTGCCTCTAGCGGCTATAAGTGAAACTATCTTGTCAGTTTTGTTGACTCGATACTCTCGTGTCACGAAGATATCCGAATCCGGGTTTTCCATGAATGGGATATTCGGAAATTGTCGGACTCCTCGCGTCAGTGGTCAGTCCACAAACGACCTCCGTTCCCATTGTTTGATGTGACAAAAGGCATTATTGTTTAGCTAATTTTCCAGTAATCTGTGAGCAAAACTGTTAAAATAGTGATTAAAATCTCAAATAATCTGCATAACAAGTTTTGTGACAATGTGCAAAATTGATTAGTATTCTGCTCCCAGTTTGTCAAAGGATTAATATGAGTAAGCTTAAAGAACACAACTTCTTTTTTTTTTGGTTCATTTTCTGATTGTAATAGATAGTTTAATGGGAACCTGAATTTCATCAATATTTTTCTGGTAAAATTGATAAATCATTTGATTATGAATATTTGCAATTGTAAATTATTTAAAATATTAATTTAATTTTTGTGAGAATTGTTTGCAGAATATGAGGCAAGTGTATATAGAATTCATTGAAAATGTGAGGTTATAAAATCGAAAGATCTGTTCTATATCTCTTACTTGCTGCACCTGCCATCGTAGACAGCTGTTTTGCACTGCAATTTTCTTCACTGTTTTTGCTTCGTGCACATTCTCGGAGATTCAATTTCAAACTGTCATTGTAATTTCCGTCCTCTGTATTATTATTATTGACAGTCAGTACTGTTAAAATGTTCCTAGAAATTGAAAGCTCACACATTTAAACGTATGATATTTAATTAAATGATCGTTTATTTACAAATGAAACAGTATTTCATATGTTAGAAATATTTTTTCACAAATTAATGAAGGAATTTATCGACTTTTTTTTTAGATAAAAAGTTTATTGTACTTTTCATTTGGTCATTTTGTTTGACAGTTCCTTTTTTCACTAATTTAAAAATTGACTGAAGTTATTATTGTTTTGTTAATTTTTTATTTATTAGAAAATTTATTATTAACTTCAATTTATATTTTTAATTGTTATTTAAGGAAAATTAACATAGTTTGCTAGAAAAAAGATAGTGTCAATTTATTTTAAATCAATATTTTTTAAAAGGCACGGGCAAAATAATTTTAATAGATCATTTTGAATACCTTACAGTTTTGTTGTTAAAAAAACAAATTAATCATATTTTCTTATCAGTGAATTAAGTGTTTCTAAGAATGTTTTTTTTTTTTGAACAATGAAATTGTTGTTTATAAAGAAGTATTTTATTTAATGTCTTTTTTTTGTAGAAAATCATTAACTTCATTTAATTCTGAATGAATAGTCGATATATTTATAGAATTTGGACTAAAGTCAAGGTTCGTTCATTTTATATGGAATCACTAAATACTTTTTAACATTAAAAATTTATTTTATGGTATACGAGAAAACTGGTAATATTGGTTTTAATTATTCTAGTTTTTATCTCATTCCGTTACATTAAATAATAAAACAATAAGTACTAAATTTTTTCAATAATTTGTTTTTCTAAAAATAAATATAAAATATTAAAAATAAATTTAAACTAAAAAATGATTGAATGAAGAGTAAAATAATTATGAAAGACTGGATTATGGAAAGTAACTAAAAAAAAAAAGAAGTGCAAGTCTTGCGTTAAATTATTTTACGTTTTGTAAATAAACGCTGTCATTTTACAAATTTATTTGTAATTTTTTTTTCTTTTTTAATTCATACGATTGTATCACGCAAGAATACATTTGTCGATGAGCAATTTCAAAGAACTCAAAGCCAATTTCGTTTAATCCTTACGTAAGGTTTTATCAAGTCGATTCAGACAGTGTGGGAGACACGTGTTCAACTATTGAAAAATACTTTATTTTTAAAGAAATGCAAACAATTAATGTCTGCCGTTATAATTAGCGAGAGAATAGAAGCAGTAAACTATATTGGTGTAAATTTAACGATACTCATCTCACTATTCCTGGAATAGAGTGATTTATATATGCGAACAAACGCACCCTTCTTTCTTTCTTTCTCTCTCTTTCATTTAAGCTCAATCTTGGATTCACCCAATGCTTCCGAAAGCCACCGAATAATCGATAAAACACGAGCGTCTCGTTACTTCATTTCACCTATATGTCGACGATTCAAAATAGAATTGTGGTATCATTTTACCATCAGCAGAGAATTAGGTAATATAGAAAATGAAACCTTGCCTTGAATTTTTTTTTGATGTTTGCAAATTACAAAAAAAAAGCACCAAGTTTAAATAAACAAAGAAATTTCGAGGAAAAATAGTTTTTCTTATATATAAATAAATGAAAAACATTTTTTTTTAAATCTTTACAGAGATGAAAAAAAATATCTTGAATTTTAAAATTAATGAAAATGAAATTTCAGTTTCTCAATTAAAGGAACATTTTCTTAATTCTTTGCTTCAGCTTTATAATGGTAAATTAAAATTTATACTCCCAGTTACAGGTAATTAAACTCTTATCCAGGTTAAATGTGTTCGCTACGATTAGAATTGATTATACAATAAATATATATATTTTTTAGAATACTGGGTAAAAAGTTTTGCAATCATTTTGCTTTTATCACATTTACGAGTTCAATTCTGCAATAACAGTTTGTGGGATTCCCATTGTAATAAGAATTTCTTTTTCTTGCAAAATCGAAATACATTAAGCATGAAATTCAATTAATTGGTTACATTTTCTGAATGAACTTTTTTTTATTCCATTTTGGAATTTAATTTATTTTGAAACTTTATTTTTGTATCTAACAATAATTGAAAAGTTTATAAAAAAAAAAAAAAAAAAAAACAATAGATAATCAAATAATTCGATATATGTTGAGGATAAAGTAGGTCAAACTGACTAAACCTATAAAAATAATTTAGGGGTTGGAAAGACTACCCGTCGCGATAAAAGTACTTCCAAAGAAGTCATTGTTGCGATATCCTCAGGAGTGAATCATCGATTACTATTTTATAACAAAAATAACAAATCAAGCTTTGTAATATAATTAAACGACTTGCGTCATTTTTTTTCTTTGTATTTTAAAGAATAATGTTTGTCTTTCAAAAAATTTTATTAAAGAAAAAATGTTGAATAAAAAATTAATTTCTGGTATTGTAAAGAAAAAATTGATTTTGAAATTAAATTTATTGTCAAATGTGAATATAATTAGAGAACTTTTTATTAAATTCTATGTCCTTGAAAAGTTGCCGACTTAGATGGATTTCATGCTTTTCGTTCCAGTTTGAAATTAAATTTTATGCATGCAGCTTCGTTTCTGACGAGGGAGAATTTTTTTTTTTTTTTTTTTTTTTTTTTTAAATAATAATAGCGAGTAAATTCTTCTATTTAGCGACTGAAACTTAATTCCAGGAAGCAAAAGTCTATTCTCGCGCTCTCCTTCTTCCGGCGAGTGTGTTAATATACTGTAATAGTGTTTTACAAACATTTGAGTAGCCCAATTTACACACACACTGTTTACATATTTCTCGTATTTCGAAATTAATGACTTCTCCCGTGTATTTTTTATTTTTTCTTAAAGGCGAAAATTTTTTTCTCCAACGAAAATAAGTTTACGATTTCATATAATTGCGTGATTAAAAATTTTTTAAAAAAATATTTTTCAACAAAATGGTTTTTGTTGAATGAATATTTTTTTTTTAAATTAATTTTTTGTCGGGAAAAAAATTTGTACATTTTAAAAATGTTTTTTTTTGGTATAGAATTAATAAATTGCTTTTTAAATAATAGTAATTAATTAGGCCTTGGAGGGAAGTGAAATGTTGGACATTCTTTATTGAAACGGGTTCATATGAAACATTTAGATTAATTGTTAGAATGATGTAATTATCAACTGTGTGATCATGAAGCTGTATATAATTGTTTTTTTTAAAGTTATTTTAAAAAATATTTTTTCTGATTTACAAAATCGGAGGTAATAAATAGTGCCCGATTAATGTAATAATTTTTTTGAGGGGGGGCTTAATTATTTTTCAAATAAAATTTTTTTTTTCAATTGTTTTTCCGATTCTTTGAAATTAATTATCTTTTTTTTTTGTAGGTCGAGGAACATGGCATGTGATGGAAATACGACAGGGAGAGAAAAGTGGCACTGAACGGTGGACGACTCGCTTTTAAAAAAGCGATGTCGAGAAAATTTCGTCGAGGTTCACCACGTCTACCTCATCTTCTCCTTCGTCGTCTTTTTGGCCTTCTCTGTTCAGCACAAGCGAGTCTAAGGTCGTGAGGTCAAAAGAAACTATACACAATATTGTCGATTCTGAAAACGACCGTCAAGTTCCTATTCTGATGTTGTGGTGGGTCATCACCCAGTTTATAAGTCGATAAAACGCATCCTTGAACCACCGAAGAAAAAGACAGTGAGAACCCTTTGAGGGCCACTGACCTGCAAAAGAAAACAAGTTTTTTTTTTTTAATTCTCTCTTCTTTTTTTGATAAACGAAGAATTATTATTTTCTGGAAAGTGAAGTGCCTGAGAGCTCAAGAGCTCCGAAAGCGCGATCAAAGTGAAGTGTCCGGGGTTGAGTGAAATGGCATTCATGATGAAAAAGAAGAAATATAAATTTTCCGTGGAAATTGTTCTCGAGGAGCTGACTGCTGTGCCTTTCGTCAGTGCTGTACTCTTTGCCAAACTTCGACTACTGGATGGCTCCTTCACCGACAATTCCACAAGGTAAATTTATTTTTTATATATTTTTTTTTCACAATGTCCATGGGCAAAACTATATTAAAAAAAATTCGCTATTATTTCATATAAAATTCAAATTAAATTGAAATTCTCTCTTATAATCGAAACACTTGTAAAATTCTGACTCAGGCGATTTTTAATAGGAAATATTATTAATTACGTCAGTAGAGGAATCAGATTAGATAAGGTGAAATCATTTTTTTTCATTTTAATATTCATGAAAAGATTTAAAGTAAATAGTAAAAAAAAAATTCAGATATTTTTTTTTTGTGTTTCATATTTTGAAATATTTTTCACACAGGATTTTGTAATGTAACTCCAAGTGTAATTCCTTTTAAACTTGGTCACTCCAGCTATGGACATTTTTATACTTGCAGTTCTATGTCTTAATATAACTAGAGTGATCACGAGATACACTTTCTCTGACATAAAATTTTCTTTTCAAATTAGCACTCACGTTCAATATAATTACATAAAATTCAATTTTTGTCATCCATTTTTTTTTAATTTTTGTGTTTATTTTTTTTATTTAATTTAGAAAAAAAGAATTTTTAAAAAGCTAATAAAAATTTAAAAAAAAAGTAAAAGCTAAAATAAAGAAATTAATAAAATTATGAAATTACATTTGTATGATCTAAATATTTATCGATTAATATTAAATTAGAATAAAAAATATTGTCTGAATATTTTTTTTGTGTTATTTTTTTTAGAGAGGCTTTTGTTTCGCATATGCTGAGGCTGTAAATTCGCTTTTAACGAATTTAAATTCTCTTTCACTGAATCTTAAACCTGAGTAAACACTTTCGAGAATAATATTTCTCATCAAATTACAAGTTGTTGGACACGAAATCTACAATGCACTTGCGAGTTCGTTTATATAAAAAAAAGTGTAATGATTTTTTTTTAAATTCTTTTCTTTTATAATTTTTCTTTCTATCAATTGATGAATCTTTTTTTTGGTTTTTGAATTTTATTCAATTTTTTATATAAAAAAAATCACATTATATGGAATGACTAAAAAAAAATGTTAATTTATTAAAAAATTGAATAAAATTCGTAGAATATTAACAAATATTGCATTTAATGAATAATAATTCGAGATCAATAACACACGTGGTTTTAAAGTTTATACGTCAAAAGGAGAGTAAAAGGCATGAGCCAATTTGATCCAGACTTTGTGAAGGATTAAAAGGAGTCTATTTTACTTTATTTTACAATCTGATCATTCCGTTAGCTTTCTTTCATCTTTCACTTTATGGTATTTTATCGTGTAATTTTATTGACGCTTCTCATCATTGAAAAAAAAAAACTATAATAATTTTTTATACGATTATAATATCGAGTGTGCGCTATATAGAAAGGTTATAAATCACTCAGATCCGATACATTAGCATAAAATAGGATTTTATTTCCTATAAACTTCTCACACAAAGTCTTTGAAACGCATTTATTCGATAGTTCGATTGCATTAGTTTAGTATTTTAAAAATTCTATCTCTCAGTCACTTTTTATCGTGTTTAGTAACTTCAATGCCTTTTATGTCTTCTTACATTAAAGGCCATTCGACTTTTTTTTTTTATATTGTTTCGTGTTTAGTGTGAAATTCAAGAAATGGCACGAGGGAATTGAAAGAATATTGTGAAATAGAGTCTACGGATTAGGAAAATCGACATCTCAGAATTTTTAATTAAGAATTAGTTTTTAAATACAGAATTAGTTTAAACAATTAGTGTCAAGATATATTTCTAAAGCAGTAATTTTTCAAATTGGTCCGAAAAATTTTATAAATTAGTTATTATTTTGATGTTATTATAAAGTGAAAAATCTATAAAAATGGTTCTATTTTCTATTGGAATCTTTGGATTTTAGAAGGGTACGTCCACTAAATTGTGATATTGCTTGGAATGCGAGACCAACATATTGGCCGTGGGCCAAGTTACTGCAAATATATAATGCAAAATAAAAAACAAAAAAAAAACTGAATACTATCCATATTGATCTACATAAATATTTGTAATAAAGAAATTTTTCATACTTGGTGACTGCAAAGATGCAGTACAATTTTTCAAAAATATTTCAAAATATAAATATGGGGTCGTTGAACATCAGTTGGCATCGATCGTATACTAGTATTTAAAAAATATACTAGAAAAAATTTAACAAAAGTTGTAATAGAGATTTTTATTCGCATTTCTAAAATTAGTTTTATATTTGAAGTGTGTTTCCTTTTCTATGTTTGTTTTACAGTTACTTCTGAATTGTTTAATGCTAAGGAAAACATTGTAAAGTAAAGTACTGTATATACGTGAGTGTCCAATTGAAAACCGTATTAGTCTTCATAAAATATTCATGACTCGAAATAATCATGTCCTTTCTCTCTTTGAAATGACAAAATCTCATATTTTCTTGCTCCTTTTAAAAAGTGAAAATTTTTCTAATTTACGTTTTCGATTCTGAAATAGAAATAAATTTTATAAATATTCCTATAGAATTATTATTATCAAGGAATTAATAAAATAAATTTAATATCATTAATTATTTAAAGTCAAATATTAACTAATTAAAATAAATTTCGACTTTTTTGGCGCCTTGAAGTCGATTTGAGGTCTGATAATATTGAAAGAGTTAGAGACAGTATATGGCATTTTCAATTCAACATTAAACTCTATTTTCCAACCTTCTTTAGACCTTGTAAAGAAGGAAGTAGAGCACATGTCTCCCCCTAGAAACAAAAGTAGAAGGCGAGAAACGTTTGTCACTATAATCGATTCGGAAGTAGTTAACAGGCCCTTGAATCGTAACTTTCAATTGAAAAAAAAAAACCCAAACTTTTTTAATTTTATTACAATTAAATTAAAGTAGACAAAAATTAAGTAAAAAAAAATTTTTTTTGTCAATTAATTTAAAAACTACTTTTTTAAAACGTAGTCATTTTTTTGGTACAAATCATAAAATTAGAATCAAGAATCTGTAACATTCCACCAATTGAAAGTTTGTTATTGAATTATAAATTGAGTATAAATATTTCTTTTGGTTCATCTGTTTAATTTTAGGGAGTTTAGAAGCGAGCACGTGTTCATAATTAAATTCAAAAATAGTTGACCCATTTTCATAGGGTACGTTAAACTATAGAGAATTTGATTCTAGTCAAAAAATTTTCAGTTCCGGGTTTGGTAGTATTATTTTCAAACTATTGATTCCTTAATTAAAAAAAGGCATTTTTTTGAAAAAGGGCAGTATTTTGTATATCAAAAAATTATTAAAATTGATAAAGAATTTTTTTAGAAATTTATTATTTTTGTATTATAATTTATTTATAATGTTAATCGTAAACGAAAGCAATATCGTCGAACGTCTATTAAGTTATTCGCGTGTACAAGTTTCGTAATATAGAAAATTTAATAATATAAATAATAATAAAAAATCATATGGTTTATATATGCATTGATAATGGACAATGTCCTGTTGAGAGTGTCCCTGTGTGAAGAGGCCAGTAGATTATCTGCCACCACTTCATGTATCATGATGAGGAAACGCCCGATTACAACGCTCCGAATGTAATAATCTTCGGTGGTGATATAATTTTTTTTTTTTACTTTTTTTCTATCAGACTAGAAAACTATTATTACTTTTTCACTTTCTTGGAGAATTTTGCCGTTTTGTTTTTCATTTTTTATTTATGTAAATTTTTATCATAGAATAGGAATGAGTTCGGGAAATTTTTATTAGATACACTTTGGTCAATGGAAAATTAAAGATCACAATATTTATTAGTCATTTCAAATATGTACGTCATTCTTTAAAAATAACATTCAAGAAAAAATCACAAAAAACAAGTTCTGAAAAAAGAAAATTAGAAGGCAATATTAGTAATTCTATAAAGATGAATATGAAAACTTTTTTTTTTTTTTTTTGAAGCTCTACAAATTTTGTGGAGATAAAAATTCGAAAGCCGTACAAATTCGACTATTTATATGACAAAAAATTGAAACCTTAGAAAATATCAATGAAGAGATAGGATGTTTTAGAAATATTAATTAGTTTTCAGAAAAAAAAAATTTTTTTTTTTCGTTGTGCAACAGGTTGTACAAAGATATGAATCAAGTTATTTTTTATTATCAAATTTTCTTAAAGTTTCTATAGGTTTTTTGAGAGAAAAAATAGAAGATCTTGGTTGATTTTGTATAAAATATTTATTTAATCTTTCCGCAGTAGGTCATACCTCTGAAGAGGCTAGTTTAGTTCTACGTTCATTGAACACGTGTATATATCTTATTTGCATCGTACGTGCGTATTCATCTTCTATGGCTTTACATATTTAATATTCATTCATATGGAGATGTTTATAAAAGAGAAAAATATAATGCTTTGTCACGTGACACCATCAATAAAAAAAAAAATCGCTAACATTTTTTTTTCTAATTTTTAAACTTTTACAAATAATTCGCAATTGTAGAAATTTATAATTTATGAAATTTATTTTTTAGATTAAAATTTATATTTATTTTTCTAAATAAATTTTTTTTTTGTTCCAGTTTTTAAAATCAACTTGGTTTTGTTAATTAGAATTTTATAAAGTAGAAGAAAAAGTCTTCGAGTTTGAGATATTAATCCAAATGGAGTCGATTTTTCAAGAATTTGATTGAACAAGTGTTTTATTGTCTGGATACAAAAGTGGTCGTTAGCCTAGATTTTTTTTTTTTTTTTTTGTTCTCAGTCATTTTCAGGTACATGGAGGCCAGAAATCTTTAGTCGAGAGAGTAGCGTCAGTCACCTGTAGAAAATCAGTCTCGAATCCAGATGAGCAAATTGCTTTCTGTTCCAATTCGACGTCCTTTCAACAAAACAGAAAAAAAAAAATTAATTGAATCGTAACTTTTCATTTCATAAAAAAATATTCATTTTGATAAATGCAGGATTATTTGGAAATTCTGTTTCTTTTACTTAATTTTTTTATTAGGGTTAATATAAAAAAAAAAATTGTAATCTAGTCAGACTTATTATACAATCGAATGAACTGCAGTTATTTATTCAAAGCATTGAATCCGCCTCTCGTAACTGTGATATATGAGCTGGTTTATGCATAGGTATTATGTGACAAAAATAACCTTTTGCAATTCTGATTTATAAATCTAGTGACATTTTGCAGTGTATGAATTTTTAAAAAGAAAATCGTTTTTTTTTTTTTGAAAGAATTTTTATTTTCTATAAATTAGTTGGGAATTTCTACTGAATTTTTAAAAAAAGGAAGGAAATTTTAAAAATTTTAAATGATATTTTGGAAATACCAATTTGTCGATTTATTGTAATTGGATGATAATTATTTTATCGTAGGAAATCCCTTTTGCATTATATATTGAATTTCCGTAGAATCGAACGCGGAGAATCTCCAATGGGAATTACGTCTCTCTCAACGTGACGTTATATAGATAAAGTGTGTATAGAAACCTAAAATAAACCAACTAAGGACGCTCTCGTCCTTCCTGAATATTCATGAGCTTTTCCGTTACGTCATCTTTACTCTGGTTCCCATAACTTAAAAAACACCTCCCTTTATTCCTCCCTCTTGTTTTTGTTCTTAAGAAACTTTAATCTTGTTTCCCTGTGCGTGGGTTGCTTATTAAATTGTTTTTTTTTCCCAATATGCCCTTAACCTTATATATAAAAAATTATTTACTCAATTCAGTTTTGTTTTGTTTATTTTTCCAGATTGCAATTTTTGCTATTATACAACTCTAAATCATCGTAGGGGGAAATTATTTTTGAAATTTCTTGTTAACTAAAAAATTATTGGAAAAAAAAAATTGTACATGCCAGGGACAATATATTTAAAACAAATGGGTCCTTTGCCAACAATATGAAGTTCATCTCCTGTTTCTTGGCTGTCATCATTTCCACACACGCGACCTTGACCGGTCCTAGTTTTATCCTTTTACATCGACCTTCAAATACATATATATATACTTGCGTCATATGTATTAAAAATTCAAATTTAGATAATATGAAATTTTTTCTCTTTCTTTTGAAAATGAAACTTTTCGATTTAAATTCTTTTTTATTTCGATAAAGAATTTTCTATTCTCTTTCCAGTGATATTTTCTCCTATATTTGTAGATCTTAATTTAATTAGTTAATGACACAAGGCAAATTATTCCATTAGATATTTTTTTATTCTCCAATGGCACAATTTTTGAAAAAAATAATAAGATTGTTGTAGATAAGATTCAAATTGTGTCGTGCATATAAAAATGGGTCTTTATATACAAAAGTCGTAAATTTTGATAGAGTCTGTGTATACAATATGATTATTTTTACACCTCATTCTGGAAAATTTACTATTTAGAAATAAAGCAAGGGAATTTCTTTTTATTTTTGTTAATTATAAAATTTTTTTTAGCAAAAAAAAAAAAAGATATTTTTGTATTGTTTATTAATTCATATCCTGATTGGTGTTCGATATATTAATATTCAATGTGATTATATCATTATTAATAAATTGTGGGTAGGCTTCAAAGACAATGATTCGATTTTGCACTTGACATAATCATATCGGAATTTATATCAATGTGATATGCCACCTATAAAAGTACTTTTTTCTCGAGATTTAAAATTTTATGATTTTTTTTTCTCTTAAAAATAGAAAAAAAAGATTAATAATTTCTAATTATATAAGAAATTCAACGATATTGAGATCTTTTTTATAAACTGAATTAATTTTTGAAAATCAATAACCTTTAAAAAATAACTGGTGTATTGAAGATGTAGTTTATCTCGAGAATTGGAACCTTTTCCCAACATTTTCAATTTCACGCTCGAATTGAGTTTCCTCTCGTAAAAACTTGTAAAAAAGTAACACACTGCAAGAGTACTCTCTATTTAATATTGAAGAAAGCAAAGCTTTCTTACCTACTTGACGGAACGATTGTCTATATTTTAACTTCAAAATTTAATATAAAAAAAAAATTCATTTACTTATTTTATTTTATTTTATAATTTATTTAATTAAAATATATTTCTTTTTTTCTGTTTCAGGTAAATTATACAATTATCATACATCTTTAATGAATTCCTAATTAACCGAAGGTTCGTTTATAATAATATGAAAAGGTATGACAAATTTTCATTTAGAATTTATTAATTTAATATTTTGTAAAATATTAAATTTTTTTTAAAAAAACAATTATTTTGAAATGATAGTGATAGTATAAAATATTTATATAAAAAAAAAAAATTAACAGATTATTAATGTTTGGGCAACATTTTTTTTCAGCAGTTTTTGAAATATTTGTTTGTAAATGTTCTTTTAAAAAAATATTTACATTAGATTAATTACATTTCTTTTTTATCTGTTAAATATTTATTTGACCCAAATAAATATATCTTAATCAAATCTAATAGAAATCGAGTCAAATATAATTGAATTGATTTAAAGATTTTTATATTTGGGTCAATTAAATATTTATTAGATCAAAAAATTGCTGCGAATTATCGTAAATATAATTTTTGTAATAATTATATATTTCAAATTAATTAAATATTTAAATATATATATTAAATATAAGAAAAGAATATTAAAGTAATTATTAACACATTTTCCTGATGTAAATAAAAACATTATTTCAAGCATGACAATGACAGTTTTTCATTTGCAACAGTAAACTGTGTTTTATGTGACGTAAAACATGATGCAATGTGTCTTTTTAAAAGTAATAGAAACATTTTATTTAAAAAAAAATAATAAAAGAAATACTGCTTATTAGATTAAGCTTTTTGGAAGCATTTTTAAAAATATTTTCCCCAAAAAATGATTTAATTTTTTTCAACATTTTTTTAATTCGAATTCATTTTTTAGGCCTCTCCCCCCATTTATAACAAGACCTCTATTATATCTTTGTTGTTTCAAACGAGTCGCACATGTTTAAATTGATAAAGGGAAATAAATAGTAACTATTATACACTCGGCCTGTTTCAATAAGCGATGAGCTACTTCCGGAATACGCCTCCATATTTCTATCTGCATATATATATGTAATTGAAAGTGTGCACTATGCGTAATACACTTATATTTTCAACACTCATATATACATAATTCACATTTGCTGAGAAAAATGTGTTGACATGAAAAACTATATACTGAAATGTGTCGTTTGCAATTTACGTTCTTTTTATCCAAATATAAATGTTGTACTCGACACAATTTTTACACATTTATTTTTTTTTGTAATTTTTTAAAATTTATTTTTCGTTTTATATTTTATTTGTCTAAATAAAAATTTTATTTACAGTAAAACGGAATTACATAAAATCGTATATTTTTGAATTTTAATTTCTTTTTACAAAATTGTAATTAAATAAAATGGAAAAATAATTTTTAGTAGAATATTGTATTACTAATTTTATTTAGTAATATTTTTTTTTCACTAAAGATTTTTAGTTCGAAAAATGACTAAAAATTAGAGGAAATTTTCAATTTAAAGAGTAGAGTATTTTATTTTTAGTAAAAATAAGAGCGGTCCGAAAAAAAAATTTCCGTTTTATTGATCACTGATGATGTCATCATTTTGCTTTTTTTTTTTTTATTGTAACAAAATGCCACGTGTTCATCCCATGATTATGTCAGATCCGCGATAATTGTCGAATCGAGGCGAAAGGCGCGGACTTTTGTGATGGCCTTGAATAAAATGTAAAGTCTGGGTCAGGATCTTTGGCAATGGGCCCAGAATCGAAATTCTCCTTTTATCCATATAAATTGCGATAATTAACATTCTTTTATTTTTTTTTATTCTCTTTCCATTTTTTTTACATATTTCCTATTTTTTTGACTTCTTTTCTTTTTTGCATTTTCTTCGTGTTTTGTCACAGCTATTTTTTATTTTTCATATTTTTCAAAAGTCGATATAAAACCTTATAAATGCCAAGTTCCGTTTTCATAATACATTATTTCATGAATATTATTTTTATTCATTTTTTTCTTAGATTCATTTTATTTATGTATTTCTTTTAATTTTTTTATACTTATTAATTTTTTATTAACTAATTTAAAAAATAAGTGTAGAACCTAGTTTTGCGATAATAAATTTTCAAGTTGATTGTCTAATTCTCTATATATAGAGTTAATTATACTGTTGACATTGTGATAAGTTATATGTCAAATATTTATTGCTCTCGAGAAAATATAAAAAAGTGAAAAACTTTTGAATTTATTATTCTAAAGTTTGTACTCACGAGATGTGTTTTAAACAAAATTAAGACAAATTAAGGGTTTGATTCTTCAAGGACGACAATTTATATTATAGTTTTTGGTTAGATCGTATAAAAATGATAATTATAAAAAAGGTTATAGTTTTCGATTAATTTCAGCAGATAACTTTTTGTTTTTTGTTTTTTGTTTTTTTTTTTTGACAATCATTGCAAATAATGGTCAAGGTTTTTTTATTTTGAATTTTCTTTTTTTTTCTATTCGAGTTGATCGTTGGTATTAAAGTTGTGCTACATCACTAATCCAGGATTACATAGAACAGAAAGAATTCTTGATTGTGTATAGTTGAAAATGTATGTACATGTCGCATTGTGAAAAATTCACGACATTCTTGAACTAATACTTATTATGTTAATCAGGTTTTCGTTTTGTATGGTCTTCTTCTTTTTTTTCTTCTTCTTTGAAAAAAAAAAATGCCATAAACAATGCCTCAGTTTTTTGTCTTCTTTATAATTTGAATAACTGTTTAACTTTTTGTCTTTGACCTGAAAAAGAAAAGAAAATTTTTATTTTGTTTTTTTTATTCTCTCGAAATTCATTAGACAAAATTTTTTTTTTTTTTAAAGTACTTTCTTGATATTTTCATCTTTATAATTGCAGAAGTTTAGCTTAAAATCTTTTGATATTTGAATAAAATAGACTTACGCGAGAAAAAAGTTTGTTTTGAAAAGTCAAGAGGATAAATTCTTTTGAAAAGAGAAAATTTTTTATTTTAAACAAAAAATAAAATTATAATTAAAAAAAAAATTTTTTTTAAATTATAATTATAATGAAAAATATAATTATTATACTTAATTGTATTTTTATATAGAAATAATTATTTTAAGATTTAAAAAAAAAGAATGAGAAATTTATTTTTTTTATGATTGAGTGTTAATATTAATACTCACAACAATCAGATTACATCATAACAAATGTTAATTGTATTTTCTTTCAATTGTCCATGGTCTTTATATAATCAGGATTATATTTGATTCCTCGAAGTTTGAGACACAATGTAATGTAGATTCGATTTCTTAATCACTTGGTTAAGCTTTCTGTAATTTGAAAAATTAAAAAATGTAAATTAATATGTCAAAAGTAAAGTTTCTTTTAAAATAATTAAAATTAAAAAAAAAATAGGACTTTAGAATTCGTGGTTAGCAAAGTTATGAGGAGTGGGAAAAAATTGGAAAATTAGGAGTTTAAGTTTTTGAGTCAATTGATAATAATTCTTTCTAAATAGACCGAGACAATATCATCAGATTAACTGTTTTAGATATGTAACGTTATAAATTTTTTTCTCTATTTTAATCCGCTCTGATTGGAATAAAATAACATTGTTTTTATTTCCAAGCCTTGTAAGGGTTATATTGCGGGAGAATTTTTTTTTTTTTTTGTGGTGAGAGAAATCACGCAATCCACTGCAATTTCTTAATACGACACGCTGGATGACCTAGAGTAACGCGTTTCGTTCTCTGTTGTATAAATTTGTTTTATATTGGAATTACGATTTTTTATGCAAGTTTTTTTTCTTCATAAATTTTTCAAAATTCATTTTTGTCTAATCAATATTCTCAAAATTATATATTTTTATAATTCCCCGGTGCCCTTGCCACACAAATGACTATTATTATGGAAAGTGATATGAACTTTTTGATTAAACCACACCTTCGATTTGTTCCACATTGTTCTTCTGTCTGTGTAAATATGACACCCACGCTTTTGTGTATTTTGCATTAAAGATTTTTCCAATTTTTTTTTTTTTTTTTTTTTTTTTGAGAAAAAAAACCTAAGATTCCGATTCTATTGGAAAATTTTTTTTTCTTTAATTATTGTTTTATTTTTTCTGAATTTTGTCATCTAGTGAAGATGAGACTTTATACTAATTATCATTTTACACATCAGTTTGTTTCTCGTAAAGTATAATTTTATTCTTATCTATAATAATACGATGACTTGATGAAAACAGAAAAATAGATTATAATTACAGGATCATATATAGATAAATAATAATTTATTTTATTACTATTTTAATGAATTTTTCCCAGTAATTATTATTTTTTCCTTTTATTATCCGAGGAATGTGAACTATTTAAAATTTTTTTTTTATTTATTATATTATTTGTTTTTTATCATTTTAAAAATCTTTTCTATTACTTAACGGTCTATAGCTCGTAAAATTCTTAAATAAATAAATAAATATTTGTTAGTAAAAAATTTGATTTTTATCATATATTTTTTTAAAGTTGACAAAGATTAATCATTTTAAAATAAAAATTTAACATTTATTATTACAATAAGATATTGGACTCGATCCTTGCTATCTGCTTTATTATATCATTTAAGTTAGACGTTTCCGTTACATTTATTTTTATATTACATCACGGAAGCTAATCTCCTTAAGTATATTTGTTAGACACGCTTTGAAATTTTTTGATTAATAAGATTATATATGAGAAAAACTACAACAATAATAAAATAATTATTTTAAATTAAATTTTTAATTTTTAAACCGCAATTTAACATAATGATGTAAAAATAGAATTTTTTTTTTAGAAATATTTTATTACTTGAAAATTTAATTGATTTTACCTTGTCTGCAAAATGTAAATTTTAGCATTTAAATTGTTACATCACATATATTAATTTAATTAAAAATTCTTAAATTCATAAAAAAAAAATTTTAATTTTTAGAATTTTTTCAAATTTGAATATTACAATATTTGTTGAAATTATTTATCTAAATATTTTCCGCAAGTGAAATTATTTTCGAATCGTAAAAAAGAAAAAAAATAATTTAATGGTATATAATAGTAAGGTTTGGTTTACACTGCAAAATGTTTATATATAGTAAAAAAAAAAGTAACATTTTTATATTTAAATTTGTGTTAAATTTTTTTTTTTTGTGAAAAATTATACTCGTATGAAAGTATATTGTTTTGAAAAAAAAAATTGAAGCCGCATAACTGCAACACTATTTTATAAAGTAGAGAAGTCATTGACCGGCATAAGATTAAATAATGTCAAACAATTTGTTTAATGATCTCATTAAACTGTTTTAATTGAGACTATTATTGATTCACTGTGGAAATATATATATATATATATATGTACAAGATTTTATCGGTGAATTTTGTGTGATTACGTATGCTGGTTTACTTTCTCGAGATGGTGAAATTGCGTTAGTTTCCAATAAAGCGACTGCACGGCTTAGCTGTTCAGCCGAAGGCAAGGCTGTCTCAAGGTTGTTAGCCAGGAGAGTACGTCACACTGTATACACGAACAATTTTGTAATAGTTCTCGCGATGAAATAAACACATATTATTATAATTATATTTTTTTTATCGATCTTTAACAAATTTTTAATTAAAAAGAAAAAAATGACAAATTTTTTTCTCTTTTTTTTCTATAACTTTTGATTCCCTTTTTTTAAATATCAATTATATAAATATAACGATTTATATTTTATCAAAGTACATAATTTTTAATGTTTCGGATAAAATTTTAATTTTCAACCTTGTTCTCTAGACCTTGATGACATTCAAAGGATAAAATTAAAATTTTCGTGATACATAAATATTAATTTACATTTTGAAATTAGCCCATGATTATAATTATTCTAATAGCGCATTCTAAAAAGAATTTGTTTCAATTTATTTGAATGAAATCAATTTTTTTTAAAATCGTATATTTTTATAAATAAATTAATCGATTTTTGTTAATAAACTGAAAATAACTCAAAAAGAAGAAGACATTTGCTTGACCCTTCACCTCTGGTTATGGTTATATCCATCTCGAGTCAAAGCGCGATTATAGGCTCCTATATTCATAAAAGCCCTATTTAAGTTCATTATAACGATGCTTTAGAACAGGCAGCGAGTTGACCTTTTGCAATCAGATTTGGTTACTGAAGTTCAAACACGCAACACTTAGTGCATAATATCTCACTTTTAATTTTTCATTCTCGAATTGTCCAGTAACCTTCACCTTGTTCCTCGAACTGAAAAAAAATTATTTCAAATCAATTTTTATATTTCAACTAAGTCGATTAATTTCTATATATGAAATAATTATTTTTCTTATTGTTTTTACACAAGGAAAAAAATTATTTCAAATAAACAAATTTTTATATTTCCAACTATATATGTCGATTATTTTTTCAAAGTATATAAAAATAATTTTTTTTTCTATGGTTTTTAAATAAGGAGAAAAAGAAAAATTTTTCTAATATTTATTTTATAAATATAGTAGTTTTTTTAATATTAATAATATTTATTATCATAAATAATAAATTATAATTTAATAAAACAAAGAAAAATATTGAAAATAATATATAGAAAAATATGTAATCAATTTTGTTTTAAAAATCTTATTTCAACGCGAAGTGCATGTCTACATTTAATAACCCTCTTGAAAATAATAATAATAAAAAAAAAAGAATCTGTATCTTAGAAATCTCCCCCTGAAGATGCGATCTTGGCTTCGTTAAATGACGTGTGTGCAGTAAATGTTGTGAGCACAGCACGAAACGAACACGCATGATGCACATAGTTCAACGATCCAAAACGACTGACTAAACAAATTGCTTATATATACTCTAATCCAAAATTTAGTTTATTTTGGTTTTCATTTTAATTTCAGAAAGAAATTTTCTCTTTTTATATTGTTCAAAAATAAAAATTGTTTCTTTTTTTGATAACAAAAGAAATATTAAATTATTTACTTATGGAAATTCAATATTTACTTAAACCAAATTTTTTTTAAAAAAAAAAAAATAAATAAATAAAAATTTTTATCCTTTTTATTTTTTTCCACACGAAAAAAAAACAAATCTATTATTCATTATGAAATGGATTTTCATAAATGTAAAACAATATTTTATCGTATAATATTTCCCCCTGTGTTATATTCAGGTATAATAATTTACCTGCTGTTACAGCAGTTCACGCACGGAAAACCTTGTTTATTCATTTGCTGGCACGTGGCCTCAAAAAAAAGCTCCTTATCTTCACTTTTGTATCCATTACATTTCCTTCGTTCTAGTTACAGAATTTGAACGAGCTTCAATACAATAAAATCCTAACTACATTGTTTGATTGTTTCGTTGCCAAGTAACGAAAGGTCTTTCATTAAATATTTAACATAAATTATTTTAATAAAAATAAAAAAAATAAAATAAAACATTTTCAAAACGTATGATTACATAGTTTGAAAGTTTAGTTTAGTTTCCTTCATATAGTTTTAGGGGAAAAAATGGAGGAAAAAAATAATAATTCCATTAAATATTATAAAATCACAAAAATAAAAATGAAATTATTTAAAAAAAAATTTTTAAATGAAAATAAATAGGTTTTTTTTTTTAAAAAAATATTTTTGTAAATTTATAGATCTCGTTAGTATTTTAATCAATTCTCCCTTATCTATTGTTGGATATTTCGCACATAATCACCCACACATTCTACGTTAACCTTCATGAAATTCTTGAACTTCTCCTCCCACGTTAGTTCCGAATACTCTCAGCCTTGTCATTCATAAATTTCCGTCCTCTTTTCATTGCACTTCATACTTCAATTTTTAGTGAAAATTTTACTATAATTAAAATAACGGTAAAATTCAATTAAATGAAATTTTTTTTTTAATTCTCTAATAGCAATGATTTCTGATTAAATTTTAAGCACTTTAATTCCAATAAAAATATAAATAATAAAAGAAAATTTTTTTCCATGTCGCTTTTCAAAAAATGAAATTACATTATTTTTTTCTTTTTTGTCTTGATATTATAATGGTTATAATACTTTTACAAATATTGTATAACAAATCTCGGTCAGCGATGCGTTGTCACGTTTCTTTCTTAAGTGCAATCTGTCTATTTTACTTCCGTCTCTTTCAAATACAAAAACGAATCGACAATAAAGCCGACAATATAAAAATATATATATATATATATAAGGTGTAAGTTAATTTGTCGCGAATTTTCTTCTTTGATATATTTAACCCAGATTTTACAATGTTACAATTTTCACGAGGTACTGAAAAGTCTTTTTTTTTAATGACATTTAAAAATACATTCTCAATTACGAGGCTAATAATTTTTTAAGAGGGATTATAAAAATAAAAAAAAATAAAAAATTATTTTAATGATTTTACAAGAATATTTGTAGAAAATTATATAATAATTAAATCGTAAAAATTCTTTTAGTTTTTTTGAGTATATAAAATGATATATTAATTTTATGAGAATTAATAGCAAAGAAAGTAGGTACACGATAAAAATTTTTATTTAGATATTAAAAAGTATCTTTTTTAATATTAATTCTGATTGTAATATAATCAATCATATTGGATTAAATTCTCTCATTGACGGCGGAAATGATTAAAACATTACTCATATATTTTTTAAAAAATATGATAAAATTACGATTTCGATGAAAAATTGTCTTATTCATGACAATTAAATTAGATTAATTAAATTCCACTTGATAAAAAAATTATTATTGGTTTTAATTATGTTATTTAAACGAATTTGTAAAAAAAAAAAATTTCTTATATTAATTTATATTATTATATTAATTTGATTTTTTTTTTAAATTTTACAAGGAGGCAAACATTTATTTTTAAACATAAAAAGAAATGATTGGTTTGTAGAAAAGTAAATTTCAGTAAATACCCTCTGATTATATCGCCAAGAGCAATAAATGAACGTAAAAAAGAGAAATGGACCAATAAAATAAGAATATTAAAAATTTACTATCTCCTTCGTTTTGTGCTTCCTTATCTTTTTTTTTTTCTCTACCGGAATAACTATTTACAATTTTTGTAACAATTTTTAATGCCTCAACCAGAATTTAAAAAAATATATTTTTTAATTACTTAATGCCATTAAATAATTATTAATAATCGAATAATAATAAATAATATTGAATTTATGTGTTAGGTAAATTTTAACGTTTTGAAAATATTGTCATTTTTTACTGCAACCTTTTATCTTTTTTTTTTATTTGTTGTCTTTAGAGCGATTTTTTTTCCAAATGAACCGTAAAAAGAAAAGAGAAGAGCAAACTAAAATTTATGATTAAGAAAAGGTCAGCCAAGTTATGTGGGTGTATAGAGAACGGAAGCATTTTTACCGGATGTAAACCACACTCTGCATATGTTTCATTTATCATTTCACCTTTATCGATAAATCTACGCCCTAAAATTTGATTTTGACAAGTCATCCTTAAAAATAGTATGTTAAAAAAAGGGAAATTGTTTCGCAAATTTTTTTCTTTAATATATCGATAAACAATTTTATTTTTAAATTTAATGAATTATAAATTTAAAATTTATAATTATTTATTTATAATTTTAAATTATAAATAATTCTATTTATTTTTATACTGAAATTTTTCTTTTATTTTTACAGAATGGAAGTGCAGGACCACACTGTTAGGTGGAATGCAAAATTTGACTTCCTTTGTAAAATGAGTGCCAATGCATCTACTGGAGTCTTAGACCCCTGTAATCTAAGGATATCAGTTAGAAAGGTGAGAATTTGTTTTTTTTTTCTTTGTTTTCCAGTAAAATAATAATCAGAGATGCTAATTTTGTTTCACGTTTTGTGATTTTTAAATTTTTTATAAAACTTAATTCAATTTAATTTTTAATTAAAAATTTTGATCTTTCTATTATTTCTAAGTGATAATTAATTAATTTGGAATTACTTTTTATTTAGGAATTGAAGGGAGGCAGGTCCTACCAAAAACTCGGTTTCTGCGACTTAAATCTTGCCGAATTCGCTGGAGCTGGTCTCTGTCGAAGAAGGTGTCTTTTGGAGGGTTATGACGCGAGGCATCGTCAGGATAATTCTATGCTGCGAGTCTCTATAAAAATGAACATGGTTTCAGGAGATATTCTCTTTAAAGTGTAAGAAAAAAATTTTTTTTCTCCGTTCTTCCATTTTAAAATTAATTTAAATTATTATTTATTTATTGTAAATAAAAATTAATATTCACATTTAATTTGCAATTACAGACCTTCGCCATCGTTGAAACAAACACAATTGGCAGTTCCGGGTGCTCCTGGAATTCCTGGAGTGACTGCTGACGAAGTTAGTTCAACTGACAGATGTAGTAATCGAGAGGATTACGTTTCCACTGGTTCTTTAGCAGGTAGTATAGCCAGTGCCAGCAGCGGATTCGGCAGTCTTCCTAAGAAGAGGCCGGCACTCTTCTCTTCAGGTCATCTTTCTATTTCGTTTTTTTTTTTTTTTTAATTTTTCTTTCCATTTTTTACCGTTTAGTTTTTTTCTTTTCGTTTTTCTTCAATTTTTTATACACCTGAAAAAATATTTTTTTTTAGTTAAATTATAACTTTTTTTATTTCACATTAGTTTCATATCAATTATTTCACATTCACAATTGGAAAATTATCATTAAAGGAAGAAGCAATAATTTTTAATATAAAAAAAAAACAATTTTGCTGCTAGTTAGGTAGTTGAAACTTTTTTTTTATTCTAAAAGAATATAATTATTTCTTGTAGAATTACTAAGCGGGACGGAGTTGTACGATCCAATGACATTGAGCGAGGTAATTCCTTCAGTTCTTCCAGTAGATGCTTCAACGGAAACACAAGCAGAATCTGGACACTCGAGAAATAGCAGTAACACGAGTCAGCTCAGCAAAGGATCCGGCTATGGATCCTTAAATTCTCATAGCCAGCACAGTAGACAAAGTAGTAGTGGTGATAGTGGTCATATTAGGTAAGCAAACTAAACAAAAAAAATTTCCCAGGAATAATTATTATTTTTATCAATTAAACAAAAAAAAACAATAGGTTAACGTTCTCTTTCGCGGAAAAAAAAGAAAAATATGTCCATCTTCTTATTTCTTCTTCATCATTTTTTCTTGTGTATAATATAACAGTGGAAGCGTTTTGTCAGCTAATGGATTTTTCTGTCTATACAATTTTTTCTTTCTTATCTACATATAAAAAGGAAAAACTAATGTCTAAATTTCGTTGAATTACTAAAATTTTTTTAATAATTAATTTAGTACTATAATGAATTAAGTATTAAATTAATTACAAATTGAAAAAAAGTAAATATTTTTATCTCTCTGTAATTTACTGGAGATTCTAATATTTAAATTTTCTCTCTTACATCACTGAGAGTTCATTAAATATTTGAGTCATTTTTTACCAGAAAATAGATTTCTTCTGTGAATTTTAAGTCGATTTAGGGAAAAAAAGAATTTTTTTTTAATACAAAGCGAACTAACCAGCTCATTAAAAACATCTCGAGAGGCTAATACTAGGTCCTTTGTAACTCTTTGAATTTGCTCACTTATTTCTTCGACACGCCCTGATCTTCATTATAAGCCTTCTTCACAAAAACAAAATCTTACGCACTTGGAATGATTGGCTTAACTCTTCTTTTTTTTTTTCTTCTGTTTTTTCCTCTTCCTCTATATTTCTCTCTCTCTTTAAAAATTCTTCACGCACGCAAGATTAAAATATTGCTTTGATCTTTTTTTGGACATTGCGGAAGGATAAGCACCCGAGAGAATGTGTTAAGTAAACATTTTGTATATTTTTCAAGTGTTTACTTATTTTGAGAAACTCTTTTCAGAAAAAAAAAATTATACATTTTTTTCAATAAGTTTACGCATATAAATAAACTGTTTAGAAGTTTTTGGTAAAATTTCAAATTAAATTTCAAAGCTGAAATTTATTTTTTGAATATATTTTTTTGTTATTCTTCCCAATTTTTTAAAATTAATTAATTTTTAGACAGTTAATTTTGTTTAGTTCTGAGAATGAAAAGTAGGATAATCTTTTATTTTTGTTCCTTTTCAATATAATTTTTGTTGAGCTGATTTTGTTTTTCGCGATGCGAAAAATTTGTTGTTTTTTTTTCTTGTCTTAATTTTATGATTTCTGCATGCCTGAATATTGTTTTTTTTGTGTTATCATCTTTTGTAGGTCACCTTCTTGGCCGGTTTGGGCTCCACGCCTCCCGACCCTCTCCCAAATTCAAAGTTACGAAGCCAGCAATGTCGAGTCTTCTCTTCCTAATAATGATCCTATATCACCAATGCCCATGTCCTTAGCAATAATGGATTCACCAACGACAAATCAGTTTTGGCCCACGTCGAGTCCCCTTTCTTCCAAGAAGCAAGGCGACCGTTATAATAATCAACAAAATCGTTCATATAAAATAAAGACATTAATTCTCGCGAATTATGAAAAAAGTAAATTGCAATCATCATCATCATCATCATCGTCATCAGTAAAAAATGGTATCGCAATAATTAATAATAATTTAACGAGTAACAATAATTCTGGTGGAATTTTTAAAATGCCATCAGCACAAAATGTTCCGTCGCGAAAAAATAATTTCGATTCACAAAATGAATATAGTAATAATAAAAATGGAGTTAAAGTGGGACCAAAGCCAAAAATTAGTCAACCAAGTTGGCGAGGCTTTTCAAAAACTTGTGATTTTATTGAAAAAGGAAAAACGAGTCCTGTTTTACGTTTGGCTGAACAGGCCAGAGCTGTTTCCTCTCCTGATCCACTTCATAGACCCGATAATCCTAGAGCCTCGACATTATCTACGGCCACAACTCAGACCTTCAGGTAGGTCTCATCAAGCCACTTTAGCATTTTTTCAAAAAAAAAAAAGAAAATTGAGTCTTTTCATCATTTTACATTATTTTTTTTTTCATGTTTGCTTAATCGAGAAAAATCATTTTCTTCATCGTAGTTATTGTGTAGATATCATGCTTATTTTATTGCAAGGGTGAACGATAATTTATCGCAGTTTGTTTCATGAATCCTCTGAAATTGAGGAATCATCATCTTGATTGATAATTTATATTTCTTTCTAATAGCAAAAACTTGATCTTTCAAGTATTTTTTTTTTTACCAAAAGTTTATTAAATTAGTCATTGCAAAAAATTAATTAATTTTTTCGATTTCTTTTTATTGCAGAAAAATAAATTTGCATTTTTTGCAATTATCAATTTAATTATTAATAAATTTAATTATAAAAAATAATTATTATAATAATATTGATCGTATAATATTATAATGTAATTAATTACAATTATTGTAATAATTGATGATTATTGCTTATAATAATATATTTAAATTAATTTTATTTTATTTTTAATAATAATTTTTTATTCTTATTGTCAATAATTCAATGATTATTGCTAATTATTGAATTATATGTATAAAGATAAATTTAACGCCTTCATGTGATTTTTAAAATTGTCGATGACTACTTTTTCTGATGTCAATATATATATATATATATGACGATTCATTAAAAAGAATTATTAAAATTATTCAATCATTGAAAAAGTAAAGATATGACCATTAAAAGATGAACACCTTGACTGCAATTTTCATTATAGATAATTTATCTTTATATACGTATATAGACGATTTCACAATTGCTACTGATTCAAACAAGTGGATTTGAAATCGTTCATTTTCTCTACATAATTTCAATTATACGCATTTACTCTCGAACAATCAATCTCAGTGTGAACTCGAGATTTATCGAGATAATTAAAAAAATGTAATTTTTTTCTTCTCGAAAATTTTTACAATTATTTAAAAACTTTAATTGAATATAAATAAAATTGAAGTGATTTAAATTGTGAAATAAAAAAATTATTATTAAAGGGTTAAAATTGAAAGAAATATTCTACGATTTATATTTGCATGGTTTTGCTATTTTTATATCTGCTTGATTTCAATATTATTCGTTAATTGCATTAATTGCTTTGTAGCTTTCATCAAAAAAAAAGTTCAAATATTTTCCTATCGCTTTCAATTTCCCATATTTTTATTTTCTAAATAAATATTTTTTTATTAGTCAAAATCATTCACAAGGAACTCGCCTCTAAAAAAAATAATAGAAATATTCGAATTTTACTATTTTATATTATAAGAAGTCTTTTTATAATATGATTAGGAAACTTGTCTAATATAATTATTAAATTTTTGTTTTTGTTTTGTTTAAAAATGTGCGAAGAGAACGTTTTATAAAATAATATTTTTTAAAATCTACCGTTAAATTTTAATTATTTAAAAAAAAAATAATTTTCAGGGAGGCTATCTTTGATCGTTCTGCTATTTTGTTTTTGTTTGTTTTTTTTTTTTTTTTTATAAATTTCTAGTATTTTGTGTCAATTATTATCTTTTATATTCATGTTTCGCTTATATTGCTTTGCGGATTTCTGTGTTTCAAGTTTGCCAAAAAAAAAAAAACGAGTACAGTTTGAAATTTTTCTCTAACTATTCATTGTGTGATTAAAAAAAAAAAGCCAAGATCGTTGATTGCTTCCCTTATAGATCTATATTTTTAATGTCGACCAGTGTTGCTAGGTCATTAAAACTTGAATTTTATTTTTTTTTCTCTCGAAAAATTGTAATTTTTTTTATAAAAATTTATTTTCTTGAATTCAATAGAAAAGAAAAATTATTTCTCCCTAATTTAAAATAATAAATTGATTTTTTAAAAAAATTTCTAAAATGTCAAAGATAAAAAGAAGAAAATTTGGAAAATAGGATTTAATGCATGGCAGAAAAAAATTATTATTTGGGGACTTTTAGCAACACTAGTCAGAAGAAAAAGAAGTCAGTTTTTTTTTGTCTGGATCTGACTGAAGAGCTTTTTTAGTTAGGAGAGCTTTAAATCCTTACAGGGGCGGAGGTCACCGGAAGTTACTGGACGGAGCGGGGGGCAAGTTAGCCACGGTAGCCACCAGTCCAGACTCCGAAGAGTCTTCAACTTTAGCAGTACCAGAAGTCGCGATTGTCAATGCGCAACAACGAAACAGCATTACCCCACCGTCAGTCCTTGCTTTTGTGTTACCTGTGATATTTTTTTTTTTTTTTTTTTTTTTTTTTTTTTTTTTTTTTTTTTTTTTTGCTTTAGTTGCAAAATCCATTTTGCCATTTGAAATCCTACAAAATTAAAACCTTAATTAAATTTGGAATTTAAGAGTTCGACCCATTGACACACAATTTTTTTCGCAAAATCAAGATTTACTTTTAAAATGGATTGATTTTTTTCTGGACTTTGACTCACAAAGAAAAATAAAAGAAAATTTCTCTAATTTCCAATTTAATAATTTTTTAATTAAGTTGGATATAAATTATTCAATTAAAAAAATTATGAAAAAAATTTGTTTTTGTGATAAATGAAATTTTTTTTCAAATTATACAATGGGTTGATATTCTTTACTTTTTTTTGATTTTTTTATAAATGACAAAAATTATCATTATGAAAAATAATTGCAAAAATGGACTTTCAGCAAAATTTCAAACGCTTTCACTTTTATAAAAAAAAAAATTGCATGTTTTGCTTCACTTGCGTTTGGTGGCAGATAAGAAATAAATTGTTCTAAATCTTTTTTTATTTTTCATCTGTTTTTTTTTTAATTGGCATGTTCATTTGGCATTATTATTATTATTCACTGAAATTGATACGCATGGTTTTTTCTATTGTGTCTTATTAGACTTATTTTAAATATTAATTTTTGTTTCTTTTATATTTGTTTTTACTATAATAGAGGTAGACAATAATTTCTTTTTTTTTTAGTTTGAAATAATTTTCTGAATTTTTGTTTACGTTTTAAATTTTCTATTAACACTATTTATTTATTATTTTTCTTTTTAGCAGGAAAATTAACTTAAAGAGAAAACAAAAAAAAATTAATAATAATTAATCAAGGAGGGTGTGAGTGTGTGTATGAATTTTTTGCAGATAATAATAATGAATTTGGAAAAAATTGATTTTCGTACTTTTTTTACAGGAATCCTTCAGGTGGTTCAGGTCTTAGTGAAACTGGGTCTTTGGACCGAGCAAAAGCGGCGCTCGAGCGTCGAAAAAAGGCTGAAGATGGTACGGGAAATTCCATCTTATGTAGGGTTGAGGTAACGAGACCTAATCCCGATTCATTAATAGATGAATTGCTGAAAGCAACGAATCTTGAACAATCGTCATTGGAGAGTAAAGAAAGTATGTTTTTTTTTTTCTAAAAAATATTGTTCTGAAATTTATTGAATTTTATCATTTATAATAATTTTTTTTTCAGCATCGGGATTGCAATTATTTGTAACTAAGGACGGACGAACAGCGTTGGGAACACATGAAGTTAAAAATCAAATGCCAGGAGGCTTTAAGCAGGTGGTCATGGAAGAAAACAACAGGTAACACGAAGTTACGATGTCACGTCGACATTATCCAAGACAAACCTCATCTGCGTTCTCATTAGCGCTTGTACCAGAGCTCGTTTACGAAGCTTGCGAGCCTCGGTAGTATAAAAAAAAAATAAGAGAACGTTGCACTAAAAATAAAAGCTAAAAGAAAATTCATTAAGACTTCGACTCGAATGACGCCACTTGTTACATATTTTAGATTAGCCCATACGGTGTTTAGCTTTTTTTCAAACCAACCTCACTTTTTGCTTTTCATATTTAAAAAAAAAAAATTGCATTTATTCTCTTTTTTTCACAAACAAAATCTCAGTGTCAGAAATTATGGACCATAAACAGTATTTAAATAATGTGTTCAGTTAAATTCAAATTTTGAATTTAACAAATATATAATTAACTTGAATATTTAAATTTTTTTGTTTGAATTTAATAAATTAATTTTATAGTGTGATTTAAAAAAAAATAGCTACGATTTTGAGAAGTGAGGTTTAGTTTCAAAAATTTCACAACGAAGCTTCATCGATGCAACTTAAGAAAAAGGCTCGTAATTTAGAAAAAAAAAAACAAACCTTAACAAAATGGCGTATAGAGTCAAAAAGTCAGTTTTTTGTTATAAGTCAAAAACATTTTATAAAATGGGTTCAAGGAAATCATGTAAATACAAAAGATAAAAGCAGAACTGCTTTTTTTAGTTAGAGAAAGAAAAAAAAAAGAAAATCCCATGACGTGAGAGACACACGCATATATAGATATATATAACTATTTTCTTCCGCGAAATCGAAGCACAAGAATTTTCGTTGTTGTGCTTCAAATAATGGAGCATTAGTCAATAAAAAAAAAAATAGTCGAGATAATTAAAAAAAAAACTTAACGAGAGATGATTAGTTATTGAAAAGAAAATTAACGAATCACGACCGTGGTCGAATAAATAAAACGTTAACTTATGTCGATGCTGCAAATGCACCAACATTTTTTTTCACTGAAAAATTATTTTTAAACAATTTTAATTCTCGAAATATTTTCTATTTTTAATTCATTTCTAAAATTTTTCTATTGTTTTTTTTTACTAACTCTTTTTAAAATTACTTTATTACTTTATTTTCTCAAATTTTTCTCTTCTCTCAATTTTATTTTTTTGAGTCTAAACTTCCAAAAACTTTACAAACCAACTTTGATTCCATTGCGGTTTTACATGCTCAAATCGTAATATTTCAAAGAACCGCGGAATAATCGTCTGATTTTTTTTTTGTTTTTGCAAAATAAGCACACAAAATCGAATGAAATAATTTTCAAAATAGGATAAGAAGTGCCAATTGAAGATAAAAAAAGGGAATCTATTATAAATTTTTTTTTTTTTAATGACGAGGAGACAAAAGTTTTCAAAAATATTTCAGGACGCAAAAAGAATTGTTTTTTTCTTGAAAATAGAATATTTGACAATTTTTTTCTTAAATATTAAACAAAAATAAATTATTTAAAAATATAATACATAATTATTCTGAAAATAAATATACAATTTACGGTTAATTGTGAAAATAAAATAGATTCTTTTTATGAAAGTTGCATTGGTAGAAAAGTAAAAAAAAAAATAAATAAATAAAACATTCGATTTAATCGAGTTTTCCATAAAACTGGGGATTTTTAGTTGGTGCAACCGACTGTTTAATATAGCAGTTTGTAAATATAGTGTAGTAACTGTTATGTAGTTAAGTGGCTGGTGTTATAAGGTTAATTTATGTACCAGTACCTAATTGAAGAAAAATAGAAAGTAATTTAATTTTATTTGTTACAAAATTTACAATGATTCTTTTCAGGAATGTAAAAATTTAATTTTTTTTAACACTTAATTTACAAAAAAAAAAGAAATGTTCTTTACAGTATTAAATCACTAAATTAAGTGATTTACCGAAAATTCGATAAACTCAAGTAAAAGAGTAAAAAACAAAATTGAGAAAAAAAAACTAATATTCAATTTGGAATAATTATGATTAGAATAATCGGAATAATTACGTTATTAATTAGAATAATTAATTGGATACAATTACATTTTTAATTAGAATAATTGAAATTTTATTATTAATTAGGCTAATTGAATTTATAATTACAAAGAAAATTCATTAAAATATTCAGAGTTATTTAATTAAAAATCTTAGAATAATTAGAATTAAAAATTACCAATTTAATTTCTAATCCAGAAAATTTGGAATAAATTTTTTTCCCCCTCTGTTGAAGATTTATTTAAAAAAAAAAATTTTTTTTAAATTTGCCAGTTTGAAAATAAGTCCAAGACTTTTTTTTTGTTAATTAACTAAAGAAATTTATACGGAAATCAGGTATTATATCTTAATCAGGTACTGGGACGTTTACCTTATATATTTTCTTCGTACTTGCAAAATTGTATTGCTGTGTTGGTATGATATTTTAAAAAAAAGGAAAAAAAAGTGGTCGAGAGAGATAATGTGTTAATAAAAGTGATACCTCGCGAAAATTGTTATCAAAAATGAGTGTCGATCGGACGCGGCTACTTCCAGAGTCTCAGGATTTATAAAATTCCCAAAATAAAATAAAATTTCTTTTTAAATTTTTGACTGAATTTTTAATTTTATAAATTTTAATTCTGATTATAAATCTGTTTAACTGTTTATAATTATTAAAAATATTAAACTTTTTGTAATTTTTAAAAATAATGATAATAATTTAATGAAATATGACTGATTAATTCAAATGAGTTTTTATAACGAAAATGCAAATGGAGATTTGAAAAAAAAATCTTTCTAAAGCGACGAAAATTTATTTCATAATTTTAAATGTATGAAATTTATTTTTAAAATAACTTTTCGAATTTTTGCAAAAAAAAAAAGTTTCTTTTAATATTTTCTTTTTTATATTTATGAATTCTTGAGTCTCTACTATTGTTCATGCCAAATCCGATTTTGTGAGTGATACAAATTATTTTTTCAATAGTCGTGAGTTTCTTATTTATATTTATGCCGAGAGAAAGAGAGAATGTTTACTATTGTCCATACTAGTGTGTTAATTGCGCAATTTGCGTGACAATTTTATTTATTTTAGGTGAGAATAGTGCGCGCAGGGAACATGGAACGATTCCTCTTTTTGTACATTATACATACATACACATATATGAAAGTAAACAGAATAATGAGAGTTAAAATATATTCCTTTTTGTACGCTATAAGATCTGAACAACACTTTGATAAAGAAACGTATATATTTATTATTATTATTATTATTCTATGATGTTTATACGAACACCAAATTGTTTAAATATTGAGCGCCAAGCAAAAAAAAAAAAAAAACCCCATAAAATTTTCTAGCAATTATTTATTTTTTTTATGAAAATAATATTAATTATGAATATTAATTTTTTTTATCGCTGTTAATGATGACGTTTGTAAATTATGGAATGAAAGATGAACATTTTATTACGCACCTTTTTTTCAAGTAGTATACAAAAAATTATTTTTTACTGTCAATTTTTAAGATATCGGAATGAATTTTATGCGGGCTTTATTTGTGCGCTCAATTATTAACTCGAATTATTTCAAATTTAAATTTGATCCTTTTTTTTTAATGAATTCTTTGAAGTTTTTCCATTTAAAAAATATAATTAAATAATTCATTTATTAAATTTTATTTTTCTTTTAAATCTAAATCTAAATAAATTGTTTTTGAATTTTAATTTAGAAGGTTTTTTTTTTTTTTTAAGAAGTGAATGGCGTTTCTTTCTCATTGTTGCTTTCTGATGATAGTCTTTTGTTACAATTTTTTGAGACAAGAGACAATTGAAGATATTATTGTTGTGATATTTTACAATGCTGTAATAATACCAGTTATTACCTGTATTATCAAATGTATTGTATTTACTTTTACTTAGAACGTGTGCCCAAAAAAAAGTATTGTACGTACATGTTCGGGCTGATTTCTATAATTTACTGTTGTTGACTATTCGTTTTATCTATTATGTAAAAAAAAACATCGCAAACTTCCATGTGCTGATAAAAAAATGAAAAAAAAAAATATCATGAAAATCAAATGAAACTATTTTTTAATCAATTTTTTAATATACCTTCTTTCTATTAATTATTGATTCAATAAAAAAAAAATTCAAATCTGTTTTAATTTTGAATGAAAATTTTTTCTTAATTATTAATAACAATGATAATAATAATAATATGAATTATAATACTATTTTTATTATTGTTATTATACGGATGGACCAAAAAAAAAAAATTAATTCTTTAAATATCATTTTTCCTTCACCTTGAACTAGATAAATGAACATAACGAAATAAATAATAAATTCGATATTTAAATTATAATGTTGTGGGCATCTTTTATTTTATTTGGCCTCGTTGAAAGTCAGAAAGCAATCCTTTATTGCTGTGTGACTATTTGGAAATTAATATCCAGTAAGATTTAAACACACACGACAGCCTTGAGTAATGTTCAATTCCAAAGTTCAAGGTTTTAATGTCAAGATCAAACATTATTTTGATTTCTCATTTAATATGTAAATTTTTTTTGAAGATGACAGTCAAAAATGTGCGTCATTTAAAAAAAAAGGGGAAAAGAGTGATTTTCAAAAATTGATCATAACAAAATTAAAATAGTTATGATCAATTAAAAAAAAAAAAATAATTTCGATAATTCTGATTACAAGTTAAGATTAATAACAAATAAAATAAATAAATTAATTTTAATTACTAAATTACTTTAAATTAATAATTTAATAATAAATTAATAATAATTTAACTAAGTTCTACTAGGAAAATTAAAAAAAATTTGAATTAACTAATTTTTAAATTTAATTAAGTTTCAATGGAAAATTGTTAAATTTGCTTTTCATTTTTGTAAATTTTTTAATTTTTTTCTACAATATTATAAATTAGTAACGATTGCATAATTTAGGAAGAAGCATCAAAGAATTACATCTCTCGTGGCGAAAAATCTACTTCATATTCAAATAGTAATCGTTCACTGTGACATAATATCACGTGGATAACTCAATGTCGTTCACCTCCATATTATTCACTCTATACATCCAAAAAAAAACCCATTCACTTTTCATTCTCAGATCTCCTCTAACTTCACTCATCATTGTTATTATTTTTTTTTTCAATTAAATGTCAATTTTTAATATGAGACAATTACGTAATTTATATAGGTTCAAATACATTTTTTATTTTGATAATAATCGTCCGAATATCTTTGTTTTTATTTATTTATTAATATAGGTAGTATTATTTTTTTATATTTATTTATTAATTAAACTTCAGCCTTTCGGCCCAGAAGTCGACTTGGTTTAATACAAAATTAATATAGGTAGTAATAAATAATAATAATAATAATAAAAATTAGTAATTATAATATAATTATAAAAATTTTATTTAGTGTAAATAAATTTTTTTTTATTTAAATAAAGAAAGATATTTTTCGTGGATTTTAATTAAAATAAGAAGAAGAAGAATCGGAGGATGAAAAGGGCGAACTAAATTTTCAAATGATGAATAAATTTACAGAAATTGAAAAAAAATATAAGAAGTGGTGCGAAGTTATTAGTGACCTTCAAATAAGAATGTTCACATGGACCTTTATAAAAGTTTTCAATGGAATAAAGTTAGGTACCAGTTTTTCAAAACTCTTTAATTCTAAGTGAATTTTAAGGAGGGGAAATTACGCAAATAATAAAAATAATCTTATATGTCCATTAGTAGAGATAGTGGGGCTGTCAGTAAGAGTTTACTCTTAAATTCTAATACGAATTTTCTTGCAGTTCTCTTTCTAACACCACTCTATCCGGAGGTTGTAACTTAGTTTCCTATTTCTTTTTTTTTTTTTTTTGTATACAGTCAATTTATTGAATTTGAAAATTAATTATAATTATTGAATTAATATCTAATAATTAATAGTTATTAATAACTGTTCATTGTCACATTTATTATTAAATAAATGAATAATTAATTGATATTCTACTAAATAATAATAATTAAATATAATATAAAAATTATTATTTAATATTGTAGAATTAACTTTCAAAAATAATATGACTATTAGAATACAAAAAAAAATTTACATTTTTTTAACAAAAAGAAATGAGTAAAATAATGATCTATAAATCTATCTTTTTATAACGTTAGTTCAAATTAATAATACAAGAATTAATTTCAATAAATTGATTCTTTAATTATCAATTTTTGGTTTTCTTTCATTATTGTTATATTCTAATTTTTTTCAAATAATTTCATTTTATTAAAAAAAAAAAAATTAATATGTAGAAATAAAACAATTTTTTTTGTTATCAAAATGAATCTGAAAATTCGTTCTTTTTGTGAATGAAAATTATTTTTAGGAATCAGTGTCAATGATCGTTGTGTGTTGTTTTGTGTGATAAAATAAATAAAAAAAGTCAAGAAAAATGATTGACAAGACAATTTTAAAGACATGGATAATAGCTTTACTTTTCTCACTATCGGGAGGATATGATATCGACGATAACGATAGAAACAAGGAAGTTATGAGTCGAACACTACCGGCTTATGCATTTGCTCAAAATGCTAATTTATTGAATGGATCTGGTTGTGAAAAGAATTTAATCGAGTTTCGAGAAGCAATTGACAACAGGAAATTGTGGAGTTTAAGAAGTTAGTAAAAAATATTAAATTTTATTTTTTTTTCAAATATAAATAATATTAATTATTTAAAGTTAATTGTTTTAGGTATATTAATTAAATTATTTAAAACCAGGGGTGATTGCAAAATTTCATTTTCAAAATTCTTTTCCCTGATTGGGAAAATTATTTAAATTCTCGCTATAAAATTTTTAATCTTACATACATAAATTAATCAAATTTCTTACCTTTTTTATAAAAATTGTCCCTGTTGTTGTTGTTTTTGATGGTTTCTTTCAATGTTAGTCTGATCATAAAAATTTCCCGATCCTGAAGAAATAAAAAATTATTAATTAACTATATATTTAAAATAATTAGAAAAAAATAAAAATATATTTACACTTTTTAATTTTAATTATTTGTTAATTTGGAAAAATAATTTTTTCAGTATAGAGTGAAAAATTATTATACAATAATTAGGAGATCAATTAAGTGAGGAAAATGAGAAAAGCCGTTTGATAAAAAAAAAAAAAGAAAGAAATTAATTGTAACTATAAGACACGTTAACATAGATTTGCAATGATAATAAATTATGAATACACATACACAACTCAATAGTTATGGTATAATCGTGTATACATGATATTACACAACTGATGGTGTATGCATAAGTTAATTATTGTTCCGATTGTGTCAGGTGCGTGATTATCAGGACGAGAGAGAAAAAGATCCACTTTCGCGTGAATGTTATACAAGAAACTTGTTTTATTCACATTACAGGGAAATGTATACATATATACTATATAGTGGCTATTTCTCCTTGTCATTTTATAAAGCTACAATCATTTCAATGCAATTTACACCAAATGACCCTTACAAGTGAAAATTAATGTCATTTTACCTGACACATTCTTTATATTATTTCCGCCAAAGAGTATTGAACCAGTTGATTTTTTTTTCTTTTTTTTGTAAAAATCAATTCTCAAAATATATTCAGAGCGTTTATATAATTGAATTGGAATAGTTGGAAAATTTATGTAATCAATTTTTAGATTCTATATTTAATAAAATTAATCAAAAATATTTAGAAATTTAATGATATTTTTGTTAAAAAATTTTTTTTTTATGAATTTTTGTTTAATTTATTAATGGGAACAAACTATTTATTTCTAATAAATATTTTTTGTTTACTTAATTATAGTGTTGGACTCAAGTGGAGAACCAAAGCCGGGATTTATTTATGGAAATAATTATTGGTTGGGAATTCGAAGTCAATGTTATGATTCAACAAATAAATCACCACTGATACTCAGTGAAAGAATAAAATTAAATAATTCATTGTATCGTAATGTAAAAGAAGAATTTCCACCGTTTGATGTTCATTATTTTGTTGCATATTTTTTGCACAATAGTACATTACAATATCACGTTATTTTACCAAATGAGGCAAGAATTTATTTTTTTTTTTTTATTACTATTGTAATTTAGTAGAATTGAAATTATTAAATAAAAAAGTTTTCTTTTAAATAAATTCAATTTTTTTCAAATATTAATTTTATAATATTTGTTAAAACTTACTTGTTTTCTTCATTATTTTTTCAGAATATAATCACACTTGGTTTGTGTTTGCCGGCCACTTGTAGCATGATGGAAATTGGATTAATTTTGAATAAAACGTTTCGGGAACGAACACTTTTTATTGGTGATCTGTATAAAGCAGATTTTAAATTAGTAGAAATTAAAGATTTAACGGAAGATAAATTGTCGATGAATTTTAGAAGAATTTTTATTTTGTGAGTAAAATGACAAAAAATGATAAAAGAAATATTGTTTTAAATATATGATTTCTGACTAAATTTTTTTTAATAAAAAAACAAATTAATTGTTTTTATATTTTTTTTGTTACAGAATCATTTTCTCGTCTCTTTTATTAATAATGCTTATGGGGACAATTTACGATGTTCTAGTTTATCAAAAATATTTTAAAATGCAAAAAAAGTTTGTTCAATTGGAAAATGTCCCCAATAAAAATGGTAGGAATTTTGTTAAATTGTTCTTTATTAAAATATTTTAATTTAATTATTTTGTTTCAAATATTTTATTTATTTTTTTTTTTTTTGCTAATTTTTAGAAATGAAGGAATGTAGCAAATTTTTGGAATCACCAATATTGAAAAAACATTCTCAAAGTACTTGGGAAAAAGTGCTTATGTGTTTTTCAATTTATACAAATACAAAAATTATTTTCACAACGAAATTAAATTCCGATTCAATACCAGTGATTCATGGATTAAGATTTTTGGGAATGGCGTGGATAATTATGATTCATACTATATTCTATATGAGCGATTATGCTGGCAAGTATTTCATAATAATTTGATTATGTTAAAATTACCTCATTTTTTTTTTAATGAAAATTAAAAAAAAAAATTATTTTTCAATGTTAAACAGATAATAAACCAATGTCTTGGCGTATATCCGAAGGTTTTGTTGTACAAATAATTTCAAATTCAACATTATCAGTTGATACATTTTTCTTTCTCAGTGGATTTCTTGTCTCTTATTTATATTTAAATGAAAAAAAGAAAAAAATCGATAAAAAGCCAATTGAGTATAGTAAAAAAGTTAACGAATTTTTTGGTGCTATCCTCAAGAGATTTCTCAGGTACAAATAATTTATAATAATATAAATATAAATAAAACAATTAATATCGCGTGATATTGCAATTACGTTATATAGAATTTCACTAATTTATAAAATGTTATGTAAGACTACTTGTTAATAATGTTCTTATACAACAGGCACTTAAAAACGATTTATTTGCTCTAAATCAGCTAATTAATTTTTTCTTTTTTTTTTTTGACACAAAAAACATATATTTATATAATATTAGTTATTGTAAATTTATTATAATAATTAAATATTTAATGAAATTTTTGTTTATAAGATTGACACCAGCTTATATGATGGTTGTTGGAATTGTTGAAGTAAATTCAGCCTGGTACGGTGAAGTTTCACAATTTTACATGTCCGAAAGACCACAAGAACTATGTGCAAAATATTGGTGGAGAAATATTCTTTATATCAATAATCTTTTTGGTAGAGATAAAATGGTGAATATTCAAAATTCTTTATAACTGAATTTAATTTAAAAAAATTAACATTTTTAATTTCTGTTTCATTTTTTTTTTTGCAGTGTATGTCTTGGAGTTGGTACTTATCGAACGATATGCAATTTTTCATAATTGGAACGTTCCTTTTAATTTTGTCCTCCGTGTGAGTTTAAAGTAAAATAAAAACTTGACACAAAAATTATTTTAAAAAAATTTAAGCTTTAGAAAATTATAACTATTTTCAATATTTTCAGATGCTTCTATTTAGCTTCGACCATATTGATTTCATTAATGATCGGATCAATTGGAATAACCGGTTATATTTCATATATTTACGGATATGTTCCAACGTAAGATTTAAAAAAAAAAAACAACTTTTTAAATATAAATTATGATAATTCTATTTCTAATTATTTTGTTTTTGTAATTCATTATTTTAGATTAGATGCTCAATATCACATGCTTAATGTTTTATATGATCCACCTTGGACAAGAATAGGACCATATATCGTGGGAATGATCACTGCTTATATTTTGATAAAGCTGAATAATAAATTACCTTTAAAAACAGTAAATTCTCTTCACTCTTAGATTGTTGGCCATTTGGGAGAAATTTTGATAAAAAAAAAATTCCCTTTTTTTTAGAGAACTGTTGCCCTTTGTTGGATGCTAGGAAGTTCTTGTAATCTCTTTGTACTTTTTGGAATTTGGAAAAGATATATTTCCATATTGTCGGCGGCATTTTATGTTGGACTCAGTAGAACAATATGGGCTGTTGGTCTTTCTTGGTTGCTCATCGCTTGTTGTACACGTCATGGAGGTGACAAAAAAAATTCCCTAATGAGAAATTTAATTAAATTAATTGAAAAAGAAAGTTTTTTTTAAAATTTTAATTATATTAATATTTAATTTAATTAAAAATTTTCAGGAATTGTCAACAAAATTCTTTCCTTTAGAGGATGGATTCCATTAAGTAGGCTCACATATTGTGCCTATTTATTAAATCCTTTTTTAATTAATTCTATTTTCCTTCATAGTGAATCTTCTCAACATGTTGAATTTTTACCTAATGTAAGTATATTATTTTTAAAGAAATAATTTTACAAGATAATAAAATATAATAAAAATTTGGTTACAGACTACCACATTTATGGGAATATTTGCAATAACTTATATTTGTTCTTATGTTCTCACTTTAATGCTTGAGACTCCAAATATTTTGCTCATGAGATTATTAACAAGTCCTTCCAGAAAAAATTGATAATAAAATTTGTTTTATTAGTTTTTAAAATTAAAAAAAAATATTAAATATAATTTGTAAATAGTAATGAATAAATAGTTGATATTTTTATATAAATTTAATATTTGTTGATTATTTACTTTAATTTATTTTAAACACTCAATTTACCGTTTTATTATTAAATTTACAAATATTTACAAGTGACCAGAGTTGGGTAAACACAGGTCGAAAATTGTTCTACGTTTCTTATTGGTTGGTAATTATTTCGTGAAATATTACCAGCCAATAGAAGAGGTTCTTTAACGTATCTACTCATCCCTGCTTGCCTGTCACTTTATTTACCTAACCTCTCTTCAATGTTTATTATTGTCATTTTGTTTTAATGGTAAAAATTTATATTATTTTTTAGTTTTACAGAATATTTGAAATATTAACTCTATTAATTTATAAATAAATAAACCCTGGGTAAAAGAATTTCAAGTTCTTTGCAAATTCTCTTGATTATTCAGTATCGTGAAGTTAACACAATTTATTCATATTTATTATTAATAAAATAAAAATATTTACGATTTGAAATACATTACCTATTTTTTTGTTTAACATTTCGATGTTAAACTTTTTAGGTTATGTTTTCGTGTCAAAAACTTTTATCTGAATATACTAATTTTTTTCTTGCCTTCCACAAAACTTTTATCAATTATTGATTATTTATATAAAACAGTACTTAATTATCAAAAAAAAATATGTAGAATTAACGTTACGATTACAGAAATACTGAAAAATTTTATTTCGTTGTAAACACTCTGACGACGCCATTTTTAATGAGCAGTAATGCCAATTCAAGATAACAAAATACTGAACTTTTTCACTTCTACCAACATGAAAAAATTCCTTTTGGATTTTTTTAATAATCGTTTTTTTGAAATTTTTTTTTATTAATTATTGATAAAATAAAAATAAAAACATTATAATTAAACGTAAAAAACAATAAATTTAACAATTACAATTTTTTTAAAATCTATTTTAAACAGTTTTTTATATTAAAGTATTTTAAATAAGTGCGCCTTTTTCTACCAATGAGAGGGTTGTAGTAACGCAAGCGCAGCAGTTGCGTTTAGTGACGGTCGTTGGAATTTTTGTTTGAACGCCGGCCGTTTTTTAATTATAATTAATTTATCAACAATGCACGCTTTTTTGAAAACCGGAAAATTAGGACCTGGCGAGGTGAAAAAACCCTCAACTTCCCGTAACGCAAAAGAGAAAAGTGGTCCATCTCCTCCTTGGGTTGAAAAATAGTAAGTACATTCATAACCTCAAAAAATTTAAAATAAATATATTACATTTTAAAGTTAAAAAATAAAATAATTGATTTTAGTCGTCCTAAAACTGTTGACGATGTTGTCGAACAAGCAGAAGTTGTTCAAGTACTTCGTCAATGTTTAACTGGTGGTGATTTTCCAAATTTATTACTTTATGGTCCACCTGGTACAGGAAAAACAAGTACAATTTTAGCAGCTGCTCGACAACTTTTTGGCGATATGTATAAAGACAGAATTTTAGAATTAAATGCCTCTGATGAACGTGGTATTCAAGTGATTCGAGATAAAGTCAAAACGTTTGCACAACGCACAGCGGGAGGTGTACGAAATGAGTAAGTTAAAAAAATTATAAACAATAATAATTTAATAGAATTAAATTTTGAGAATTTAAATTCATGCCAATGATGTTTAAGTAAAAGGTTTGAAGTTCAAAAATAATAAACGACATCGAATAACTTAAGATTGTAACTGACTAGTTGCTAATCAGGCAGTTAGGAGAAGATTCTTATTTTGTTTATAATCAACTAGACATTAAATTCATAAATTTCTTGATTAATTTCATGAAAGTATTTGAAGATTATTTCACTTTCATTTTATCGAAAAATTGATAAATTTTTTTTTTTAATATAATAATCAATGTTTTGCTTGATCTATCATCAATTGCTTGAAAAAAGTATTTTTTTGTAAGATACTCCCAATTCTTGATGTTATATATATAAAAAAAAAATTCCTTTGTAATCAGATTCCGATCTTAAGATTCTTTGATTGTTTAAAGAACTTGTGATTACGAAATAATAACTGAGGCGCCTTTTCTTTATAATTAAAATCTTCAAAAAATTTTATAATATTTCTGATGATATTAAAATAAAATAAAATTTCAGCGGAAAGGCGTGTCCACCTTTTAAAATAATAATTCTCGATGAAGCTGACAGTATGACTGTTGCTGCACAATCAGCTCTACGTCGAACAATGGAAAAAGAATCTCACAGTACACGTTTTTGTTTAATTTGCAATTATGTTTCACGTATTATTGAACCATTAACGTCACGTTGTACAAAATTTCGATTTAAATCATTGGGCGAGAATAAAATAATTGAAAGATTGGAATATATTTGTGGTGAAGAGGATATGAAAGCAGAAAAACCGGTGCTTGTTAAATTAGTTGAGGCATCAGGTGGTGATTTAAGAAGAGCAATCACATCATTACAATCAGTTATGAGACTTAAAGGAAAGGGTGTCGAAGTCACTATTAATGATGTCTTGGAAATTACTGGGGTAACGCATTTCTTTAGATATATTATCGTGACAAAATAAACAAATTTTCTTTCTTTTAGATTGTTCCCGATCATTGGTTACACGATTTAATGGAAGTTTGTAAAACTCAAAATTATACAAAAGCTGAAGAGTTTATTGAAAAATTTATGATGGAAGCTTATTCAACAACTCAGGTTTGTTAATCATAAAATTGAAAAGAATAAAAAGAAAAAATAAATAGATATTTTTAAGAAATGAATATTGAAATAGTTTTTTAAAAGCTATAAATTTTCGTAGGTGATAGATCAATTGAATGAAAGGATTATTTACTCGAATTTTTTAACTGATAAACAAAAAGCACATATTGGTGAAAGACTCGGGGTAAGTGAAAAAAAAATAAATAGCATATAAATTTAAATTGTCATGTTTACTTATAGAACTTAAAATTGTCAAAAATGTACATTTTGGAAGAATTTCTTTTAGAAAAAGAAAGAAATAAATTAAGGCGAGATATTAATTTATTAATAATTGGAAATATGCTAAATATTGTGTTATCTTTTACAGGAATGTAGCTACAGATTGCTTGATGGAGGCAGCGAATATGTACAATTAATAACTTTATGCTGCGGTATTATGCAAGCATACGAAATGTCATAAAAATCGTCCACCGGTAATTAATAATTTGTTTTTCCTTTGTACAGTACTAATTCTATATTTTTCTCTATTTTTTTTACCTCAACGGAATAAAAACATTTTTCTAAAAAAAAAAAAAATGTTATTACAATCATTTTGGCACAGCAATGTGTATGTACTTTTTATTACCATTTTCTTCAAGAGTATGCAATGTATCAAAAAAAAAAAATTCATATTTAAATAAGCGTGTACCTTAAAAAAAAAATTATAAATAATTTACGCTTATATTTAAACAGTCATTCAAATAAAATTGCTAATAATTTTTTTTTTTTGCTGCTTGTAGACTTGACAGCGAGAAAATTTCATTAATAAAAAATTAATGATAATAAATTGCTTAATAAAATATAATATGAAACGTATGTATAATTATAATACAAACTTTCTGTCAATTTCATCTATTTTTTTTTCTGTTAAAATTAGCTAAAATATGTTCCCGTTTGCCACGTGATTTATTCACGTGAAGAAAATAATTCTATGAAGAAAAAAAAGAGTTTTCTTCTTTTCGAAATACTTTTTGCAATTTACAAGGCTTTTTTTGTTCTTGTCTTAATATGGTGGAGGTTGATGTTGATTATGATAGGGATGTTGTGGAGGTTGATTTAAATTTCGTTGAAGATGCGCTACTAATTGTGGTGTTTGTTGTTGGCCTACATTGCTACTCTGTTGTTGTTGTTGTTGAACTTGCTGTTGCGATTGTTGATGATGTTGCATATTAACTAACATTTGTTGCTGTTGCTGTTGTCGATAACGTTGATTCATTGCCAGCTGTGAAAATTAAAATTTTCAATTATTTTTACAAATTTGTTAAAAAAAAGTTTGTGTTTATAAATAAAATAAAAAGTAATCGAATTTAAAATGTAAAAAAAAATGGGACAATTTCTCACTTGTTGTAGATGCTGATTTGATTGTAATCCAACGTTAGTTGATCCAACTCCAGAAACTCCAACAGCTCCAGGTTTACCGCCTGTTTGCCTGTATGGTGGAGCTGGTTGATTTTGAACATTTCCACCCATTGGACCCATTGTATTCATTGTTACATTAGGTGTCTGAAAAAGGAGTATAAATTTACTTAAATTTCAATTTATAAATAATTTATTGGCCCTAATCATTATTTCCCCCCACCTTTTTTTTGCAAAGAAAATGATAATTTTTCTAGGTACTCCTTTCCCCTGTTTATTTTATTAAATTAATTAAGACTGAAAGTAATGATTAAATTTTTTTTAATTCAAACAAAAACTAAAGGGCAATTAATTTAATATTTTTTTTTTAATATTTATAAAAACCTGAAGATAAGGTGGTCTCGTTGCATTTTGTTGCATTCTTTGTTGCTGAAGATATTCCTGTCCTCTCTGTGCACCTAACATTTGTTGATTTTGAAACAACATGTTTTGTTGTTGCTGCGATATCATGCCTTGTTGTTGTTGCTGCTGCTGTTGTTGCAAAATTTGTTGCTGTTGTACTTGTTGGGGCTGTTGTTGTGGTTGTTGCGCGAGCATTTGTTGATTACCATAGCCACCGTAGTTTTGATTCATTCCTCCCACTCCTTGAAACAATTTTAGCATTTATTTATTTATTCTTAAATATATAATTCTCTCACGTTATCGTATGTAAAATGTACGAATCTTATTCTTGTAATAAAAAATTTTTTTTTTTTGAAAAAAACAAATACCTTGCTGCATTCCTGTATACATTCCTTGTTGTGTCTGTTGTTGTTGTTGTTGTTGTTGTGGATTAAACATTGTTTGTTGAGGATTCATTGACGCTGCACTGTGTTGCGCCCTAAGTTGTTGCCTAATGAATTGTTGTCGTTGCATACCCTGAAAACCGGCAGGACCAACGGACGCTGGATTTGGTTGTTGTTGCTGCTGCTGCTGTTGTTGTTGTTGTTGTGTGCCCATAAATTGTGTTGAAGGTAATCGCATTCTCAACATATTTGATAGCGCTTGCTTTGATTGATTATTCATTCCTGGACGATCATAACGTGGTCCAGTGACAGCCGGTGGTAATTGTTGACCATAACCATATTGCTGAGGTTGAGGATGTCCTTGTTGATTGGGATACCAATTTTGTTGTGGTTGTGGTGGTTGTCCTGAAAACATTCCCTGTTGTGGTGTCACTTGTGGTTGTTGTTGATTACCATATGGCATTTGTGGCATCTGCGATTGACCTTGAGGCTAAAAAGAAAATAATTGTTTTAAAAATTGTGCTCGAAATAAAGTTTGAAAATTAATTTCTTCTTTTTACCTGTAATTGTTGAGGTGGAATTGCAGTTGGCGTGACCGATCCCTTGATTCTTCGATGTCTTTTCGTTTTCATGGCTTTCCCTTTGCCGACACCGCCTGCAGCTGCACCAATAACACCATTTGTACTGCCAATTCTTCCTGGAGAATCAATACTCATTGGAGTGTCAGCTTTACCTGATTCAGATTCCTTTTTATCCGGTTCCAAATCCTCTGGTGGCAATGGTGGTGGTTCCAAATAATAACTCGATGCCTTGGTTTGACTGTGTGTATGATAGCGAAGAAGTTTGTGAGCAATCTCATAGGTCAGGGGTTTTCTTTCAATTTTCACAGCTCTAAACCAAGACCAGGAGAGGGGAGCTGGATTTTTATGACCTTCCAATAGTTCCCAAGCTGAGACCTTTTGCGAATCACAAACTTGTAGACCCTAAAAAATATATATATTTTTTTAAAAATAACAATACAATTTGAATATTTCTCACAATAACTCACCTGCTTTTTATCAATACTGTCAAATCCGGTAATTTTATTTCCCTTTGTATCTGTTAAGCATCCAACTGGTTCGCAAGCAATAACTTCAATTGTCAATTTTGGCAATGGAAGTAATTGTCGAACAAATTGAATACTTTGTGAATTTCTATCGCCCAATTCTTTTTTCAATTTTTTCATTAAATTTTGATAATGTTTTTTATTTTCATCTTTCTCTGATTGTGAATCATTGACAAGAGTTGAATGTATCAATGTTGCCAACATATCAATAACTGTTGTAAAAAGTTCAGAATTATTATTTAAATCAATAACACCATAACTTACCAATTGAACCAATAAAATAGCCCAATCAGTAGTGACAGTTGTATTACGTTGAATAGTATCAAATACACCGCCAACTAAACTAAATCTCAATTGTAATGCATCTTGTAAAACTTCTCTTGTTTTTGGATCCTCTGAACCAATATTTTTCTCCTCTTTACTTGTACTTAAAAATTGTGACAATTGCGAATGTAAGGATGTTAATAATCCTTCACGTTGATCATCTTGACCCTTGAGGCACGTTAATACAAGCGATAGAAAAGGTTGATGATTAAAAAGTGAAGGCGATTTAGATCTTCCACGTTCTCGATTTGCCGTTTTCGACCAATTACCCGATTCTAATACTTGACCCGCTACTTTTAATACACGACCTTGCACTGGACTTGGAAGTTTTGATACTAATGGCGCAACCAACCATATTGATCCTGATTTTTTATCACCTTTAGCGGTGACATTATTCAATTGAAAAACGTCAATAGCTGCTTTTGCCACTGTATCGAGCCATTGTAATAAATCATTCGAATTTGATGGAAATTGTTTATACATTAATTGAAGATCCAACCACGACATTCTCAAGCTCCATTGTTCTAAATTTTCTAAAATATTCGTTATATGAGTTTTTTGATCAAGAAACGCGTCTGACGATGTATGGGGATAGCATATCATATGTAATAGTCGTTGCGCTTGACGTGGTGTCAATACATCATCCAATAACATTCCAGGATGACAAAGTTCCTCAGGATTTTGAAGACATCTCTCCAATACCCATTCCTGACTGCATATTTGTCTCAATACATGTTGTGCAAAATCAGAAAGACCCTTAACACTTTCGGCAGTTATTCCAGCGCTACTATTTGATGATGACATTCCAATATCAAGACCTAAATCATCACCACCACCAAGAATATCACTAGTACCGAGAATATGACTTATTGATAATTCACCGGGACCCGATCCACTAACACCAACACTACCAGGACCACCAGCCTTACCCGAATGTGTTAATGGAACATCAATTTTTTTTGGAGGTTGTTTACCCGCAGTAGCATCGCCAACAACCAAAATAGCCTTGAGTACAGCTAAAACTGGACCAACTTTAATATTATTGTGCGCCGCAGCCAACAAATGACGATCGCAACTTAATTTTATGCTATATCCTCGTGGATTACCACTTGGCAATGGATGTGGACTTGTACTGACCGAATATAAAGCCGGCTGTGGACATTCACTAGTTTTAAACAGTCTCAAAAGTAAGTGGCATGTTAATCGTGCTCCTGCTTCAGCTTCTGTATCAGCATCACCACGTCCTTCGTTACATGTTTTCACTAGGCACGGTAATGCTACATGAAGCAAAAAATCTTCAAGGGAAAAACAATGTCTCGCTAAAAAACAAAAAATAAATATTAAATTGTCGATATTTTTAATCCATTATTAATTAATTATTTTAATTAATGAAAATATAAATTTTTTGCACAGTTTTTTTTTTTTAGTATTAATAATCAACAAAATTTCGAACAATAATTAAGTTTCAGATTTTTAAATTCAATTTTTTTTTTTTTTTAAATCGAAGATTTTAAATTTGAAGAGCCTGAAATTTATAACCGAAATTAAAAAAGAAGAAACATTGTCTCACCTATCAAAATAGATGTAAATACAGCAAGTGAATTATGTAAACTTAAATCTTGTACGTCCACTTGATTTAATACATCAATATAAAATGTTGAACTACTCGATGATGAACAAAGTGCCATAAGTACACCAAGCCATTCGGCACTTAATGCATTACAACATGCTGTTAATTCTGCGCAAGTAATGGCAATATCATTTAATTTATCATTATCCAATTCACTGCAAACAGCAACAATTGCATTACACACAAAACTGTAACGATTTGCTGGTGTTTCATTTAACATTTTAGCCCATTGTTGTTCAATTTTACCACCTCTTCTTGGACTATTAAATACATCAACCATAAATTGTGAATTATAAACATGATTCGAAGGCGTCGGTTGTAATGCACTGTAAAGTGCTAAACGAATTTTTGGATGTGCATTATTAAATGCCTCAACGCCATGTGGTTTTGTTTTCAATAATGAACAACTTGAATATAAATCATAAAGATGTGCCAAAACACAACGTTCCGCTGAACTGCAATCACTTGGATTTGACACATGCTTAACAACCTTGCAGAGTAAATCAAATACAACTGTCGTTTGTTCAGGAGATACTGAAAAAGAAGTTTTACATTGTTTTAAAAATTATAATTAATTAATAATATTTCGTTGTCTATTTTGTAGAAAAATAATACATTTTTTTTATATCAATAACTTACATAAGAGGCAACAATGATATCTTCTCAAAACTCCAACGACATAAAGACTTAAACTTGTTGTATAACTTCTGACTAGTGTACTATTTCTTGTTGTTAATTGTGCTTCAACCTCGGGCAATTCTTTTAATAATTGAATACATATATCAATTAATCCATAAATATTAAGTGCAAGTTCCATTAAATCAAATAGAAATGCAACATGTTCTTGAACGGGTAAATAAGATGATGCAGAAACTGCAAATGTATTAAGCATTTCAACAACTTGCGTTGCACATTGCCATGTTACAACATGTTGATCAAAATAGCTGAGATTTTGAAATTTTTGTGTAATTGCTTCAAAATTAAATTCATTGCGTGAATGTTTTTTAACTTTTCCACCTTCAGCAACATCAATACTAAATTTCTTTCCAAATAATTTACAAACTTCTTTTGTCATTTTTTTAACGACATGTCGCGCATCATCGCGTACACGGCCAACACCATATAAAAGTACATGTCGTTGATTACAATCGTGTTGACTACAAGTTTCATCCTAAAAGAAAGAAAAATTTTAGATAAAGATTTTTAAAAATACATATACAATTTTATACATTTGACGAATTATTATTTTATCAGTTTAATATAATTATTAAATTAAATTATTATCACTGAAACAATGTTGGACCTCATTTATTTTTTATTTTAAAATAGTTGTTTCTAATGAAGAATCAAATTTTCATTTTTTGTTTTTCAACGAGATAAAAATATTTTAATTATTTATAATAATAACAATGTTGAAGTACGCAACATTTATGGTCAACAATTAGAAATCAATTTTTATTTAACATGGAAAATTATAAAATTGTTTACACTAAAAAAATATTTTTTTTTATAATTTGTTGATTAATAAAAAGTACAAGAAATATTTTTTTAGGCAAAAAATTGTTTAACATAAACGTTGAGTACTTCAGCTTCATTAATAATATAATAATTTACAAGGTGATAACAAAAAGGTATTTTTTAGTTAAGAAAATGTTCCCAATCATAAAAATTCCAAATTTAAATAAAAATAGTAGATTTGCAAAAAAAAAATTACCTGTGGAAGTGGAAAGTGAGTAGTATAAAGTAAATGTCTACTGGGACTGGAAGGTGTTTTAGTATCGAGACCTTCGTGTCCATGACCTCCTAATGCATCTTCTTTTGGACTATCAGGAGCGTCCATACTATTCTGTTGATCTTCTTTTATATGTTGTAAAAGTTTATCAAGATCGTCATCGATTTTACTATCATCACAATCCATTGTTCTACCATAATCAGGCACTTCTTGGTTTGATTTTTTAAATTCTAATCCCGGAAATAGGCTGTCCTCATCCATAGTCTCACGATTACTAGGTGTACTTGGCTTACTAGCAACTGGCCCTGAAATGAATTAAAATTAAATTTTTATTAATTGTTAAATTAAAAATCAAATTAAAATTTTTTTTGTTGAAAATATTGATAAATGAACCTTGTATTAAATCCCCTCTCGATATCAATGTACACATATAAGCATCATGAGAAAAAACATCATGTCGTATTAATTCAGAAAAAAGATGAACCAAATTTGTAAATTGGGCTTTTGATTGTATTGAGCTATTATCTAAAATAGGTGCGTCAGTATCTAAAAATTTCATAAGAAGTGATTGAAAAATAGGAAGCGATGGTGGTGAACCATTACTGCAAACACTGTCCTTATCGTCATTATCATTATTTTCACCGGATGCTTCACTTTGACGTTTTTCTAATAATTTTGCTACGGCCATTGCTCTATGTTCACCCCATCTTTCAGCGCTAACAGCCCATTCACAGAGAATTTCAATAATTGCAGAATCCTGCTGTGGATTATATTCAGTCTTTGTATCTCGTTCATTTGTTGTTGATGTTGTAGTGGTAGTTGTTGTATTTGTTGTTGTGTTTGTCGTTGTTGATGATGATGATGATGTTGTTGTTGTTGCTGTAGCTGCTGTTGATGCTGAAGCTGTTGTAACAACTTCTTTTTGTGTAATTACAAATATTTTTGCATAAAGTGTATCCAATGAATTACTTTGATCCATTCGATCAAAACTATGACGATCGAGTGCATCGAGTGCAGCGAGTACTTTTGTTGTTGTCATACCAGCGCTACTTTGTTGCCATTTATCACATGACCATCGACTTTCAGCTGCTTGTGAACGTGCTCTAATATTTTCCTGAGCAAATCGCAATTGTTTCATTGTTGGATCGGTTGCACTTGCTGGTGGACAGGGTAATGCAGCTGGTGGACATGGAACATGATCAAGTGGTGATCCATTTAAAACTGATGGTGATTTACCCTCACCAACACTATTCCAAACAAGGGCAGTGGGACATTCCAAAGTGATGGCCTACAAAATATTAAATCTATTTTATTAATTTAATAAGAATAATTCTATAGGAATATTATCAAGAAAATTTATTTTCATTTTAGTAAATTTTCTGGTATATAGTAAAAGTGTGAAAGGAAATTTTTCATACCTGTATAATTGCTGAGAGTTCATAAATTATATCTCTATGATGTGGACACGAGAGATAATCATTAAACGCAGTTGTTAATGGATTAACAGCAATTGGAGTTGCAGCGACTGCAGCAGCATTAGCATCTTTTCCATTAATTTCTGATTTCAATGGTGTTGACACAATACAGGGACTTTGTGGATTAAAAGTTGTGTCAACATTACTACACATGTGGGCAATTTTTTTACAACACAAATAAGCAAGACGTCTAGCCAATAATTCAGATTGAACAAATTCTTCTAAATATTGTAAAGCAAGTGGCAGTAATAGTTTTAAAATTCCATCGTCAGAAGGAACATTTTTCATTTTATCTAATAACTCCAAGATCCATTGTAAAAATTCTTGCCTATCAAGGAGTCCCTCTTCAAACATATATTTCGCTAACATTGTACAATAATGCCATTGTTTAAGTGCCAATTTATGTTCATCGTTCATCACTGTATTTGTCGTTGATTGTGAATTTGGAGTTGGTGGTTGATTAATTGCAGTGCCATTTGTTGTATTTGTCGTTGGAACAGCGCTATTTGGTGTATTACTGCTGCATGAGCCATTTGTCGTTCCATTACTATTTGATGTATGAAGAGTTGAATTACCCAAATGATACCATTCGTGAAGTTTTGATAGTTGATCCTTTAAAAATTTAATTAACGTTCCACTCCATTCTGAGGAAAAAAAATATATATTCGTTATTAAAAGTATTTCAAATTTTTTTTGTAATTCAAATATCTTACCTGTAGTGGGATCGGGTAATTGTCGTTTTTTAATTTTTGCCTCCGACACAGCAACAGTGTATGCCGAACTGAGTTTAATAAACCAAGCAGCTCTAAGCATTGGAACTTGATATTCACAAAGCATCATGAATATTTCTTCTTTTTTATTAAAATTTGGTGCTTTCTTTGCAAGTGTTACCAATGGTTTTGAACCAGACAAATCTTTGAACCATGCTTCAATTCCATTTTTTGTTCTAGCAGTAACTGGCCAAAAATTATCTTTTGGATTAATTTGTTGTTTTTTCCTTCCTGTATCGGGCATTGTTGCCAATTCTTCTTTTCTTGCAAGAATACCATTAAAATAAGCTCCAACTTTTGCTGCTGTCACACTACAATGCCTAGCAGTTCCAAATTCATCGGATAATTGGGGCATTGTTGAAAATCCATGTTTAACATTAACTGATGTCAATTCATCTTCTTTTTGTCTTGGCTCTTGAGGATAAACATCAGGTGGACCTAATCTTGGCCTTTTTAAAGGCCGTTTTTCATACAAAATGCCCATCATCGTAAAGTGTGATATCAACTATTATTTATATTATAATAAACACTTTTTGTTGTTGTATTTCAATCAACATATTTCTTTAATAATTGATATAATTTTTTTTTCTTGACACATAACTTTATCTAAATAAATATCAACACACACTTATAGAATGAATATTCGAAACATTTTCTTTCTTTTTTATGAGAAAAAAAAAAATTATATCTAAACACCATCAATTAAGTAGCATAACCTCAACAATTTGACGTCACATAAAATATATCATATTGATTTGCACAAGCCAATTGCAAAAATTCAATTTTTATACAATAATTAAAAGAATTATAATTATTTTTATATTTACGAGATACTTTTTTACACTATTAAGCTAAAATTTATTATGAAAAATTGGATAAAATTCTAGAATCAAACCACCCACGACGCCATCTTGGCATTTTCGCATAAATAACGGAGTTTTAAAGTAGGTTAAATTATTTTTTTTCCCTATAATATTTAATTTTTTATCATTTTGTTCATTAAAAGAAAGCTATTGAACATAGTTAATTTGATAAATGATGTATTTTTTAAAATAAAAGTATTGTTTTTCTATTTTTTTTTCTAAAGTAAACAATAAAATTTATATTGCGCATGCGCTATTAATCAAACCTTTATAAATTAATTTCATTGGTTCAAATTTATAACGAATGGAAATTCCCTAGCGGAAATAGAAGTCCAAAAGTGTCGTATTTCAGATGTCGGACACACCTAAAGCTGTGTTTATAATGACAAATGTATGTAAAAAGAGATAAAATAGTTACTTTATATCTTTTTCTAACATAAGAACGTATCATGTGATTCAAAATCTATTGTATTTTATTAATGGATCGTGTGTGTCAAGTGTGTTTGCATGTCTGCTTAGACCAACAAGAAAGTATTCTGCTTCTTTTCTAAATTTTTTCCCCAAAAAAAAAGATGATTTAAATTTGTTTTTAAACTGCAAGGGAATAAAGATTAATTACTCTAAAATGTTTGTAAAACAAGCTCAAATTCCTTTGAATTTAGTAACTAGATCTAGGTATTTATGAAAATTATTAATCAACTTTTTAAGAACTAACGCATTTTTTTTTTTTGGTTAAATTAATGTAAGAAAATAACAAAATTTTTGATTTAATGTTATTTTCTATTTTAATCTAAAAGTATCGTTAAATAGAATTTATTTGTAAACAGAAAATTTCAGTTTTCTTTTTTTAAACTTTGTTTTAAATTAAAAAAATTTTAATGTGAAAATAATTTTTTTTATGATTTCATTTCTGAATATAATTTCAGTTTCAATCAATTAAAATATTTAAAAGTTGATAAAAGATGTGGATTTGCGTCTGACACAAAAAAATCTGAAAATCCTCAAAATGCGACTGTTTCTTCTTTTCCTCCTTTATCAAAACCATTACCAAATTTACCAACGCCAATTTATTCAACTGTAAAAAAGGAAAAACAGGAAACTAAAATTACAACACTATCAAATGGATTGAAAGTCGCTACTGAAGATTATTTCGGACAATTTTGTACTATTGGTGGTAGGTGGCAAAAAATTATAATGATAAATAATTTTCTATTTTGAAAATATATTTTTTTCTTTTAGTTTTAGTTAATTCGGGTCCACGTTTTGAAGTCGCTTATCCCAGTGGAATTTCGCATTTTCTTGAGAAATTGGCATTTAATGTAAGAGAATTTTCTTTTTTTTCTGTAATTTCTAATTTTTGTTATTGTTTTTTTTTTTTATTTTTTATTTTCAGTCTACGAAAAATTTCGAAAGTAGAGATCATATTTTACTGGCAATGGAGAAACATGAAGGTATTTTTGATTGTCAAGCTTCTCGCGATACATTTATTTACGCCGCTTCTGCAGAAAGAAAGGGTTTAAATTCAATTACACAAATTTTAGCAGATATTGTTTTAAGACCACAAATTACCGAGGATGAGGTTTGTTCATTAATGATATAAATTTAAATAACTTAAATTTATAATTTTTAAATTTCAATAATGATAAATTTAAATAAAAATTAAATATAATTATTATTATTTTTTTGTAGTTAACTGTAGCTCGTCAAACAATTGAATTTGAAATTGAGTCACTATTAACTCGTCCAGAACAGGAACCACTTCTTTTAGATATGATTCATGCCGTGAGTAGTTAATTTTTTTTATTTATTGCTGAATAATTTATTTAGCTTAAAGAATTAATTTGTTTTATCTTAATTTCAGGCTGCTTTCAGGGACAATACTTTAGGTCTTCCGAAAATTTGTCCCGAGGGAAATGTTAATAAAATAGACAGAAAAATTCTTTTTACATATTTAAAAAGTCACTATACACCGAAAAGAATGGTTATAGCTGGAGTTGGCGTTGAACATGATGCTCTTGTTGAAGCTGTTCAAAAGTAAATTTTTTTTTTTTATTTCTCAAAAACAAAAAGTTGTTTTAAAAGAATTGATTATTTAAATAATGTTAAATTGAATTATTTTAGATATTTTGTGGATGAGAAACCAATTTGGGAAGAAGACAATAGTCTCATTATGACGGGAAGAAATGTTGATTTAATTGACGAATCTGTTGCACAATATACAGGAGGACTTGTAGTGGTAAGTTAATAATATTTATTTTATTAAAATGAATTTTTGTATTTTTAAATTTATATTTTTTCTAATTGTTTACCTAATTTTTATTTATTTATTATTTAGAAAGAAGGAAGTATGCCGGTACATCCAGAATCAAGTGGAATTCCAAGATTGTCACATGTTGTAATAGGTCTAGAGGGTTGTTCACATCAGGATCCAGATTTTATTGCCATGTGTGTTTTAAATACAATGATGGGAGGAGGTGGTAGTTTTAGTGCTGGAGGTCCTGGCAAAGGAATGTATACGAAATTATATACCAATGTTTTGAATCGGTAATTATACGTTTTAAAAATTAACCTTTTTTTGCCGGGAAATTAATTTTTATTTAAATTTATTATTATTTATATTAAATGATTTTTTATATTTGATTTTAATTTTTTTTTTTTGTCAAGATATCAATGGATGTTCAGTGCAACTGCCTATAATCATAGTTACGCAGACACAGGATTATTTTGCATTCATGCATCATCACCAGAAGTTCGCGTTGGAGAAATGACAGCAGTAATTGTTCATGAATTAGTATCAATGGCTGGTTCGACAACAATTGCTGAATTAGAAGTAAGAGAACAATTTTTTTTTCAAATATAACAAGAAATATATGATTTTCTATTCTCTTTTTTTTTGTTTCGTCAATTTGTAGAGAGCGAAGAAACAATTACAATCGTTGTTATTGATGAATTTGGAGCAAAGGCCAGTTGTTTTTGAAGATATTGGAAGACAAGTTCTAGCTACTGGATTCAGACATCGTCCAGAATATTTTATTGATGCAATCAGTTAGTTTTTTTTATTTTTTATTTAATAAAATGTAAATTTCATTTATTTATTTTCTTTTTTTTTTGCAGATAAAATAACAAAAGACGATATCAATAGGGTGGCATTACGTTTAAGAAAATCACCTCCAAGTGTTGCAGCGCGAGGTTTAGTTAAAGGACTACCTTCACTTTCAGATATTCAAGCTGGTTTGTTGGACGCAAAAGGTGCGATACCTAGGTCTCGGAGTCGATTATCACTCAACATTTAATACATTATATATTTTTACATTTGTTTTTTCATTTTTGTTAATATTCTTTCTCTTTTCTCTCTGTTTTAAAAATAATTATTATAAAAATAAGTTTAATCATTTTGATTTAATCGATTTAATCGTGTGTGATACATAGAAATGAAATTATATATTGTTTTGATCTTTTTGTATTGTAATTTTCTATATAGCATCCAAACGAGCTGAGGGATGGAAATTTGGTTCAAAATAAAAAAAAAAACAAAAAAAAAATTGCGTTTTATCCCATTTGACCAGGAGTCGCCACGATTACTTCTTACTTCATTTTTGAAATTAAACTTATTATTGTATATATAAATACATTGTCAATAAACTATGTTTCAAACATTACATTGCGCTTTTTAAATAAATTTTTTTTTAACAACTTTATATTAATATGTTAATAGTTTATTTAGAATTTTATATTTTCCTGTTTACATAAATAAAAAGTATTTTTTTGTTTAATTTTAAAAGACGTGCAATTTTATTTTTAAACAAATTAAAATTATTTTTTTAAATTCGAATTTTATCGTATTTCTGCAAGTATTAATCTTTATTTCACCGAATATCCAATAATTCGATTGTTTATTTAATATAAAAGATTAATTTTAATAATGTAAATAATATAAAACGTCTAAAACTAATTGTTTACTATGATAAAATTAAATTAATAGAAAGTTAGTGGCGCCATCTGTTGGTGACTCCAGACGTACCTGCAAAATGACTTTTTTTGTAATTTTTGCGATTTCCCATTGGAAATTTGAGTTATAAAAATTTTCATTTAGGAGCGCTGCTGCCCCAAAAATTTAACTACCCATCCCTGGTTTGAACTTTTGGATTGTAACGCTCTCATTGGTCAGTTTCATATTTACGCGGGGAATAGCAAGTAATGAGCGCTCACCTCAATCCCCGCGTAAATATGAAAATGACCAATGAGAGCGTTACAATCCAAAAGTTCAAACCAAGGATGGGTAGTTAAATTTTTGGGGCAGCAGCGCTCCTAAATGAACATTTTCATTAACTCAAATTTCCAATTGGAAATCGCAAAAAGTACCAAAAAAAGTCATTTAGCAGGTACGTCTGGAGTCACCAACAGATGGCGCCACTAACTTTCTATTAATTTAATTTTATCATTGTAAAAAATTAGTTTTAGACGTTTTATATTATTTACATTATTAAAATTAATCTTTTATATTAAATAAACAATCGAATTATTGGATATTCGGTGAAATAAAGATTAATACTTGCAGAAATACGATAAAATGGATAAAATTCTAACTTTACGAAATTTAAGGTTATTATTATATGATATCTAATATGACATTTTGACATTTCAATAAAATGAACATCTGAACTTTTGGATAAAAATCAGGTAAAAAAAAAAAGTTATTTTAATATTATTTAATTCAAAATTTTCCGCGTTGTATTCGGGCATGAATCACAAGTGACCAATCAGAATATTTCTGTTTGTCGATCTCACGTCTGCGGGTCTTGGTTCTTGAAACTTTAATTTTTATCTCAGCAAAAAAGAAATTTATTTCATTATTATATCATTACATGATAATCGTCATTCGATTAATTTATAAATTTCACTTTAATTGAAGCGTCTATTTAATTGAGTGTGAATAGTCTCGTGTGTCTAATTTTTTTCTAAAAGTCAAAATTACATAAGACGTGATGAGTCACAGAATAAAGGGTGTCATGCAAACGTCAAAATCTGATCAGTGCAAGAGGGGCGGACGTTTCTTTATTTATTAACTATATAATAAATTATTTAAATTACGACAAGTCTGATGATTATTGATAATTCACATTTGTGAATAATCAGAATTCACCAAAAGGAAGTAGTAAGTCTTTTGTTCTCAAGGTCTTCAAAAGAGAGATATTCATTCTTTCTCTGTCTCTGTGTGTGCCATCATTAATTAATATATAAAAAAAGACAAGTCTTTTAATTAAGTGTATTTTAAACTTGTTTCTTTTGATTTTGACATATAATTGAATTTCCAAAAACAAAGTAAATTAATTTTTCTAATAGTTATTTCTACTAATGAGAATTTTTTTCCTTCGCGATTATCGATTAAGAAAAATATTTTCGAGTCGGGTGTATTTTTTTTTTTTATGTGTGGAAATTTATTTATTTATTATTTCGCCCTTTCAGAATTTAATGACAATATACAATGAAATGCATACGAGAGGATACAAAGAAAAAGAAAGAAGATAGTAAAAGATGCTGATTTAGAATATATATACATATATATAATATATTATTTTTCGGAAAGTATAATAGGACCTTATTGTTCAATCAATAACGAGGATAATAAGAAAATATATAGTCATTTTTAAATAGAGAAGAAATACAAAAAAAAGTATATAATATATAAATATATATATATATTTAAAAAAATAGATTTCAAAATAGAAAAAATGCCAGCTCCACCTCCACCACTTCCAAATTTACCAGAAGCACAGATTTGTGAGAAAACTGACGTTAATGAAAGTGAAAATTTGCCACCATGGGCAAAAATTACTCTTACTTCAACAGAGGCTGAAATAGAAAAATTGATTTCTAGAAATGAATTAAAAGATGCTGAGGTGACGTACTTTTGTCAAGTGGAACCAATTCTCCAGGATGGTCCTCAGTAAGTTTTCTTTAATTATTATTTTCCTTTCCATTTATATTTATAAATTGATGTTTTTTTTAATTATTATTATTTTCGAACAATTTTCTCTTGTGAAAAACTTTCTTTTTGATTCTAAAGAAAACTTTCTTTTGTAATTATTAATGATTCATTATCACTTGAAATTTAATTATTTGCAATAATTTCAATTATTTTTAATGATTTTTATAATATTCTTTGAAAAATTCAATTATCTGAAAGGGTTTTTCAATTAAAAACTTTTGGAATTAAATTTTTGTATATGATTTCTAATACATTCTTCATCAATAAAAATCACTAAAAATTTCTCTTATAATTATTATCTGAAATTCAATTATTTTCAAAAAAATTCAATTGCCTGATGATTAGATTTAAAGAATTGGAATTAATTTTCAGATGTGGATTAGTTGCACTGGCAATGGCATCTCAGGAATATAGAAAACCAGTTTCAGTGGGACAACTTTTGGCAGAAGCTCGTGTTCGTGGATTCACTCAACATGGTGAAGTTTATAGCGTTGATTTCATGGGTACATTAGCAGCAGAATATTTACCAGATCATAGACCTGATATTTTAATTGATCTTCAAACTTGTCCTGATACATTGACGCATGCATTGGCACATGGTGCAATGGTTCTTGTACCGTACGATTCTGATTTTAATCATGCTCCTTGTCTTAAAAGAGGACACAAAGCTCATTGGGCTTTACTCGTTGGACTCATTTCCTCTAGGTAATAATTTTTTTAATTTTGCATTAAAAAAAAAAAAAAATAATAATAATTTACCGAATTTTGAAAAAGGGATATGGAAATAAAAAATTTCTTTTCCCCCAGACAAGGATATCACGTTTTGGCGCGTCATGGAAAATCTCGACATTTGGCATGCTGGCCCCTTCGCGATTTAATTGAGAGCAATGGAAATTTAGAGGAGGAAGGAACAGCGCGACATGCCGGTGGATATGTGATACCAAAAGGTGGGGTAGGTGGTCAAAGAGGATTACGAGGCAGGGCCTTAGCTCTTCATCCCTACGTCTAATATTTCCTGAATTTCTATTTAAAGAAACAAAAAAAAACCATTCTTATAGCTAATCAATACCACAGGTTTTCTTTTTCTCTCATTTAAAAAAAAAATTTTTTGCTCTTTATTTTGTCATTTTTCATATAAAATATAATAATATTGAAAGGAGCCCAGCTTTGTACATACTATCAACAAATTATCAAATGTTGATATTAACGCGCAAAACAAAACAAAAAAAAAACACAATGTAAATAACTGTTGCATATTTTATTTAGTTTATTGCTGTTTTTTATTATTATATCTATATATATATATATATATATCAAAGTATCGTTTCTGTGGTATTGTATTTTAATTAGTAACTCGAATAACGTAACAAAAAATGCAATGAATCCTATGTAATAATTGAATTGTCATCTATAAAAAAAAAAAAACCTTCTGATTTTTCAGGAAATATAAATTTAATTTCTATTCGAAAATTTTTTTCTCTTATAATTCTTCAAATTTTATTTATTTCAAATTTTTTGTTGAAAAAATAATCATTTTTTAAATGAATTACTTTTTAAAAAAAATTTCTCTTCATTTAATTTTAATTTTTTCTTTTAAAATTTCCTGAAATTAAGAAAGGTTTTTTTTTTTTTTTATTTTTCTTCGCCCCTCCTCCTGTTAAAAAAAAGAAGAAAGAGAGGGAGGGTTTCTAATGGCAAACCGAAATACGAATAATTTGGTTTTGCGCAAATGCCTGAAACGATAGATGTTGAAACTCCTCGATGTGATTTAATATTTAAATAAATGACGTGTCGAATGTCTTAGGATAAGAAAACCAAAAAACAAGGCTAATTGAACATTTTCAAATTATAATTCTAATCATATTTATTACGAATTATTAAAAAAAAAAATCTTACTTATTAGAAAAAGAAAATCAATTTTACGTAATGTCTATTCTCTATCCACGGCGATATAACATATCGAGAAGTGTTGCGTGTCTACTAAATGTTTTAATTTTTTTTTTTTTCAAAAAAAAAAATGTTTTTTTTTCAATATTTTTAGTGCGTTGCTAACGAAAAAAAAACTTGTTTATAAAGATTGTTATCTAGTAGGTAATTAATATTGATTTTGATAAAAACAAAAGCCAGTATTGAGTCAAAAAAAAGTATCTCTCGTGCCATTAGAATCAAAATCCTATTTATAGAATTTAAAAAAATCTCCATTGGCTATAAAAAAAAAAAAACCAAGTTTTGAAAATCGAATTATTTTCAAATCGAATTTAATCTGAAAAAAATAGAATTTTAATATTCAATTCGAATTTAGTCAACAAATTGTAAATTGAATTTTGTCTAAAAATAATTTCAAGTACCTAATTCTATAATCTCGTTAAAAAAAACACAAACAATGAAATTACTTCGATTATTTTTACCAATTCAGACTGTGAATGTGATTTTTATTTATATATTATATATATATATATTATTTAAACCCTCATCTAATCTTATAAAAAAAAGGCAATTTTCTTTTCAATTTTAAGAAATTATTTATTTGTAGAGAAATTTGTATTAAATAAAAAAAAGTTTTGTGACGAATACTCGAAAAAAAATTTTTCTTTCGCTAAATTCAAGAATTAAAATCTATTTGATAAAAATAAAATCAGACTTTTGTCTATATAAAATATTGTTGGGAACATAATTTTTTTTCAAGTATTAAGAATACAGAAAAAAATTGTGTATATTTGAAAAAAAATTTAATTAGCAAAAAAAATTCATAATTATAAACTGTATAATAACTTAATATAACAAAAATGTAAATATACAATCAATTTCTAATAGAAATTCGAATCATTTTCTAATTTTATTGAAAATTACAAATTCAATTTATAAGATTCAAAAATTAAATATTTAACATAAAAAATTCTTGCTTATTTAACGAAATATTTATTAATTATTGCATTGATTTGTATAGACAAAACTGAAAAAATTTTATAATCTTCGCATTTTTTTTTATTTATAATAATAATATTATTAATAATAATAATAACAGCGCAATGAACAATTTTCAATCATCAGAAACGCTGAATTTTCGTTTTCGAATTCAGGCAGAGAACTTAAAAAGAAAAATAAAAATGCTGTACATTTATATTTCAAGCTTACAAACATCAACAACATATTTCGTGTAACCATTTGACTCGGATCGATTTTTTTTACGTCTAAACAGTATACACTACTAAGTTTTTTTTTCTACGAGCTAATTAATTACTCAATCGTTATTGACTTGTGTCTTGAGCTTGACAATCTTCTGAATATTGTTTTTAAAAAATTTTATTCGCCAATTTTCGACGTGAAAACATTTTTTTTTTTTACTTTTGGAGCCTTTGATATCTAATATCAAAATAGTGCCCAGGTCACAAGTTTATTTCATTTAATTAATGATGATATATTCTATGTCGAAGTATTTACGTTTAAAAAATATGTAGTATCACACATAGGTATTTAATATTTAAATACATTGAGAGTTAAATTAAAAATTAACAAAATTTTTAATATAAAATATAAAATTAAAAATAGAAGATAGAAAAAAAAAATCAAAATATTTTATTCAAAAATCTCTTTGATAAAATTAAACAATATTGATTTTAATTTAAAATATTATGAATTTTAATTTATTAAAACTTAACAAATATAAAAATTTGTTTATTAACTAATTATATTAATTTATTTAGAAAGATGTTTTTAAAAAAATCATTCTTCTTGTAGAGTAACACAAATTTCAATTGAACTCTCAATTATGGAAAATAATAATAATAATATTATATATATGTACATTTACAATATTAGACATCTCTTGTAAAAGCGCAATAAAGACGTCTAGTTCTATGAATTTTATTATATAATCGTTTGCTAAAAATTCCTGTTCTTTTTTTTTGTCTGTAATTTTTTTTTTCCTCAAACGTAGTATCAATTACATTTAATTATTGTAAGCTTTGAGCTTGGGCCGGCTAGAAACCCTCGTTAACTTTGTAACTGTACATTAAAAAACAATTTACAAATTTCACATTTTTTTTCTTTTTTTATTATCAGTATCTTTTTCTCTAAAAGAAAAAAGAAACGTGCGTACGGTCAAAGTTTGATACTCTCGTTTCATTTTTCAAAATTTTTCCTTTTATTGAAACGAGGAAATTATTAATATATTTGACAAATTTTTATTTTTCGATCTAATAATTAAAAAATACGTATATACAGTTTCAATTCAGTTCTTATTTGTTAAAACACAAACTGCACTAGCTCACATCAATTTTTATCTAATTGATTAAAAAGTTAAAAACAATTTTATTTAATAATTTAAATAACAAATTATAATTTTAAATTATTTTCATAATTACATTTATAAAGAATTTTTAATTCTTTATTTGAAATTTCACGAATTTTTGATATTAAAAAGTAACAAAAAATTAATTAATAGAATTTAGAAATAATCGCTTAATGTGAGAAAATTGACTAGAAATACATAAACCTAGAAAAAAAAACAATTGGACCGCGAGCACGTACTAAAAATACTATCACTTGACGTTGGAAAGAAAAATCGATCTCCGAAAAGATTCTCTATTTATCAATTTTAATTAATCTAACAAAATCTTTCTTTCTCGGAGACAGAAACTGCCAACTATTCATATAATCTAACAATAAAGACTATACATTATCTTAATTTTACATACATCTCAATTAATTATTATTATTATTATTATTATTATTATTATTATTATTAATATTAATATTATTAGGGTATTACGAATAATTTCTATTCGTAATTATTGCAACAACAGGGAGCAAAAGGAACATTTTCTTCTTTTTGGAAATTTGCTTTTCCTATACAAAAAAAAAAAAAAAAATTCTATTAAAATCGACAATTTTCCAGATGTGCCATTAAAAAAAAAATGACATTACAAAAATTCACATTATTGCAAAATAGACAAAAAAATCTACTAGATATCTAAAATCGAAATCAATATTTCGCGAAGAAAATTACAATGTATTTGTGCAAGCCATGGAAAACAAAGAACAGATTATTCTGTAACTTTATTGTATATAGATCGAAGAGTATTTTGTTCAGACTTCTTTTTTTAGGTAAAAATAAAAATGTAGCTTAAGAAAAAGTCAATTAGAAAAAAATTAGGCTTCTTGAACAATTATATAAAAAGAATTTAAATTCTTTCTATAGCGAAACAATCAATTTCTCCGGCATATTATTTATATATATATATATGTACATTATTATTTATTTAAAAAAGACAAGCAATTCTGGAAATAGTCTCAAAAAACGAGCATTCTTTGGCCTCAAATATATTATTATTCATTTAACAATTATTATTATTATTATTATTATTTTTTGTTGTTGTAATAATGGAGAAAAATTGTAAACGGATCAGTACGGAAACAACGCTTTTTTTTGCGAAAGCGAGTCAAATCTATGAAATAAAAAAAAAACTGTTTAACAAGATAAACAGACTTGTCATTTAATTTGGCTTTCGGCAGTCACGGCAATTTCTAATTAAACTAAAAACATTTCATTCTAATCATTGTCTATTATTGTGAAAATGGCGAAAAATTCTAATTTCATCTGCTCTAATTAATCTTCCAAAAAAATGTAATACTACAATATTATTTTAATACATTAATATTAAAAATATCCAAAACAAATTTATAATTGGATACTTACAATATTAATGAAATTTTATTTTTATAATTAATAATTCAATTAATAATTATTAATAATTAATAACCATTAATCATTAGTTATTATAAAATTATTAATTATTAATATTTATTAATACCTAACTATTAATTATCTATAATTATTTAATAATTAAGACAGTAACTATACAAAGATCAGAAAACACTGATCGTTACTTTTTTTTTACAATACTTTGACGACTAACAAAAGCTAATTATCGTATTTTTCAAAAAAAAGGGGAGCGACGCAAAAAAAAATCTCTGCTTTCTGTAAGCGTTACAACAATCGTAAATAACAATATCACTTTAATTTAAATTAAATTAATCCATATTTCGATGACTCACATAAACGAATATCGATTGTCAAATTATTAATAATAAAAAAAAAAATTCTCAATAAATTCTAATCGTAACTGAGCAACGTGACGAATTCGCTGTTTATATTTTTTTAACAACTTGGAAAATAAAGATTTCTTTTTTTTTTTAGAAAAACTATAAAAAATAAAAAAAACAAAAATATTTTTTTCTAAAATATTCTGAGCTTAGATTCTCACTCGTTGATACACTTTAAAACATAAAATATATAATATAATATATCTTACAAGAAACAATATTTATATATTTGAATTCCCTCAAATGAATAAAACTATTTTTTCCCAATATTGAAGAAAAGAAAAAAAATTCCAATTTTTTTCTTTTTAGAAAAAAAATGGAAATTATCTTTTTTTTTCTCTATATATATATATAAAAATTTAGTATCATTTTATATATATACACATACTTTAACACATCCTTGATGGATCATAAAAAATATATATACAAATTGGCCTAATTATTTGCAAAAATTTATTATATATAATATATTATTTAAAAAATCAAGTGAATAAATCTTATTATTCACAATAAAGCTTTCATTGAATTTGATAACAGAGTACGAGTCTAAAGCGATTTTTTTCTTTTTTTTTTATAAAATTTTGAAAAAATTCAACCATAATAGTGGAATAATTTTGTCTTTACATTCTTTATCGTATAATTTTTTTTTTAAAAGAACATAAAAAAAATAGTTTTATTCGTCTTTTCAATAGAATCTGTCAGGGATTTATTCAATAATTAGTTAATTTACTCAGCTTTACTTGAAAGCGTGTTAATTTTTTTTTTTTAAAGTCTTTTTTGTGCGCGATGCATTTATCAATCTGGACGTTTTTGTCGTATCGCAATTAAAATACAACATTAGAAGCACAATTTTTCTTCCTTTTTTTTTTAGACTCGAAAACCCTGGGATATGTTCACAATATTATTAACTTTCGGATCCAAAAATAAGAAAGCGACGAATGAAAAAAAATTGTCTATTAAAAATATCTAACGATATGAATAAAAAAAATAATTAATAATTAAGTAATTAATTAATTTTTTTTTTAGATTAATCTTTTAATAAAGAAAAAATGTTTTTAAAAAAATTACAAAAAAAATTCGAATTAAAGTAAAATAATCGAAAATGTCTTAACTTTTGATTGAATGATCAAAAGTTAAAATCATTTTATCAAACGTCGATATTAATTTAATAATTATTTACTTAATTATCATTTGGATAAAAAAGAGATTCAATCGCGATTATTTGTGTTTAATTTTTAAAATTAAACGTAAAAACTACGTTTTTTCTCATATAGAATAAATTTTTTTTGCTCCGAAAAAAATATTCGTCGCAAAAATTATAATGGAATAATATTTTTATGATCCGTAAAGTTAACGCTCTCTGAGCACTCGTTTTGAAAACCACGAAATTTCGATATGAATCACAATTTTTAAAATTTATCTACACATATATATTTATATATATATATATATATATATATATATATATATATATATAGAAAAAAAATTCAACAAAAAAAAAAAACAAAATAAATATATATGTGTATTCAAGTGGGATTGAGATTTTGCTGTTGGGAATGATAAATAAACAAAGCTATCGGAAATGTCTTGATGTGAGTTTGCCACTGGGTTGTGAGTTTGAAGAACTTGACGCCGTACCAGTCAGTTCCATCGATGCTCACTAATTTTTAATTCAACAATTATTAGCAAACTTAACATAATTCCAATTATTTAATTTTTTACGTCCAAGAAATATTTTTTAAAGAGTGGTGAAAAAATAAACGAAAACAATAAATAAATAAAATGGTATGTTTCTGCAAGATTTTATTTTTAATTATGTATTATTTATTTGGTATTTATATTTTTTGCATTTTTGAATATACTCCCTAAAAACTAATTGCATGCTTTCGTTTATTTTCACTTCTCATTAATAATTTTAAATGTTAAAAATTTTATATAAATAAATTAGCATTTTATTGATATTTGGAAAATTAATTATTATTTACCTTTAAGTGGAACATGAGTTTTTGCTGAGCAAATTAGTCGCGTAACACCGTCAACACTTTGGCTTTTTGGCTCATTTTCCTTCTCCTTTTCCTTTTTCTTGCCTAATCTCATAACTGAAATTAAATAAAATAAAATTATTTAATCAACATTAAATATGAAAAACTTGAACATTATAATTGGAGTATTTTTGATATTTCTAATAATAATAAATCTTTAAAATCTTAAATCAAATTTAAAATCCGTAAATCTTTGAAATAGTCAATTAATTATAGAATAATAAACTAATTGTCATTTTGGTAATTAATAATTGTTTGATGATTATGAATTAAAAAAATTAATTTTTGATTAGAACGTACTTTTTTGCTTTTTCTCCTTTATCGTATAACTCATGGAAAAATTATTGCCGGGTACTTCTCCTGAGGCAGATAATCTTTGAACATGAAGTGCACGAAAAGCCTGTCTAAGGGTATTTTTCCCCTTTTCGCCAAGTGACAATTTCCCCCAATAATCCAATTGCATTTCCACTGGTTCCCATCCTTCACGCGGTTGACCCACATTCGGACTACTTGGTGGCGTTAATCGTCCTGGTGGCGGAACTTGTGCACCAGGAGTCGGTAATGAAGGTGGCGATCCAGACATTGTCATTCCACCTTCATCGAGATCAACCGAAGTCGATGAACTATTTTCCGGACACCCAACTCTCACGTCATTCACAAACGGAATAAAAATCTGACTACTGTCATCCGTTTCTCTGAAATCCGGAAAAAAATTAATTACTTATTATAATTAATTGTCAATTAATTTATTATTTATTTCATTGCATTGATAAGTAAATTATATAATTATAAAATTTTTTTATAAAGTTTGAAGTCTCTAGTTTGAATATCTACAATTTAATTAAGATTATAATTTTTAAATTAATTTAAATTGAGACATTCTCTCAATTAAATTATCAACATAATTAAAAAAATAAATTATAAATTGAACTTTCAAATTAGAAACATATTTTTAATTATATTACTAAGCAAAAATAAAATTAAATATTTATTATTAACAATAATTTATATTAAATTGATTTTAGAAATATTAATTAAATTTTAATTAAATACCTGTAAGCGACCATTGCTTCGGCAATTGGCAATAAAAGTGTTGAACTTGCGGATGAAATGTATTCAGCGACACGAGAGGAAACTTCACTGCTTCCTCCACCGTCCCTGTCAATCATTTCCTTCCATTCGTCGCCAAAAAGCGATGCATATTTACTATCAATTGAACTCAAATATTTTGCTAAACTATTATAACCCAATGGCACAACTAAAAATCTTAAATAATTTTGCCAATCTGGTGGTTTAAAACTCAATAGATCGACATAGTGTTTCAAAACTGTATTAACAAACGAATCACCTCCAGCAATCACTATTTTTATCGGTCCTGGAGGTTTCGCTGAACTGTTACAACTGAAATAAAAATTATTTTTTTCTCCAAAATTCGCCGCAATAATTCACAATTTTTAAAAAAAAATTATTTATTAAATAAAAATAAATAAAAATTCATGTTTCTAATTACAAATTTTTTTATATTTTACTTACAATTTGTGTATCCTTGTTGAAAGACAAGTTAGAGTTCCACGAATATCCGCAGGAGAAGCTGTTGTTAGAACAAGAGGAATTCGTTCCTGAAGTCTAGTTGCAAGTCCTGCTCCTCCTGTATCCGCCAATGAAACCAAGGACAACGCATCCGGAAGTCCATCGTCGGGCAATACCCGATTGAACTGTTGCTCAATTAACGCTTTTCTCGGCTGAAACATTTGCAAAGAAAAAAAATTTCAATTTTACAAAAGAACTTAAAAAATTATACAAAAATATCAATTTTTCAACAGAATTTCTAGTACGATTATCAAAAAAAATAATTGTTAATCAGTAATTTAAAAATCATTTTAAAATTAAAAATACAATACAATTTATTTCTATGTATATCTTTTGTTTTTATTAAAATTTAAAATATTTTAAAACAAAAAATTGTGAAATTAAAAGAATATAATGTAAAAAAAAATTCAGTTAAATAAAAAAAATTTCTTGAGAAAATTTCTTAATAACAAAATAACAAAAAAAGTTTATTATTATTATTATTATTATTATTATTATTATTATTAAAAAAGTATTTTTTTTGAATTATTTACCTCGGAATTGTTGAGATCCACAGATGGTTTCAAGTCAACGCTCAAACTATGCTTTTTTGATTTAATCGGATTACTACCACTTTTGTCCCTCGTGAAAAGTCTTGGTTTCCGATCGGAATTATCATTTTTATTTTGTGGTTCTGACTTTGGTGGTGATCCAGCAAAAATATTTGTCGTCACATCATTTGTCTCGTGATCAGTACAATTTTCCGGATGTGAATCGCTGTCAGCTTTTCGTGAACTGTCATCGCTTTGTCTGTCCACTCCACGTTCTGTAATATAATTAGAATTAATTTCCAAAACTCAATAAACTTTTGAAAAAGAAAAACAAAAAATCAAAAAAAGAATAAAAAAAAAAAACAAATATAAAAATCAAAAAGTGTGTCTTCTCTAGGAGAATATAAAGTTGAGGTGCAAAAAAAAATTTTATTTTTACAAAAAGATAGAAAGATTAATCAATTTTTAATAATATATATAGAATGAAGAATTTTGTACAAAAGATTGTAGAAACAAAGAATATAATTTTATGCAAACCAGTTTAATATAATATTGAAAATGTATTTTATGTGCTAGAGAATTTTTTTTTTTTTTTACATAAAGAATTTTCAAGGGAATTGTAAAATAGTAAAAATAATGAAACAATTTTTTTTTCACATGCAAAACAATCCGAATAGAAAGTTAATAAAACGGCAAAATATTTTTAAATCGTGCAATTAAGCAATATTTCCTAAAAAAAAAACTTAAATAAATTAGAATAAATTAATAAAACCATTAATTAAATTTAATTAAATCAATAAGATGAAATTAATTAAATATAATTATTGTAAATTTAATTCAAGTTAAAAATAACATTTTTTTATTAATTTCAAAAATATTCCACACTTAAAATTTTATACAGAAATGCCATCAAGGAGCAACAAAAACAGTCTTTTTTTTTAAAAAAAAGGTATCGAAAAATGATCGAAAGGGAAATTTGAGAAAAAAATGGAATTAGTAAATTAAAAAGAACACTGATTTACTGAAGTCGGCGACAGTAATATAATAATAATAATAATAGTTGGAATGACCTGATTAATTTCTATCAAAGCATCAGCGACAAAAAAAAGTAGACAGACACTTCAAAAAAAGAAGAGAATACGTACGTATGAGTAGAGAGAAAGAGTCTGCAACGGACAACATGAAAGCAATAGAAACCACAGAGCATAAAAGTCACACACGCACACTAAAAAAAAAAATCCCGCGCTTGAAAAAAAAATTCTAAAGTAAAAAAAAAAAACAAGAAAAAATCATAAAATAGAAAAATAATGAAAATTATATTGAAAAAAATAAAAATTAACAAAAAAGATAAAAATCTAAAATTAAGTAACAGATATTTTCTAATACAAATTTATTCGACGAAAATACAAGTAGAAATAACTACAAAGGATTTAAATTCCAAGATGATTTATTTCTACTCTTTACAGATTTTCGTACATGAAAGTTTCTGTTTTTTTTTGTTTGTTTGTTTTGCAGATGTGCACGAAAAATTAAATATACAATCGCCTTCTTCAATTATGCAAAGAATGCAATCGTCACAAAAAGAAATTTACTTTTTTTTTAATTTTAAAAGTCTCCCATTTTATTTGGACGAGTTTGTGATATGACTTCTGCGAAGGCACTAATTTTTAAGATTTGACTACAGAGTCGAGTGTCTCCCACGAATTCAACAGCTGGAGTTTCTTCTCCAATCTATAAAATTATCTTTAATGAATTGCCTTCGATTTTTCATCAGCAATTTACTAATTTGAAATTTATTTTTTCTTTTTATTTTTGCCTGAGTTCACTGTACACTCAATTGGAAGACAATTTTTTTTTCATAACTAGAATTCTATTTTTAAATGATTTTTAATTTTTAAATTATTTTCCATTATTTTCCATTCCAATGATTTTTCAAAATAATTTTCATTTATTATAAAATAATTTCTGTTTTAAAGTAGAGATAGTATTCGCTTTTAAATATTATTTTTCATTTTAATTTTAATTTTTGAAAGCATTTCTAAATTTTAAATTAATTTCCATGTTTGATGTAACTTTCACTTTTCAATTATAATTTACATTTTTAAATATATAGTTACTTAATTGTTAAATTAATTTCCTGTTTCTTCATTTTCATTTCAAAAAAATTTTTTTTTCTTTTTAAAAAAAAATACTTTTGTTTTTTCTAATTTCTAACTAAAATATCCACCTAATTTTCATGTTATTCATTTCCATTTTGAAACAATTTTTCACTTTCATACTAATTTAAATTTTTGAAACTAATTTCTGTGGTATTAATAATAACAATAATAATAATTATTATTAAATTATTAAATTATTAACGAAGAGGAATAAAAAAATAGTGTAGGCTTCAATTAGCAATAAGTGAACTAAGAATCGTTTATCAAAAAGAAAAGCTATTTTAATTATTGAATTTTTGAGGAAAACGTTTTTCGGTTGAAACGTTCTCACATACCTGGAGTTGTATGTCCAACGCGTGATTTTTCTTTTGTTGGTTGTCCAGGAGGTTGTGGACCAACAGTGGCTGATGAGTTGTTTCTTGTTTCCTCGCTGGTTACTACTACCGAATCGAACCATGCAACAGTGCAAAGCCAACCCGAGCGACTTTTATTTAGTTAATATGACTTTTGGAATTTGTTAAGCAAATGAAGTTCTAATAATAAATAATAAAAAAAACAAAAATAAAAGAAAAAACCATATAAAAAGTGACAAAAATGAATGATTTCTATTATTATCATTTCAAAAAAACAAATTTTAAACTTAATTAATGAAATTTTTTATATTAATTTTAATTAGAAAACAAGTTTTTAAACTTTGAATTTATTTCTCTAAATTAAAAAAAATTCTTTTAGTTTAAATATTTTGAAAATTTATTTGTTAAATTCAAATTGTTACCTAAATATTTTATATTAATTTTTTTGTCACTTAATTTTTAAAAACTTATGAAATTAATATTACCTGTAAAAAAAATCCGTATTTAATTAAATCTTTAAAAAAAAAATTCCACAAACGATGGAAAAATGTAATAAAAATAAAATACCAGTGGCCACGTAATAAAAAGGCGTGTCAATTATTAATTAAAGTACGTAATTAATTTTCTCAGCGAAATGGAAAATTACGTGAATTTTAAACAATTGTATAGCCACTATTTTTTTTCTTTTTGACTTTTTTTTCAAATTCTCGAAAGCAACAACAAAGCAAGAACATTTTTTTTTCACTACGTAAATAGCTATTTAAAAAAAAAAAAAATGAATGAAAGCTCAATGAGAGACAAGACATGAAGAAAAACATAGCAAAGCCAGGGCGCATTATGATGTTTGCTCAAAAATATTTCGTAATTACTTTAAAAAAAAAAAAGAAAATAAAAATTTCAATTAACAAAAAAAGAAACAACAATTTTTCGTTCGTAATTAATAAATTAATTAATATTTAAATAATTATAACTCTTGCTTAAAAAAGAGCTTTGTTGATGATTTTTTTCTTTTATGAAATTTATATGACAAAAACTCGCCACTAAATGAATTTTTGAATTTCTTTTTTAAACTACTTAAATTTTTCTAAACACGACAAATATACACTTTCTGTTAGTAATTTTACTTATATACGAATATGTAAAAAAAAGGAGAAAAAAATTTACTGTAGGTCACATAAATATATATTAATGTATAAATTGATTCGAGTATAAAGAAAAAATAAAATAAAATTGCTTGGCTTTTAACGTGCCACAATATTCTACGATACAAAAAAAGAAAGCTAATATTAATGTTGAGATTAACTTACCGGCATTTGGAGGTGCAAGAAGAGATCGGCTTGAGCTGAAAAATGGTCGAAGAGATGGCTTTGGTGTACTGCTAATCGACATTGTATCCAATTCCGGACCACTGTCAGACAGATCCTCCAATTCGTCAAATAATTCATCGATCTCCATTCTTTCACCTTCAAAAAAAAAAAATTTAATCTATTAATTAGAATTTTACAATTAATTTAAATGAACTAAAAAAAATTTTTTAATAAATAATTAAATAATGCAAAAGAAACGATAATTACTTGCAAATTAATGATAAATAAAAATTAAAAATATATTATTTTGGAGCATTTTAAGATAATTTTTTTTTGTTTTTGCAAAAATTTACAATATTTAACAAAAAGTTTAAATATATTTAAAGTTTTCAAAATTATTATAATATTCTTACCCGATAATTTTTGGCCCATTTCTTCTTGGTCATGTTCCAGTTCCTCGGAAACTCGAAATCGTTTTAGGAGCGAAATAAATTTTTGCTTTAAATTTCTTTGCTGAAATGATGAAAAAAATTGTTTAAAAATTTATTTGATTTTACAAAAAGGAAAATTTAATAAATAATAATAATTAAATAATAAAAAAATAAAACTTTTTTTTAAATAAATTTAATTAAAAATAAAATCTAAATTTCTAAATTGAATCGCTAAAACTTAAAAAAAGACAATTTAATTTATTTAAAAGAAAAAAAAAAATGGGGAATTGTACCCTCGCATTTGCAGGAATTTTTCCTCGGCTTTTTCGCCTGTGAACTTCCAACGTTGGTTCACTGTCGCTACCTTCAGCTTCACCTTCCGAGCTAAACTCCTCTTCCTCGTCGCTGAATTCTTGGCATAATCTCTCGTTGGGATCATTCATCAATCGTTTGTCATGATCAACTGGCTGCGAACTCAAAGCAACGACAATGACACGAGCTAAAACAACCGAATGACCACCATATTTCTCAGCCTTATCTGACACTAAATCCAACTCCAGATCCATTTGCTTTTGCAAAACCTAAAAAAAAATATATGATAACGATAAAAAAAAAAAAAAAATTCATCTACTTGAAAAGTAAAATGAGAAAAGAATTTTTATTTGTCATTCGAGAGAAAATATATTATAACTCCCCTCTCACAATATTTCTAAATCGAATAAGTTTTTCAAAGTTTAATAAATTTCAAAAAAAAAAAAAAAAAAAAACTTTTATTATTCGAATGCCTTTTGAATATCAAAACAGTTGTAAGCATTTTAATATTTGGAAAAGTTCCAAGCATTTGCATTAAACAATTGCGTTTTCAAAAACTTAATGTCGAGGACACTTTTGATTATTCAAAATGATTTAATTATTTTTAAATTAAAATAATTATTTACTATATAAAAATTCTGTTTAATTTATTATTTATTAAATTGTAATAATTCTATTTTCATTTTAGTGGAACACAAATGTAACTTGTAATATAAATATTCAATTAAATTAATATATGTTTATAAAAAATATATTTAAAAAAGTTATCTTCAATAAAAATTTAATTTCTTTTTTTTTAGATAATTATGAAAATAAATAGAAATAAATAAAATAATATTAAATTATGTAAAAAGAAAAATACAAAACCTGTGCCATGTTAATGACACCTTCAGCGAGTGTCTTATATCCAAGCATGGTCCTATTTTTGTATCGTTTCCGCCTCTGTAGAAGAATTAATAATTTATTGCCATCGCGTTTCAGAAAATGTGGATACTGAAGAGCAAATTGTAATTCTAATTCGGTGTCCAACATTCCACCCGGTGGAATAGTCATTTCATTCGAGCGAAGTGTCCGTTTTGAACTTTGCATTTTCACTGCAATGCTGATTGAAGATAATTCGGAACCCAACGGTTGAAGAATCACCAGTCGTGACAATGTCAAGGAACAAAGTCTGAAACAAGAATAAAAATTATAATTATGTTTATAATAATAATAATAATCATTATTATTATTATAACTATTATATCATTTAAATAATTATCCAATAAATATTTATGTAATAACATTATTTTTTTTTGCATTTCTAACAAGAAATTCAAATAATTGTTGGTAATAAATTTTTTTTCTTGAAAAGTGAATAAGAAAAAGTCTCTGTAAAATTATTTAATCGACTTCTAAGAAACACAAATAATACCAGAGATAACAGGTAAATCGTTTCAAGTTTACGGAGCAAATTTTGCAGAATTCAAGAAACTTTATTTAATAAACGACTTATAATTCCAGTTTGTGTGTGTATATAATATTCACTTTATAAACAAAAGTTTTGGGAACTCTTGAAAGTAAATTTCAAAATCATTCAAAGTTTTCAATTACTTCAAAAAGGAAGAAGAATTTTCTCTCTTTAATAAATACCGGAAAACTAAATAATTAAATGGTTCTTCTTCTTTTATATCCGTAACAGGATAAATAAATAAATAAAAAAGTTTCCTGACGTAAAATGATATACAGCAGGTGGTTTCTATTTTTATTTTAATAGACCACTAAAATCTAAAAATACAAAGGTCGAAGTGTAAAACTATATATCTAGATTCGTTTATTTAATTCACGTCAATGTCACATATGTACTCATATAAAAAAGAAAGAAAAACCCAATTATTTACACAATTTCTATATAATAAATGCAAACCTCTGCATTTATATGAATTCCACAAATTGAAGTCATCTATTACTCGCTATATATTATTACGAATCAATATTTGCAAATTAAATATTAAAATGGTGAGAAATAATTTAAATTTCCTGTTTGATTTCCTACAAATATTGATTTTAAATTTAATTCTAATTTATTTAATTAATCGTTATTTTCAATAATTCTTGATTATAAGTCAGGGTCACGTTACAAAAGAAGGAGAATTTTTTTTATAGTTCATAATTATTTTATTATTAAATAATAATAGCTTAATGAAAATTAGTTTAAATAAAAAAATAAAGTTATTTGAAAGTTTATAGAAATTTCGTTAATAGTTCGACTAAATAGAAAATTCGCCTTTTTTCAGGATCGCTGATTACGAAAATTAGATTTATAAAAAAAAAAAAAAAATTATGAAAGAATTTTTAATCAATGCTTAATTTGTTTTTAATATTTCGCCATTTTGGATTCAAATTTTTTTTTTTTTGATTAAATTTCTATTAACAAAATAAACTATTAGCTTAAATATTTGATGATAAATAATTCATCGATATCTCTTGGAAGTAATTTTAGTGGTTTAGGATTTGAGATACTTAGAAGTGGTTTTGAATAGTTACAGGGTGGCAAATCGAATTTTCCTATATGCGATTGCATGACGGGAATCTGACGAGGCGAGTGTCGTGCGAGACAGACTGGCGTAGGTCGGTCGGTGACATTGAGTCGATCGATATAACATCGAAGCTTGAGGTTGGCCTCAGGAGTGTTGTTGGAGGGTTTGTTTTCCATTCTATAGTGGCACTCCAATAAAGATATTACCTTCCTAGAGAGAAAGAGAGAAAAAAAAAGCTTTCTTCCTCGATTCTCGTGGGTGTGCAAGTCATTTCAAAACTAAGTACATAATTTGTACAACCCTGTGTGCCTTCTTCGTATATATATATAGTACACGAGACGACGTATGAATCACCCAACCAGCCACACGATGAATGAATGAATCAGTTCTTCATTTTCAGAAACACTCAGCAAGCATTTTATCCAGATTAATCACCTCTTTTCTTTTCTAAATCAAATTAAGCACCGCTCTATATTATATAATTCCTCATTAGAAATACACCTCCTAAAAATAAAAAATATAATTTTAATATTCACCATTGAGAGAAAATTCCTTCTAATAATAACCAATTTTCTATTTAACATAATAAATGTTTTTCATGCTGAGAAGCTATTAAATTGACATTCAGAATTTTAATTCCCTCCTTTGCTCTAAATTATGCAATGATTTATTGTGAGAATTTTGAAGAACAATTCTCTTTCAAAACCATCAGATTTGAAAATAAATATAATTTATGTAAAACAAAATAATAAATATTCCAGAATTAACAATTTATAAAACATTTGTTTAAATATTAAATATCATTTGGTTCAAAATCGATTTGGTTGTGGATAATAGAAAACGATATATAAATAGAAAGTCTTAGGTCATGAGGTTACTGACAAGACGGCTTTCGAGGCGTGTTTTTCAAGTGACATCACAAAAGTTTTATCACCATGTTTACACAATAAATTCATATGTAACATTTAATTAATTGTATTTTATTAATCAGTTATTAAACGCTTTGAATCACTAATTAATAAAAATAAAATCAATATAGTTCGAATTTTTATTTAGATTAAACTGATTGTAAAAAAATAAGCTTTTTTTCGAGAATAAGATAAATATGAATTTGAAAGGTCTGCATATTTTCTGTATTGAAAAAATTATTTTCATCTACACAGCAAAAAAAAAAAATCTCTCTCTGATGACCTATAGATTGTAAGCGAAAATCAGATAAAATGATCTTTCAATGGTTGAGAGAAGAGTTCATAATAATCTGATTTTATACACAGTCAACCTGATTTTCATTTTACATGCTTGTATATATGTATATTTAAATTGATCGCAGCGCAACCAGTTGGGAATCGTTTTATGATCATTCTGTTCCGGAAAATACCTCCTCTATATAAATGTATTTTAAACGGAAGGAAATGTAATTTTAGTGACATGACATTTGCATGCTTGAAAACACACTCATACAGACACGAAAAGTATTTCATTCAGAAAATCTTAATCACCTGTCAGCCACCTCGAATAATATATCTTTAATCTAGAAAACGTGTATATACAACCCTCATTTTGTTTCTGCCCATCGATCCAAATTTAATTTAAAGTTCAAAGGCCCAAAGCATCTCCAAAGGAATTCTAATTTCTACCTTTCAATGAAATCAATTTGAAAAATAAAATTTTCAATATTTAAATTCTGAAATTGTACATCCAATTATTAAAAATTGGACAAAAATTTAATAAAATTAGAATCTGTAACACAAAAATCAAATTCAATGATTAAAAAATTAGAAATACAGTCAATATAAATATTTTAAATAAAAAATTCGGATAAATTCGAATTGAATAAAAATAGATATTCGATGAAAAAATATTATTTTAATTTTATAAAATAAAAATTCTGGGTAAATGAAAATGCAATGAACTGGAGAATTTTATATAAAGTGGGTTAAGTATAGAAATTTTTTATTAAATAAAATTTGGATAAAAGAATTATATTCTCGAAATCGAAATTCTTACCATGACGAATGTAATAAAAATTAATTTCCTATTAAATTTAATATATTGTGTTTTTTTTATAAATTTTTTTGGCAAATATCCAAAATTATGTAAAAGTGGGCCAAATATTATATATTTTTGAAGGCCAAGGAAATAATTTACAAAAGGAATATTCCTTTTTTTTTTTGCTATATTGTAAAGAAATGGAAATAATTTTTTTTAAGAAAAAAAAAAGAATATCATATATTATTTTTTCAAATGGAGCATTTTCTGCGTTTTATCTTTTGTTTAATCAGCTTGGAGAATCCCTATACTTGTATAACTAAGAAGCAATATAGTGTTGTAAAAAGATATCTATAGAAATGTTTCGTATATAAAGCGAATATATATGTATGTATAAAGACGAAGTATATGACCTATATGTCGTGAATATCGATGTAGCTAGTTCATGAATACGTTTTTAGTTTCAACAAAAAAGAATATAGTGGACAACATAAGAATATTTTCCTTTAAAACAATTGACTAAGCAGAAAAAAAAATTTACCTCTTAAATTGCTTTTAGCTTTGAAAAAAATAAAATTCAAAATATAAAAAAAAAATCGAGCACCTATTTTGAATCTATAAAAAATTCACAAAAAAACATTTTTAAAAATTAAAAGAAAATATTGGTTTATTTAAATTATTATTTATTTAATAATTATTAATTAATTCAATTTAGAAAAAATAATTTCAAATTAAAATCTTTAAAAATATTATTCTAATTAAATTTCTCTATTGTTGTTGCAAAAAAAAAAATATGGAAACTTTTGTAATTCAAGAATCGGTAAAGTAAGAAGCTTTGTAAATGAAATATAAGATCCTCTCTTCTCAGTTTTCAGATAAAAAAAAAAATTCTAAAAGAGGTAATAAAATTATTATTATATGTGGATAATTTAGCGCAATGAATTCTCGATTATCATAAAAATTTTAATACTCTATATAATAGAATTGCAATAAAAAAATAAAGCTTAGCTTTTATAAATGTAATTTCATATAAATAGTGCGCGCTTATTATTGAAATATACACACACTAACAAAGAGATGGGAAAATCATTTTTACCCGCACAATCATGATTAATTAATCAACCTAATTAAATTTCATAGAGGATTCTTGATTCAATTACTTTCTTTAATTACTGCTCCCTTTTATATAAAGTGATGCACTTATTCAATTTTATTCTATGGATATTATTCTCTTTTTTTAATTTTTCACAAATATATTGATTAACATTTTTTATATCAGATGCTTTTATATTCTAAGAATAAATTAAATATGATTAAAATGCAAAATTTTTTTTTTTATATATCACAAGAATTAAGACCAAATGTGAGACAATTCTATTTACAAGCTGAGGTCAGCATATAATATAGTATATATCTTATTTGTAAAAAGCTTTTGCAATCCTTTAATCTAAACCCGATTTGCGGTTATATATATATATATACGACACTCATCGAATGTGAAATCCCATCAGAGTTGTGGATTCAAACTTAATTTACAGTAGTGCGCACTGCGTCAATTCAAAACTTTGTAATTGATTTTGACATAAATATATATTTCATTAGAAAAAAATTTGACAAATTGTTTTTGTCAATCTACATATTTGTGAAAAATTGATAATTTAAAACGAATTTTAAATTTAATACAATTATCGTTTAACAGATTTTTTTTATATTTATTTGCACTTGAATATAAATTCAATTTATTATAAAAAGAAAACTTTTTCAAGGCATTGAAAAGAATTTAAAAAAAAAATCATACAGAACAAAGACGTTCATTGATTTGTGTTTTGCACGAGGATATTGAAGAGACAAGTTGCTATTATATTATATATGCGAATATATCATCGACAGAGAACGAGAAGAATTTCACACTGAATGTGAGAAGAATTTCTATTTTTTTTTTATCGTCCAATAGTTTTTTATAATATTGATCGATATATAAAATTTATTTATCACGTATTTAAAGACGAGGGAGGGATATTTCTAAAGAAAGAACAAAACTATATTTCTTGTCTCGTTTTATGACTCATCGGTTGGCAATTCATTCGATTTTTTTTTTTTTATTTTAAACACACAGTTCTTCTCCTTATATTGCTTACACTTTGTGGATTGAAGGCTTGCATTGATTATAGGTAAACAAATGCAAAAAGGGATAAGAGCCGCAGTGGAATAATAATAATAATAATAATAAAAAAAAAAAAAAATAGCCTGCTAGGAATGTGATGAGGCTATAAATATGTTTGTCGTGCGAGGAATTGCGTTTTGATGCGATTAAAATTGTTAACAGTGCGCCAAGTAATTAATTACACATTATGTATTCTTACATGAAATTTGGATTTCGTTTACTCATACACAAAAATTGATATTATTTTCAAAAAAAGAATTTTAAGTGTTTGTATATTGATAATAATCTTGTTTTATCATAATTTCGATAATTAAAAACTCTTATGACTCAAAATATACTATTTTAATTGATGTAAAAAAAAAAATGAATTGTTAAATTATTTTTTTTTTTACTAATTTTTTATATTATAATTTATTTATTTGTAGTATAAAAGAGAAAAATAATTTTATTTATAATAATAAAAATAAAAAATAATAATTACAACAAAAATGAATTATTGTAGAAGAATTTTTGAAATTATATTAAATATTATTTCGATAGAAAAAATGTACTATGAAGAAATATTGAAAAATATAAAAAAGAGAATGCAATTTTTGTTTACTGCGTTTTTAACTACCAAAAGTAAGGAAAAATAAAAAAAAACTACGTTAAAAAGTAAAAGAAATAACTTTTGAATGTCAAGACCTTGTTTAAAAAAAATAAATAACATCCGTACTATATGAATCACCTTCAGTGGGAGGAAGTAATTTTAAAAAAATATTTCTATTTTTTGTCCAAAGTTTGCATTTCAGAAACGAATTAAAAAAGAATATAATAAATAGTATTTAAACAAAATTATGTCACAATGAATTTTTAAATTATACCCCTCTTTTTCTATATATGTTTACTATAATTATATAATAATAATTATATAAATTAAAAAAATAGGAAAAATGAAAAACAATAAAAATAATTATTATATAAAAATTAAAAAATATAAAAAATGAAAATTAATAAAAAAGGTTCTTTAGTAAAATAAATGTTTTTTTTTGTTAAAAATTTATCGTTTTTTTCTCTACCTCCTCACAAAAAAAAAAAAAACTAGAAACGAGGGAATAAAAGGCAATTTCTCGCAATTTAAATGATATTTCTCTATGACGGAAGGAACTAATTGCTCGTGGGAACTTTCCTGGTTGTTTCAAATGATAACAATGGATACTAAAGTTGAAAGAGAGAGAGAGAGAGAGGGGGCAAAGAATAGAGAAAGGGCAAATGAAGGGATTTTACGCAATAAAATAAAAATAAAAAACTTGGAATATTGTTAACGTACAATATATAATTCTATATATTATATTTCGCATTAACCTTGTACCTTTCTGGCTGAACTTGGAAGCAGCTGTATAAACTAGTGTGTGCCGATGAGAGTGATCTCAACTCAAGAAATTGGTGGAAGGCCAAAAATCGAGGGCCAAGGACACACGCGGATTTCCTACTAATATTCTATTGTCAATTTTACGTTGTTAAAAAAAAGGAAGAAAGAAAGAAAAAACAAAAAAAAAGATGATATGTTATTTTCGAAAAAAAACACACTTTTCACTTTTGTGGCTTCAAAACTTGATGGACTTCCGACATAATAGTGGAAGCACAAGAGAAATAGAGGGTGAGTGAGATCATGTGTGTTGATAAGCGGTATCGAGTGCTCTGTTGTCGAATAACAAGAATATTGGAAATCAAAGCCAGGAACAACACTATATATATATACATAGCTTCACTGAAATTACTTTTCACAAAAGACGATGTATTTTTCTTCTTCCTTCCCTTTTTTTTTTTTTCGAAAACTCCAAATACTATACAACGACGATAAGCAAACGATTGTCCAGGATTTTTATTGACTTTCTATTTTCCGCTCGAAAAAAACGTACCTAAAAAAAGAATTTCAAATAAGTTTCAAATATCACAAAAGAGTTGCGAGGAAAAAGTCAAAGAAGAGAAATGAATTTCAAGAATTTCCAATATTTGCATTTGAAAATAATCTCGAAAGAAGAAGAAAAAAAAAATTATAATTTATAATAAAATAAAATTTCATCAAGAAGATAAAAAAGTAAATGAAGAAAGTACAATTACAATTAAATAATTGAAATTTTCAAAAATAAAACGGAAATTTGTATTTATTATACAAAAAGATAAGGCGTGATTAAAAAATAGAAATCGATCGACCTTAACACTCTCGATATTAAAGGTGCGTTAATTAAACATCTACACCTAATATGTTATAAAAATGAAGCACAAAATAAAAACACGCATGGTTAATATTGCCCTCTATAAAATTTACGATTCTCATGACACGATCTTATCACTCACTTATGAAAAAAAAAAAAAAAAATTCACCCTACGAGTTATAAAATAAAAATTTATTTCACAAAATAGAAATTAATTTTTATTTTGAAAATCTATATTCAATTTTGCAACAAAAAATCAAATGAAAAAAAAGTAAACAAATAATAATGAATGGAATAGTATGAGTATATGACGTTATAGCGAGATCGATTATCCATTTTCTTTTTCTTTTTGAAATTTTTTCTTTTTTACTTCTGACCTACAAACTTGGTTGCAAGGCTGCTCTCCTTTGATAATTAAGTTCTACTTGTCCCAATTTTTTTTTTATTTCTACTACTAAATAAACACTCATTTTCAAATTATGAAACTAGCACCTATATATATGAACACTTTAAGTTCTCGTTATTTCAATTTTTTCTCTCATTTCTTTTTTATATGTCATAGGAGAAAAATATTTGAATAAAGAGAGAAAAATCTCAATAGAGCACACAAACTCTCCCACTATTCACTCTTTTTTTTATTATTCTTTTTAATCCCATTAAGAATCCTAATTTACTTTTCACGGATAAATCGCTTTTAAATACAAAAATTTATAAAACTCAAAAAGGTTATTTAAATTTCGTTTCAATGAATTTTGCAACGATAAGAAAATTAAGATTTGCGAATTATAAAAAAAAAGATCCACTCATAATAATTGTTTTTCTAACGAAAAAAAAGGAAAAATAAAATTTGTAAAAAATAAAAATTTTTTATAAATATTTGAAAATACAATTATTTTTAAATGAAAATTGTAAATTTTCTGCCTAGTAAATAATTTTGCAATTTAGTAAAGAGAAGATTTGACTTTTACGATGAATATACAAACTATAAGGAAACTTTATAATAAACAAAATCAACACATTCCTTGAATTTCGCAGAAAATTGCAAAATTCAAGTTAATAAAAAAAAAAAAAAAGGAAATAAATCAACTTGAGTTTAGATTAAACATATTAACGATCAAATACGTATAAATTTTCGAAAAGCAATTGTCGATTAATTGACTCTTAAACAAATTATTTTTAGTTAAAGTTTAAGAGTTCGTCTATTTTCGAATTTTCATGTAGACGAGACTATAAACATTTTCTTTCATTATATCGTGTTATAAATATATAACTATAAAATAACAATTAATATATTAGTAAAAATTAATTTAATATTAATATATAATTTATAAAACATGCAATTAATAATTATAAATTATAAAAAATTAATTTACTAATATTAATTTTAAAAAAATAATTATTAAAAAAAATTTGTGTATCATAATTTAAATTATTTTCTCCTTATTAAACTTTTTAAATAATTTATAAATTAATAAAATTAAACATATATCGGAAAATTTTACAAATATTTTTTTTTTATAAGACAAAATTAATTTTTCCAATGTAGAAATATTTTAATTGATTTGAGCAATGAAAATCTAATGAAAAGCAACAAGGGGTACGATAATTTACTTCAATGACATTATTCCGTGTAATTACATTCTCGTATGTGTGTGTGTGTGTGTCAAAATATTGGTCGTTGCATAGCCTATAACAAATGAATTAATGTACTTAAGTCTCGGCATAGAACAGTTTAATTGTTATCAGTTTCCCCAAAATTTGATGCATTTTGCACCAAAATATCAAGTAAAATAACTAACATCTGATCAAAAATTTCTACGCTAATAAATATTTCCAAATAAATTTATTATTCTCTTTCTCATATATATATGTATATGTGACGTTTATGAACAAAATTTTAATTTCACTTCCCTCGCAACTAATAAATAATGCACGAAATTTTTGGCCAATTTCCAAACTTGCCATATAAAATTAAATTCACAAAATTCTCGCACATTTTGAAAATGATAAAAGCGTAAAAAAAATACGCAATGCACAAAATTCACAAGTCCGCATGGAGAAAATAAAAATAAACAAAATGTCCAAAGAAAAATTGTTGAAAAATCAAAAAAAGGTTAAACAAAAATTACAATTAAAAAAAGAGAAAATTAAAAAATCGAATCCTTTTTTAATATCAAAAAAGCGAAGTTAATAAAGGAAGTACTTTAGATTATTTTCTAATAAAAATAGATCGTTGACAAACATTAACACTAGTAAACAAACATTATATGTACAAACATATTTAATTTGTTTATCATTTTATCATTCACTGAGGGGGAAAATATCTCCACTATTATTATGCGTTTAATATTTAACACCATTAATCATCAATTATTTAGAAAGTTTAATAAAGAGAAAATTATAATAATAGAAAATCGAATACATGAAGAAAGTGAATTGCAATTAAAATGTTATTAAGCACGATAAATTAGACACTTAATCTGTCCGCGTAAAAAAAAATACTTTGACAATTGTTAAAAGGCAAAAAAAAAACATAACCTTGCATAATTATTGTATATAATACTGAAATCTATTATTATACACAATAATATTACTCCAATAATATTCAGTTTGTTAAAATTTTGTACAATTTGTTTTTCTAAAATTTGAAATATAAAATAAAAACTTTCCTACAAGAATTTTTACCCTTAAACATTTCGTGACAACAAATTGTCATTTATTAACACGCACTTGTATAATTATTTCAGATTATTATCAAATAAATCTTAATTCAATTACAAAAAAAAAGAAAAACATTCTCACACTTAAATCGGGGAAGAACTGTCACAATCTCACTGACAGCTAACATCCGTTTCACTTTTAAATTGCGAGAGATGAGATTTTTTGCGAAAAAAAAAAGAAAACACTGACAATTATTACTATTAAAAATCAATGAAACCAATGACATTAAACATGAATTGTAACATTGACAATACAAACATGTAAAAATGTCATAATGGTTTTGTTTTTCTTTTCAAAATAAAATCATCTCTTTTTTTTTAAGATGAGAAAATATAAAAACATTTGGATTTTGTATATGTATATCAATTCAGCTAAAAGGGCGTGTAAAATACCCGCCAAAGAGCGGTGGCGTCTATAACAAGCGGTTAATTTAGAAGTATTTTTAAAATAGGAAAAAAAAATGATAATGATAGAGGAGATTACTACCTGGGTATGCAATTGGGAGGCGTTCGATCCACTTCCCAGGTAGCAAAAAGCTTCATGGGGACGGGCCGGGTGGCCGGGGCTGCTGTCTTTGTGCGCTCCGCCATTTTTCGGCTGGTCTCACCACGATATCACAACAATATATACAACCTTTTGTCTTCGTGGTCCTCAGCAAACTGCAGCGGTTATCTACATAATCGAGTGAGACGCGCCTCAACCTTCAAAATTAACACTGTTGCGCCATCTTCTTTTCTGCAAAAATAAAAATGTAGCGCCATCTGCTGTTGGTAACTTTCATCTCACCAGCCGTTGGTAAAACAGTTTATATATTCAAATTTAAAAAATAAAATTTAAATTAATTAAAATAAAAATAATTATTAATAAATAATAAAATACTAATAATACAAATTTCTGATAAGAAATGATTTTAAGGTTATATTCTACAAACCACTTGCAATTCTTGCAATTGTCAGAAAATTTATATATAAAAATTAATTATAATAAATTCGGTTAATTAAAATTTTTCATTATTATAAGAAACCGTCTCTTTTATTATCCTCTGCTTTTCACTAATAGACTTACATAAATTTGTTTAGTGTACGATTTGAATTTTTTGATTAGACAGTCACATACTCCACGATTACGAAACAATAAACAAAAAAAAAAATTTTTTTTTAAACACATTTCGAAAAATAGACGCAGCATGACTACACAACAAAGTGATTGATCAGTATTTATCTTTGTTATAGAAGGTAGTATATACTCGTAACTTTACAATATAATATTTATTACAAAAAAAAAAAAAAATAATAATAATGCACAAAGGTGAATTACCTCAGAAATATGCGCACAATAAAATATTCGAACCTTTTTTATTTTCTAAAAAGGATTTGATTTTTTTTTTTTAGAAAATTTTTTGTAGAAAACAAATTTTTTTTTAGAAACATTTCATTTTTTGGAAAAAAAAATTGAAGTCAAATTTTGGAAATTTATGAAATGAGATGATAAGACAGCCACCACATTAAAAATGGTTGTAGTCCAGCGAGACATAAAATAAAATAGAGTCGCCTTTTATTACCTGTGGCTGTATAGGACGTGTGCCCTTCTGGTATAACTCGCAATTTTAATGATCTCACGAGAAAAAATGCTAAACAAATACCAAAATAAATTAGAGTACAATAATAACCGAATTTACGAAATATTAATGATATTGCGAGTGCTACATTTATTCCAACATATTTATAACCGCAATAGGCTAATAAATCCATTGTTCGTAAACTTGTATCTAAATTCATAACATAGAGTGTTATTGTATGAACAAGTAATTCTATAACACCCCATGCCAATGCTGTACTCGATATTATCCCCAATTGTTCGGGTGTAAATTTCTCTTGTGTTCCCAATGCCAATCCTGAGAGGACAACATATGTTAAAAACGCCATTATTGGAATGTATAAATCAGGCGCATTTCTCTCGTAACGAGGCTGCAATGGTCCATCCTGCTCGTATTTTACTGACCAGTCCTGAGAGATTTTTTTTTCAATTTATTTTAAAATTTATGTAAATTTTTAGGATTTTTAAGATTTTAATTTACCCCCCCCCCCATCCCATTAAAAATAAGAGACACAATTTAATTAGATTTAAATTAATAAAAATAAAGGTAAATAAAATTTAATAAAGTTAAGATTTTTTTTTTAACCCTTATAAATCCTAATTATACTTGTAAGGACCGGTGTCAATAAGGCCCATTTTTTTAGGCCCCAGATTTCGTTTCCACTTCGTATATGACTAATAATTTTCCTCTAATTAAAAAAAAAGGTGAATTTTTCTGTTTTCCAATTATCTATAGAAAAACACGTCACTTTTTTCAAAGTTTTTTTTTTCATTAAAATTTGTTTGTGAAACCAATTTTTCAAATTTTTTTTTTTTGTTTTGTAAAAAGTTTCGAAACACAGCTTCCAATAAACAATCTATTTTCCTTAAAATTGTTTACGATTAATTGTTAATTGATCAACGGGATAACGAAAATCTCCTAATTGATACCCGTCCTTTAAAAATAAGAAAATAAAAACATAAGAACTTACTTTATGCGTAAATGGAAATAAAAGTAGAGTCAATTTCATGAGAACATAATCGGTATCAACAGCAAAATAATATCTCAATGCACTGACAGGAACATATTTCTCAATTTGTTGTTTTCCTGATCCAACTAATGCATTGCCATAATGCGCTGCAATATTTGCGACCATTGGTTCGGCAAGTAATTGCGTTGCAAATTGAGGAGTTGGAAAAGCATCCTTCATTGGATCACGAGATGAATAAGGCGGTAAAGGTGTTTGCATTGGTTGTTGTTGTTGTTGCATTGGATTTTGCATTGGAGGCGGTGTTGTAAATCCATAAGGTGTACTTTGTTCTGGTATATTGAAACCATACTCCATTGGCATTCCATTATTAAGAGGCACCTGCCATAAATCATTTATTTACAATTTGTTTTTTTTTTTTTTTAAATTTTATTTTCATATTTTTGTACCTGTTGATTATACATGTAAGGATTCTGTGGCATCGCCGAGGGTTGTGAAGTTTGTGTTGTTAATCCTGACGAAGGATCTAATATCCTTTTCGCTTTTCCTAAATAAAAAACAAAAACAATTTTTTATTTTTTCCGCCAGTAAACACATAAAATTTTATCTAAAAAATTATACCACATTTAAACCGTCTTTGAATAGTTAAAATATTATTTTAAATAATAGATATTATAAAACAAGAACATTTTCGCGAAATTGCAATGACGAAATAGACTATTTTTATAAAACATAACCTATAAATTTTACGTTCGTTTTCGTCTGATTTAAAGACCTATTTAATAAATAAAAAAATACATACGGCATGGGTTTAAAAGAAACGAAAGTGATAAAAACTGTATGTGATAATAAAATGAGAGAAAATGATAAATTAATTGTTATCCAGCTGTAAGATGTACCAAAATACACGTCATTTACCTCTCCTTGCTCCTGTGTGATTATAACTCATTTTACTTCTTTTTACTATCGTTTTCCATACAATTTACACAAGTTTTTACACTAGCACAGAACTATTTACAAAATTTAACAAGCATACGTGTTGTTTTATTTTATTTTAATTAAAAATATCAAAAACAATTTGTATTAAACACGTCGCCATGTCTTGACACATCGCTCCCAGCAGCCATTGCGAGCCGCCAAGAAAACGCGGGAAAATATTTAAAAATTCTAATTTGATATAAAAGAATATTTTTCTTTTGCATAACATTTAAAATTATTTTATTTAATAAGAAAATAGTGATTCTAAACTTTATGGAAAATGGTATATTCAGCAAAACGGAAAATTTCAATAATTTCATTTTATTTAACATTACTTAATAACTAGTTTTTTTTTTAATTATTTTAAAAACTAATCATTTTATGATATAAAATCATAATAAAAGTGACAATCGCGTATAATAATAATTATTACACATAATTAAATTTGAATAATATAAAAAGAAAGAAATTTTTGCAATGGATTGAAATAATAAATTTTCAATATTATTTCTAAAAAATAATATTGTTACATTATTATTAATGATTATGAGCTTCATTATAGAGAGAAAGAAACAATAATTTGTCCAAAAAAAAATTCTCGAATTCATGAGTAGAAAATATTTACACGAACAAAAATTATTATAATCGTTAACCATTATTTTCTTCTTCCTCTTCCTCTTCTTCTATTTCTTCTGCTTCATCTTCCTCGACCTCATCTTCCTTGTCGTGTACTTCTTCCATTTCATCATCTTTTTGTACATCACTATTATTTAACATTGAAACATCAAGATCCTCGTGATTTATTTTCGGTGATGATATTACATCTTGACTTAATTCACCATTATTTATCTCTGGATTTGGATCACGATTTTCTTCACCGTCTTTCATTGATCGTTGCTCATCATCTGCGTTCGTTGATAATGAAGGAATTTCGAAATTTTGATGTTTACCAAATCCAATTTGTCCTTCAATTTTTTCCAATTCCTCAACTAAACTTCTCTCTCTTCTCTCAATTTCCTCTGCAATAAAAGAAAAATTATAATTTTATTATATATTAAAAATAATAAATGGTAAATTAATTAATAATATTTATATAATATAATAATAAATAAAAATGATTTTTATTAATGGATAATTAAAATAAAGAAAATCTTTTTTTGAATTAATTATAATGAAATACCGTGAAGCTGCTTTGCAGATTCAGCCAATAAAGCTTCGGTGCGAGCATTTTTTCGTTTTGGTAAATAATAAATGGGAGGATGCGCTCGTGTTTGAATAAAGCCAGCTAATGGCAATTGCGCAGTGCGCCATTCTTGAAATTCTTTACTGCGCGTCAATTTTACTTCTAATGCACGAACTTCCGCTAATTGTCGTTTACGAGACAAGAACAATTGTTGTTTTTCACGTTTCAATTCCTCTTTTTCTTTTCTTTTCGCTTCTTCGACTCTTGCTTCAACTTCAGCTTTTTTGTCTTCCTAAAAGAAAAAAAAAGAATTTACAATTTTGTTTATATACCAAAATTTTTGCAATTTTTTTTTGTTTCTTTTCTATTTACCTTTGCTTTCAATTTTGTTTCTTCCTGACGAAACTTTTGTAAAGTTCCCAATAATGCGCCGAACATTCTTTTATTTCTCTGCCTACTTCTTTCGTCAACACGTTCACGTTTTATAACTTCCTGACGTGATGGCACTTCACGAGGAGTCACAATCACTCTTGACGAAACTGCCGGCTATTAATGACAATAAAAAAAAAATGTTTTAAAAAACACATCAAGATTTACATTAAAATTGCATGTTTCATCGCTTTATCTTGTAAACCATTAAAAAATTGTATTTTTTACGAGATTAGTTTTTCCATTTTTTTTTAAACAATCCTTTTGAGATATTTTATTTTATCAAAAATTGTATTAAATATTTTATTTTAATTTTTTAAAAAAAAAAAAAAAAAAAAACGAGAGACGGCAAAAATGTTGCTTTGTCATGGAAACAATATTTTCTATTATGTAATAAACAAACCTTAATAAAAGAATCATCCTCATCGGCACTGTCATCCGCATTCGAGGGTACTTTTGCACTTAAACGACTAAAAACAGTTTTCGGCTCAGCGACAACACTCTGCCATCGTCTTTTATTGCCAGGATGATCATTATTTGATGATAAATCAACGACAGTTCGTCGTCGTTCATCGTGAAGTGGCCTCTTTTGTGCAAGTCTTTACAAGAAAAATATAGAATAAAAATTATACATTAATCGAAAACAAAAAAAAAAATACAAATTATTTAAATTGTAAACAAAAATAAAAACGAAAAACATTTTTAAAAATATTAATTCTAAATTGAATAACAAATAAAAAATATTTAAATAACAAAAAACAAATAGCCAATTCAGAGTTAATAGAATGTAATAGAATAATAATTATAATTACCATATAAATGTAATTAATTTTTAAAATTAATTTTTTTTAAATAATTATCGCACAGTGAAAATTATAAACAAATAACAAAATGTAAAAATATATATTTTTTTATATATTATCATAATAAAAAAAAAAATTGGAGCATTTTATCAAAATATTATGTCAAATTGAGGTTATGTTGGATAATTTTATCTCACTTAAAAATGTCACTAAAATCATTTACACATTAACACAATATATAGGAAATAATTTTTTTTTTTCTAAACTTATTGCTAATTATTGTGAAAATTAATTAAAATGAGAAAAAAAAACCTGGGCGATGGTTGAAGAGATCCGGTTTCACCGTCGGGCAAATCACGACCAAGAATTTTACGTATATTTCGATCTAATCCTCTAAGATTATCACGTGCAGCTTCTAATTCAGCCTCTAATTTATCAGCCCCCCAGGGCTCTCTTGAATCTAATTTCCTCATTAATTTATTTTTTTAAAAAACACTCCCTTTTTTTATAAATCGCATATAAAACAAATACCGCTAATGTTTTCACGTTAAGGCAGCCATTTTAATTTCGCATCCTCTCCTTCATAATTGCCAATCAATAAAAATTTTTATCAGGTTACTTAACCTGACGTGCACAATTTTCATTGGTTGCTCTAAGTGGGAAAATTTGAATTCTCATTAATTAATCTTTAAAGAGGAATATAAAAAATAATCAAATTTCAATTATTAAAATGTTGCAAGAAGCAACATTCATAACTGTTTATTACTTATCAATTATTTTATGTACAAAAAATATATTGTGAATGGTTAATATTAAAAAGCATTTCATATTTACGCGCTTTTTCTTGCCAATGAGAGAGAGAGAGAGAGATATTGTGACGCAAGCGCAGTTGCGTTTAGATACAATTGGCAACTCTGCCTGTTTCCGGTAAAATTTGCGGGAAAGGAATCATCTGTTGAGGTGTTTACAAAGAAATGTTATTTTACATTGATATTTGAGTGCATTTTTGAGTATATCTAAGTTCATAATTAATTGTTTTCATCAATATAATAACAATGGCAGAATCAACGTCATGGGCTCGAACTCGTCCTGCATTGAAAGAGTTTATGTCACTTTTAACCTGTATGAAGTGGTATGTCTTTTGTTGGTTATTTCGTTCATTTTTTGTTTCTATTGTTTTTTTTAGAGCATTGTTATTATTCAAAAAATGTATTTTCGAGTTTAGTTGAGTAAATCGAATGTTTTTTTGGTACAGCAAACAAAGGCCAACAGAACCTATAAAATTCAGAACATGTGCTCATCATTTTTGTCGCAATTGTGTATATAATGATTCGGAATGTTTTTTTTGCGGAATTCCTGTTAATCCATCGGACATTCATCACGATTTTATTACAGCTAATATTATTTCGGCCTGTGATTCAATTGTGGATATTGTATTTAATAATGGGTATAATTTACAAATTTTTGTTTGTTTGTTTTTTTCCATTTCTTTTTGTTTATATTTTTGATATTTTTCCAGTAATGCCGAAGATTTTATTGATGATCCTGATGAGGATCAAATAGAAGAACAAAGAACACGAGAAATTGAATGCGTGAGAGAAAAAGTACCTGAAGAACAAATAAATATTATGGAAAATATTGTAGAAGAGGAAAAAATTGTTGATCATCAAATTACAATGTCTAAAGATTCAGAAATTATGGAATTTGAAAACAATGAGGAAATGGAAAAAGAAAATAATGTAAATTTAATGGAAAGTCAGCAAAATGAAATAAAAAAAAAATATCGAAATACTGTCAAACAGATAGATGAAGACGAACCAATAAAAAAGAGAAAAAAAATTAAGAACATGAAAGAAATTGAAAAACAAATAGAAATTTCAAAATTTCAAAATATTGAACGACAAAATGAGGATCAAGAAATTGATGATTCAGAAGTTGTGATAAATGTTGATGAATTACTTTCATCAACGAGATTATCTCAAGCAAAAGCTACTAAATCAAAACATATTGTATTATCAGATATTGAAGAAACATCGTCTTCCAGTCAAACTATTTATAATACCCGATCAAAACATACTGTAATATCAGTTAATATTGAAGAAATACCGTCTTCCAGTCAAATTATTCATAATACCCGATCAAAACACACATTAGATATTATTAAAGAAACACCATCTTCCAGTGAAAATGAAAAAACTAAATGTTCTGACGCTGATACTGTGATACTTAATGATTCATATGGATTTGAAACTATGAGAAGTATAGAATTTAATGAATCTAAAAATATAAGGGCAACAAAGTCTAAAAAAACAACGGGTAGACAAAAAAATAATTCATTGACAAAAGCTCCAAAGATTCCAAAAGATATTAACAAGAAAAATAAAAGAGGAGAAACACCTTTACATCAGGCGTGCGTAAAGGTTTGTTAAAATTTCTAATAAACTATCAAATTTAATTTATTCTTTTTTTAATAATAATCAATATTTTCTGTAATTATTTATAAAGTTTTGTCCAATTTATAAAATAGTAAAAATTTTTTTGATGACAATTTGCTAAATTATTTTATAGTTGATTTAATATTAAATGTTTTATTTTTTTAATTTATTATTAATTTTTGTAGAAACAAATAGAAACTGTGAAAATTTTATTGGATAATGGCGCGAATCCAAATACAAAAGATAACGCCAATTGGACACCTTTAGTAAGTAATAAAAAAAAAAAAAAATTTTAATTTTCATATGAAATAATGACATTGACAAATTATTGTAATTGTAATGAATACATTTAAATATATTTTTTTTTATAGCAAGAATCTGTATATAAGGGTTATTATGGAATAAGTAAAATGTTGTTAGAAAACGGAGCTTGGCCTAATACTCCTGGACTTGATAATAGAACAGCTCTTCATGAAGCAGTGATAAATAATCTAGAGAAAACAGTTAAATTATTATTACAATTTGATGCCAATCCAAATGTTTTCGATCAAGAAGGAAAAAAACCCATGTAAGTTTTTTTTTTTTTTTGAATATCCATTTTTAATGTAATATACTTTTAATTTATATTGTTTTTATAATTATTGTTATTGTAATAATAACATTAATTAATTAATTAGATTTAATTTTTCTTTATTGCTTTTGTTTATAATTTAATCATTCTTTTGTTTAATGAAATTTTCTATTTATAATACAGTGATTATTGCAAATCTGATGAAATAAAACAATTGCTGTCACAAGAGAATTTAATGAATAACTCGCGAGATCTCAATTCATCTTTAAATTGTTCATTTCTTTCAACAACTAATAAATTTATTGTACTCGCATGTAATTTACAACAATCAACGAAAAAATTATTGACTACATTATCATTGAAGCATAAATTGAAAATTGTAAATTCATTTCAATCAAATGTTACCCACGTTGTTGTTGAAAGTGGTAAAACAATTTTTCTCAATTACGATCTCTTATTATCAGTTCTTCGTGGAAAATGGATATTAAGTTGTGAATGGATTGAAATTGGATTAACTCTTGAATATCAGGATTTTAAAGAAATGGATTTAGATGTTTTTGAAATAAAATTTTCTCACAACGATGATGCACCGAGGCGTGCGAGAATAAATGCAGAATTACAGGTAAAAAGAAATTTAATATATAAAAATTTATATTGAGATAATGAGAAAATAATTTCTTTAAAATCAAAATAAAGTAATTTTATTATTATTTTTTTTGGAATTCTATTCTATTAAATTAATTATTTATTTAAGTAATAAAATTAAAAAAAACTAATATTACAGAAACCAAAATTGTTTAACAATTGCTCATTCTACTTTGCGTTGAATTCAAATGATGAATATCAAGTGGAAGAAATGAAATTATCAAAGAAAAACTTGGTACAACTATGTCTCGAAGGAGGTGGATGTTCTTTATCAAGAGAACCAAATCCTGAAGGTATAACCGATCAACGAATTCCATTTCACGTTGGCGATGAAAATCATCCTCTTCATAATTGTTCTCATTATATTATTTATTCACCTGGAAAAGATGAGCCACGCGTCAAATATAATATGCCTCATATTAAAACATTGCCGCTCGTTTGGTTTATAGAATGCATTGAAAAATTCACGCTCGTCGATCCAGCGCTCTTTGGAATTGTATAAATTGTTAAGTATGAATATCAAAAATATTTATATAATTATGTTTTTCTATAAAAAAAATATTCTTCAACGATCTAAAATTATCATTGAAGAGTTGTTTCTTCTTTTCATCACTTTTGATACAAAAAAAATTCAATTATGGAAAAAATATTTTTGTTTATTAAAAAATTTAATATAGAAATATTTTCATTAAAATTAAAATTATTAGTTTAATAACAACGAATTTATAAAGTTTATCCAATCATACAATGTATTGATGATATTTTGTTACAAATAAAAAAAAAATAAATATTTTTTTTTTAATACAGGAATAACTTGTTATTTTGAAATTATACATTTTTATGATTAAATTATTTAAAGGGTAAAAAATTATTCTCAATTTGTAAAAAAATAAGAGACTTTTTTAAAATTAAAATTTAATTATAGAATCGTATATCTAGTTAAAATTGTTCCCTCTCTGTAGGACGCTGATGAGGATGATGATGATTAAAAAAGAAATTGCGTGGGCTGGTTGCAACGTTAGAAGGCGCCTGTATTGCGTAAAGGCAATATAATGAATCCCGAAAGAGAAGAAAAAGAAGAGAAAAAAATCTTGTATAGCCTCGTACGGTATCGCTCGCATTTACGGACGAACAAGTACCGCTAATCGCTTTATATACACCACCTTTGAAAACATGAATGTCTTATGTCAGGAAGGAAAAAATGGTAAAGAGGATTTTGAAATTTCAAACAGGAAGTATTGGTAAGTTAAATTGACATTAATTTTTTAATTAGTATAATAATCATTGATAGTAGTTAAGTTATAATTACAATCGTCTAAAAAGGAAAAAAATAAATTTAAATTAATCTAAAATTAGGAAATTCAATTTTATATTCGATGATAGTTTATGATTTAAAAAATGAAGATTATTAACTGGGTTCCAGGAACATGTTCTTCGGCCCTGTTTTGTGAAAGAAATGAAAAGAAGAAGAAGAAGAAGAAGAAGAAGAAGAAGAAGAAGAGAAGAAGATGAGAAACACGATAGACGACGATATACACCGGTATACTCCCTCCTCCTTTATTTCTTTGGCTCGACGGTGTAATCCCTATATATGTTGATACTCGTGTTTTTTTACTCTTCCGCGCACGGGACCCGCACCCTGACCCACAAGTGTGGGACTAGTCAGTCAGTCAGGCGATGAAACCTCGTACGATTAGGATTGGCTATTGTAATTCGCGGCCAAGTGTGACACGTGCTTGAGAGTTGTGTGTACATACATATATATATATCCCGATCAGCTGTGTGATCTCTCGGGGCGAGAGAGCTTTTTTTTTTTTTTTTTGCATCATCAGTGAGAGAGAAAAAGAGAAAGAGAGAAAGACACTTAAAGGGAAAGATGCAATTCCACTCGATCACGGGATGCATCGTCCTTATTTTGATCCTTGGCAATGTTTCTGCACAAGATGACGATTCATTAGCCGGCAGCTTTCTATCAGGTAATAAATAAATAATAATAAACAAATATTCGAATTCTTTCAATTCTTGTATTTTTTTTATATAATAATAATTTGAATAATTTTCTCAGTTGCTTTCGTTGTTGCGGTTTTTTTTTTTTTTTTTTTTTTTTTTTTTTGAGATCTAAAATTATCGTTGAAAAGGTTTTTGATAAAAAAATTCAATTATGATGTGAATTTTTTATTTAAAACTTGAATTTAGAAACATTTTCGTTAGAATTAATTTTTTTTTCGTTTTGAGATTTATTTAGAAAATTTAATTGAGAAACAATATTCAGTCAGTATTATTTTTTTACAATGTAAGGCGAAATTTTGTTTTTTTATCGTTAAACTGATAATTATATTTAATAAATTTTAATTTATTGTCATATAAATAATATATACGGGCTCTTTACCCGTATGTTTAAATAAAATGAAAAAAACAATCGAATTCAAATTTTATGTTTCTAAATAAATAATTTCGAATTTATAACAAAGTAAAATGAAAGAATTAATTGAGTAGGCATTAAAGTCTCTTGATAACGGAAAATTGAACGCAGACAATTGAAAGAAACAAAAAAAAAAAGAAAATAATTATTTTTATCTCACCCCTTTAGTGGAAGAAAAATGTTAGTTTTTGAAAAAATAGAAATTCGCATGCGGCACAGTTACATATAGGTGGTTATCTCACGAAGGATGCGATTGTCCCACTTATGACAATAACGCTATGCGGATGATCGGCCTGTAAGAAGGCCGCTGGCCGGCTTAAAACTATACAACGGTATATCTAGACGAAGGAAACGCAACAGCAAAAGAAACGGAAATAACTGACATTTCATAAATAGTTTCAATCCCGACAGAAAATTTTCATTTATTTATTTTTTTTCTTCATTATTTTGTTTTCCTGTGATTAATTAATTAAGGTGATAATCGCAAGTGTTCAGTTTCAAGAATTTAATTTTACAATATGAAATTTAAGAGAAAAAAATAAAAATCGAAAGTAATTTATGCGAAAGTTAAATTATTAGTTTCTTTAATTTATTAATTGCCATTTTTACGAAATTATCATTTAAGCAGGAATTTGATAAAAAAAAAAATTCTGAAAAAATGAATTTTTTTTTTTTTTGAAAAGAAAAACAAAAGAATTTTAATTTTTGTAACTGTCTCTTCTTTTTCTTTTGCGAATTGTTAAAATTCCCGAATGTGTGACGTAGTGAAATTAACGAAAGTTGTGTGTAAAGTGCGAGAGTGTTTGTCCAGGTCATTCTTGATGCAAATCTCACACCTACGTCAAAAGAATTTGCAATAAGGATATACGATATAATACCATACCAATCCTGGTCGGTTTCACTTTGGCAAAGGCATAACGGCCCAAACAAATATAACGGTAGTTAATGAGCCACACAGTTTTACTCGATGTTGTCGAGGTATTACACACCTCATCTTCAATATATGACTAGATGATTTTTTTTTTTTTTTTTTTTTTTTTTATGAACAATTTGAAAACTCGAAAAAATTTTCGTTATTACACATTTTTAATTCTAATCAATTAAGAAACAAAATATGACTACGCTCTTTTAATTCGTGACAGAAAATTGAATATATTTTTTTTAATACAATTTTAATTTTCATTCTTAAATAAAAATTGTATTGTTAAATAAAATTGAAATTTAAAAAAAAATTCAATTTTTATTATTTTTAAATACTAGGTTCAGAAATGAAAATCATATTTCTTTAGGGAAAATTTAATTTTGCATTTATTCTGCAATTTAAAATGAAAACAATATTTATTATATGGATAATTATTGAAAGAAAAGATTTCGATTGATTTTATTCTTAATTAATTTGTTTAAAATTTAATTTCTTTAATAATTTAAAGTGCAAGTCAATTTGAAAATTAAACGGTAAATTCTTATTAAAAATTCATTATTAACATTAAATTTCCCATGAAAATGGCAAATTTTTAATTTAAATTAATTCCATTGATAATTTTCTACTCAAAATTTAATTTCAAATTAAATTTTAAATTATTCATTAATTCACAGAACGAAGTTTGCAAATTTTGATAAATTGCTATATAATAAATAAGTTTATGAATTGAAATTTAAAAAAAAATAAAACACAGGTATATAAATATGTAGTAGCTTTTTAAAATGAAAAAATGTAATTGAAAATTAGATTAATTAATTTTTTTTTTGTTGATATTTTCCAATTTGTAATTGACGATAAGGACGTTCAACTTTTTGAGATAAAAAAAAAAAATGTTTCAAGTTGATAATCATTCAACTTTTATAGACTATTTATTTGAGTGTCATATTATGTATGCAGGAATTTCTCTCAATCAACAGGCATTCACATAACTCGTATATACAGTTATAGTCGTAATAGCTGATGTTATATATTACACATTGGAATTATTGAACCTGACGTGTTAACCGCTCGATTCACCAAAATGAAATAAAAAAAATTCTTTAAATTATATAATATACGTTATTATCGATCACGTAATTATTTTATTATATTCGATATTATTTCATGAGATTGTTACTCCAGTTAATAATAATTATTTAAATATTGAATAAATAAATAAATTGTAATTAATTTTTATTATTATTTAAATATTTACGAATTAGAATTTATAATATTATATTAATAATTAATATTAATATTAGTAATTATATTTAATTTAAAAAAAATAATTTAATTAAAATTCTAATTTTTTTGTCAGGTCTTTTGGATTCGATAACGAGTACGGCGAATAGTGCTGATTGTCCAGGGTATTGTGTACACGCCCTGGCAACTTTGATATGTTATGAAGTTTTAGAGGATGTACAATGTCCAACATCGAGTATGAGATGTTGTTTAGAAGCGCCATTAAATAGTACAGATTTATCGTCCGAAACTTCAAACGATATTAGTGATAATGTCACGACAACATTGGCGACAACAACGACAACGACATCAACAACAACAACCACGACAACTGCTTCGCCAACGACAGAAAAAATTATAACCAGTAAATCACCTACAACGCAAACACCATCGACAACAACTTCTTCCCTTACAACAATTTCTTCCATCACAAAATCATCCACGGTATTTATTTTTTAATTAATTAAAAAAAAACTGCAAATTTAGATCAATTATTATTTTTTTTTTTATTTTCAGAAAAGTAGAAATGGTACGAAACAAGTGGAAACCGAAAGTGGTGAGTTAAAATATTAAAATTTTCAAAAAAAAAAATTTGATTGAAATTAAAACTTTTTTTTTTGAACTTTCAGTGCAAAATTGTACGGGAATTTGCATGGCCGAGCGAATCGCTGATTATTGCGATGCAGTGCTTAATGTTGAAACACTTTGTAAACCGGGATATCGTTGTTGTGTGTCACGCGATGCATTTGGCGATTCACCACCACCGGAATTAGTTGTCATTGATAGGACAAAATTAAATGGTACACGTCCTGATGAAAAATTTGTGTCAACTACAATGAAAACACAGGAAAAAATAACATCACGACCACCATCTCAAATTCGACCAATTACACTTGGATCATTGTTAACAACACCATCAACAATTGGAATATCAACACCAGTGCCAGAGAGACCAAAACCAGCACTTGGCGAAATATGTAAAGGCGAATGCGTTAATGGATTATTTGCATTTCTTTGCGATAATATTGATACCGATGCCGATTGTCCTGGCGATGGATTTTGTTGTATCACGGAAGCTCCCGCAAATCCGGTAAAGAACAAAAAAATTAATTTGTTTTTAAAAATTAATTTCAATTGAAAAACAAATTTGATAAAGAAATTTTTATTAAATGTAATTTTTTCTTATTAGGAACCAACAACAACGGAGAAACCAGTGACAAAACCTCCAGAAATAAAACTTCCGTCGTGTCCTGGTTTTTGTATTTTACCGATAATGGCAGCATTTTGCGAACGACCGAAAATCATTATCTCGCGAACATCCACATGTCCCGTTGGACAAGTTTGTTGCGGAAGTACCAAAAGTTCCGTAAGTTGTTTTATTTTTATAAAAAAAATTGTTATAAAAACAAAGGTATTATTAATTTTGAAAATATATTTTCATCTGAATTTTGATTAGAAAATTGAATTTTTTAGACTCCGCGACCGAGACCAAAGCCAAAACCAACACCGCAAAGAACGGTGACGACAACAGTTGCTCTACCTCCGGATCCACGACCAGAATGTCCTGGATCGTGTATCATGTCCTATTTATCGTTTACATGTTTCAGTAAGTATAAAAGAAATAATATGAAATTTATTTCTCATTTTAAGTAATTTGAATTTTTTTTTTTATATTTAACAAATTTTTTTTTCTTTCTCTTTAATAGGAAATGCAGAGTTAACGAATATTTTCAAATGCAAAAAACCCGGTCATCAGTGTTGTGCACAAAAATCAATAATTCGTGAATTTACGGAGGGAAATTCGACGGAATCAACTCTCGCTAATCGAAACGATACATACGTTACTCTTCCACCACGAGCAAATACACCGTATACGCCATTATCAACAATTATTTGTAAATATTCTCTTTTTATTATTTTTATTTTTATATAATTTTAATTCTACTCAATTAGGAAAAAAGAAAATTGATTATTAAAAAAATATATTTGGTATAATAGATGATACAACAACAATTCCACCGCCGCCGCCTCCAAGTACAACGAAAAATCCCGTTTACAGTAAATATGTTTGCGGTGTAAAAGGAACGTCACGAACACCAGTACAAGCGAGGGATTTTGATCGAGTAGCAAGAGTCGTGGGTGGTGATGATGCGGAAGCCAATGAATGGTGTTGGCAGGTCGCATTAATCAATTCCCTCAATCAATATCTATGCGGTGGTGCTCTCATTGGAACGCAATGGGTCCTAACAGCCGCACATTGTGTTACAAAGTAAAAAAAAAATCTAATTAATTAATTTTATTCCTAATTAAAGTAAATTTTAAAGATTAAAAAAATTGTAGTTTTAGATATTACTTTTGTTCGGATAATCAAGGCCCCACCGTATTTAATTAATATAAAAGAAATTTAATTAATTTTTAGTTTATTCTATTATTATGGATAATAAAAAAAAATTTCTTTCTTAGTATCGTACGATCGGGAGACGCAATTTATGTGAGAGTGGGCGATCACGATTTAACGAGAAAATACGGTAGTCCTGGCGCTCAAACATTACGAGTGGCAACGACATACATTCATCATAATCACAATAGTCAAACGTTGGACAATGACATTGCATTGTTGAAATTACACGGACAAGCGGAACTTAAAGATGGTGTTTGCTTGGTTTGTCTACCGGCGAGGGGTGTCAGTCACACGGCAGGAAAACGATGCACCGTTACCGGTTACGGATATATGGGAGAAGGTAAAAATTATTTTTTTTTTTCATCATTCAGAAATAAAGAATTTAATTCAAATTGTCAATTTATCTCTTACTAGAGATAATAGTTTGAAAATATTTTTTCAATACTTTTGCAAAAATAAACTAATTTTTTTTTTTTTTTAATCTTCTTTAGCTGGTCCAATTCCGTTGAAAGTTCGCGAAGCCGAAATACCAATTGTCAGCGATGCTGAGTGCATTAGAAAAGTAAATGCAGTTACGGAAAAAATTTTCATTTTACCAGCGAGTAGTTTTTGCGCTGGTGGAGAAGAAGGCAATGACGCGTGTCAAGTAAGAATATAATTATTTAACAATTAATTAAAAAATAATTAAAAATTACTATTAATTGAAAATTATTTATTTGATTCACTTCAGGAAAAATCATCTTAGAGATTATTTTTTTTTTAAATAAGATTTTTCCTGGAGTGATCCAATTATGAAATAATTACGTGGTTTTAAAATTTGATTACCTAATTATCATTGAAATTTTTTACAGGGCGACGGAGGTGGTCCATTGGTATGTCAAGACGATGGATTTTACGAATTGGCAGGTTTAGTATCATGGGGCTTTGGTTGCGGTCGAATCGACGTCCCCGGCGTTTACGTTAAAGTATCGGCATTTATTGGTTGGATAAATCAAATAATATCTGTAAATAATCTTTAGCTCTAATTAGTTCTTTCATTTTTATTTTTATTTATATATATATATTTATACGCTTATTTATTTATATCATTGTCATATCAGCGCATCTTGACAGTTGAGAATCTTGATTGATAAATAAGCACCATCGATGCACAGAAGAAGCGAATTCTAAAGCTAAATTGATCTAGACTTTAGCATCGCAACTGTGATATTTACTAATTGCAAAGTAGGGAGAAAAAATTGTATTTTTTTTTTTTTTATAATTTCTGTAGCACATTTTAATAATTTAATGAAAGAACGTTAGGATGCGCCAAAAGTTTCAAATTGAAACTCAGGTAAAAAAATGAGATTGTTCACATTGTGGAGGCACTTGAGCAAATTATTGAAATTGCACTATTTCTTCTACCAATTAATTCTAATTAGGAAATTTGTACTAATTGGTAAATTATTTCCAAATAGTTGAACAAAAGACTTATATCTATATATATATATAAATTTGGGGAAATATTTCCCAATTTTGTTTTTTTCGCTTCTTGCAAACACCAAATATTTCATTCAGATTATTTTTTAATTAAAATCTTCAATTGTATTTTTTTTAGATTCGTTTAATTTAATTTTGAGTTACATAAATTTTTTTTTAGTCATTAATTTAAAAGTTTTAAAAAAAGTCGAAATTCTGGAATTACATTTTTTAGAATTTAAAAACTTTTTTTTTTATTTTCATCGTTCTCTTTATTTTCTCTAAAAATTGATTGAGATTCATCCTTCACAATCATTGTTTTCAAACTCATTGTGTAGTTTTAAAAATTACATTAAATCATTTTTATAATATAGAACATTTTGTAAATATTATATAAAATATCGATTTTTGATATATTTTTTTATTTTTTTGAAATTTAAAAAAATGAAATGAAAAGATATTGTACTCTATCTTGCTTTGTATATTAATGCATTGTTTTATAAGTGTTTATTAAAAAAAAAGAAGTGTAAAATTCTTTTAGTATCTTTTTAAGTTATCTTTAAAAAAAATTCTAGATTTAAATATAAATTATAATTTCGTTTTATAGTTATTGACACTTTTTTTCATCTCTCGTTCATGTACAAATGTATTAATTTGAATTAAAACAAAAAAATAAAAAACTATGTACCTAATAGAGTAATATTTTTTCTTATTTATAATAATCTTAATTTTCAGTTAAAATTGAATACACAATATATATCATGTATATTATTGTCATAAATCAAATCTAATATTATTAAAATATCGTAGTAATTACGAAGCAACTTTTTAAATTCCCATTTGTTTTTTTTTTGTTTTTTTTTTTTTAAACATAAGTTTAGATATTTTCTACTATTTTTTAATTTTTTTGTTCTTCCATTATTGTTGCTTCTAAAATATATAAAAATTATTTTTGCACTAAATTTCAATATACAATTATATATGAATTTATCCATTATTATTGTCTTAATTTGACGTAAAATATTTTGTTAAAAATTAATTTTTTGTTAAAATAAAGAACTATAATAGAGGTGAATATTTAACGTTTCTAAAATAGAAAAAAAAAATGCTAAAATAATGAAGCTTTTTAGTAGGCAAACAATTTCATCTATTGAAAATACAAAGTAATAAAAGATATTAACCTTTTCTTTATTGATGAATCTAGTTGCAACTTCCAAGTACTCTTCGACTGACACTTTTTAATTTTGATAATCGTTTGATTTTTGTGTTGTTGTTTGGTTTGATGAATTCTTCCTCATCATTTTCTTTATCATTTTGCTGGATAAAAAAAAAACATTTTGTTTCAATTCAATTTTTAAAATACTTAAAATATATTCATAAAAAAAATATTAATTTAATAATTCTTATTAATATATTTATTTAAAGTTCTTTTTTAAAAAATATTTTTATGTAAGCAATTATTTAACAATACAAACATAGGTAAATAATAAAATAAAATATAAAAAAAAATATATATTTATTTATAAAATATATGTGAATAATTTAAAGAAAAGTTTGTAAATTTTCTTGAATAAGTAAATATAATTATACCTTTAAAGGTAAATCTGATTCAGATTGACTAATGAGTTCATTGCTGGGTCTCGAGATGATGGAAATGTCAGATGCTGAAGCGGCTTTTACCATTGGATAACCGACATTGTTCCCGTTACAAAATTGAATTTTCGAAATGCTGTTAGGCGTGGACGAAATTTGACCATTAATTCTCGTTGGTGATGAATTACCAGCAATAATAGTTGTGTCCTGAAATTGAAATTATTTAATTATTAATAAATAAACTCATATATTGCTTAAATAAATAATACTATAAAATAATTTACAAACATTAATTACATATTTAATTAAATTTTTTTAAATTTAATTTTTTCTTTAAATTAAATTGATAAATAAAATAAATTTCTCTACCTCGTCGTCAGATTCACCAGCACTTCGAGAACGTTCTATGAATCTTTTGATAATTCTTTCGTGTGGTGAAGTTGATACTAATCTTTGAGGATAGTGAAAGTCTCTTCGAATAGGTGTTGTTCCTATCAAAATAAACAAAATTATTATATTGCTTTATAATTTTCATTCAGTTTTTTAAGGAGAAAATAATTTTTTTTTTCTTATTTAACAAACCTGTTGGTACATCACGACGAAGATCTTCCATGAGGAATTTATCGATTTGATGTTGCGTTGTTCGCAATTCTGTAGTTATTCCAATATTCCATTCGGTGAATTCAACACTTTGATTCTCTAATTTGCGGCCAATTTCAGTTGAACTTATTTGTACCTTATTACGTTGATCTTCCATGAATTCAACATGATCGACACTTGCATCTGCGACAATTTTATGTAAATCCTGCGGGAAAAAAAAACAAAAAAATTTCCAGTTTATTACATTTTTATATTACAGTTAAAATGAGAAATTATAATTGAAACCAACAAACTAATAAGTTATAATTATTATTTAGTTTCAATTATTAATTTTTCAGATTATATTTTCATAACTATTCAGGTTTAAATAAAATGTTAAATATTGAAATAAAATTTATTTAGATGAATTTTTTTTCTAAACTTACTTGCACAGATGATAAAATTGCACCTTTGTCATTTGATGTTCTTTGTTGTAATTCGCTTGTACCACTTGTTACAGACTTTTGATATTCCCTTATTGTATTTCTGCTTTCTTCTAAACCTGATTCAATTTTCTTCGTGAATATTTTGCTTTGTTTGATTGTTTCGTCGGCAATGTTCCAATTCTAAAATGTTTAAAATAAAATTTTATTTCTTTATAATTATTAAAACAAATTTCTAATAAAATTCTAATTAAATAAAATTAAAAAATTTTAAATAAATTCAAAATATAAATAAAAAATAAATATAAATTTGTTTCTCACATTTTTCAAACCAGCTGTCAATGATGTTTGAATACTTTCAATATCATTGCTAGTTTTATTGATGAAAATATTATCTCGTTCGATATTATTTTTACGCTTGCATGCGTTGTGATTGCTGAGAGAATCATATTTGTCATTTATTTCTTGCAACGAGTGGAAAGTTGCAATTTGATTTTCTTCATCGCTTTTTTTGATAGTTTGATATTGAAGCCACGCATCTTCGAAAATCTAGTTAAAAAAAAAAAAATTCCCAAATACATTCTTCAAATTTTAATATTAATTTATTTTATATATATAAAAATCAATACCTTCTCAAATGTTTTTCTATTTTGTTGAATATTGTTTTGATTTTCCCTACAAGATTGATTTATTGTTTTTAAATTCTCTATTTCATTTGTAAGACGATCATGTTCATTAACAAGTTCATTTGAAACTTGGCTCAATGATTCTTTCATGAATGTATTGTAATTTTGTAATTTAGACGAGATTTCATTATTCAATGAACGTAAATTCTCGGCTATTTTATTATTCACAAGTTCATTTAATCCCGATGCTAATTTTGTAGAAATTTGATGTAGTCGATCACATTCTTTGTCCGACATTAACGATGTATTTTGAAGTTGTAACATTATCCAATTGTAATAATAATCGTACTGGAAAAGAATAAAAAAGAAAAAAAAATAATTTAAAATAAGCAAAACAAAAAATAAAAGTAAAAATAAAGAAATGAAAGAAAATTTTATGTTTTTGAACAAAAAAAAAAAAAAATACTCACAGATTCATTTACATCTTCCGTTAATTTGCGATTAATGTTACCCTCTTGTTGCGTTAATTCTTTCGAAATATGATGAATTGTTTTATCGATGCCACGATTATAGGCGGCTGTTTGTACACCAATTTGATCCTTCATTGATAAATGAGATTGCACCAATTGTTGGGCATGAAATGATAAATCTTGTTCAATACTTTGAAAGCGTTTGGAAATATTTTTGCGAAATTGTTGACCAAGATTCTCATTTTCTTCTTCAACACGTCTGTAAAACGAAAAAAAAGAAGTAAACAAAAATTATTATACATTAAGAAAAAATTAATTTAAAATAAAATTATTTGTAAAAGTATTTTTCTTTTCTTTCAGATTAGTTTAAAAAAAAAAAAATTTCAAGTTTGACAATTTGAGACCTGTTCTTTGTTATAATGAATTTTAAAATATATCAAACAAAAAAACAAAGTATCTTACGTTTTACGCATAATTTTATCATGAAGCTTTTGAGTGTCATTAGTTGCTGTTTCCGCAACTTCCAACAGTGTTTGCGCTTGTTTTGATAAAACTTTTTCCGTACTGGCATGTTTATTGACAAGATGCTTGTGTACATCTCGGTCCAATTTGGTTTCCTTTAAAACAGTTTTCGTAGTATTTAAATCGTTCTTTGTTCGATAGAGATCATCGGTTTGCATTTTGTATTGTGATTGTAGCTCATCAAAGAGTTTCTGAAAAAAGAAAATTGAATTTTACAATTGAAAAAAAAAAAAAAATTAGAAATTTGTAACAATTAAATAAATTATAATAAAACTAACTTCTTTTGTTTGCATTGCTTCTTCAACTGCTTTGATGTGATTAATTTTATCCTCAATCTCCTTTCCTTGACATTCGATTTGTGTTTGCATTTCATTGAAATTTTCTTGCGCGATATAAACGCCATTTCGTTCACGTGTTGCCGCCAAATCTCGTCGCAAACGCTCAATTTCCTCTGTGTACTCTTTGAGTAATGCTTTTTTAGATAGTTTTTGATTAATTTCCGGTCGATTGGTGATATTCTTTGCACGATGAGCATAATCTAATGTTGAAAGTGTCTCGTCAAGATTGATACTCGCTGGTGAAACAGTTGCAATAATTGACGTCTTAGTTCGTCCTCCCAATGATTCTTGCAATAAACGAGTCAATTTTGATTCTCTGCAATTTTAGTTAAAATTTTTTAAATTTCCCTTTAAAATCGTCAATCAAAAGTTAATAATGAATTAATAATTAAAATAAAATTATAATTTCAATTGAATTACCGATAAGGAATGTGAGGAGCTCGTTCAACAAGAGCAGTGATAACTCTACCGAGAGTTAATAAAGATTGATTTATATTGCCAGCTTCTCTTGCTCTTCGTTCAACTGCGCCAGATCTTCCGATATTTTCACTTCCCGCAAGATCCACTAAATTCAATTTTCCCGTCTTCATTAATTCCTCGCCATCAACTGTATTTTCTTTTATGTGCACAGTAATTGAAAATACAGTGTGAGATCGACTAGAAAAAAAAAAATAGAAAATTATTGTGAATGAAAAAACAGAAAATAAATTTATTATTTTAAGTTAAGATTAAAATTTGAAAATTTAATACCTCGATTGAGCGTTCATTAATGTGGCAGCAGTTTGTCTCTTTTCCGATCCTTTCTCAAGAATTTTATACACTTCGCTTTTATTGTGTACTGTCACTTCCTCTAATCCATGAATAATAACTGCACCTTTCTTCGCTGCATCTTCATACAATCTGAATATTTTTTGTAACATAATTAAACTCATGATCTATATCTACTTATTTTTTTATTCTTAATTAATTGAATAAATTATTAATAAAGAAATGTAAATTCAATTGCCTTTTTATTTAAAAAAAAATTGCGATTTTTGAAATATTACCTGATTTTTGATGCATCATCATTTGGTGATAAAAGATCGAATAATTCCTCATTATATAATTCCAAAAAGCTTACACGTACTGAATATTCTTGAGCGTCGAGTGTTCGAATTTCATCAAATAAATGACTTAATGCACGAGGAATTATACCAGCTGTTGTGTCCTGTTAATAAAAAATAATCTTTTTACCTCTATTTCTTTCTTGATTAAATATTTGTAAAATTTTATTTAGATATTTTTATAATTTTATACTTAAATAAATAATTACACTTACACTTTGCCACTGCAAACCAGGATCATTGCTATAGCCTTCCATCGTAAAAGTCTTTCCAGTACCTGTCTGTCCATAAGCAAATACAGTGCAATTATATCCTGCCAATACTTCATCGAGTAAAGGATGTACAACAGCATTGTAAACATCAATCTGTAATTATAAAATAATTTTTTTTTCAGATTATTCTGAATAATTTTATTTAAATAAAGTGAATAAAGTTATTTTCTAAATAAATATACATTTTCCTTTCACAAAAATAAAAAGAATTTACACAGAAGCAAAAAAAAAAGGAGAAAATTACAAAAAACAAAAGGAAATTCCGTAAAAAAGCACACCTGTTTTGAATGTGGTCCAAAAACTCTGTCAAAGGAGAATTTTTTTGAAATTTTATCCTGTGGTCTCTCTCGCACTACTACATCTTTATTTGAAGGAACATCAACGACTAACGCTGATTTTTGTGTTTTTTCAATATTATTAATTGGCCTGCAAACAGAAACCAAACATTTTAACACAAAAATTAACATTGTAAATATAATAAACAAATCATAACGAATCTTAATTAAATAATAACCTCAAACAATAAAAATGTCAACAAAATTAGAAAAAAAAGGTTAGAAGCTAATTTATAAAAATTTTTAGCTAAAAAATTGATATTACAATTGAAAAATTAAGAAATTTTTGACATTTCTATTCATAAAGAGACGCTAATGTTTTTAACGTTACCTGACACGGACGAAAACCTGAATATTCTGATTTTTGTCCTTCCTATTTCCTCGTGTTTCATTCATTTTTTAACAATTTTTCTTGAACACTTTATTGAGTTTAATCAAGTTTATCAAGACACTTATCAGTAAACACTAAAATTGACCCTTTTTTCTAAAGCAATTTCCACAAAAATAGCACGTTTTTATTTACACATGAAAAGAACGCACAACTTTTTACCTCCCAAATAAACCGTTGACGGTTTGAAAATAATTTACTTCACATTTCATGTGCAAGAGGCGCTGATATGTTCTGTTTCCGATTTCCGGTTTTTAAAAAAGAAATTATTTAGAAATAAAAATAAATAAATAAAAACCAATTTTGACAAAATGGTAAATAATTTATTAAACTAATAATTAATTTTCTTAATTTATTGGACATTTTAAATTAGCATTCATATAAAAACGATAAAAATGTCAATTGTGTCAAAACGATCAAAATATCGTCTGCTAGAAAAGCGCTGACGTAAACATTTGTTGTGATCTGTTGTTTATTATTTATTAAATTAATAATAATAAAGTGTTTAAATAATATTGCATTTTAAAATGACGGAGATGAATTGGTCTTGGCAATATAGTTTTCCTCCATTTTTTACGTAAGTTAATTATTTTAAGATTAGAAAACAAACATTCCTAACCTCAAAATGTCAAAATTTTCATTTATTATTAATTTTTACCTATATATTATTTATTAAATTCTTTCAAAGTAAGTTCTTTTTGGTTTTAATTATTTTATTAAAAATATTTTAAAAGTAATTGTATTAAATTAATTAAACAATAATAAACAATTGCATAGTAGCAATAATTTTCATATAAATAATATATTAGATTTTATTTTTTTAATGATTGTTGTTAATTAAAGTTAGGGGGTAAATTTAAAATTTTTTGTTCATTATTTTAATAGCGTTATTTATTTAATCAAATGTTTTTTTTTTAATTATAGTCTTCAACCTCATTCCGAGACCAGAGAAAAACAATTACTTGCGTGGAAGAATTTAGTTTTAGAATATCACAAAGTTACAAAACAAGCAATTGTAGATATTCGTGAAGTACAATCGAGTCCATTATTTAATAACACTGCAATAAACAGTATCCTTTTCATATAATTATAATAAGAATAAATAAATTGATTTTATAGAAAAGTAAGAAATAAATTTTATATGTAAATGTAATTGAATTGCGTTAATTTTATTTTCCTTAAATAAAATAATAGGAAAATTACCTTCAGACGTGGTCCTTTTAATATTAGAGGAATTAGCAAAATCAGGAAATGCCTGTCCTCTCGATAAAACGAAACAAAGGTGGTTAGTTTATTGGCATACATTAGAAGAATGGGGAGAAATTGTTTACAATTGGGCTCAGGAAAATGGTTTTATTGGTTCCGTATGCACATTGTTTGAATTAACACAAGGAGAAGACACTGTTGATCAAGGTAAATAATTTTTATTTCAAAATTTATCTTTACTTAAATTTAATTTTCCACAAACAAAACAGTTTTCTTTTTGTAATTTTAATTGGGATTAAAAATTTATTTTTTGTAAAAAGTATATTGAATAATCAATGATTATCAAAATAAATATAAATTGTAAAATAATTATGTTTTCTTAAAAATCATTTTAAATTTCTAAAATTAAGTTCGTATTTCAGAATTTCATGGACTTGACACTGAAGTTTTAATTAGGTCGCTAAAAACATTGGAAGCTTCGCAGAAAGCTGAATTAATTATGTTTGACGATAATCAAGGAGTGAAATTTTTTTAAAGTTTAAAACAAATCGAGAGTTTTTTGTAGCAATTTTTTTTCTTATTTATTAAGATTTTTAAAATAAGTACATAAAGAATTATTTATGTTATAAAAATTTAGATAATGTATTTTAATAAGTTTAAAAAAAAAATTTTCATAAAGTTACAATTTTAATGATGAAGTTTTTAATTAATAATAACAATAATTAATTAACAGTTAAGTTTCAGAATTAGATTATTTTTATAATCTTTCATCTCACTGTTCTTTAGATTTATAATTCAAAGTTTTTCATTATAAAATTGTTTTTAGCAAAATACAGTTTTTTCCTTATAAAAATAATGAGAAGAAAATTTAATATTTTTATATAAATATATGTGGGAATTTTTTTTTATTTATTAAAGATGTTAATAAATCTTTGGCAAATACAAATTTCCAAGAGGAAGCGTATTTTTTATAGGATATAAAATTACGTTTTTTAACACAGTCAAGAGTGGAATGTTTTTTCTTATTTTATGAAAAAAACAAATTTGATTTCTGTCTACTCAGCAACACGTGAAAAGATAAATTTCTTTTTTTTTTCATTTTTAAAGGTGATAAATTTAAAATGTTGCTTTTTTACTAAATTTTCTTTTCCAACTTTGCACACAAATCTTAAATATCTTCGGTTTTTTTTATGTGAGGTAATTCTATATTGTCTGCTTCATTTTCAACTATTTCATGAAGATCTTGTTTACTCATTTTCTCAATGATAAGAGCTCCCAGAGCATCGCACACCACATTAATTGTCGTTCGGAATCGATCCCTATTAATCAGGTAAATAATTCGTTTTTTATTATCAAATATTCTGCATTTCTTTTCATCTATTTATCAGAATTTCAATTTCAAGTAAATTTTAATATTAATTGGAATTAATATTAAAAAAAATATTTTTTAATTAAAATTATGTAAATAAATTTTTTTATTCCTTACAGAAGCCAATCAACAGCGAGAATTATGGACACGTCATCTGCTGGTAGTCCAACGGTGTCGAGAACCATGACCATTGTAACGAGACCTGCTTGAGGAATTCCTGCAGCTCCTATACTTGCGGCTGTTGCTGTTATACTAAAGCACAATAACATCGGGGTAATTAAAATTTAATTAAAATTGAAAAAAAAAATATTTTTACCTAATAGCAATAACACTGCCAAATGAAAGGCTCCTTTGACGCACTTGTGCAATAAAAATTGCAGCAACTGCCTCATAAAGTGCTGTACCATCCATATTTATTGTCGCTCCTATTGGAACCACAAATTTCGTTATTCTCGGATCAGCTCCCATTTTGTCTAAACATTGAAGAGTAATTGGTAACGTTGCCGAACTACAATTTTGAAAAACAACAATATTATTTTTCATTTTCTCTCAATTTATTATAAATAAATCAATTAAATTATTTATTTTTTATAATAATTAAATTTATTCATGAAAAAAAAGGGGGGAAAAAATCTCACCTTGATGCAGTTCCAAAAGCGGTGACAATAACTTGTCCCATTTTACGTAAATATTTAAACGGTAATTCTCGGGTACAAACGAAAAATATAATTGACAGAGTAACAAATCCATGAATAGTTAATCCTAATAAAACTGTGACAAAATAAAGACCCAATTGACCGACAATTTGACTGATATCTTCGATTTCGATTAATTTTGCAGTAACTAGAAACATTACACCTACAGGAGAAAGCCTAAAAATTAAACAAAAATCTATTAAAATAATTATTATTTCCAATGATTAATTTAAAAAAAAAAAATTCTAAAAATTAATTTAAATTAATGGAATTTTCTTTTAAAATTTCTTTTAAAGTTTTAATTTGTTTAATGACTTTTTGAAATGTTTTTTTTATTTACCAAATAACCCAATTTGTGATGACCATCATGGCTTCGGATAAAGCATTAAAAAATTCGAGTAAAGGTTTTCCCGTTTCTCCCATTTTTGCAACGGTAATTCCAAAAATAATGCTAAAAATCACAAGACCCAAAGTATTCATACTTTTTGACACTCCAAATGATATATCCCAATCGTATAATGAAGAAACTGTAAATTTTTTTTAAATGAATATACCAACTTGTTGACAATTATTTTCCATTTTTTTCTAATTACCATAATAATAATAATCTTACCATTTTTGTCTTTTGGATAATTTAATACTGTTCTATCCTGAAAAATAAAAATTTGATTATTGTATTTACTATTTATTAATAAATAATACATAAATAATTTATTTTATTGAAGAAAAAAATTTTAATTAAATTAAACAATCGATTTTATCATTTTTTTTATATTGTTTAGTAATTTTTCAAATAATTACTTATTTATTTTTAATCATTATAAATTATTATATTTTTTTATATTTACTCACTTGTTGAATACAAGATTCCACCAGATTTGTTGGAAATATATTTCTAAAAAGAAATTTTGTCGTTTTATTGTTCTATATATTTTTTTTAACAAATAAAATTTTCTTTCGCAAATAATTTATAACACTGTAAAACAAGAGAAATTAAAAAAAAAAAAACTAGAAAAAAATTTGAAACAAAAAGAATAAAAATACATTTTACCTTATTAAATCGAGAATTGTATCAACAGTTGTAATATTATGTGATACTTCTAATTTTTTTGATTTGAAAAATTTACATTCATTATGAATTGTTGTTGAATTATTTAAAAATTCCTCCGCTGTGCGAGGGCAATTTGTATTTTTAAAATCACCTGGCCTTATTGTCAAAACCAAAATAATTCCCAATGTTACGGCAGTTATCGTTGTCGTACTGTAATAATAAATTGATCGCTTACCAATTTTTCCTAAAAAAAATTGATATTTTCAATAAGAATTTTGATTTAAACAAAAATATCAATTATCATTTAATTACAAAAACTTATACAAAGGAAGTTTTTTTGGAGCTAAATTCAAACTAAATAAAAAATATGTTTTTAATTTTCTATTTTAATTCCTCAAAAATGAAGAATTATTTTTTTTTTTAATTCTCTTTTTGTGGATTAAACAAATTTTCTAGAAGCACAGAGACTTCTATTGTAACAAGAGTGGAAAAACCATTAATCTGATTTCCATATTGAGGCGTGAAGAAATTGTGTAATAGTTTATTTTAAAAAATTGTCACGTACCGGATAAACTGAGATCAAGATTGCCAATGGCACTGATTATACTAGAGACGATGAGAGGAAGTATAAGGCCTTTTAACATTCGAAGAAACATGTGACCGGGAAATTCGACGTATAATACTTCACGAGGTGTCCATGATTCTTTGCCACTTTTACGTAGTATCATACCAAGTGCAACACCAAATAATACTCCAATAACAGTAAATAATGTCAATCCATGTTTTGAAAATTGTCTTTTCAAATTTGGTGGGAGAGCCATTTTTTTTCTTTAATGAAAATCTCTTTTTCCCTGGAACAATAACAGATAAGAATTTCTATTATTTTTCATTTATTTTCTAATAATTAATAAATAATAATTGAAACAAAGATAAAAATAATGTTCTAAATCAAATTATTCTGAAAATATTAAACGTTTTTAGTTTTTTTTTAGAAAATTCTAAAATTAAAATTTTATGAATAATATTCATTATAATTAAATCGTTTTTAAAGTAAAAAAAGAATAATAATAATTTAAAAACTTTATTTGACGTTTCAATACTCAAATTATTCTTTTTAGATTTTTTTTTTATAATTTATTATAATTGTGGTTTCTTGCTTTTTTTTAAAAAAACGTCATAAAATTTATTGTTTATTTTTTGACTAAGTATATGTAATATGTAAATATAAAAAAACATTAAAGTTTAAAAAAATTTTGTTTATTTAAATTACATAAATAATTATTTACGATACGTAAGTTTAGAGAAAAACAATTGCCTTATTATATCAAATTAATTATATATGTATGATTCAATTTAACTGATTAAAATGTAATAAGTAAAAGTTTGAACTTATCATAAAGAGAGAAGTGCAAACTAATTTAAGAAGGCGGTTTGTTGTCGTTACGTCGAGAATATTTTATCAATTTAATATGTGACAGGAGTAAACTTGCTTTATTTAAAATATTAATGATATTTAAAAACTTTTTTTATTAAAATTCTTTTTAATAATAAATTATATTTCAGCAATTAAATGACTAAAAAATTGTCTGGTAATTAAATATACGTAAGTCAATTAAAAGTACATAATTAAATGCTAGATAAATGAACGGTCAATTATTTAAAAATTATTATTAATTAATTAAAATTAATTATTATTAATTTTAAATTCCCTAAAGAATTTTAAAAGTCTAAAAATGTCAAAGTTTCATAATTTACCTTTTTATTTCAATTTATTAATAACATATAAAAAAATTATTATTATTTAAATAATTATTTTAAATCAAAATAAGTAATGCACAAAGAATACTTTTTCAAAATTTACACAAATCTGCATACAATATGAGAAATAACTTGTTCGCGGCGGTTTCCAAAGGAAATTCCAATTATCACTCGCATTACACAATATAAAAAAAATACTCATCTCCCTTATCTCATTATTAAGTCAACCATACTTGTTGATTTTCTTTTCGTATGTAAATTTTTTTCAATTCAATAAAATTTTGTCAGTCTTTTTCAAATTCCCGCTCTGAACAGGTTTTAGAAATTTACTGGTACGTTGACAGTTTCGATAATCTACTAATTTGCATAAATCATAATATATGAAAGATGAAAAAAAAGTAATTTAATTCCTTTTTATATTTTGATTATAACAAAATAAAAAAAAATAATAAATAATAATAGAATTGAAAAAAATTCAATTTTAGAAATAAATGAACAGATGTCAATTTAACAATTTTTAATTGTTTTTCTTTTTAGTAATAAAATAATGATAAATGACGATTTCTAGAAATTAATTATTTATTCATGCACAAAAGTCCTATTTTCCTATGAAAAAAGAAAAATATAAAATTGCTTGTTATAATGAACAGTAATATCAGAAATTTAATGTTTTATATAGATAAAATTTTAAAATAATATTTGAAAAAAAATTAAAATTGTAATTTATTTCATTTTAATTAAAATTTTAATTCATTATTTTTTATATTTTCTAATATTCTACTACATAATTTAAAATTAAAATTACCTACGATAAAAAATAAATTTCCTTAAAATAATGTTTGCCCAAACATTGGAATGAAGTTCTTCTTTTTAAAATCACATGCGGGTTTTGAGGAAATGTTCCTTTATTTCAGAAATTACCTGTAAAAATAATTACTTTTTAAATTACTATTTTCATTAAAAAACTGATTAAAAATTCTTTGAAAGTTAAAAGTTTACTTCATAGGATTAATTTTATTGATTTGATCTAATTTTGTTTAATATTATAAAAGCTTTTCTATACTTTATAAGATACTTTTATATATTTTTTATACTTCCATAAGTAATTTGATTTAATTAATTTAATTTACTAAACAGGATTTAAACTAAAATCTTAAAAAAAATTAATTCAAATTTGAAAATAATCGAAAGTTAATAACGTAAAAGTAAATTTTTGAACTGATTTCAAACTATTATTAATATTGAAAACTAAATAATAAAAATAAAATAAAATTATGTGTAAAATAAAAAATAGATTTAAAAAATAGAATAAAAAAATAAATTACACAAAGTAACTAAAAAGCTGAAAAAATATGCCTCAAAATCCAATTATTTACAAATGTTATTTGCTCAATAATAATAAAGTTAATTTTGAGGAAAGTGTCAATGATGTTTTTACCTGATAAGAATTTTAGATGTAAATTTTTTGCAAAACAAAAAAAATATAAAATTAAAAAAATGCAACAATATTATTGAAAAATTTTGTTTAAAAATTTATATAAATAATAAATTAACTAATTACCAATTTAGAGAAGCTGGAATTCAATTTTTCGTAATTATTAATCCAAATTTCCGAAATACTTTTACTTTTCACTTAGAAGTATAATATTTCATTTGATTTTCTTGCACGTGTATGAAAAGAAAAATAAACTAGCGGTATTTTCTTCGGCATGCACGCAATATTACAGAGTATATCGAAGAGTTCACTCAGTCGCGACAGTTCCCGTCTGACTGGTCAAGTTATGTATGAGGTCCTTTACTTCATGCTGAATTCGAAAGAGAAAGAAATTCTTTTTCATCATTCTGTGTTCCTATACTTTTTTTTTATTCTCTGTTTTTTTTCTTTTTTTTTCCTTTGCTCTCTTTTAATCATTTGTGTAAACATATGATTATCAAAAACATAAATTGATGCAGGTATATACTTTTAAAAATGTAATTAGAATAATCAAACTCTCAATAAAATTCAATAAATGCGACAGATTATGGCATATGCAAAAAAGAGTAAAAAAAAAAGAAAGGAAAGTCTACTGAATATATTGAGACACTGCATAACTCCACTTAATGCCTTGAACTTGTAATTTAAACTAGTGAAGTCATTGTGCTTCTTGTATTTCTTATTTCACAAGATTCTATTTTATTCATAATCTATCGAAGATAATCACAGAATCCTTTCGATTTTTTCTGAAATTAAAAATATAAAATTAGATTAACATTTTCTTGAATTAAACAATAATTAATAATTCACGTTTTAACTTTTTTTATTTCAGTACGAAATAATAAAATTCAAAATATTAAAATTTAATTGAAATTTTCCTAAGTATTTAATTAATTTTTAAAATTCAAATAAAAAAATTCAGAAAAACATTTCAAATATTTAAAAATAATAAAAGTACCTTATAAAACTGGAAATTTCTATCATTATTAATTTTCCTCGTGGGATTTTGAAAATTCCTATTCTTTAAATATATCTAAATAAATTCCTTTTCTGAAAAATAAGCTTAACATAATTTATTAGTAAAATAGAAAAAAAAATTCTCTCTTTCTTCTTTGTGTTAAAATTGCGATAATTTAAAACTATAATTATAATTGTGATAAAGGAAAAAAAAATATTAGTGCAAATTAATTCGACACGAAATAAAGGACATTTGTGACAATGGGTTGATTATAAAGCGTAAAATTAGTTTAGGAATTGCAGAAAAAAAAGATTAAGAGGACTCATACTTAATTTGTGTATAAAAAAAATATGTAGAATAACTGAATAAAACTCAAAATATCCCGACTAATCCAGTAAATTATTACGCATTTAGTATAAAGTGAGTCTGCTTTAATTAAAACGAGACTAAGCAATTCTTTTTTTGTAATTAATCTTCTGCAGCCTTTGAATCATAAAAAAAAAAAAAATTTTTCCCCATAACATTCCCTAGATAAGTTTTAATTTTTTTCTATATTTTCTAATTAGAATTCTTAAAATTTGAAAAAAATTTTTATTATTATCTATATTATTTATATTCTGTATTTCATTTTTATATATTTAACAATTTATTATAGTAATAAATTTTTCTTATTATAATTTATTTTTTTTTGTATTTAAATTTAAAAAAAAAACAAAGTAAATAAAATTAATTACATTAGAAAGATGATGACAATTTTTAATTAAAGTTCCCCTGATAAATTGAGAGTAAATTTTAAAGATGACCAGGAGTAATTTTTTTTAATTACTCTAAACATTAGTTAATGAAACTAATTCAATTACTATCAAAAAAATTTGTTACAAATTAAAAAACATTTCATTTAATTTAGGTAAAATAAAATTTTATTTAAATTAAAATTAAAAATATAAAATATTAATTACTATAGATTAAAAAAAAAATTCCTTAATTTTGATGTAACAAAATTCATAAATTATAAGAAATTTAAGAGATAAGAAAAATGTTGTTTTCTTATATAAAATTTTTTGAATAATATATATGATTTTCAGTAATTATAATTTTAAAGACAAAATCAGAATTTTTTTTATAACTTCCTTTTTTGCTTACATCTCTGTAAATGAAAAAAATATATGAAATAATCATGAAATTTTAATTACGTAACACGCATTTGTCACGCTGGCAGTACAAGGTCAGCAATGGAGATTTTCAAGGTATTCCAGAGTGAGTGGGTCCTCAACATCAACAACGCATAAAAAAATACTATAGAAACATTTTTAAGTGGACTATCTAATATTTCAAACTATAAAAAAAGTACAAATTTTCAAATTCTATATTTTTCTCAGAATATTAAATTTATGTATCCAAATTTATAATATTATCTTTACTAATAATTACAGTAAAAAAAAAGTTAATGAGTAATTAATATTTTAGACTGTTATTTTAATTTTCTAGTTTATTGATTAGTTTTTTTTTAATTAATTACTATTAATTATTATTAAATTATTATTATTATTATTATTATTAATTAACAATTATCTTGACAAAAAATTATAAAAAACGAACATATTTATTTTACGATGCTTTTAAAAATACATATCATCATTTTTAAATAGAACAAAACAGAAATCATTTCTATTTGATGAGATGAAATCTGATTTACTGTGTGTATAATATTTATATTCGATGCTTAGAAAATAATTTACTTTTTTTTTTTCCTTTTCTTTTTTATGAAGAGTCTCATATGTTAGCGAAACTAATTTGACGTATTTATAAGAATTGAGAAAAAAAGTATAGACGCAGACCTAGTGAAACTTAATTTTTTTTTTTTTATTTTCAATGATAGTATTAAATAGATTTTCCGTATTTTTTCTTTTTTCTTTTTTAATCATTTATAAATCTTCGAACTAAGCTTAAAAGTCTTGTGTCGAGTGCAATTAATAGACAAATTGCAATCGATCATATGTTTTACACGACTTGACAAAAAAATATAACAGACTTTATATCATATATATATATATATAGCGAAGACGCAAGAAAAAATAATCATCGTTTAATACTGAAACCTTGAAGGTCTGACACAAGTATCGTAAGTTTTCGTCTGTCTTAATATTTTTCCTACATAAATTTTTTTCATAATTATCCCTTTCGAATGCTATTACAATCCAAAAAAAAAAAAAAAAAAAATTATCTATTAACATATTTACAGACTCTCAATTCACATGTTATAAATGACATGTCGAAATAAGACGTTAAAAGAACTCAGCTAACAAATTGTTATTTTTTAGGAACACATTTTTTTTTAATTTTCCACTTTATTAGAATCTAAACAATATTGTTTATTTAGATAAAAAATTCAAATTTTTCTTAAATTCATTTTATCAATTTCATTGTTTAGTGGTTTCTTTCTTTTTTTTTTTTGTGAAAGTGGTATAATAGTCGATAGAAGAAATAAAAATAATATATTGTACATTACCGTATGCTTTAGCTGAGTTCTTCTAAGATTAATATCTTAACTTAAAACGTCACTTGGTGAGAGAAAATCATCCTTCTGTTACATATTATTTTTCAGGTGGCGGAGATGTAATTTTCCTTTTGAATAGAAGAATATGAGGTTCTGAGGGAGAAATAATTTTAATAAATTCGTGTCTTTAAAAATCAATGAAATTAATTTATATCCAATTAACTGATTAAATAACTAAATTAGTAAATAAATAAAATTAGAAAAAAATCTTACCTGGATCATGAGTCATGTAATGTACCCAACCCTGACTTTGTTGTACCCCAATGTTTCTCCATTCTTTTTCACTTAATAATTGACCCCTTGGCACCAGTTTCACTAGTTCTTTTGGTAACGCAACATGTCTAAAAATAAATTATTTTTTTTCAATATTTTTAAAATTAAATAAAATTTCTTAACTTTACGTTAATTAAATATAAACAAATTAATTAAATTGAAGCCTAATATATTAATAAATTAAATTAAATACATTGTAATTAGATAAACTATATTATAAAATTCCTAATCTATAAATCTAAACATCTATATTTAACAATAAAAACTTTCCAAACATCTTTTTAATTTCTACGTTTTAATAATAAAAAAAACCATTTTAATTATTTTTACCTTTAGTAATCGAAATATATATTTATAATTTACAATTTCTAACATTCTGAGAAACTTTTAATTGAGAAATAAAGGATAAAATTAAAATATTGTTTGAAATACTCATCAAATGCATTTTGAGGTTATGTACCAAAATATGTCAAACTGTATATACAATAAAACTTTGAACGTTTTATATATGCATCAAAAACAGAAAAATAATACAAATAACACGAGAAAATGTTTTGTAAACTTAACAAAAACCACAAAATAGTTAAAACAACAGCTTGTTTTATTTGCGTTTCAAACAAAAGGAGTCATAAAAAAAGGGGATGAGAACATTTCTAATTTTCACAAACCTGTACTCATACGTATCGTCGTAATATTTGCTCGAATAGTAAATGTTATCAGCCATAATTATTCACTTTTTAATGCGCACAGTATTAACAAAAATGCAATGAAAATAAGCACAAAATTAAATGTTTTCAAAGAGAAATCTCAATAGCTTGCTTGACGGCGTGTCCTATATATATATAATTTGAATGTATTTAAAATTTAACGGATACACAAATGAAAAGTAAGTGGGGGAACCTCTCTAATCATTTAATACTAAAAATTAAAGAATCAATTAATATTTATCAAAAAGATTATTTTTTACTAAAACAAAATTAGAATTTTATTTCTCCATGGAATAATTTTATCTATAGTAAAGAGTTTTATTAATTATTTAAATAATAATTGCCTAAAACTAGAGTAGTAGATGTGTAATGCGCATAACAGGAAATCAGCTGTTAGTAAATTCATGATGGCCGCCATAAATACGTAAATATTGTTTTATAGGTTAAATTTTATGAACAATCGTTGACAATCGTTTTAAATCTATTTGTTAAAAAAAATAGTGTTTTTAATTAATTAATTAGGTTAATTGTCCTTGTATGATGGAAAGACACAGACATAAAAGTAATTATGAACGGTCGCGATCGAAAGAAAGACATGAAAATCGTGATAAATATAAACACAAAAGGGACGATGATTATGATAACAAAAAACGAGAAAAAAATTCCAGTTCTAGACATAAATCGGAAAAATCAAGTAATAAGAAGAAGAAATCTAAACAAAAGGAACGATCACGAAGTCGTGAGAAGTCTTCCAAACGTAAAAGTAAAAGGTTAGTGATTAAAGATAAATAAAATTGATTAAATTACTATATTATTTGTGATACAAAAACAAAGTGATTTTTTTTTTAACAAATAGTTTATGAGTTTAAAATTACATAAACCTTAAATAAAAATATATTTTCATAGATCACCATCTTCGTCTTCCTCTGATTCCTCTGATTCGACGTCATCTGGTTCGTCGTCAAATTCAACGAAACTTTTAGAAAAATTACAAAAACAACGTCAAGTAATGATTGATGAACGTAAACGACAAAAGGACATAATGAAAGCAACCGAAACACCCGAGGAGAAAAGATTACGTCGTTTAAAAAAGAAAGAGGCAAAGGAACGTAAACGAAAAGAAAGAATGGGCTGGGACAATGATTATTTACATTATACAAATACGGATAATCCATTTGGTGATGGAAATTTACTAACAACATTTGTTTGGAATAAAAAATTAGAGAAAGAAGGATTATTGGGTGTAAGTCGTGAACAATTGGAAATAAGAAATAGACATAAACAAGAAGAAAATAAAAGAGAATTGGAGAAAGTAAAGAAAAGACGAATGGAACGTGAATTAGAAAGACAACAAAGAGAAGCAGAAATGGCATTGTTACAACGTGGTAAAGAAGCAGCACAACTTGAACAATGGGCACGTCAAGAGGATCAATTTCATTTGGAACAAGCGCGATTAAGATCAAGAATAAGAATACAAGATGGTCGTGCAAAACCAATTGATTTATTGGCAAAATATATTAGTGCTGAGGAAGAAGTTGATGCAGTTGAAATGCATGAGCCTTATACTTATTTACGTGGTTTAAATGTTAAAGATTTGGAGGATCTTATTGAGGATATTAAAGTGTATAAAGAATTGGAGAGGGGTAAAAATTTAGATTATTGGAATGATATCACTGTAATTGTCGAGGATGAGCTTATAAAATTGAGAAAATTAGAAGGATCCGAATACGAGCTTGGTGAGTATTATTTTTTTTTTTATTTACTATACGTAAATAGTGTATTGCACTGTTAATTAAATATATAATCATAAAATTTTTATTTTCATATTTTGAATATTTACAATTTAATTAAGATTTTATTTTTAGTTTATTTTATTGCTTCCTCTCTAGAGGAAATATTTATTTTATTTATTTATACGCGTGTGAGAGTTAAATGAAATAAATCTTATCTTATTTATTTTATTTGTTGAAATTTAATATTTTTTCAGTCTAAAGTGATTTTATTATTTTTATTCAGCTGTTGGTCGAAGAGAAGGAATTCATGAGTCAGTTGCAAAGGATGTAACTGCCATTTTCAAGGGTAAGACAGCATCTCAACTTGAAGCTTTACAATTGCAAATTGAGACGAAAATTAGTGGTAAACCTGAAGGTGTTGACATTGGTTATTGGGAAAGTTTATTGTCTCAATTGAAAGGTAATTTTATATTTCAATTTTTTTAATTTTATTTCCTTTTCTAATTTTAATATTTAATTCTTCGTTTTTTAGCTCATATGGCCAGAGCTCGTTTACGTGATAGACATCAGGAGAATTTGCGTAAAAAATTGGAAGTTTTGATAGCCGAGCAAGGAGTAACAAAAGCAGAAGGCGAAGTCGATGTTTCACAAGAATCAAGTGAAATTTCTGTAAAAGCAGAAGAGCCTTCGTCAAGTTCCGCTCATGTGGAGAAGAATGATGACAGCCAATCGGAGTAAGAAATAATTTGTTTATTAATTGCAAATAATTTATTGTTTCTCTAATTAATTTTTAAACCATTTTTTTTTTTGCTTGCAAATTTTCAGTAAGGAACAAGAGAATGAAAACACAAGTGCAGGTGATGAAATGATAACGGAATCATTTAGTGAATATGAATCGGGTGGTTATTCACCGAAATATATAACACAATCGCAACTCGAACCGGGAACAATTGTCACTCTCGAGGAAGACGATAGTCAACGTTTGGAATATGCACGAAATATGGTTCTAAATACGGGTCGTAAAGTACAAAATGTTATGACAGCCGAGGAGCAGGCAATGTTGAAGGAAGCGAGAAAAAATATGGGCGACGATGAGGCTCAATTTAGCGTTGAATCATCATTGGAAGCACAAGTTTATCTTTGGTCTGACAAATATCGCCCGAGAAAACCACGTTACTTTAATAGAGTTCATACTGGATTCGAATGGAATAAATATAATCAAACCCATTACGATATGGATAATCCACCACCGAAAATTGTTCAGGGTTATAAATTTAATATCTTCTATCCGGATTTGATTGATAAAAGCACAACGCCAGAATATTTTTTGGTGAGTCAATTTTTATTTATCAAAAAAAAAAGTAATTTGTTTTTGATTTTAAAATTATAATTTTTAATTCAATTTCTATTCGTTTCTCAGACGCCATGTTCGGATAATAAGGATTTTGCAAATCTTCGATTTCACGCTGGCCCACCGTACGAGGATATTGCATTCAAAATTGTCAATCGAGAATGGGAATACTCCTACAAACGTGGATTCAGGTGTCAATTTCACAATAACATTTTTCAACTTTGGTTCCATTTCAAAAGATATCGTTATCGGCGATAGGGAACACTATTTGAATATTTATTATCTTTATATTTTGTACATATATATACAAATTTACAATTTCATTTCGTTCTATTTAGAAATTTTTCTAAATAAAATAATGCCGCGAAAAAAAATTAAAAGAGTAGACATTGAAACTAAATTTTTGCAACGTTTAAGAAGCAAAAAGAAAAAAATACATCAAAAAATTTGGACAAATGGAAATTTGATTAACTAGAATAAAAATGTAGTTAAATAAAAAATTTAGAATAACTTTCTAATAACTTTCAAAAATTTTCATTTATAATATAAAATTTTAATTAAATTTTTAAACAAAATAAAAAAGTTTCTTAAACGTTGCAAACTTTAGTTTCGTGAAGAGTCTATCATTTAAATATAAGTTTATCACAAATAGATGATTTTTGTTTTAATACTCCATTTTGTGAGTACATATTAGTTTTTTCTTTTTATTACGTTAATTAGAATAATCAAATTTTATTGCAACTTTTAAATAGAATTTCATTTGCGTCATATTTGCCCGCATCTTCTTGAAATTTTATCTGCAGATAATATTGCAAATTTTTTTTTTTATCAATTAGCTTTCTCTTTGCAAATAGACTTATCAATTAAGAATTATAATCCACTAATATAGAAAAGAATCAAATATTCCAAGGGAACTTCTGAGAATAATTTGTAAGTATATATTCTTTTTTATCGATTTATAAAAATATAACTACCAAATTGGAATTTTTAAATATTCTTTTTAATTCAATTTTTTGTATTGTTTATAAAAAGACATGTCTTTAAATTTTTTTAAAAATGTATTTGAATATTATTGAATTTCTACTTTTAATTATAAAATAATTTAAATTTATTTTGTTTATTTCTAGTTTTATTAATTTTTCAGTATTAATTAATTGTAATTACTTTTAGTAATTAATACTTACACAATTGGTAATAGAAAAAATTTCTTTTTACATAATTAAAAAAAAAATTATTTTTTAATTTACAAAAAGTAAAAACTAAATTTTTATTATTTAATTCTTAATTGTTTAATTAAATTTTAATTGACTGTATTTTTTTATTTCAGATGTAACACAGTTTGATAATTGGAATTTAATTGACGTTTAGAGTCAAATTTTCAATGTTTTATGTTGATTGTCCATTCGTTTCTATACAAAAAGAAAAACAGGAAAATGAAAGAACGCTCGTAATGTTCCTGTTATCTTCTCACATCTTTAATCTTGATAAAATTATAATTGACCATACAGTGAGTAGATATAACGCATTTGAAGCTTGCGTGAGTTGGCAGTGTAAGCCGCGAAAAATTTTGTTAATAGTGTTCGTTGGATCGATTTTCTCTTATGCACACGCCTGTGTGTATACACACAAATGAAACCGCAGGAGGGTGAATGCTGAAAGTCCACCTATAGCTATACCAAACCCAATGGCAAGGTAAATTCAAGCTCAGTACACCGTGTTATTGTTTAGAGTAAAAAAGGGCGCGCATTATTTGCTCGCAACATTTTTCAAAAAATATTTTTATAAATGAAAAACAAATTTTTTTTTAATTATTAAAATTGCATGACTGGATGAAAGAAAAATATTTTTATTTCCTTGATGAATTTTTTTTTTTTATAAACTTTTGTGTACTTCATTAATTTTAAATTTGCCAAGAAAGTTTTTGTTTTCGCGCATGTCCGGGTCTTGTGTAACTTATAATTAGAGAAGTTATTTGTGTAAACAACTTTTTTTTTTGTAAATAAACTTTTTTTTGTCAAATTTCACGAAAGTTTGCCAAGGAATTTACAGAAGAAAAAGATAACTTTTCTGAAGAATTTTTTCTCGATAAATCAAGTTTTTAAAATTTATTTTTTGTTCTTAAACAATTGAATATTGAGTTTTTTTGCGTTTTGTTTTTATCCTGACATTTTTCAAATTGTTAGTAGAATTATTTTTTCTTTTTAAATTTTTTTTGTACTATTTTTGAAATTTAGTTTTAAAAGAATATTGTTTAAAATTTATTAAAAAAAAAAAATGTTAAATTATTAAATTTGAAAAATTGAAATTTATAATTACATTTTTTAAAAAAACTGTTTGTAAATATTGTGAAAATTAAAGAGACTAATGAATTGAACATTATTCACGTTTTCGTGAATTAAAAATTAATTTTTATTTTATCTAGTGAAGAAAATTACAAAATTTGTAAAATTCTACAAATGAATGTCTGGGTGGGTGGTAAAAACGATGAAGTGGCAAAAGCCATCTGCCGATTTTCTCTCGGAAAAGACTTTTCTTGTGCTTAACAAAGATCTGGATCTTTTTAAAGGTAAATAGACAAAAATTTATTCTTTAAGCACAATTTCTTTTTTATTTTAATCATATATTTTATTTTTATTTTATTTATTAATTATAATTAAATTAAAATTATCTACTATTTACTAGCATTTTTTTTTCTTGTCTTTAATTCTACAAATCTTTATTTTTTCTATTAAATTTAACTTTTATTTTCTATATATTATGTCATAATGTTTTGAAATGTTTGATATAATAAAAAAAGGTAGGGTAACTATAGGTAGTTTGCTCCATATTTCCGGGGTCAATGCAAACAGAAGTGCACTTTCATTGAATTATTCGTTATTTTATATAGTTCTTGTTGAAATCGATAAAACAAGAGAGTGATCTATCGCCTAACTTTTTGAAATGAGGGAAAATTTTCTTCAATCCGATAATATAAACGTTTTTTTAGTTGATTGATCTATTTTAAAAGATTAAAATTTTTCAAATAAAATTAATTTAAACTTTTGTAATTGAAAAAAAAAAAGATTCTTTATCATCAATAATTTATAATAATATTAGAAATCAATTAACTATTATTATTAATTGTTTTCTTTTTTTATAATATAATTAATTTTTTCATTAATGTGACTAACTCGAATTTTGAATAAATCAAATTAGATTTTAATTTTTTTTATTTCTTTTATAATTTTATATTTATATGATATTTATTTTAAAACTAAAAAAATGAAATTTTTTCCAGATAATACGGCAACGTGGCCGCCGAAAGTAAAGAAAATTACATTAAAACAAAATGTAATTATTGAGAGACCAAAAACGGCAAATTTGGAAAAACCAAGTATTTTAAATCCTGATTTAATGGACAAATTGGATATGTCAATGTTGAGCAAGGATTCGTTGAGTCGTATTCGATTAGGGGGTCAATTAGGTGGTGGGGGTGTGCCCTCGACCTCGTCCTCATCGAAGCGAAGACAACAGCGTGCATCCATCGATACGGAACTGCCTCGACACACCCGGACGACAAGCTTCACTAAGTGCACCACCACGCGGAAGAAACAACGTCCCATTTCGCGATCTTCGACTGACAATTTTTTTCGTGTCGATTTATCGCCCCTTGAACTTTCTTCTATGCATATGCAGCATCACCATAAATCGGGGTTTGTTCTCTAAAATTATTCCACTAATTTTTCTTTTTTTTTTTAATTTAAAAATATTGTATGAAATTAAATTTAAATTTTCTCTTATGCTTTCTTTTGTTATCAGTGACGGAAAATCTGATCGGAAATTGGACAATAACAATAATAACGGAAGTGGAATTTCAGCAAAATTCACAAATTTATCACAACCATCACGAAAATCAGTGAATGAAAATATTTCCTCGGATGTTGAATTATTCACGAGATTTATTAAAGGAACACCGGAACCTTGTACAACGTGTGGACTTAACGATCAACCAGAACGTTTACATAGTCATCCAAAAGTTCCAATTCTCAAAAATAAATTGGGCAATAACAATTTGAATAATAACGTTTCGTCAATTGTAAAAAAAAGTATTCAAAAGCCAGTTGCATTAAATTTTCGTAGCGATAAAAATAATAAGGAAAAAATGAAGAGTCATGTGGAAACGTCAAAAAAAATGTCAACTACTGGCAAAAGTAAAACACCGAGTCCAATATCGACAAAAAATTCAGCTAAAACTGGAGAAAATAATGATTCACGAATTCCCAAGACACTCACTTGTTACATTTGTAATCGTGATTATGGAACTGCGAGTTTTCCAATTCATGAACCAAAGTGCCTCGAAGTAAGAAAATTAAGAAATTACAAAAAATCTTTTTTTTTTAATTTTATAAAATTTTTATTAACTATTAAAAAAATATTTACTTTAAAAATTATTTGTTTAATTGTTTATTATAATTAACAGAAGTGGGAACGAGAAAACAAAACTTTGCCACCTTCACAAAGGCGACCAATTCCTCAGAGACCAAATGTGCCAATTGATCATCAAGATTGGAATTTGAAAGCATTGGAAAAATGTCAAGTAAGTATTTAAAAAAAAGACAATCGTATAATATTAAAAATAAAAAAGACAATTATAGGTATTTTAATAACAAATTTAACCATGATTTAAAATTGAAAGATACCTTTATAATTATAATATAAAAGAGAGTAATAAACATTAATGTTCTTATTTAAATAAAATACAGACATTATTGATACCGTGTTCAAAATGCGGAAGAACATTCCTCGCTGATAAGATAAATGTCCATGAAATCAATTGCAAATCATATTGGCAGGTAGAAAATTTAATTTGGCATCGTTTCTCATAAAATTTATAAATTATGTGAAAATAATTCAAAGATTTAAATATACATAATTTATCAAGAAAAATTGATTATTAATAGAAAAAGTTGATCTCTTAAAAAAAAAATATTAGTTAAAAATAATTTTTTATACGAAAATTTGAATTTTCCACAGAATATTGAGAATGAAAATCCAGATGCGAAGCCAAAATTAAATCGTATTCGTTCAGGACCACCGACAGTTGTTTGTGAAATTTGTTCTCGAAATTTTGGTACAAGAAGTATAAAAATTCACATGCCACAATGTTTGAAAAAATGGCAATTTGAAAATGGTAAATTGCCATCAAATCAAAAGGCTAATGGATCGTTAAGAAAAAATATGGCATCACGATCCGAAGAAACAGTTCAACGACGAAAATCATCGGCAGTGAGTTGAAAAGAAGAATTTTTCTTTTTTTTTTCTTATCTTTTTGCATGAGTTTTTATTTGTGTATAAATATGATAAATAAATTGTAAATGTTTTGTTACTGTTTTAAAAATATTGCATGACTTTCATTTTCTACAGTAAGTAAATTTTCTATAAGAATTTTAATTTAATTTTAATTTATTGCTTTCATTGTATAATTATTTTTTTACTTCTTTATTTGTCCATATTTTATTTTTCTTATTATTTTTGAATTTTTTTTTTACTATCTGTTACTTGTTTTTTAAAAATTATTTTATTAATTTTGTTTCTTGACGTTTTTGTTAATTGTCTTAAAAAAAAGAAAAAAAAATGTTTGCAGGATTCTGTGTCGAAGAAAACTTTCACGTGTTACTTATGTGACAGGAATTTTGGTTCTGCCAGTATTAGTATTCATGAAACTCAATGTCTAAAACGATGGCACATTGAAAACAATAAGTTACCTGTACAAAAGAGAAAGAAAGAACCAAAGAAACCTGACAATACAATAAGTAAGTTTTTTTCACTAATTTCTTACCACTAAAGAATTTTTATTAATTGTGAAAATTTAAAAATACACCTTATTGTTTCATTGTACAATTTTTGAATTGTTTAAATTCCTTTGTCAAAGAAATTAGAAAATTTATTTCATATTAATTTTTAATTTAATTTTAATTTTTTCATATATTTATTGTATTTAAAATTTTATTGATATTTTTTTGTTACTAAAGGGATTTTTTGTAAATCTAAATTATCAAGAGTGGAATGACCTCAAATAATTGATTCGCGTTTGAATAACTAACATTTTTCTCTATATAGTCAAGCACACGCAAGTTCAGTTATTAACGATTTACATGAAAAAGTAATCTTTAGTAAAAACTGTAATTATTCCCTTTTATTTTACGATCAAATCATTTAGAAACTATTATATAATTGTATGAGTAAAAAAATTAAAAATTTGTAAAAATTAAAAAATATTTCTTTTTAAAAATTTGCAAAAAGTTTTTATTTCTAAATAAAAGGTTTATTTTAATGAAATTATCTTCTTATAATCGTGGAGGATATTAATGATTGAAAAAATTCAAATATTATTTCAAGTTCACGTATCTATTTATAAAACAAAAATAATATTATACTTTACACGATTGCTCTTGATATAAATAAATTATATGTTTACTATATTTTAAAGGTAAACTTCCACTTTATATCCTACACCTGCAAACAGGTGCTGTATAAATATTGATCCTAAAGTTACCCTGCAAATTTAAATTTTAATTCTCGACTACTGCATTACGAGCTTTCGTGACGTGGTGTGATCCCTTATGCAACAATCTAATGACCGATTATCACATGAGTTTCACATGAGTAAATTTAAAAAAAAAATCAATTTTTCCTAAAAGAAACTAGAAATATTGAGTAAATGAGATAAAAAATATCGAATATTATCGAAACAAAATATTGTTATTTAAAATAATTAAATTATTATTATTGTATTTCGAGTATATCATTAAAAATGAATGAATTAATTTTTAATTAAAACAGACTCTAGAATTTACTATTTAAAAAATTTAAATTTTCTCCAGAAAAATCAGTTTTAATTTGTAATAAACAAAATTTTATTTTAGTTTTTTTTTTAAATTAAATAAATAAAATGAAATAATAAATGAAAATATTTAAGTAAAATAAATAAATACTTATTTGTAGTAAAATAAAAAAATAGAAAAATAAATTAAATAACATTTGAAAATTAAATTAATTTGTTTAATTAAATTATTTTCTTTTTTCAAAAACTGAAAAAAAATTTGTAAAAATTTCTTAATTTTTGTTCGCTGTGACCTTTAGGGCTATTTTTAAAATGCCCTTTTATCTTCATTATAACAATCATGGTTTGTAAAATTGGAATTATAGTCTTTGCAAAAAAGCGGCCAGGGCCAAGATCGATCGATTGACATGCATCATATTATTGTGAGGTTTTTACACATTGGATGCACATTATAAATTCATAACAGAAGACTGACACAATGAAATTATTGCAAAACATTCAATTCAATTTTAATTTTTTTTTTTCAATAATTTATTTCGATTTTTATTGAATTTTAATTTCTTTTTTTTTTTAATTTTTCTATCTCTCTAAATATAAATTTGCTTTTTATTTCTATTTTCTTTTTTACGTTTTTATTTTTCTTTTTTATTGGATTTTAATTTTTGTTTTGTAATTTCACTAAATTTGAATTTTATTATTAATTTTCAAGTCAGTAAAAATAAATTAAATGAAATAAATAAATTGAAAATTAAATTCTAATAATTTATATTTCAATAAGTTGCAAATTATTCTTAATTTATATGAATAAAAAATAAATTTCAATTTACAGGTGAAGCAGCTTCTCGAAAATCGGCTCCAACTTCATCTGAATTAGCGGAATTAAGTTGGAAACAACATCTGGACAAATTGATTCCTTGTAATAAATGTAAAAGAACATTTAATCCCGATAGAGTAACTATACATCAACGAAGTTGTAAAGGAACTTGATAAAGGAAATTCATTTTTTTTCTTTAACAAAAAAAAAAATCGAAAAACTTATACTAAATATTTTTTGTCGTATCTTGATAATAATTAATTTACAGTAAATAATTACAGTTTAGATTTTATTGTTTTATGCGCACTTTATTATAAATAATAAGTAAAAAATAGTGTTTCCACTGAGATCAATGAATCATATTAGATTTAAAAATTTTTTAATAATTGTTTTTAAATGTGAAAAATAATAATAGAATTTAAATTTTTTCAAAAACGTGTAATTTATCTAGTTATAAATTTTGTACAAAAAAAAAAAACAAGATAAAAGTAGAATTACTTTTTGAAAATATATACAATAAGCAACTGTCGAAATATAATTTAGAAAATTAAAATATTAAATTTTTTAAAAATAAATATTGAGTTTGATTAATGTTATTAATTGTTCTCTATATTTATTAATTACCAAATGAATTTCTTAGTTAATATACGAAATTGTTTTTAGTTTTTATAAAATTTCAAATTTATAGAAAAACTTATTTTTTTTATTACAAAATATTTATATTTCTTATTTATTTATCATTACTTTGTGAAAACAATTTTTCTCAAGATTTGCAGTTTTAAAATTAAATGAACACGCTAAAATAAATTTATTTTTTATTGTTTTCTAAATTGATTTAAATTTTCGCGGGTAATATCGATAAAGTAGAAAACAATCGAAAGGCGATAAAAACCGGAAGTGCAGGTTTTTGTTCATAGTTCCCCACCCTCCTCCACCCTCGAATTCCTAATAAAAAATTCATAGCATTCCTTTAAAATTATATATTCAGCAGCATCTTTTTTTTATGATAATCATGTGGGGAACGAAACAAAAAAAAAAAATTCACTTTTCACGTGAATGGAAGTTGCGCGCGCAACAACAAGCTGCGTAGATGATAGTTTATTTTGTGTCCAAGCGACGCAAGCAAATTGAGTGCAACGCCCTCTGTCTTAAGATTGCATGAAGCAAAGGATTTCTTCCTTCAGAATCCTGTTCTTTCCCAGGGAGTCCGCCATTGTTGGCGCACGTATTATTTCTTTGATCAGGCTAACGATAATCGGACAACATCCAAAATGGTATGTAACATCTATAAACAGTTTTACTCTCATTATAATCTGTGCAGTGTAACAAGTGTAATTTTTCATATATTTAATGTCATCGAAATATTCATTCAATTTGGGAAATAGAAAACTGTTGGAATTGCCTCGGATTGCGCAACTTGACTGTGTGTGCTGAAAAAAGTTTTTCCTCATGGTTCCTTTTTCGATGAATTTATTTAAAATTAAAACATTGCTTGTGTATGTTGTTAAAAATAAATAAAACACTTAAAAATGTGCGGTAGAAAAAAAATTCACATGATAAAAATGACGTTTCTATGAAATATGTCAATGGTTGATGAAAACGTGTCATGGTGTGCTTCTCATTAGCACTAGCTCCGCGTATATCGTGATTTAATCACGCGGTACACTTTTTTTTCTTCCTTATACACGTGGAAGAAGAGAATAATTTAATTGGAAATTGTCAGGAAATTTTTTTTTCTGAATAAAAGCTGTGCTATCGACTCGTTTTGTTTCACAATATGGTATCATCTGATTACAATGATTAATTGCTTTTGTACTTAGAAATTTCTCAAGAATTCTGATTTTTCTTTATTTTAACAGTAGTTTATAATTTGCTTTTTTGGAAGTTTTTCTGTTTTTTTTCTAACATAACCTTAAAAAAAAATTGAATTTTTTTTTTAAAAGGATTTTAATGAATTTTGTTTTTTTTTAGGTGAACTTTACGGTAGACGAGATCCGTGCGATGATGGACAAGAAGAAGAACATCAGAAACATGTCCGTCATTGCTCACGTCGATCATGGAAAATCAACATTGACTGACTCCCTCGTGTCCAAAGCCGGTATTATTGCTGGTGCCAAGGCTGGTGAAACGCGTTTCACCGATACACGCAAAGATGAACAGGAACGATGCATCACGATTAAATCGACGTATGTATTTTTTTCAAATTTTGTGTTTTCTCTTTAAGAATTAATTAAATTTATTATGTTAATTGAAAATTTAAATGAAAAATGTATACAAAATTTTTGTTTGGAAAATAAAAGAAATTTCGAAATGCGAGGGTGTCAACGATTCCTCTAGTTGTTCGGCCCTCGATAATTAACATATTAACTGAATCAATTGATTTCTCTCATTAGCGCAATTTCTATGTTCTTTGAACTGGAAGATAAGGATATGGCTTTCATTACCAATCCGGATCAACGTGATAAAGATGAAAAGGGTTTCCTTATTAATCTTATTGACTCACCTGGACACGTCGATTTCTCCAGCGAAGTAACAGCAGCTCTTCGTGTAACTGATGGAGCTCTCGTTGTTGTCGATTGTGTTTCTGGTAAGATTTATTTTTTTTAAATCCCCCTTTTTTTTAGAAACATTACATTTTTTTTTTCATTTTGAGAGAAAATTAAAATTATCTTTTTCCAGGTGTCTGTGTGCAAACGGAAACTGTGTTGCGTCAAGCAATTGCTGAACGTATCAAGCCAGTTCTTTTCATGAACAAAATGGACCGTGCATTGCTCGAGCTTCAACTTGAAAGCGAAGAGCTTTATCAAACTTTCCAACGTATTGTTGAAAATGTTAATGTTATTATTGCTACATATTCTGATGATAGTGGTCCAATGGGTGAAGTTCATGTTGATCCAAGCAAAGGATCTGTTGGTTTTGGATCCGGTCTTCATGGCTGGGCATTTACGTTAAAACAATTTTCTGAAATGTATGCCGAGAAATTCAAGATTGACGTAGTCAAATTAATGAACAGACTTTGGGGTGAGTCGTTTTTCAATCCAAAAACAAAGAAATGGTCAAAACAGAAAGAGGCTGACAACAAACGTTCATTTTGTATGTACGTTTTGGATCCAATTTACAAGGTGAGAATGTGCTCTTTTTTTTCTATTTCTCTTCTGGCACAATAGCGTCATTCTGAAGTGAGTTTTATTGGTTTTCATATTTTTTGAAACTGATAAACTTACCTGGACAGTGTTGACAGTGCGCAAACAGAAGAAGATTAAAAATTTGAGTTTGTATTTCAAAGTTACCACTGAACCTCTATCTTTATGTTCGTTAGTGAAAAACTGCGATACAGACTGTACAAAAAAAAGTAAAAATATATTTTATCAATCGCTAATTCGTTTTCATTTCTTTTTGCTCAGGTGTTCGATTGTATCATGAATTATAAGAAAGAAGAGACCAAGAGTCTACTCGAGAAATTAGGCATCACTTTGAAGCATGAGGATGAAGACAAGGATGGCAAATCTTTATTGAAGGTATTTTTCCTTTGTAATAATTAATTTCGTCAACATTTGTAGATAAATCAATTAAATTTAGAATTGAATTTATCAATTAAATAATTTTTTTTTCCATGATGAACGTTCTAAAACATATTTTCTGACACCTCTTCTGAATCGTTGTGAGAGAGTCTTATGAACATTAACTGACATTTATTTTTGATTTTCAATTGTAATTGAAAAAAAAAAAATAATCTTGCTTTCATGTTATTAAAAGTGAAATTTCTTGTAGGTTGTTATGAGAAGTTGGCTCCCAGCTGGTGAGGCACTTCTTCAAATGATAGCCATTCATTTACCGTCACCTGTGACTGCTCAAAAATACAGAATGGAAATGTTATACGAGGGACCTCATGATGATGAAGCCGCCGTTGCTATTAAGGTAAAAATCAATATTTTCTATTTCAAAATTTTTCAATTTTATTTTCCATTAATTTTAACATTGGCTTTATTAACAAATTTGATTTTTTTTATTTATTTTTAAATAATTATAAAGTAATTATAATTTATTAAATTAAAATAAAATGATGAATGTTCTTCACAGACCTGTTCGGATTTAATAATGAACGACAGTTAAGAACGGCCAACTGACGATTTATTTATTTTTTTTAAATAGAAAAGAAATTAAATTTTTGGAACAAATTTTTATTTTGTTTGTTGTTTTTTTTTACAGAACTGTGATCCAAATGGACCACTCATGATGTACATCTCAAAAATGGTACCGACATCTGACAAAGGACGTTTCTATGCGTTTGGTCGTGTGTTTTCTGGAAAAGTATGCACCGGAATGAAAGCACGTATCATGGGACCCAATTTCACACCTGGAAAGAAGGAAGATTTGTACGAGAAGGCCATTCAGAGAACTATTTTGATGATGGGTCGTTATGTTGAAGCTATCGAGGATGTTCCATCTGGTAAAATAATATTCTATATTTTTCATTTTATTTATACAATATGAATGTTGTGTTTATTACAACTAAGAAGTAAACGAATTATATGTTATGTTTTTGACAGTTTCACCTTGATTGAAAATTCTTGTAAAATCAATGTTTATTGATCTAAAGTGATGAAATTACACAGACCTGTCCTGAAAAATAATGAACGACAGACTATAATCTCTCTGATAAAATTTTTGTAATTTGTAAATTGTTTTTTTTTTTTGGAATGTTTACTAAATTAATTTTTCTTCATAGGTAACATTTGCGGTCTTGTCGGTGTTGATCAATTCTTGGTGAAAACTGGTACCATCACAACATTCAAGGAAGCTCACAACATGAAAGTCATGAAATTCTCCGTCTCACCTGTCGTTCGTGTTGCAGTCGAACCTAAAAATCCAGCTGATTTACCTAAATTAGTCGAAGGTATGTAATTAATTTAATTTAATTAAAAATACCTCAAATTTTTTTAAATTATAAATTATGAAACTAATCAATATGATGAAAGCATTTTTTGAGCACTGGGTTATGATTGAACAGTGATTATCGTTGACAACCTGATTACTATTGATTAGGGAGGAAAATTTTGTTAACAAAAAGAGTATGTGTTACTAATTGGATTTTTCTTTTTTTTTTTTTTTTTTGGATGAACAGGTTTGAAACGTTTGGCTAAATCAGATCCTATGGTTCAATGTATCATCGAAGAGTCTGGCGAGCACATTATTGCCGGTGCTGGTGAACTTCATCTTGAAATTTGTCTCAAGGATCTTGAGGAAGATCATGCATGTATTCCCATCAAGAAATCAGATCCTGTTGTATCATACAGAGAAACAGTTTCGGAAAGATCAGATCAAGTATGCTTATCTAAATCTCCAAACAAGCACAATCGTCTCTTCATGAGAGCACAACCAATGCCTGACGGTCTTCCCGAGGACATTGATAACGTAAGGATTCAATTTCTTTTTTTTTCATTTGTTTTTAATTTAGTATTTAAATGATGATTGTTCTTCACAGACCTGTTCTGAATTAATAATGAACGACAGTTAAGAACGGCCAACTGACGATTTAATTTTAGGAAAGAAAAATACTTTGATATTTGTGTACAATTTTTTAAAAATAAATTTTCTCTTAATTACAGGGAGAAGTTAATCCAAGAGACGATTTTAAGGTACGAGCTCGTTATCTTGGTGAGAAGTACGACTATGATGTTACAGAGGCCAGGAAAATTTGGTGCTTCGGTCCCGATGGAACTGGACCAAATATCCTTGTCGATTGCACAAAGGGAGTGCAATATCTTAATGAAATTAAGGACTCTGTTGTCGCTGGATTCCAATGGGCCACGAAAGAGGTGAATTTCTTTTTTTTTTGTACTTATTTCTCCCCCCTCTTTCTATTTTTCTTTTTTTTTCAATTTGAATTTTTTGGCTAATTATTTTTTCGCTAATAGGGAGTTCTCTCTGAAGAAAATTTGAGAGGAGTTCGATTCGATATTGAGGATGTTACGTTGCACGCTGATGCCATTCACAGAGGAGGTGGACAAATCATTCCCACAACGAGACGTTGCTTGTATGCTTGTCTTCTTACTGCAAAACCGAGACTTATGGAACCGGTCTACTTATGTGAAATTCAGGTAAACTATTTACTTTTCATTTCAATTATAATTGTTTTTTTTATATATATGTATTTGTTAATTTTTTTAATTGTATTTTTATTTCTTTTTTTTAATTTTAAATAATTGTTGGTAAAATTTAAATGATGAACGTTCTAAAAAATATTTTCTGACACCTCTTCTGAATTTTCGTGAAGTGAGTCAATGAACATTAACTGATAATTGATAAAGATTTTTTTTATAATTCATTGATTTGTTTTTACTGGAGTAATAATAAAATTTTTGTTGTTTTTTTTTATTATAGTGCCCAGAAGTTGCTGTTGGTGGAATTTATGGAGTGTTGAATCGCAGGAGAGGTCATGTTTTTGAAGAACAACAAGTGGCTGGTACCCCTATGTTTGTTGTTAGAGCTTATCTTCCCGTTAACGAGTCATTTGGATTCACTGCTGATTTGCGTTCCAACACTGGCGGTCAAGCTTTCCCACAATGTGTATTTGACCATTGGCAAATTCTTCCTGGAGATCCAATGGAAACCTCCACTCGACCATACACAGTTGTTCAAGTAAGTTTCACTTTTTTTTTCTAATTTAAATGTCATTTTACAAAGAAATTTGTTGTACTCTAAAAAAAAAATTCCTTAATTAACGAGACAATAAATGAATTAGAAAAGTTTTAAATTTCTTGCCACGATCATAACTGATGGCAGTGCTTTTAAGTGCTTTGCCGTTTTTAAACTCGTGGAATAGTAATTGTTTTTAAAGTTTCGGTATTCCAGACAATCTGGTTTGCCAGAATAGGGAAACGAACATTAAAAAAGATTTTTTTTTTTTAAGAATTATTTGATTAGAAATTACGAGTCTTTCTAACAGTTTTCTTTTTTTTTTTCAGGAAACTCGTAAGAGAAAGGGATTGAAGGAAGGACTCCCAGATTTGTCATCGTATTTGGATAAATTGTAACTGACATACTTTATTTAAATACCTATTTTATTTAAATTTTGTAATTGAATCTAACGCTGCCTCTTATATATATATAATACTTAAATACATTTAAAAGTAACGTAATCGATTTATTTTCCAAGAATAAATATTGGAATTAAAATAAAATTTAAAAAAAAGAGAAAAACGATTTATTTCGTGAAATTTAGTGAAACTAATATTGTTAAAGAATGCAAATATTTTTAATGAGTATTCGTGTTTTATACGTTAAATTATCGGAAGAGAGGAAACAAAAAGAAAAAAAAAGAAAAAACAGAAATGTCTTTTAGAAACCAAAAAAAATTGAAAAAATTGTTAATTACATTACAAATTGTATTTTTTACGTTCTTTTTAAGTGTATTTTTGTTGTTTATGTTATTGCACTGTCGGTAAATTTTCAATTGACTGAAAACAAAAAAAAAACATCAATAGCAAAATGCAATCTCTAATGAATTTGATTGCGAACAAAACAATGTACTCGTACAATGAAACGACTATGAAATAACAAAACTTTAAAAAAAAAAACGAAAGTAATTTCTTTTATCCCTTATTAAACCTCGACAATTTATCTTTTTTTTTAATCAGATAAATTAGAAGTGAAAATAGTTTTAAAGAAACTTAAATTAAAATGGTAATTTGTACTTAAGAGTTTTTATTGAAATTATGAGAAAACAGTTTTACAATAAAAAATATTGTATGGAGGTACGTATTTTTTTTTTCCTTTGCTTAACAATTATACAGATCAACCGATATTTTGCATAGTTCTTTTCTTTTTTTTTTTTGATTAAAAAAATTTGTGCCAGTTTTGCACGATTTATAATAAGTTCTCTTTGTTCAGATTTTGGAATTTAAATATTTACAATTAAACGATTATTATAATTATATATATATATGTGTGTTAAATCGAACTTTGATAACTTAATTTTCACTCAATACTTATAATTATACAGGATTTATTGTATTTTTATAAATTCCCGCAAGTGATTTTGCTGCCAAAAGAATAACATCTTTTCTTGATACACCAGTTAATGCATGATGCCACTCATTATGAGAAACCTGCAAATTAATAACAAAATTTAAGAAATATTTTACTTTTAAATTGCTAATAAAATCAGTTTTTGAAAATAAAATTATTTTTTTTGCCGTTTAAAAAAACGTACCTGCAAATTGTTGGCCAATAAATTACCAACTGTCATTGCTAATCCTGATTCTTTATGAGGATAATCCTGCGGTGTTGCTTGTTCGGCCATTGTTACAATTTGACTTGGCACTGGTGTCATTTGGGTAAATGTTTGTAAACTGACATTATTTTTTGGATCATCCAAAAGTATAACGCCAAGATCGTACCATTTATTTTCATCGACTTTTAATAAGAAATTTTCAACAGCTACAACTGGAGCATCTTGTGTTACTTCTGAATTTTGACGTGCCAAACTTATCCTTTCCTCGGCACTTTTTAATGCAGAATTAAAACCAATTGGTTGAGATGCAACTGTTGTCACAGTTACTGATATTCCTCTATTAAATTATCATTAAAATTATTATTATTTATTTTTTCTTTTATGTAAAATATAAAAATTTTTATTTTAAAGTAAGATAAGAAAACTTACGTTACTGTGGCTTTTCCAAAAACAGTTTGAAAAGCCTCACGAATCGAACTGACTTTCACTTCCTTGTCCGATGCCACGAATATATCTACATCACCACCAGAATCTAAAATTTTTTTTTACTTCTTTTTTTAAAGGTAAGGTTTTCTTTTTATTATTAAATAACGAAAAAGCAAGTTTTATTCTACTTGAAATATTTGTTGAATTTTCTTTTTTAACAATTCCCCCCCCCCTATGTTTCTTATTGAAAATATTTTTTAGTTATATTAAAAAAAAATTTGCCGAACAAGTAGAAGAAATATTTCTTTTTTCTCGCTACCCCTTGATAAAAATAATTATTAATCAATATAATAAAAATTAAAATATTTAATATTGAAAATAATTTATAAATTACTTTTTTTCATACTTACAGATGAATTCTCGCATTTGTGGATCTAGAGTGGTGATCATTGAATTGACACTATTTTTCGCTTTTTCGGCAACTTTACTTAAAACATTGCTATTAACAACAGTTTCTTTTACCCAGGAAAATAATCCAGCTCCAAGAACAACGGCTTGATTTTCCAAAAGTGGAACATTAACTGTCGCTTGAGAATCAGATGATGTTGAAGGTTGATTTCGTAGATCTTGCTGATTTTTCTTTTCATTTTCGGTGCTCGCATTTTTTTCCGCTAAATTATTATCCGAATTTACAATTAAATTCTCCTGCTTTGGTGAAATTGACGTTGATGTCAATTGTGACGATGATGAATTAGTAACAAAACTTGGTAAAACACTGGGAGGTCCAATACTTGACAAAAGACTTCCTGTTGAAGTTGAAACACCCAAAGGTGTTAATAATGACGCAGCTGATGATAAACTGCTCAAAGAATCTTAAAAAGTAATACATTAAATAATTTTCTTTATTAATATTACAAAATTAAATTATTTTATTATTCAAGTTATTAAGAAACGAAAATGTTAAATAAAAGTTTGTTTTTAATATTTAAATTATTTCACATGAGCGATTTAAATAAAAAAAAAAAATTATAACAAAGATAAGTTTTTATCGTATCGAATTATTTTTTTAAGTACAAGGTTATGTAAAAAAAATAATAATAATAATTAACTCAAAAAACAAAGAATTTAGAAAATTCTTATTCTAGTTTGAAAATGTATATTGAAACCTTGAATACAAAATAAAGGAGTAATTAAATATACTATAAATTTACACATACGGAAAGGATTTTATAACATAAGGAAAGTAGATTCGTGACAATTATACATGTAAACATAAGTGACAAATTTGGTAAACAACGGAAGGGGAAATTAAAAATAAATCTTATTGAAAATGACAATTGTTATCAGGTAAAGGATGATAAAGAGAATACTTGACAGTTATAATATAAAAGATTTTTTGTTATTGTTTTAAAACTAACCAGTTTTTACTGTTTCTCCAGAAATTGAAACTTCATCAACTCTTTTCTCGACAAATTCGAAAGTTCCTTCTCCAATGGATTCGTCTGTCATTGCTAATTATTGCGTCTAAAATGATATCAAAGGCACACGCCTGGAATTCTTTTTTTTTTAATGTTAGTATATGGTAGGTGTTCACAAATAAAAACAAGATATTTCTCCCAGATTACAATACAAAATGTCACTGAACCACGTGACCATCTGATTAGATTAGTACTTTGAATTTCTACCCAGAGGACACTAGTTATAATTTCCGGCTACATTTAAATTAACCTTCTTTATACATTAATACATATAAATTAGAGTGAATTAATTTCATTTTCTTGTAGAATCACTTATAGGAAGCCAGTATGTTAGAATTGCAATATTTTAAAATAACTATTTTACTGATAAATTAATTAAAAAATTTAAATATTGTTTTTTTCCCGCCTATTTCAGTTGACCAATAGGAATACGAGTTTCATCCGGACGTGTAGGAAACAAACTTTCCTGCAAATATACAGATGGCAGCAATGCTTAATTCTTTCTAACCCAATGAACCAATCAGAGCGCTTCTGTTCTATACAGGTTTATTCCTGTTGAAAGTTGCACGCTTGTTGGCGTCGCTTTTAATTTCCTCATATTTCTTCTAGAAATGGTAAGTTATTTGTAAAGTTTTTTGTCTTTGATGTTTTTTTTAGTTATAAAGCATGATATTTTATCAACATTTCTTCGATGATTGATAAAATATGTGACAAATGCCATTTTGGTCACAATGTGCTATCAGAAGTGCATTGTGGGTAGCATGTCAATTTTTCGCTAAAATAACCAAATTACAATAATTTCAGTCTAATTCCGGTTATTTTCGTGATTGAATAGGGTAATATTGCTTTGGATTAAAAATATTAGGAAAAAATTTGTCCAATCGAGAAATATGAAAAATTGCCATATTTGGCAACACTGCCAAATTTTTCAAGATGGCGGCGATTGCATGTAGCTGTTAACAATGTATTGACTATTGCTCTCACTTTTTTTGAGATTTTCTGCTAAAATACTAATAATAAAATGATAAAATTTGTTTTTTTCAGATTCCCTCATTGTGCAACATCGATTTTGACGAAAAATACAGATCCCGGTAATGAGAAATTCGAGCCATTATGACTTGGTCTCCTCGCAAAAGGTTAATTTTGGAATTTTCATGGATTGAAAAATCCATTGAAAATTTCGATTTTATCCGAGAGGAGGGATCTCCGGGGACAAATGGCTTGAAAATTATCTAACTGGGATCAATTCATCATTGGAGGAAATTCTTCGGAATTGTAAGTATATATTAATTTGATGAAATCATTTTTCATATGGACACCTTATAATATCGAATAATTATTAAAAAATTAATTCTATAATTTATAATATTTTTCCAATTTTTGATTTTTTTTTTTGTAAAAAAATAATTTGATTAAATTTAATGATAAAACATAACCTATAATTTATACACATAAATTTTTTTAATTAAAAAAAAATTGCTTTATTTCTAAAATATATTTTGAGGTTAGATTATCAAAAAAAAAATTGAAGAATTTACACAATTAAAATAAAGATCATGGAGTTTATACGAAATTTAGTGTTTCCATTAATTCGCAAAAATAATTTTATTTTATTTGTGAAAAAAGGTCAATTTAATTTTTTAAATGGAGCAAATAATCGAATTTTATTTATTGCTTTCTGTAAATTAGTTTGATTAGCTTTTTTTAATTTTAGGTGCTTATTAATTAAATTAATATTTAATTGCATTGCTAATTTCCGGCTTTTAACAAAATAAAAATAATATTAATTATTTAATCAATTTATTGATTTATTCAGTTAAATATTATTTAAAATTATTAAAGAGGTATATTAATAATTTACAATTATTAATTAATTACTATTAATTGTAACAAAATATTAATTAAATAAATTTATTATAATAGTAATATTTAAAATTCTTAAAATATAAAATTATAATTTATAATTATTAATTAATTAATCATTTATTACTAATAATTGTAAAAAAAATCTTTAATTAACTAATGATTTTTTTTATTATAATATTACATTAAATTCTTGAAGTAGTAAGTAATTAATTATAATTATTATATAATTAATTATAATAATTACGTTTAATATTCTCATTTTTAATAGAATGTAAATAATTTCTTTTTTTTAATCGAGTGAATAATAATTCTTAATTGAAATTATAATTCAAATCTTCCCGCTGATTTGAAACGACCAATAGGGATACGTATTGAAGTTGGTAATGTAGAGGCGTAGATAGTAAGTTATATTAACTTCCGGTAGAGGTCAGGTCAAAACATTTTATCTAAACCGCCGTTTTTGCGTTCAACCAATCAGAGCATTCGTTATATACTGTTAATCTTGGTGTTGAAAATTTTTCATTCTTGATGGCGTCGCCTACTATTTTCCCATTTTTTTGCAGAAATGGTGAGTTTTGAAAAACTTTTTTATCTTGGCTGTTCCTTCAGTCAAAGGGCTTTATATTTTTCATTAATATTGTATCTAGCTTGTTAATTACCAACAAAATATGTGACAATCATAATAATGTGTGCATTGTCTGATTGTTGGAAAAACATTATTTTCAATATGTATCTTATTAAAAGTGTGAAATTGGAATAATTTGTTCAAAAATTTTCATAATTAATGCATCGCTTTGAGTTTTTGCATAGTATTAGCATTTATAGGTTATAAATCGAGAAATATAAAAAATTGACATTGTTTTTTGCCAAATATGGCAACACTGCCAAATTTTTCAAGATGGCGGCGATTGCATGTAGCTGTTAACAATGTATTGACTATTGCTCTCACTTTTTTTGAGATTTTCCGCAAAAATACTAATAATAAAATGATAAAATTTGTTTTTTTCAGATTCCCTCATTGTGCAACATCGATTTTGACGAAAAATACAGATCCCGGTAATGAGAAATTCGAGCCATTATGACTTGGTCTCCTCGCAAAAGGTTAATTTTGGAATTTTCGTGGATTGAAAAATCCATTGAAAATTTCGATTTTATCCGAGAGGAGGGATCTCCGGGGACAAATGGCTTGAAAATTATCTAACTGGGATCAATTCATCATTGGAGGAAATTCTTCGGAATTGTAAGTGTATATTAATTTAATGAAATAATTTTTAATATGGATATATTTTGATATCGATAAATAATTAAAAAACTGGTAATTTCTAATAATATTTTCAACTGATTTTTTTTTTTTTTTGCCAAAGTGAAATAAATTGACAAATGATTAAACATTCTGATCCAGTTAACCTATAATTTGAAAAATTTATCTTTTATTTTATAAAAGGCATTTTTTATATTTTTAAAATATACATTTTTAGGTTAGGTCATGAAACAATTGAAAAAAATACAAAGATAATTAACAGTGTTTAATCAACATTTATTTTGCTTCTTTGTTTCTATGAATTATTTGGTTTTAATTTAATTACAAAGAAATATTTTCAATTCAGTGGCGATTATTTTTATTTACGGATAAATATCTTTTTTTTTTAACTTTTTTTATTGATCTATTTTAATTTTCATGAATAATAATCTTTTTTCAGTTCCGTGCTATGTTAGGCACAAAAGTCGTCAGAAATAAAGATCCTCTCAACAAGTTAGTTTGAATAAGAGGATAATTTAATGGAGGGAATTAATTAAAATGGTAAATTAAATTCATTAAAAAATTTTCCTTTATAATCGAATGTGTTAATTCTTTAATTATATATTTAATTATTATTTTTTGCATTAGAATTTTATTTTTCTTTATTTTTATATTTTATATAAAAATTCACAATTAATATCAATTCAAATTAATTTATATAAATTATTTTAAAAACAATTTATTGAACTTTATTATTGTTAATGAAAGATTTATTTTGTTTATTTTTCAGAGCCACGATTGACAAAAGAGAAAGTCAAATATAAAAAGAAAAGTTTAGAGTCAGTGTGCGTTTTTAAATCATTTTGATTTATTTAAATTTTGTTTTATTCAATAATTACAAAGTTTAGAGTCAGTGCGCGCTTTTAAACCGTTTTAATTTATTACTTTTCTAAATATTCAGTGTTGCGGGCACTTTACTGTTTATATATGTAATAATATTCATGGGGTTTTTTTTTTCTTATTGAATTTTTGCAAATTTTAATATATATTTTTTTAATATTTACTACTAGAAGTAACGATTACAAAAATTAAAGTATTTTATTCTTAAAATATCCAATTTAAAATTGTCTAACTAATGATTAAAATTGTTATAGTAAAGTTACTTTTGATTTTAGAAAAATCTTTCTTCTATTAAAATTTTAATATACAAAATTTCTTTTTAAAATAGATATTGAAAACTAATTTTAAAGCATTATAAAAATGTAAAATAATTCATAATCAGTAAAAAAGGAGCAATTCTTTATCGTCCGCAACACTTAAATAATTTAATAATAATTAAAGTCTGTGCGCGTTTAAATAAAATTCCTTTTTTAAATTTATAGTGAGTGTTGTGATTGAAAAAAATTTCAATCATTTATTATTTCAGGTAAATTTTTCAAAAAATGCATATATAGATATTTTTTTTACTTCATAAAAATTAATATAATCCTATATAATCTTGAATTTACAGCATTTCTGACAAAGACATACAAATTATTCATTCAAAAGCATATATGTATATATATATATATTCTATAAATTTAGTAAAATATGATATAAATTTTATGCTTTTGAAACAATATTTTTTATACTTTTGTCGGAAATTTTGTTGGTGTAATAATATATTTTTTTCAGTATAATATTCTAATAATTAAATATATTCTTTTATAATTTGTATAAAATTTTTTATCTCAATTTTAGAAACAAGTTGAAATAATTTTTATATCACTTTTTTTTTTTTTTTGCAAAACATATAGAGAATTTCATGAATTTTTCTTTATTTTATTCAATTAAAATAAAAATTTTTTTTACACATTTGCATTTCAGTTTAAATTAATTATAGATTTTTTTGTAGAATTAAGGAAAAAGAAAGATGGAAGTTCAGGAGGACTAAAGGATTGAAACCAGCAGCATCATCGGCATCAGCATCAGCATCAGCTTCAGCATCAGCAGTATTATCATCATTATCTTCACCGTCACCAGCAGCGTCATCATCAGCACAATTAACGTCTCTTCATCATAAGAATCATCAGTCGGCAAGTCCCTCCTGTCTCTTAGATAATGTGGAGGAGGCAGGTTGTAATAATATTGAAAACTTCCATAGTGACGGTTAATTAAATCGATTAAAAATTTAATTTAATCTATTTAATTAACAGGTGGATTTTCTCTGTTTTATGTATGTTTTTTAGATTAGGACTTTTCTTGGTACATAAAATTCTTTTTTTTAATTTATTTACTTTTTCTTTATCACTCGGTGAGCATTTAATTATTAATTTAATAAAATCCAGTTTTTAATATTATTTTTTTAAATCATTAATTAAATGAAATTCAGTTTCATATAACATTTATCTCGAGACCAAGAAAAGAATTAAAAATTAATTTTGATATAATAATAAATTAATTAAAAATCTCAATTTTAGCTTTTTATTAAAATTTGTTTCAATAGTAAATTTTATTTTAATTGAAATTTTTAAAGTAGTTTTTTGTTATTTGCAATAAAGAAATAATAATTTCAAAATACAATTAAGAGATAATAAAAGAAAGTTTGATTAAAATTTTTTTTAATTATATTAGGGTTACTAATCTTATTCTTACAGGTTGTTATAAAGGTACTTACATACTTTGAACTGTTAAAAGTTAATTATTTAAATAAATTAATTATTTATTTTAATAGTTGACTTCTAATAGATTCCATCCACTGTCACTATGTGAATTTTCCCTCTTTTTACCACATTAAATTTATTTTATTTGTTGTCGTTATTTCCGTTTCTGCAATCGATTGTTGTATGTAGGGTTTAGAAAGGTTATTAGGTAGGAAATTTTCGCTTAATTTGTTGTTAGGTAGGAAATTTTTGTGAAATTTTATTGTTCATTTATAATTATTGAATTTTTATTTTACAGATTGTATGAGGTATTGTAAGAGTTATTGTTTTTCTTATTTTCGAATTTTCTTTTTACAAAATTTATTAATATTTTATATTTACATCTGTTCTCAGAACTTCGATATTAAAAATTTTCCGAATTTGGCGAATTTGTGGGAAAATTCTTTTCAATTAAAGGTGTGTTTTTTATTTTTAAAATTAATTATTAATAAATAATTAAAAAGAAATAAACTGCAAATAAAGTTAAATAACTGAATATTAAAAAAATAGTTATTTCGATTAAATTTTAATTAAAACTCGGTTTATTTTGTATTTTTTATGTATTGAATTTCTTACTTTTTTTTCATTTTTAAAGTGAATTTTTTGTCAATTTAACGATTTGTTGACAAATTAGTCTTTTCCTTTTTGAAAGGATTATGTTTCAACTTATCGATTTGTTGATTTTCATTTTCTTTAAGTTTTTAACTCAATTATTTCTTTTAGTTGACTATCTTTTTTTTTGTAAAAAAAGAAAGTTCGTTTTACCAGTTTAGTTTAATTTGTATATTCCCGCCTGTTATGTCGGTAAAACGTAAATCGCTACGTAATTTCATCTAACTTTACCCGTGTTTATTTGTTGATGTTGACTGGATTGTTGTGCTTTTTATGTCAATTCTGTTTTAAAACTGTGATAGTTGTTTAAATAAAATAGTCTCAAATATGGGAGTCACTGTGTAAGCATATTAACAAAGTTTTCCCACTATTCGGATAATAAATCGATCTATAATATTTCGTATTGTGCGAATTTATAAGTTTTTTTTTCTACGTTGTTTTGAGGTTATGGCGGTGAGGCGGTGTTAACACATGTCATGTGTTGATCATTAATTTATAGAATTAAATTTATAAATTAGAATTAGAATATTTATAATTAAATTTATTAGATTCAAAATACATTTTTTTTCATTACTAATGTATTTTTAGATATTTTAGAAAAATTTATTTCGATTTTTTCTTGATAGTATTATTTTCTGACAGGTTGCAACAATTTCCAATGACAGAGAATAGAACAGGGCCACAGACAATTGAATTTTTGACAAAACGCATTGTTGCTTTAGGAGCTGTTCAATCTGGTCATTTTTTGGTTGATTGCGAAACATTTATGTCTGTTCCTCAATTGGGTGAGTTTTTTTTTTTAAACTGCTTTGGTTGTGAAAATTTGGGTAGTTTGTTTCTCGATTGAAAAATCTTAATAAACATTAAATATTTTGATTATCAAATATTCTTGAATATATTTGATATACAGAATATTTTCCTTTTTATAATATTAATTTGATAATTTATTCGATATTTGACTTGGAAATTTAGGAATAATTAAGGGATTGAATAAATAAAAAGACGATTTTTTCATGGATTATATCTCCTATTTGGCAATAAGTTTCTATAATATAATTCTATACAAAACACTCATCAGTTTTGGTTCTGTCAAAGATCTTATTACAGCAATCTTAAACATGTCATGTTGTTATTATATATATATATACTTTCTACAGAGGTACAAAGGTGGGGTTTTTTTTTTTTTTTTTTATTATTTTACTTTTTTTTTCACATTATGGAAATTTAAGTACACACATTTTTTTTTTGACGCAAATAAACTTTTTTTTTTTAATATGACGCTAATTTAAAGACACATTCTTCATTTTCATGCAAAAAAAATTTCACATTGCTTCACACCGCGGCAGGACTATTATTTTTTGTGCTACGTACATTTTTTTTTAATTTTTTCTTTCTTTATACATATATAATGCTACATTTTCCGATGCCTAAATTATTATTTCTCGTTCATGAAATTTTGATTGATGAAAGTATTTTCTTTATTGTGCCAAAAAAAGAATTTTTTTTCTTTGTTCATTTGTCATTTAAAAAAAGACCTTTTTTCTATAGTGGAAAAAAATTAAGAAATCGAATGAAAATTGTGAGTAAGAATATTTTCACAAGGTTTTAAAGTTTCCAGAGAATTTTTTTTATTCTAATTAATATTGAATATAAATAGGCCATTGGGTTAACTCACTCTCTTATTTTTTTTTCTTAAACGCTAGGTTTCAAATAAAAGAAATTTTTTTTTTCTCTATTAATATTTGCAAATTATAGAAAAATTATTTCATTCTTTTGACTCTGTTTACTACTTTATTTGTTTCATGTTATTCTTCTTGTTTTTTTTTACATTCTCATTTTCTTGTTTATTCGATCGTTTATTTTTCTTCCTTTCTGGAAAAGTGTTTTTTTTTGTTCGTTTTTCGTTGAGGTGTAATAACGGTTTAATCTACAAAGATATAAACAAGCTAGACCTAGGCGTTATTACAAAAATATTAAATCTAGTAAGCGAAGCTTTTTTCAGTGTGATCTTTTCAAAAGAACAACACCTTTATTGATTTTTTTTTTTTAAGTATCTCGTTTGGAAAAAACATTCTCACATGACAATTTCACATACAATATTTTTTTTCCATTCATCGCGACAATTATTATTGAAAATTGATCATTTAAAATATTGTTTTTCGAAGCGAAGATGATAATTTCTATTCTATGCGATCATATTGCCATATACATAATTAAATATGATTTTTTTTTTTTGTTCGAGATGACCAGCATTCAATTATATAGTTTTTTTTTTTATTATTATTGTCACAAAATTTATTGGTAGCTTTATTATTATCGTACGTTTAACATCGAAGACTCATGGCTTATTTTTATTATTATTTTATTGAATTATTTATGGATTAAAAGGAAGTTTCAAAAAATTTATAATATTTCGTTTAAAATCATCTTAACGTTGTTCTACAGTCTTGTTAGTTTCTATCGTAAAGCATATTACTTATATTGTATGAAAAGTTAAGCTTTCATCTTTATTTTGATTATTCTGAGTGATTTTCTTCTTTTTCGTTTAGTTCATTTCTCTCATATCAAAAATTTATTTAGCCAAATTTTTATCGAATAGAATTTTCATTGAATCGAATTTTTAAATTTCGTAATTTTTATTTAATTGAATTTCAATTTAATTAATTTTAATAAAGAATTTTCATTAAAGATGAATTTTTTTAAATTGAAAAATTATGTTAATGGAAAATTTGGTTAAATGAAAAATATTATTTAATTATAATTCTATAATTTATAAAATTCAGCTAAATAATTTTCGTTGCAAAAAGATTTAATTGAGGCCAATTTTTTATTTTTATAATGAGAATGAAAATTGGAATCACAATGGGGAAGAAAATTTTTTGATTATTTAAAAAGTAACGCTATCGTATTTTTCGTTTATTTATTTTATATTTTTCCTGAAAAATGATCCGGGCTTCGGCGACTTTCTTGACATAAAGAGCAATCATGCATCTATGAAAGCGACTTTCATTAATTTTTTTTTTTTTAATTAAATTTTAGACAATAACTCCACTATGAATTTATTATTTACAATATTTTTTTATTTATTAATATTCTGCACTCATTCGAAAGCAGAAAGAAAGAGAAAAAGAGTAGGAAATTTTTTTTTTTTTTTTTTTAGTTTGAATCGAGTCAAATTAGAAGTTTTGTCGAATTTACAAAATATATTCCAATCCAGAAGAGGTAAAAGTCATTATGGATAGAATAATTTTATATCTATTCTATATAAACAGTCAATTCACAGAAGTGCACAGTGCAGATTTTTTTTTTCTTTATTTTATAGAAAGTATTGAAAATTTCAATTATTGATTTTTTCTGCTCTTTTTTTTAAGTATAGTTATTTAACTTGAACGCGACAATTATTTCCAAGTACATATCTAATTAGGAGATGATTTTGTATAATATATTAATTAGAATCTGTTTATTATTTCGCGTCCAGGTATTTGAGCATTACAATATTTATAAATGCGAATTCCATAGGAGAATTTCGTTTTTTAAATAGTTTTTTTTATTTTTTTTATTTTTTAATATTTATTGATAAATGTAACTCAGAAGTAAACATTATAGTTTGGCATCAATAATTTATATATATATATTTATAATACTAAAACAATTACGGACAATTTTAAAATATATTTCGTATATTTACAAAATTAGATTTTTTTTCAAAATATTGAATTTTTATTCGATATGATAAGGGATATGACTCAAGGTAATACATTATATACGATGAATTATCCTCAGATATATAAATAGATCGATTAAATTTTTTTTTTTTTTAAATCAGAAAGAAAAGTTAAATTTTCAAAGATTTAAGTCAAATTTTAATATGTTAATTATTGTCAATTATTTTTTTCTAATTATTCATAAAGTGGAAGTAAACATTTTTTTTATTTAAATAAAAAATTAAATGTTAATGAAAGCAAATTACAAAATAAAATAACTTTAATATTAATTAATTTAAAAAAATATGTAAATAATTTTTTATTTATTTTTTTATTGTCATTTTTTAAATTGTTAAATAAAAAGAAAAAAGTTTAGAAATATAAAATATTGAAATAAAATTGTTAATCTGGAAGAAAATAATAAAATTTAAATCTTTATTTATTGAGGTTCGAAATAACTTTTCGTGTTTGATTTTCTTACAAACTAGGATAAAAATACAAGAAATTGTTTTTTTTTTTTTCTTGCTAAAATTTGTTTTAAGACTTTTGAGTATTTTTAGGATTTTCCTGTTTCCAAATTGCACATTCACACACACAAACAATTTCTTGTCTTAAATTTCTAGTGACTCAAACTACGTTTTTAAAACTTGTTAATCGTAGTTACAATTTTCAATTGAAAACGACATGTTTTAATTTACCCTGATCAAGGGATTTTGATTCTTTATAGTCATCGTGCTATTTACATTCATTGAAAAAAGATATAACATTTTAAATAAGAGCTAAGTAAAAAAATATTTTACAAATAAAATTTCAAATTATTTTAAATTTTAATATTGAATATTAAAAATTAGATAATTTTCGAATTTGAATATTTCGAATTGGAACATATTTTTAAAAAAGCTTTAATATTTAAAAAATTTTAAACGATTTGTAACTTTTTTTAAAAAAATGAAACAATTTTTTAATGTTTCTAAAAGTATATACCTAATAAAATAAATATTAATGTTTCTAAAATATAATGTAAACATTTTTAAAATATTGAAAAAGCTTCTAAATATGTTTTTAAAAATATTTTTTTTTGTTTTAATTTATTAAAATACATTTTTTCACTTATTTGTTTAAAACTTTTTAAGTAAAATTTTTTTTAATTAAAATTTTCGCTAACAACTAATATATTATATAACTGGGGATATTAGTCTTATTTGTAAATATAATAAAAAAACAAATTTTAGTTTGAAAAATTAGCAATGCTCAATATAATATATTGTCGAGAATAATTTTTTTTTACATATCTAATCGATTACTATCGATTATGAATAAAATTTATTGTCATTTATTTGTAAATTTTGAAAAAAAATTAGAGTTTATTTTATAAAAAAATTGGAGCAATATTTATATTATTTTACTGTAGTAGATCACTAGATATCTTTTTTTTTTTTAGTAAATAATTTACATTGAAATATTTTGATATTGTCACAATTTTTTTTTTACCAGTTCTTCTTTTTCATCAGGGATGGACTTTTTTTTTATTTTCTTTCCATTTATTGATAGTTTTCAATATTATTTTGTCATCACACTTGATTCATACTCATTCATTATCGTTAATTAATTATTTTTAAATACATTTTTTTATAATTGATTTTTTTTTATCTAATAAGGTTATTTTTTTAAAAAATAAATAATGAATATTCTTTTAAGTCACGAATATACTTAATTAATAATTAATAAATTAATTTTGCTTAAGTTTTTTTATGCCAATAGAATAGGTTTTCAAATACTTTTTTCTTCTATAATAATAAAAATTTGGTATTTTTTTTTTTTTTAATTAATTTTTTAATTACGAAAGATCGCTTTCTTTTTATCTATACCTAATTGAGAGTTTTTTTTTGTAAATTAGAATGAAATTTGAAAATTGTAGATGCGAAGAAGGTCCCTTGAAAAAGTCGTTTCGACAAAAGCATTATGTATATAATAGCGATTATGCATTTTTTTCAAGAATTTGTTTTCTTTTTAATCGTCTTAATATCTAGACAATTCTCGTTATAATTTTATGCTAATGAGTCTCTCCCTAAAGTTTATACTTATATACGTAGATAAATACGCGAATGTAATTTTATGTGGGTACATAATTAATATTGTCGTGTTTCGAGGAAGGCACGATGTATGGAAGTTCTGCCTTTTTCTATATTTATAATGGCGAAAAATCTGTATTTTTTTTTTTTTCTTATTCGAGACGCACGATTCGACTAGTCAAAAATGTATATTTACAAAAAATTAAACGGTACAAATATATATATATATATGTTTATATTATTAGTGATCGTTGCTCTTAAAAACGTTTCGTCCTTATTATCAATTTTTTTTTATGTATTGTCCCGAAAGATGAGCGTTTTTAATAGCTCACGATTCATTTAGAATAATAGTTATATATGTAGAGTTTGTTAATATTGTCAAGTAATAGAAAAAAAATCAATTGAAAAAGCGATAGAGCTCTAATTTTAAACGATTTTATACAATTTTTTCTCGAAGCTTTCAAAAAATTGAAATACATTATTATGCAAATATTATTTTGAAAAATATGAGCTTTCATATATAGTTTTGTGCTGATTTTAATTTTTTTTCTCTAATTTTTCAATTCAGTTTCTTGCGATATATTAATTTTTTAGGGGGGGGGGAGGAATTTTTAATCGCGTCTCGAAAGTCACTATTTGTTAATGTATTTCAAAAAAAGGGACTTAAAACAATAGATGGCTGATTGTTAAAGAATTGTTGATTTTCAGTTTTTTTTGTGTCATGGATCTTTAGTAAATAAATTTGTAATTATTATCTTCCTTCGATCGAGATGCATAAATTCATTAAATTTTAATTATTAGAAAATTTATTTCACATCTGAATAATTCATGTTTAATGGAAAGATTTGCTATTTGCTAAATAGCCATTTGAATTATGAATTTCAGTCAAATAAATTTTCTGATAATTAGACTTTGAGGAATATTTGAACAGCTTCTATCGATTTTGTTTAATATGTGATTGAACAAAAATAAGAAAATAGTAACTGAAAATCTTAGCAAAGTAAGTTAGTTTCTCATCTACAAATATATACCTGAATAAATAAGTACCTTAAAAATTCGAAAGTACTTTTTCTCGTATCTTTCTCTCGTAGAATGTAAATTATTATCTTGGGCGGCATTTCTTCACTGTTTCTTTATTATCATTGTTTTTTATTGTATTTTGAAAATGTTGAATTTCTATATTTGATTTGTTTGCATTCATCACAAGTAACAAGTTTTATAATAAATCTCAGCAACTGTATTTCCATACATTCGACATTCTTTTTCGTAATGTACTTTACCTGGAACAAGCCAATCTTTTGGTAATTGACTATGTCTCGGTAAACTTCTGTACAGTCTTGTTAAATAATCATCGTCCGTGTAACAGTGATTAACGATATCACCCTGATTACTACTATTATTATTATTATTATTATTATTATTATTATTATTATTAGTATTATTATTATTATTATTATTTAAGTGCCGACGGAAATATTCCTCGAGTGAACAATTTTCATGAATAGACGACGACGGTTGCGGATCACGATCTAAAATAGCTTCCAATTCAAGTGCAGTCAGATCTTGTAAACTTTTTGGATATCTACTAATCCTGCGAATATCTTGCGGACGGATCTGATCAGCAAAATTGATAGTTCTATTACGTTTGGGCAGTGTCGCATAATATTGTCTTTGTTGTCCATCATTGCGCGAAACTGAAATCATTTTTTGACGAAATTCACGTTGTAATTTTTGTATACGACGTCGTTGACGACGACGTTGTTCAACTTGATTTAATTCCTGAACAAATGTATTACTACCACTTGGGTAATGGAAATTTTGATAATCCATCATTAGATTAGAATTATTTTGTTGTGGATAATAATTTAATTGTCGTTGATTGACAATATCATTGGGACTTGTGTCACATAATTGTATTTCTGAACGTCGTCGATTTAATAGTAGACCTCGTGATTGCATAAAATGTCCGACATTTTTCGAAAGACGACCAGTTTTCTCAACAAAAATATCACAGTAATCGGAGAATTTACGATGATTCCTCCTGGGAAATATAGCAGAACAATCGAATGTTGTTGTTGTTGTTGTTGCAGTGGTGCGTTGATCGATGACAATTGGTTGATTTCTTGTGCTATAAAGTACACGTGGATCGTGTTGATTTGGATATGCTCCACTGGGCAGTGGTTTGTTAGCTTTTTCTAAATTTGATAACCCTCCAGTGAGGGAGGCCTTATACTACCGAGCTTGGGCATAATTTGGATTCATCTCGTCCAGTTGTTTACCTTTTGTTTCTGGTACACAGCACACGACAAAACATAATCCACATATTGCCATTGCAGCGTAAAACCAAAATGCACCATGCAATCCTAGAACCTGTAAAAGATTATGATTTTAAAACATTTTCTGTTTTAAAACAGAATTTCTTTTTAGAACTAATTTTATATTTATTTATTCAATTTGATAGTGTTTTAAAAAAATCTTTTTGTTAGAAGAGATAAAAAAAAAGGTTTGCAAAATTGGATTATTTTTTTACAATCGCAATCTTGTGCGATTGGTCATATTCTTGGAAAAGACATTTTAAGTATAATTTTTCCTCGAAATGTTTCTCAGCACGATTTTAAGAGATTCCTCTTCATTTTACGTGCGAGTTCACGCAAGAGTGACTCTCGAGAGAAACATCCGTGTTTGTTAAATATATATATATATATATATATATATATATATATATATATATATATATATATATATATATATATATATATATATATATATATATATATACAGAGAGTGCCGACATCCTTTCATCTTGAAATGTGGTTGTACTTCCGTTTTATATTGTACGAGTCTCTCTTTTCTTTATTCCTCCCTATATTCGTTATTGTATCAGCGTTTATCTTGGAAAAGATTAAAGTTAACGAGACTGAAAATATTGCAAACTAGTAAGACGTATGCAAATTTTGTCCTTTAAATTAAAAAATTATTTCATCTTAATAATTGCATGAATAAGCTATAAAATTAATTTGTTAAAATTTTCATTTGGTCGAATTTCATTATTTAATTTTAGCCGAATTTTCATTTTTTTCAATTTACATTTTACAGAATTCTAAAATTTGTTTTAGTAACAATTCTGTAATATAGAAATTTGGTTAAATGGAATTTTTGTAACATAATAATTGGAAGAAATAAAAATTGGACTAAAAATAAATTACAGGTAATGAAATTCTGTGAAATGAAAATTGTTGGAAATTAATTTTAGAATTTATTTATGTGTCCCCTAAAATCATCTCTTGAGAAAAAGTTGAGTCAATTGTTTGTTTGCGCGCACTATACCAACCTGCTGAAAGTCCATGAAGAGCTTGGTGCCAAGGAAGGCGCAAAAGTAACTAAAGCTTGTACTGATGCTTGAACCGAGTCCTCGGTACTCCAGTGGGAACAGCTCACCAATCAATAGCCACGAAATTGGCGATATGCCCAGTGACAGAGCCGTTGTGAACACGAGCACGCACAACAACGGTATCCAATCGTGTTGTCCAATCATGCTTGGATCAGTATAGACCTGATTTTGGTTTTGTGATATTGAATTGTAGTAAGCATAGCTACCAAAACCCGCAAGGGCCAAGGACATGAAAACAGTACTCGCTATCAGTAGTGGTAATCGGCCAACAATGTCGATCAAAAATCCTACGAAATAAAAAAAATTATAATCAAAATTTAAGGATCACTTTTCTTTTCGTTTATGTTTGAAAATTTTGTGCGGATGTATGTTTATTTTTAGTTTAGAAACAGTTGCTATTGTTATTCTTGAACAATTTTTGAAAAGTAGTTTGAGAAACAGAGATAGAAAGAGAAAGAGAGAGGTGTAAACAAGTACTGACAGATAAATTAGTGGCTTGTGAGAAAATCTCGGATAATATGTTGTCTTTGAAAACAAAGTAAGATCAGTGCTCTTTGCTTCGTTGAAAAAAGGAGGATGCTATGCTTGTTATTGCAAGGATAGAGGGTTTTTAAGTTGAACTTGAAAACTAAATTTTTGAATTTACATCTGATTTTTTTTAGAAGTGAATAAAATTAAAAAAAAGATATATACCTGATAATAGTGATGCTAGAAGTTGTACAAATCCAATGGCAATTGTTGCTCCGTGAGGATTCATACCACCCAATATTTGACGAAATATTATTACCGCATAATAGTTGAAAGAATTAGCGCCTGAGAATCTTTGGAAGAACATAAGCCCACATGTGATTCCTATTGGTTTATACAGTCTTGGTATGAGTACACTACTCTTGAATGAAAGATCATATTGTTTAGCTCTCGATGCTAGTATATTGGTTTTGATAACCTGAAATATTTGATAATAATTAATTTGTTCCTCTCGCAAAATATAATTTTTTCTTACCTGTAATTCCTGGCCAATATCTACATGAGGTCCACGAAGCCATTGTAAACTGCTTGCAGCTTCCTCATCCTTGCCATTCAAAACGAGATAGGAGGGCGTTTCCGGTATGAAGAGCGTACCGAGAAAGAGCATTAAGGGTGCAATAGCCACTAACAATGCACTCTGCCTCCAATTCAAGTAAGAGCCCGCGATGTATGATAGCAAAACACCCACGTGACCGAGAACTTTCAGTATCGCTGATAAACAACCTCGAATTCCTGGCAGGGAAATCTCCGAGATGTAGACCTAATTTTTAAGTTAATAAATAATTTATGATTAGATTGTTAAATTTTTTTGAATCTTAAAAAAATTAACAATATTTTTTCCTCTAAAAGAAAATCTTTTTAAAAGATGACATAGATGTTAGTTATTCTAGGTTGTATCATAGTCCTTGGAATTTCCAAAAAAAAGGATGCAACAGTTTCTTTTTTATAAAGAAGAGAATTTTTCAGAAGATATAGTCATCGTGTTTAACCTTCCAAATAGCTTGGGCAAATGATTATTTTTCTTTACTATTCCTAAAGACTATTATTAGTCTACTTATGTATTCATATATGCGTGTACGATTTTATAGCTAAGATTATACTTTCGATCATCTTTAAGTGCCTAATTATATTACTTTCACAGAGTTGGAACTTTATGTTCGCGTCTAATAAGTTTAAAAAAAAAATTCGTTTCCCTGTACAATAGATTATTGTGTAACATAACCATACGAAAGATTTATATTTTCATAAATTTAATCCTATACGCCTACGTAATTTAATTTTAGTTATAAATAAATAGGTTCTTTTTTTAAACAAAAGTAATTTTTAAAATCAATTATTATTTGATTGCTATGAATTTTTTTTTAGTACCTGTGCAACCATTGTTATTACTGAACAGCATAGTCCTCCGACAAAACTGGCAGTGTAAATTAACTCGACACAAGGTGCAACTCCTGTAAGAACCCAACATGCTACCAAAGGTAGAGATGTCATTCTAAGAGCCAGTCTACGTCCCTTTCTCATTATCCAGTCTCCAATCATAGCTCCGAACCATGCTCCTAATAACGATAGTGATGCGATCCATGACGCTTCTTGTGAAGACACTCGGAATTCCGACCTACAGACACACACACAAACACATAAAGAAAAAAGATTTCTCTCTTTTATCTGATGATTTTTTGAGTTATGAATTATGCATTCTTCTTTTAGTTATATATTATGCATTTTTGTTCTTTTACTATATTGCAGTCTCAACACTCCTAAACATCAATCAGAATTATGACAGGAATATTTAGATCTGAGTTGATTGGGATGATTTTTCACTTTTCTTTGTTGCACACTATTATTTTAGAAACTTGGGCGCATGAATTTTCCATGAATTCTACTTTTTTGATTGTATATTATCTATTTCTTCTTATTATTATTTTTTATTAAACTGATATATTATACTAAATTTTTGTTTCATCGAATTTCCATTTAACCAAATTGTTACGTAATCCAAAAAGTTTAAACAGAATTTCCATTTATTTGAATTTTTCTTTCATCGAAAAATTATATGAATTAATGATTTTATCGCAAACGTACATTAGTCTGATTATTCGTTCGGTCAAATGGACGTTTAGTGAAAAATAAATTTCGTTATTTCAAAATTCTGTTGAATTCCAATTTGATTAAATACCAATTTGGTTAAATGGAAATTCTGTAAAATGTTAATTTGGTCAATAGTCAATTTGGTTAAATGTCAATTTTTTAAAATGATAATTCAGGTTGTGTTAATTTGGCTAAATGAAAATTCAGTAAAATGTCAGTTTGGTTAAGTTGCAATTCAGTTACATAACAATTCTGCTTATGGTATTTTGGTTAAATGACAGTATTGTTAAGTTACAATTCATTTAAATGACGATTTTGTTAAATAGTAGTTTGGTTAAATGATAATTCGATGAAATAACAATTTGGATTAAAAAAATTCTGTAAATTGTCAGTTTGGTTAAGTTGCAATTCGATTAAAAAAAAATTTTGGTTACTGACAATTCTGTTAAATAGTAGTTTGATAAAAAGTCAATTCAGTTAAATAGAAATTGTGTTAAATGACAATTCTGGTTGTGGCAATTTGGTTAAATAATTCAGTTAAATGTCAGTTTTATGTTGCAATTCGTTTAAATAAAACTTTGGTTAAATGATAGTTGGATTATAAATGACAATTTGGTATTTTCCATTGAATTTAAAGTTTGTTATTTTATTATTATACTAGTTTTTTTTTGTAGAATAAATATGTTGATGTTTTATCTGAATGCTTACAAGGTATCATTCCGTGTTGTTTGATATAAATTAGGCTGTTGAGTGTCAAGGATTGAGTCCAAAGCTGGTGATGTATATCCTTTTGATAATCCAGACGATAGAGTTCCCATAGAAAGAGCCAAAGATGCCAACACCTATAAATTGACAAAAAAAAAAAACCTTATTCAAATTTATACAAGGGAAAAACTATTTTGTGTTTAAAACGCTCTTGATAGAAATCTATAAAAATGTTCTACATTATATTTCTCATCCTATATGTTTCCGTTTAATAATTATGTAATTAAGTGAAAAATAAAATAGAATTGAATGTTATTGGACTGTGAAGGAAAAACTTATTGTAAGAAAAGTAAGCTTTTGTTTATAAATGAAAATGTTACTGCTTTCCGCATAAGCGATAATTACATGGTTGATCTTTAGAAGAGTAAGAAGTGTTGTGAACGCTTCATCTGAAAATAGCTCTGCTTCAACAGAATGTTCACTTTGTGTATATATATATATATAAAATGTAGCATGCAAGCGCCAGTAAGCACTTCTGAACAAGAACAGTGAAAACTAGTCCCCACTGTCTCGTGGTCATTATTTCAATTACATTCTCTTTCGAGGATTTACTCTCTTGTGTGTATATGTGTACACAAGAGAGAAGTGCACTGTTTCCATTTTAATTATTTTTCATTCCTCTGTATAAAACAACACACTATACAGTATATAGCTGCATTAAATCTTCCTGCTTCGGTTAATCTTTGCGCGCGCTTGGTTAATCACAGACATTTTCTGTGCCTGTCGATTCCTCTTTAATTGAAGTTTGATTTTGTATTTCTTAACATAAAATTATAATTTTCATCCATTTCGATATTGTAGTTTTAATTAGCGCTAGTTTCAACTAATTGTTTTAGTAATTTTATAATTGTCATCGTTATGTCGATTTTCATTTTTCATGATTGAGATTATTTTGTTTTTTTTTCTTGTAAAAAAAAATATGAATTAGTTTTGGGATGCAGATTCGTTCAGTAGGTCGGTTATAGTGTTGTTGGCATAGTGAGAATTTGTATTGCTCTCATGTTCTGGGATAAATTGCGGACTGCAAATTGAAAGCTATGCCCGCTGTTTGTGCAGAATACTAAACATTTCGCAGGATCGGCCATCCTTGACGAATCTGCTTGTGCACGTATATATTTCTAACTACAAAACCCTATTGCTATATATATATAGCAAAACGGATATACACACCATCCGTGTGACAATCTGACAATGAGACATGAATCATTCCCCATATGTGCGGTACAATTGTTATAATCAACGTATATATACGTGAAACTTTATACGTGCAAAAGCATCTCTATTCTTTTTTTTTTTTTTTTTTTTCATTATTATTTTTCTTCTCCCTCGCTTAAAGTGATTTTACATAAAATGCAACAGTAGTTTCCCTGTACTAACCATATCCCATGACCATAAATTTTACTGGACAAGAACAAAAGAAAACGAGATTTAATTTCTTCTGTCGTCTTCCTTGTGAGATTAATTTTAAGCACGTATATAAGAGTTTCGTGGTAGGAAATTCGTAGAAGGCAAATGGTGATTTTTTCTCTCTCTCTTTTTATATACATTCAATTGACAGTTTCTATATACTCTAAAAATATAAATTTATTAGGAAAAGTTTTTTTAAAAAATTGTAAGTCATATTATTTTGGAGTTGAAATTTTAATTTTAAGGATAGTACTACTCTCTTTTTGAGTTGAATTTTATTCCTTTAATTCTCCGAATTTATTTTAAAAGCTAGCATTATAGGTATATATAATAAAAACTTGGAGAAATGATCGGTTATTATATTTCAAAATGTATGATAGGACATATTTACACAGTGTGTGGACACGGTAAAAGCTTGTATACATGAATGTACGTTTCTTGCTTACAAGTTAGTATGCATGAACCTATGTAAATGACTTTTTTTCAAGAGGTAGGAGGGTCGAAAGATTATTAAACCGACTATTTCTATATTGTGTGTGTATATGTGTAAGACATACCAGAAAATAGTATCATTTAAAATCGTTTCCAATTTGCTATTACAGCTTTTTTTTTTGTTTGATTGACATTTATGCTAATGTCATTAACATAAAAATTATTATCTTTATGAAATTAAATGCGAGATTTTGTTTGTTATTGTTAGGTTGAAATATTGTGGAAAAAAAAGTTTCGCAATAGTTATTAGAATTGTTCCATTTAAAAGCTGATACGATATAATTATGATCAAATCGTACATTTCAATTATTCTAGACGGTCATTGACTTGTGAGAGGACACTAGGAAGCATATATTATACACTTGGAGATTATATACTTCTATTCACATTCGTCTCGAGAAGGAATTTTAAACATTAGTTGTAATACGGTCAGGTCACAACACTGTCAATATTCTCTCTTGATTATATATTTACATAAATTTTAATTAAATATATATATATATATATATATATATATATATATATATATATATATATATATATATATATATATACTCGAATTGAAATATAATTGAAAAAATAATCGTTAAAAAAAAGGTGAATTAATGACCTATTAAAATTAATATTTACGTTTTGTCAACGCCTTCTTTAATCCATATTTGAACGCCAGTTAAAAACACAGTTTCTATTCAATAAATTATAACTTTTATTATATACGCTTAATGAAATGCTTCTGGAAATTAAATTTCCAATGGAGAGAAATGATTTTCGAGAGTTGGAAAAAAATTCGTATTATAATTAATTATAAATACATAAGGTTTTTTTTGTGCATTGGTAACAGAAGGTTCATTATCGTTAATAGTAAATTATATTATTATATGCTTTTTTGGTTAAGTAGAATGTCTCATTTTAGAAATAATTCATTAACTTGTTATTATGAGCTGATGAAAAACTGTTGAAGTACAATATATTCAATTATTATGGTTTTATTAATAATAGTTGTTAAATTATTCCTTTTGTTTTGTTTCGCTCTTTTTTTTTGCAAATTTCTATTGAAATTTAATTATATAGGAATGATCATCAGAAATTATGTAGGCGTATATATAGTTTGTGTGTTTAATTAGCACCGTTAAAAGGGTCTTCCCCAGCTTATATGTATAGCGATGCGTGAATCATAATTTTAATCGATTGGAATCTGCCAATGCGCGCACCCTCCTTGGCATTAATAAACGCGTCGCGAGAGCAAAATCACGAATCAAGAATGATTAATTAAGGAAATTGTCGTGGAATTAATCTATAAGTCTAAATAATCCATCTCAATGATAACATTAAATATATATATATTAATTGTCCGAATTATTGTTCATAGTATTGGGGTAATTGGAATATAAACGATTCTTAAGCAGGTTTTATGTTGAAGGAAAAAATTTACTATTAAATAATAAATTAGTAATAAAAAAAATTAAATTATATTTAACATTTAAAAATTGTGTTCGTCTTTTGTTGTTGTAAAAAAAGTATTGAAAAAGAAATTTATCAAATTCAGAATAATCTTTTCCAGACCAAAATAATGTCTATGCATATATGTACATTTTAGTCTGATAATAGTTTTATTATCTTGTTGTATTTACGTCATATAATAATGTAATGTATCATGTTTATACTCTTCAGTTCACCTCCTCTTTTCAAAATATTTTGACGGCTATAGAGAACGTGATAGAATTCCTATATTTAAGAATATGGTTTTTAAGGATAATAGGTGGTTTGAAGTATTGATAATTCTGAAATAGGTTCTCATAATTAGGTCTACTATCATTATATTCTTGAGATGAGATTTTATATATTTTCAATATATTTATCTATCTCTAATTCTAAAAAATCGTATGAAAATTCTTTTATCACACATTTTTTGATTAAAAATGTCCTTAAATGTCATTGAGTGCATTTTTTTTATTGTTATTAGTTTAATATATTCTGAAAGTTAGTAAAAATTTTTGTAAATGGCAAAGAAAAAAGAAAATTCTCGAATAAATTACGTTAAAAATAGAATTTTTTTTAAAAATCGAGGTAACGGATTTAAAAGCATATGATGTTGATTATGAAAAAGGGAGAGATTGTCATTAAAAAAGTACTTGAAGAAACCTTGAGAAAAATTTTGTTAGGAAGAAGGTATATCCACTTGTTCTATATATCACGAACTATTTCTCTCTCTCGCTCTCGAAGCTTTCTTACAGATGCAACGTTAAAAGCTCGTTTCCGGAGAATGGAGCCAATGGCAGTTCACCGACGAGGATGGGTTGAAGTTAACCGAGAGCCATTAGCTTAAAACTATTAGCTCGGTAAAAAGTCATAAAAATCCTCAACTAGATTATGGAAATAGGAAGGACTAGAGTTGTCGGTGTATATATATATATATATAAGGAAAGTCTCATGTCAGTCATAGGAAAACATACGTTTCGCATTTTTTAAATTCTCACTGTACTATATAAAAATAGAAAATAGATAATGTTGCGCTTCAAGAATTTATTAGGATTCTAAGAAATATAGAACGGATGTTTAAAGCGAGGCTCTTGAATTTTTCTCAAAATTTAAGTAATGTCTTAATACTTATAATTGTCCTAAATTCAACTGTGAAAATCATCTTTTAAAATGTGATCTATTATTAATCTAATTCGTATTTAGCCTAATTTTTATTTAGCCTAATATTTATATGACATAATTCTCATGTAAATCTTTACTCAACCTGATTTGCCCTAATGTTTATCTGGCCTAATTCTTGTTTGGTCTAATCTGTATTGGGCCTAATTCTTACTAAACCAAATCTTTATCTGGCCTAATCTAATTATCATTTGGCCTAATTCTTATGTAATCTAATGTTTATTTAACCTAATTCTTATGGTAGCCTAATTCTTATTTGGTCTAATCTGTATTGGGCCTAATTCTTATTAGACCAAATCTTTTTCTGTTCTAATTCTTATTTAGCCTAATATCCATTTTTGTTCATGAATTTATTTTTGCATGTTTTCTTCTTTTTTTTGAATTGTTCTATTTATAAGTGCGTGTTAATTTTGATAATCTCCATGATAATACTTGTTGTACACGATCATTAGGAAGGGTTTATGTGTTTATATGTATGATAAGTTTGCGTTATATGTATAATCTGGATTATACTAGGCAATAATTCATTTTCTTCCATGTTTGAAAATTGTTTATTTTCTTGTAACCCACTAAATTTTCTTGATGCTCGAGAAATTTTCGTCTGAATTCGAAACACGTACGTGCAGTATTTCGTGTGTACTCACTTGTGACATGGCCTGTGGTCTAGTAGCAGTCGACGCCATGTATACCACAGACGCCTTGGGCACTCTAAAACTGTCCTCACCCTCGTCTGGTACTGTTGTTACCTGAAACAAAATTAGAGAAACTATAGAACCACACATATATCTGCCAAAAAAAATATCAAACATTTTTTTTTTATATTATCGATAAAATATATCTTAGCTTTAAGATCATGTTAGATAATCATCTTTCTTTCTCTTTCTCTCTCTCTCCGTATAATGATCGTGAAATATTTTTTAATTTCTCTTCTAAAATACTATTTTTCTTTGCCATTTTTAAAATATTTTTTTTCCATTTTGTTTTCTAACTAAAAATAGAAAAAAAATTCTAAATTTGGACGGAATGTTTCGCTTTTAAATTTCTTTTAACAGTTTCTTAAAATTTTGTTTGTATTACGTGATTTTCGCAATTTTATATGCTCACATAATTATATAAGCCGCGTGTGTATATAGTATCATGAATTAACTGTCATCTCGCAGTACTCGCGTGGATATGTATATTCGTTTCACATGTTCCCTTTTTACTCGTGGTAAGCTTAAAAATCTTGACAAAGATACGCTTCTCTTCATTCTGAAAAGAAGCTAAAGGAACATGTGGTTCTCTTCAGCAGAATTCTTTTGTATGTAAAATGAAGGGATTTCATAAATAAGCTTTTATAGAAATATTTATACTCTTTATATGTTTATATAGGTGTATATATTTTTTCTTTTTTTGCTTTTGATTATTTCTTTATAGAGTATGCGAATAATATCGTTTAATGAACTATTTTTCTCAGGATTTTTATAAAAAAAAAAAAATAATATTTACAATCCCTATATTTATAGAATAGGCGAGCCATTAATCAATGACAAATGATTAATTAGAAAGTGGATTTAATAGCACGTATTTCCGGCCAGAAGCTTTGTATTACAACACTGTTGGCGAAAAAAGATCTTTCCGGTTGCTGTATCGTGTTGGCAATGGTTTAATAAATGTGTACTATCATTATTCTCATTTCTCGAGTTATTTCAATTTTCGTCAGTTAACTCACTTTTCTTTTTCATAAAAATTTGAAAAAGTTTTCTCTGTTTTTTCTTGAGAAATTGTAACATTTGGGAAAATTTTGAAAATTCGAAATTTTTGTTATAATTTATCTATAGGATGTTTTATGCTTTTTATATATTTTATAGGCAAGATATCAATTCTTTCTTTAATTTCGATTTTAGAGGCTAATTATCTTTTTTGTGGATTTTTAGTTTTAAAAAAAGTAAACTAATGAAATTATGATGTAGCCTTTGATCATATATAAGATTGAATATAGGTTGTTTGGATTCTGTCTAGAGTAGGCGGATTTTGAATTCATTTAACTACTTTTGGTCCCATGGGAAACGGAACTTAATTACAGATTTTCGCGATAGTCCTATATACTCCGCGGAGAGAATATATTCTTGTCGATCGATATGACTTAAATTTTGTTCCGAGTCTAGGATTATGCTCTTTTTCTCAATTATACTGTATTAGGTAGATAAAAAAAGAATCCTTGATTTAGCTATAAAAAAAAATTAATTAAAGAATAATTTAGTTTTGACCCAACGAAATTAATATCAATATTCTTTTATCTTAAAAAGTAAGGATTTATTAAATAATATAAAATACCAAATTTATTAGATAATTTTTTATTTATTTGCAATTTTAAATAATAAAATTATTTTTTGTGTTGAGCATATTTGATTGACAAGCATATATATATATACTTTTTCTAAATAAAATACGCACAGATTTAATAACCCACGGGTAAAATTACGACTTTGTAAAAAAGATATAAAATTTTCCGTAAAATTGACAAATGTTTCTTTAATTAATGAACTTTTCTATGACTGAATGTATAAAAAGAGAAATCGGTTGTGAGGAATCCAGCATAAAGATCCGAGTATTTAGTTTTTATATATATATATATATATAAACGTGGAGCATGCGTTGGTGAAAGGGAATAGATAAAGGTGGAGCAAGGACTGAAAGATCCTCTCAATTGGTATTCTTCTATAATCATTCAAGTGCAATATCCTCCAATGCTTATATGCCGAACACTTGTGCTTATGTCATATATATATAATATATATTCAACATACATTCCTTATTCATTTCTTCTTTTTTAATTTTATTTACCATATAATAGATTATATCATACTCTTCCTTGAATTCATATGGCGCGACGTTTTGAAAACTTGTTTGAGCAAGATATTAAAATTTCCCCCCTTTAAAAAGAACAAAAAAAAAGGGAATATTCTTTGAAATAATCGAAAAAACTTGTTGAAATTTTGCTGGTGGTACATTAAAATTTTATCTGACTCTTCTCGATATCTAAGAAGATTATTATTATTATTTTTTTTACAATTTTCGCATAAATGTTTCTTTTGAGTGAATGTGGGATTTGTAAATTTTTATACGTTAATGCAATATATGTGTTTGGTTTTTATAACATGCAAAATTATTCTTCTCTTAATGTCTTGATTTCAAATTGTGTTCAGTGAAAACATGACGATAAAAAGTTTTTATTTTTATTTCGTATATTGGTGTATAAGAACATTAAAATGTAATAATAATTTAAATGTCATAGTGCCATTTGGTTATTAAGATAATCCAAATGTATTACTTTTTCTTTTTTACCCCAAAATTATATACATATATATATATAATTTAATTCTGTTCTTTTAAAGCATATTCTTTGTTATTCTTTCTGTTTGCCGCAATTCTCGAAATAAATTTCATTAGCGAAATTAAATTAGTAAGAATACGTTTAATGCATTTTCCTCGCTTTGGTATATATTCAAATATTTTTTGTTTTGATTTTGTATATTTTATCCCTCTTAGTTTTTGTTCCAATTGACAAATTAAATTAAAAATTAATTAATTAATATAAATAATTTTGATTAATTATCAAATGATAATTTATTCTCTACATTTATAGTGTAAATTCGTTTAGAAAAATCGATACTTTGCGCATATATATTTCGTGTCGAAATTCTTTGAACTTTCATCGGCGTCTTCAGAAAAGATTTTATGTTCTTATCTATGTCTGTCTTTTTCAATTCTTATCTTTTCAGAACAGTTTTACATGTTTTATTTGAGAGTTATTTCTGAATTTCAGTTGTCTTTCAAACAATACTTGAATAAAATAAAAATTATTTGTCATCCTTTCTTGAAAATCAAATGATAGACGATAAAATTTTATTAACTGCATTGAGTTAATTCATCGTTGACATTTATTCGTTCATTCATTCCTTCATTATCTACATGCTTAAAGAATTTTCATTGTTAATTTAAAAGCATATATATATTCATTGGCGTAAATGATGTTGTATAAAGTACTTTGAGAAATATGATGAACTTTAAAAAGTTCCGCTTTTGCGTTCTTTATACTCTTTTAACAATGATTATATATACAGCGTGAAAATAATCCTACATATATATATATAGTAAAGTATTAAGAAATGAAATACTACCGATTTGCCGTATTTCACATTTTACGTGCGAATATTTTATGTTCCGCTTTTCCAAGTGCATTCGGGTCAAGTGGCTATGAATATTTGTGTTCTATCGCGTCTTCTCGTCCTCGCACAAAACACTATATTACATATATTTACGCATTATTTCTTGCCCTTATAACCACACCTATTATTCTCTAAATACAATTTAAAAATTATCAAATTATAAGAAAAGGTTATTTTGAATTATATGGAAATTTTTGATTACAATATAATAGCATATATTTTAGGATTATTATTTATAATTTTGATGTATTATAAATTTTTTAAATTTTCTTGTTTAAATTTATCATCCTCTAAAATTGTGAGATTCTTGGTTTTTGACTCTTATTCCATAATATATCTGAACGATCATTCGCTCCCTTGAGCGCAATCTTCTCGCTTTTCAGTTCCCGAGGAATTCCAAAGCTTTACACTAAAAATGAATGAAGCCTTCCTTCCTTCGCTCGAATGGCATGGGCAATAAATTCGCTGAGAATTATAAATCGATATGTCGACGAAGAACTGAAAGGTGTGCTGTATTGCCAATAACACTACTGTAATTCTCTGGAACGTGAGATCGGTTTTTATTAGTTTGAAATCATCTTCAAATTCAGCCTCAACAATTGATGGGGGGGTTATATAAGTTTCTTTTTTTAATATATAAAATAAGTAGAATAAAAATTGAGTGAAGTTTGCGCAATAAATACTCATTTTTCTCTCTTTTCATTGAAAATTGACTCTTTTTCTCTCTCTCTCTCGCGTGAAATGTTTTTTCTCCTTTTTCAAACGTCTCGTTTATTTCGGTATGAAGTTGGGCTCGCACTTACACATATATGCACATTCGTTTTTGTCTTTGTTCTTCTTCCTCGGCGCGAGGCGTCAATGACTGACACCCTTTTATTACTCGGTAAGAGGTCTAAGCAACTAATTCAATGCGATTAATTGAAGGAGTATTATTCTGCTTCATCTCTTTTCCACACATACAATGCTATTCTCATCATTTCATATATTATTGTACCGCGTGTGCACTCGACCTTCGAGGTACAATATGTATACTTTCTTCTTCCTTTCACGATTTCATTCTTATATATATATATGTACATATGCAATCATTGATTGCAATTGGCTATTTATCATCATCAATAAATATTTGATGGCAAATAAACTTGGGCGGTCAATTCTTTAATAGTAATTTCTGGTTGCTCTTTCATCGATTCAATACGATTCACTGATTTATTGTATTATCGCTATTGATGAGTATTTATTATAACAGTTTTTGTCTACTCATTCTAACTTGATAGTAATGGTATTTTCAGTTAATATGGTATAGTTTTGATTAAATTGTGTTTGCATTTTTCTTCGTGTGGTAAAATTTTTAGAATCGATTGAAATGCTGGAAAACGATATATTTGTGTTCATTTAGGGTATCTAGGTAGTTTCAAAATCGTCCGGTAGATGTCTTGACTTCGGTTCACTCGCAGTCGAGATGAGTGGTCCACTCTTTAAATACCGTGGCTGTTGCTCGACAAGACAGCAATACTCTGTGATATATCATCTAC